CTTCGCCAGCTCATCTACCTTAGCCTCCACGGCTGGCGCCGCCCCTGCCGCAGGTGACGGCGACGGCCGAGGGCCGTCACGGGGTGACCGATCGCTGCCTGGTCGCTGACCGCTGCCAGGATGCTCGAAGGGACGCCGCTGCCCAGGGGCTCCGCTGCCCGCAGGGCGGAACGGGCGGCGTTCCTCAAAGCGAGGCCTCGCCGGCTGCTGGCTGACAGGCGCGTTGTCTCGTCCCGCTGGCTGGAAGTTGGCATCGCTGTCACGCAGCACCTGCCGCTCCAGGCCCTCGCTGACGTAAATGGCATCCTTGATGGCCTGGTCCAGCGTTGACGGCCGCAGCAAATACACCTTGCTGTGGATACGTCCAGCGAGCCCTTGGAGGAAGTTATACATGTGGATAGGGTCGGCGTTGAGGTCCATGTTGAGCTGAGCCGCCAGATCCCGGTACCGGTCGGCGTACGCCCGCACGGGCTCCCCACGCTCCTGGCGACAACGGGCGAGGCGGTTGTACAACTCCTCGCGGTCCACATCAAAGCGCTCTAAGAAAGCGTCTTTGAATGCTGCCCAGTCGTGCAGGTGGCGCTCAACACTGGCGAACCAGGACGCCCCCTCATCGCCAAGCCGGCAAGCTGCAACGTCCAGCTTGGAGGCGTCAGCCCAGCCATACATGCGGGCGTAACGCTCCAGCCGAGTAACCCATTGCAGAGCGTTGTCGGATGGACGGTAGATAGGGATAGAGTTGACGCTGGATGGATGTAGAGCACCCACTGCGTGATCCTGATGATCTGCCTCCATGCTGGGAGAGGATTAGGGTCTCAGGGGATAAGGGGAGAGCGTTAAGCTGTCCAACAAAGAGAGAAGGGAATAGGGTGACAGACGCCACCTATTTGCCGTACTATAAACCTGGTCTCGATACCACCCGCGGGACACGCGGGAGGTGGGACACCCCAAAATGTTTCGCTTGTGTCAAGTGATGCCCACCCCCGGTGACCGTCTAATTGACCAGGACTAGTACAAGCAGCAGTGTGGCACGCGGCGCCCGTGTGAGGACGAGGCTACCGCGCTTCCTGTCCCTTCCCTTATGGCTAGGGTGTATGCGACCGCAAGCTAGGGCTGTGACCTAATGCGGCGCCCTACCGTACGTGTACGGTATGGTTGTACCTATTTAAGATCGAGATGCGGAAGCGAGCGGAAGTAAACTATATGTCGAGATATAACGCAAGCGGAAGCGTGTATGGCGTAGGTTATGACCTATTTGTTCTAGGCTACGATGCCGGCTAGGAACTGCAGCCTGACGGCACCGCCCACCTGTACCTCCTTAGAGGGTTGCTGACCCGCCAAACCCTTGCCGAGGTGGACTGAGAAGGGTGTCAGACCTGGGCTGGAGAGGGGGGTGTATAACCACTGGGGTATAGGCTTGGCCAGGGGGTTAGTGTATGAGTCCGAGGGTAGGAGAGGAGTGAAGGGGACCTATGCAAGTAAACCCTATTGCGTACGACTGACGAGTCATATTAGGCGTACGGGCCGTTAGGGGTCGTTGACCGTTAGAGTATACGGCTAACTAAAGACTGAGCAAACTATTGCGGATGCAGGCGTACGGGATAACAGCCTAACTGCCGTGCAAGTGTAAGCTGCTATGTACGGCTGACGAGTCGTATCGAGACAAACCTCCTAGGCGATAGACAATCTAAAAGCGAGTTCCGGCGATTTAGGCGCGCGGGCGGGCTCGCGTATTAACGCGCCATACGCTGCCAACGCTGTGCATACCTCCTCAACCGAGCCAAATCCTACACGACAGCTAGCCAACATCGCGTCTCCATGCACTGACAACCACATTTCCTTGAACCTGTCGCGCCCATACGCCGGCTTGCACACCTAGCGCCACTGGGGTCCCCTTTCGCTCCCCGATTGCACAGAGAGGGGCGCACCTAGATCTCCTGAGACCAGGTTAGCACCACCCGGCAGCCTTGCGCCGCAGTCTGGGGTCCGACAGCAAGGCGGCTGGGCCACAAGCTGACCAGGCCTGTGAGGGACGGTGATCTAGACTAGAACTAACTATTACGGCTATTCTTGGTTGCTATGGCTGTTGGTTTACGCTGGTAGTCAAATGGCCACGCGACTACGCGCATGCAAGCTGGCGGCTCCTGCAGGAAACCACGACAAGTGGGGATCAAGCACTGTCTCTTACAACTTGCGTAACTGCGAGCTGCGCGCGACGCCCTAGCCCGGGCGCCGCGCTGCCTAACAGGAAAGCCACTCGTACGACAACCTGATGCGATACGCCGTACACGTATCTTCTGCAAGACAGCAAGGCCCAAAGCACAGGAGCCAACGCAACACCTTATGATATATTCAGAATCACTTGCCATCGTAATAACAAACAATCCCTGCAGTCATCACTTGACCGAACCGCGGGACACCTGCCACCGTCGCACCCGCCTCTGCCGACAGAATGAACATGCCGGCAACGGGGCGCGACAAACCGCGACAACGGATCTAGCTAGCGCCTTTACAAAACCTGCTTAAACGTCTATCGATCACGTGCTGCTCCCTAATCTTGGAGACTACCTTTATTCAGATTATGTCTTCTCTTAATTAATCGGTTCTCCTCTTTTTTCCATTATCCCCGTAGCTCGAAACGAAGAAACGTATACGTAGTATACGGTTTCGGAGGAGCGAAGCGAAGGGAAGGAAATATTCGTGCTCGTCCCGTTCAGATTTGTGATCGCGCTCGCTAGTCCCAGGGGTCGGTCTTCGCTCCCGTTTTCGCGCGCCGCGACGTTGTGGGAGAGCGCGAAGAATTCTCAGGCCCGGCATGCTTTGGTCCTCTTTTTTCGCTTTGCAGCTGTAGGCGCTGTCGAATTTGCATGGAGATGTCTGGATGATCGGGCCCTTCTTCGGGGCACCGGGCGCGCGTTCCGCTCTAAAGAAATAAGTGTAATTCGCACGGGGGAATAATGAGAATACCGGTAATGGGGGAAACCGATGATAGGCAACATAGCGTGTGCAGTCCGAGGCACTGTCGTGTTCGGCTGGACAGCTGGATAGAGCGTCACTCGGCGACAAAACCAACCGAACCCAAACATAATAACACATGTGCTACCGAAAACAACTACAAACATATAATGATGACCCGTTAAGATTGATATGCTATACATCTGTACTGAACAGACATCGACAGACACATTAACGCTGGCCACCGTTGTTGCGACGTTTCGAACAGTCGCGACAGTTGGAAACGGATGTACGGCGGGTTGCTTTAGGACGTCGGGATTGCTTTACCCCGCTGCTGGGCAGGTCTCTGCCGCCGACCACGAACCCAGGCGGCTTGTTGCACGGCGTTTGGAGGTGGCCGAGGACCAGCCATTTGCCCGGGAGGTGGTGGTTGCTGCTGCTGCCGTTGCTGTTGAGGCGGGAGCGGTGGCTGGCGCTGCGGTGGGGGAGGTGGGGGTGCCGGCTGCCGTTGGTTTTGTACCGGCTGGGGGTGTGGTCGCAGCTGCGGCGGCGGCGTGGGCTGCTGCTGCTGACGTTGTGGTGGAGGTGGAGGGGATCGAGGCGGCCGCTGCCAATGGTCCTGTAGCGGTTCTTCCTGGGTTTGCAGAGGCGGCTGGGGCTGCTGGCGCTGCTGCTGCGGTAGGGGAGGTGGAGGTGCCTGCTGCTGCCGCTGCTGATGGTTTTGTACCGAGGCGTTGCGAGGTGAAATTCGTTCGGCTCTCAGTACTGAGCATTATGATGGCTGGGGTTCTAAGGTGTTGAAGATTCTGAAAATGTTAGGGACGGATTTGACGGCCTTGGGGGGTGAGTTGGACTTGAATGCGCGTGTGGAACGTATTGCTGGCACGGAGCTAAATGTGTCTGCTCTCACTAAAAAGTTTGCTGATAGAATGGATGCGGATTGGGAGGATAGGAGTTTGGAAGATGACCCGCGGCTTTTCAACCCAGTAGACCCCGTACCAGGGGTTGGAGTTAAGATGTGCAGGTACAAAAATTGGATGGGTGACCCGGTTGACAGGGGGTACATTACTCAGCGGCAGCATGTGAACCTGATGCGTTTTCGGCTGTGTGTGTGGGGCATTGAAGCCAATCGCCCTAGGGGTAGGCAACGAGTAGCGCGTGTCTGTCCTATGTGTGCCGTGCAGGGGTCGCCGGGGAGAGTGGAAGATGAGAAACACATCCTCATTGAATGTCCCGCTTACGATGATTTGCGTGATAAGATATGGGAAAGTGGTGTCTCACGGGATGCTGATATGATTGCTGTCATGGGCATGGAGAATCAGGCATTGCTTGCTAGCGTAATCACTAGCATGCGAAGTCGCAGGATTGCGCAGACAGGGTTTATCATATGATTAGCGTTCTGTTTGTTGTCTCTTTTGTTTTACTTTTCTTCTTTTGGTTGTTTTCGCGTTTTGTGCTCGCGATCCATGAGCCTTCTGGCTCGGACGGATCTTACGAGCTCGGTACGAAGCTTGTAACACACATACTTTAGACGCCCGGGATTAAGTCTGGCTAGAAAATAGGGCATCGTGAAAGAGCCGCTCTTCGCTTGTCGACTTCAGCGCTATGGGAAGGGCTGACCCAGGTGTGTGCGGTGAGAGGCCCTTCACTTGTTCGCAGTGATGTAACCAGCCCTTTTTTTGCGCGTCACAGGCAAACCTGGTCCGCTGGACGCGGTGCTGAACTGGCGTGGCTTGCGCAGGCTCCGCATATGGCCGTGGTTCAAAGCGGTTGCTGCTTTGCTGTTGCACGAGCGTCAAGGTTCTGTGTGTGCGGTTCTCTGCTGTCCCCAGCTGCACCGGGACGACAACGACCAGGAGGCGCAGGGTATCCGCCGCTTCTGCCAGCTTCACTGATCCACCATGCCCCAGTAGCGCTTCAGCCAGACCGCGCTACTGACCTGCCTTCCACTACTGGCACCCTGTACTACTATATACCTGGTACTACTATATCGTACTGTTATGCTGCGCGCAAGTGGAGACAAGTTGCAACATAGGAGTAGTACGACTCCTACCAAACAGTGTTTCTTAACTCAGAGCTGCGGCTAATCCAACTTCATATAAAAAAGCGATATACCTGAACTATTTGACATAGAGCCAAGCACTGGGCCCGGACAGCACGTACAGGCCTCTTGCTTGTGTTCGAAGGGCTGTCGGCGGCGAAATGCGGGTCATGGCGGCTTTCATTCCTTTAATACTCCTGTAAGTGTGGCATCCACTTATTAGAGGCAATGCTAATGACGTATCACTAATTTCAGCTCTCTTCCGTTGGAACACTCTACATGCGTCCAGGGCTTCATCATGGCTAGGAGTCGCCCTATCATACGGTAAGCGGACCATCAGCAGTGCTCTGGCGTTCCCTGGAGCGTCAATTTCTAGCTACTTGACTTGTTGCGCATGCTGTATGTGATGGCCTTTGCGACGGCACACTGAATCTTCTCCTCTTTGCGGCTGCCTGCAGATGTTACAGGTTTCAACTGTTACACGAACACTCATACTACCAACGTGTAAGAGAACTTTTTTAATGCTTACATGTATGAGGATATGAGCCAACAAATTGTGGAACGAATTCCGCAGACCCGGGCGGACCATCAACAGGACCGCCGGAGAAGACGACTCCACCTATATCAACCGGCTGGCTAATGAGTGCCTAAGTGGAGCTGTCGTTTGTATCGCCTTCGACATCTCCGGAAATTTTTACTTTGACGGCACGATGTTCACGAGCTGGGCGTCGTATTGTGGCTCTAACAGCGCAACTGAAGGTATATATGTTTCATAGGACATGGGCACATACAAATGGTTCTTTCCATTCTTAGGCTATCCTGAGCGAAAGGGCTTACCCGAACATAAGCAAGGAACGTAACTCGGGGTTTTCCGGATTCAGGAAACTGTAATATGGCGCACTCGCAATCCTGACATCTGCAGCTAGCTCGTGTATAATTAATGGCAACATAATGTAATATAACGTATTTGCTGTGTGCTGTTATTATCCCACAGTAATCTACGTCAAAAGTGGAGGAGGAACTGGCAGCTGCACTGATCCACACAGGGCTAGCTGCGCACCGCCTCCATCTCCACCACTACCTCCTCAGCCACCCTCACCACCACCTTCCCCGCCACCCTCACCACCACCTTCCCCGCCACCCTCCCCGCCACCCTCCCCGCCACCCTCCCCGCCACCCTCACCACCCTCCCCGCCACCCTCACCACCACCTTCCCCGCCACCCTCGCCACCACCTTCCCCGCCACCCTCGCCTCCCCCGTCACCACCACCTCCTTCTCCTAGCCCACCGCCCCCGCCACCTCCACCCCGTGTTCGCAGTCCTCCTCCTCAGCCAAGCCCTTCACCCCCTAGGCAGCCGCAACCCTCCACCCCCAGCCCCCCTCCTCCATCCCTTCCTTCGCAACCAATCCCATGCAGCCCGCTGTCCCCCAGCAACCCGCGTTCACCCAAGCCTCCAAGTCCCCCTTTAACTCCCTCCCCAAAACACAGCCCACCGCCAGCCCCAACACCTAACGCACCCGCCTCACCTCCGCCCCCATCACCACTGCCTCCCTCACCGCCACCACCTTCACCTCGACCCCCGTCACCACCGCCTCCTTCACCACCACCACCGTCACCTCGGCCCTCCGTGCCCCCACACCCAGCACCGCCACCGCCTCCCCCGGTTGTGAACTGGGCTACATCCGCATCCGGCCCCAATGTAGGTACTTACTTTGTGTTCGAGAGTTTTGGGAGCACTTGTTCGACAGCCAGCACCTATCGATCTTAAGCTGGTTATTACCAGCCAGCAGCAAAACTCAATAGCAAATCCAAATTGGTGACACCAGCTAAGGCGCTGACCACTTTTCTTGCCCAAATACGCTTGTGCGCATGCCCCCAGTCCCTGCTCAAAGAAAGTAACTCTGTGGACCTGATTGTCGGGGCTCCGGAGCTCAAGTTTCGGACCCCGCCCAAGGCCTGCAAACCCGCAGCTGATGTCAGCTGGGTGCCAACAAAAGCGGTGAGTCCAATAGTCAGCAGGCTGCGGTGGATGGACATGACGTAGCCATGGCATCCAACCGCTTGCTGCTTGCAACCTACGAACATGCACCCACTATCCAATAATCCCGCCCGTCCCCATCCAGGCTCCTCGCTACGTAGTGGCCTACTTCAACCAGACGCCCGCTGCTCGGGGCGGCCAGGTGGCGGCTGTCACGCTGTACGTCACGAACCGCGGCGCCCTGGACCCCGCCATTGCCTCCATCGACCTGCTGCTCAGGAAGCAGGGGAATGTGATGACCGGCGGGGGCGCCAGCAGCAGCAGCACCTATGAGCAGGTGGGGAGCCGCGTGTACAATATGTATTCTTGTGAACGCATGATGTATGGGATGAATCCGCCGCGGTGGAGGGCGAGCGAGGGAGGAGGTTGCTTGTGGTTAAATGGTTGGTGGGCGAAGAGGGGTGTGTGCAATCAAGTGTTTGGTGGGTGCAGGTCATACCTGTTGTTTATAAGCTATGTTGCTAATGCTAGTTCAAACTGCTGTAAATCCCATTCAACTTTACTTCAAAGTGTACACCCTTGACAAGCGATCCCTAACTCTTGCCCCCTTTCCACATCACTACCCAGTGGATAACCCTGTACCGAGGCAGTTCGGGCCAGCAGCTGACGTGTCCAGGACTCAACTTCTTCACCGTGTCAGCTGCAACGGCCGCCTCTGTCCTGCAACCGTCGGATGCTGCCGCCGCAATGACGTCAGCTGATGCGTTCAACACGGCGGTGGTGGTTGCCGCACGAATCAACGTCAACAACATGACCGTTCAGGCGAAGTCACTCCTGCCGCACCTGGCAGCAGTTGGGCTGCAACTGTTTTGAAATGGATGGATAAGGCAGACACGAGTGTGGTAAAAGTTACGCGCGCGTGGTACTGATGAACGTTTGTACGTGTTTGAGCTGTGACATCAGTAATGGCACTTCAAACAACGGCGAGGACTTGGCCTCCTGAACTGAAGGTGTGCAGCTTGCCTCGGTGATCTAACAATGCGCTGTCACTCAATAATGCATTATTGAGAGCAATCTCACCATTCTGGACTCCAAGGCAACTTGATTAACCAGATAGACCTGGCTCTCGTGATGAATTGGGTCGTTCTTTGGTAGTTTGCCTTCGCTTCTAATTATTTGTCATACATCGACTGCCGTACGTCATCATTCTCTGTTTTGTGCTAAGAAAAGTGAGCCGCAGAACCATCTGACCCGACCAAGGAGATAGAGATGCACTGCAGGGCCTAATGGCTGTTGCTATTTTGGCGCACGACTGGTGTGTGTGGAGGAAGAAAACGTTGCGCCTGTGTTTGCTGATCAGGCTAGCTGCATGCCTTGTCTGCATGTTGCATTGTATTGGTTTATTTGGTCCGGCGGATTGGTTAGTTTGTTCCCCGTTGGGAGCGGCGGACGGGGGTTGGCCCTTTGAAATTTGCATGTTGTTGACGAATGGAAGAATTTGTGTGATAGATTAATTGTTCTTTTGGGCCCCGCCGCCGGTTTGCTTCTCTTGATGTCGGAGAGGCAACCGCCGGGTGTCCTGGGCACCTCCGTCGTTAATCGTATTTCCGTCATCTCTGATTGAGTCCCTGTGTTGGGCCGTGCTAGTGTGTTTCCTTTAGTGTGCGGGGGCTGCTGCTGGTTGTTTGCAGAAGCAGGTTTTGGTTGGGTTGTTACGTTGGCGGCCTTTATCTGCTTGCGTTGCTTGTGTTGAGTTTAATAATAAGGAGGGATAGTCGTTTCTGTCTCTCTCCTGCCTTTTCGTGGTTCCTTTTGGGCTTTGGTGCCTACCAGCGATTTTTTTCGTTTTCGAGGGGGTATTTTTTATCGCTGCTAGAGCGATAGAAATCGAGCCTGGACAATCGCTTATCGCTTTCCCAACCAGCCAAGCCGAGGGGTTTCGGGGCTTATCGCTATCCTAAGGCGGCCTCCTGGGGTCACACGTGCCCGTAGCCCCCTATACCCCAATGCGGAGGCGCTTCTCACTGGTCCCAGTGCCCTCCTGGACCCAAATCCCTAGCATGTAGAGGATCTGGCACGAGGGGTGTGAGCGATGAGATATCCTGGGCACAGACACCTTATCGCTTTCTCACGGCCCTAGGACCAATTATTTATCGCTCAAAAAGCGATATATCGCTCAAAAAGCGATATATCGCTCAAAAACAAACACTGCTGCCTACACTACTGTGCCTTTCCTAAGTTTCGTTGGTCCTTGCTTGATAATATTATCGCTTACTGTATGCTCCAAGCGTCCAGGAGCAAAGGCAAGCGTCTGCAATATAACTTAATTTGCGACCCGTGCGTGGGGCAGTTGGGTCTTTTGGTTTGGTTTGGTTTTATTTCCGGTCTTAGTTTGTCGATTGCTTGTACGGGGATGACGTACATAGATGCCCAAAACTTACAAGGCTTGTAATAACGCGTGCGTGCCTTCCACGTCGTCGGAGTGTCGCGTCTTGTTCTTGATGCATGCAGCTTGTGTAGCCCGACAGGCAGTGTGGGCTTGGTTTGGCCCTCTGCTAGACATGTGGCCCTCTGCATCCTTTATCCCTGTACAGCGAATTTCCCAGAGCCCAGCATCATTATTAAAGTAAGTACATACCAGTAAGGCGGAACACCAGGGAACAGCAGGGTTTCCGGATCGTCATCAAGGCAGCACACACGGCGTGCGTACGACTGTAACGCAGCCAGAATGTACGGGTAATGATGAGCATACATATACGTACAGCCGGTCTAACACGGCGGTGGTGGTTGCCTTACGAATCAGACCGTTCAGGTGAAGTCACTCCTGCCGCACTTGGCAGCAGTTGGATGGATGGGCTGCAACTCTTGTAAAATGCATGGACAACGCAGACACGAACATTCGCGAGTGTGCTGATAATTACGCGTTCTTGTGGTACCACACACCGGTTTCGGCCCTGCTGGGGCCGCCTGCCACCCGGATCTATCCGGAGCGGGAGCATGTGTGATGAGCACCGGGGCAGCAGCTGTCGCAGTCGCAGCAGTCGCGGCCATCCTAGTTCCAGCAGCAACAGCCGCAGCCGTGACCTACCTCCGCCGCGAGCTGCTGCTGCTTGCGGGGGCCCCTGCCTTAGCCGCATGCATGCCGTTGATGACGCTGCATGCCCCCCCAGGAGGCTCGCTCCGCATCGGCAGTAATCACCGACCCCAAGCAACCCCGGCGCCGCATCAGCCTGCTGCTGGCATACATTGCTCTTGCGCCTCTGAACGCGTCGGCTGTTGGTAATGAGGTAGGGTACATAATAACGGAGGGGTTCTGTGAATGATAGCGACGTGAGCATACATGTGAACCTATCACACACATGCGCACTCGCTCCTGTCACAAGTGTCACACATGCGCACTCCTGTCACACGCGCCATGCCTCATCTATCCTCTACCCTCATAATCACCCTCTTACAACGAAAACAACCTAATTCGCAGTTACGCAAGGCGATGGCAACCACCCCTTATCCCCCCCTTATTTGAATCCCATTATCTCATGTTGGCGCTGTTCCTTTGAGGAATCTGTCGGTTCGGATGGCTACCGTTCTTCAGCTTGGGGGAGTGTTTGAGGAACGTGCTGTGTTGCATGCGGCTTTTATTCGGGAGGCCTTGGGGTTACCTGCTACCCAGCAGCTTCCTGAGGGTGTCTTGGATGGCCTTCGTGATTCTTTCCAGCGTCTTTGGTCGATTCGTTGGGAGAATGGTTTCAAGGAAGCGTTTTGGCGTCTCTCTATTGATGGGGTTCCCTTGCTGGGGAATTCTCATATGTCTAGGGCTCGTCCGGAATGTTGTGGTTGTGGGTCCGTTGTCTTGGGGGTGTCTCCGCGGTTGCATTTTTTCTGGGCTTGTCCTGTTGCTCGTGCTGTGGTTGAGCAGCTTCAGGTCACGCTGGGTGTTGCGGTTCCTCGGGCTGCCTTGTGGTTGGCGTTGCCTCCTTCGGGCGTGCAGCAGTGCGTTTGGGATGTTGTTGTTTTGGCTGCTTTGTCCGCTATGGAGGAGGGTCGGCGGTTGTTACGGGCTCGTGCCCGTGAGTCCGGTTCTGCGGGTGTTGTGCCCGGGCTTGCTGATGTGGTGGCCCTGTCTGCTGTTTCCTGGTTCTGGGGTCAGCTTCGGGGTTTTGCTTGTTTGGGTGTTCCCCGTCGGGGATGGGCTGGGGTTGGCCCTTCTCATCCTTTCTTACGTATTGTTGGCGGGCGGTTTTTGGCCTGCCCTTGATTCTAGACGCTCCGCCAGGCCGCGGCTTGGAAGCAAGGGAACAGCCTTAGTGAACACCCCGGCAAATTTAACAGAAAGTAGTGTGAGCTTTTTGGCATCTTTTTCGTGCAAAAGGTTTGGAATTTGAATGTGTATATGCAAGTCACAAAGGCAACCTGCGATGTGGCTCCAAGTCAAGAACGATTGTTATGAGTAGAGAGGAGTTTCTAGCTGCAGCGTTCGTCACATAATCAATGCACACGTGTTTGTTGTATTGTGATGTTAAAATAATAGGGGTGTTTCTATGGGCTTAGGTTTGGTTTCGGACCGAACCTAAGCCAACCTAAGTGAATCTCGTCCCATGCTCGTCCCACCAATACTTAGCTAAGTTGCTGCTAAGTTGCTAAGTGGGGTGACCCCGCTTAGCAACTTAGCAGCAACTTAGCACCGGCTTAGGGTGGAGCGAGTGGAGCCAGCGGGCCCTACTCATTGAGCCTGCAGACCTTCGCATACAGACAAACAGTCGGGGATACTAAGCAAGATGACAAGGTTGCATAGTTGGCATTCCGGACCTTGTTTTTGATGTTAAAATGCCCAAGAAAGCAAAAGCAATTCCTCAATTGTCAACTTGAAAAATGCGAGATTCCAGCGCCACCCCATCTTGCAAACACGTTGCGTTAAAAGTGTCCTCATATGGACATTCTGCAAAATATGACGGCTTTCATAGGCTGCACCCGTGTGACATACCTGAGGGCGTTTGGGGGCATGTGGGCTGTGTCCTTGCTTCTTTTTGGAGAATCCTCCATTCCTTTCATAGAGGCTACATATACCCGAAAGCAAGCAACGTACTTCCCGTCATTTGCCACATGTATGGCACATTTTGCGTGTCTTGTTACGGGTGCCTTATCTCACGGAGCGGAATCTCCATTTAGCCAGCTCCACCATCACCCCTTGCAACAGAGCCGGTCGAGGGTCATCTAACCTATGGTTATCTTCCACCACACCCCTGTGTGGTCCTCACAAGCGATATGTGCTTTGCGCTCCCTTGAATTGTAAGGTCCCACGGGCCCCTGACAGCAGCAGCTTTGCCCACTGGCAACCCAGGCCCTTGCAGGGGTCGTCCATTCTCTGCGAAGGTAACTTATGGCAGAACCTAGGCGTTTCCGTTCATGTGCTTCCTAGTTCCTACATGCATTCCCACATGGCTTGTCACGCAACTTGTCCTGTTGTCCCAGTTCACGTGCTATGGGTTGTTCTGTTGCCCGAGGTAATGTAAATTATATCCTTTCCTAACCATCAGGGCCGCAAACGGAAATCCACAGCTGCATCTATCCGCGAGCGCCCCTTTTTTCTTGGCTTTATAAACAGTTATTTCCCTATCCTGTAAGGATAAAGATTATGGTCTTATCATAAGGCTGGTTTCACCGTGGTTCCTGAAGTCCATAGAAACAGGTCACTTAGGAACACTTAGGAGCGCGTAGCGTACGACTTAGGTTGGCTTAGGTTTGCTTAGGTTTGGTTTCGGACCGCGCCCATAGAAACACCCCTAATGATGTGTATATGGGTGAGCAGTGATATTGGCCTGTGTCGTACAAAGTACAAAACAAGTTACAAAAAAAGAGGCATTAAGCGCATGTCGATAGCTTGCTACACGTTGGTATCCGTTAGGTTGTTGTCGCGGTAAGGCCAGCAGCGTAGTTTAATAGGGCCGACACCAATGGCTTCGGTATTGCCTTCCTTACTCAATACACACAATGGCCAGGGAATGCAGGAAAACATATGAAGTTGAGGCTCTGTGTAAAGCAGCCGAGACTATTGCTTCTAGCGGACTGAAACTTACTTCCAAGCTATTGTATGACGAAGTGTGCTCCGACACGCGCTTGAAGGGCTTGACGTATAAACAAGCATTACAAACTATCGTGGCTACTGGGAAGGAAGCGTCGCCAAAGACATTGCTGCAGGAAATGGGGCGGCCCAGTATCACTGTAGGCATGGTGCCGGATCGACTGCGGAAGGAACAAAGTCAAAAAGGTACGGTCGCTCATAGTGAACTGTTTGAAGGTAGCCACTGTTTCGCTGACGACATTGCTCCGTCGCACAAACGAAGGTGACAATGTTCCAAGCACTGCTCAAAAGGAGAGCGGTATGGGTACGTTGTTTATTATGAGTGCATTACAGAAAAGGTGCTGGAGGAATGCTGCACCGAAGAGAGCGTACCACTGAATACTAGCCCAACATGCTCTGAATGCCACCCACAAACCCCTGCCCACATAGAAGAAGACAAATTTGGCGATGAGGCTCTGCCAGCATGTGACAAACGCAGTGGAGTGCAGAGGTGCACCTACACTACAGTTGAAGCAGCAGAGGAAGCCTGCAGATCTCCATCCCCTCCCCTCCCCTGCCAAAGCTTGGCTCCCAAACTCAGCCTCTCTGGATGTTATAGCCTCCACGGTTCAATACACTTTTCCTATGCAAGCCATGCCACCGCCCTGTCCTCCCCACCCCTACTTTCCTGTTGTCTTACCTTTCCTCGCTTTCCTTTCACCACCAACCCTGTTCTTGCTTTCCTATCCCTTTCCCTGCCCACGCCATCCTTTAGCTTCCATGCCTTTATTGTTCTCTCCCCGTGACTCCCCTTGCCAACCCATTCCCACCCCATCCCTGTGCTCGAATGAGGGTGACAGCGAGGGCAACTGATACCTAGGACCGTGCGTCAGTTACTGTGCACGCCTATGATACCCTCGAGTTGCCAACGCAATTGCGACCCTGCTTAGCAAGACGGCTTGCCCCTGAGGGCCGCAGACGCCGGGCTTGCTGGTGCAATATGCCAATTCGCACTATCCAGGCATGCCCCTCGACGCTGTAAACGCCTCCCTCATATGACCCTACGCAGCCATCTGACCCTCCCAAACGGGACACCCATGCGCCACTCTCCTAAGCAGCCTCGTCAGCCCCCCAGCCCGCCACCTTACCCACCCAAGCATGACTCCCACACACCGCCATCATAAACAGCCGCGAAAACGCACCCAACCACCCCACCACACCGTCACCCCCCCATGCTACACACCCATTTGGGCAGGCCATGAGATCGCTTCGGTCTGGTCTGTGGGCCGTTGAGCGTCCTGTTTTTGGGCCTGATGTCTTTGGGGTGGTGTGTTCGTGGCTTCCGGTTTGGGTTGTCTTATGCCCTAGATGAAGTTTGTCGAGGTTTGCTGAGGGGCCTTTTTTGGCTTCTACCCTCTTGTTTCTCTCCTGAGGTTTCTTTTAGGGCTATGTCTCCCATCTTGTTGGCCCGTTGTGGTGCTGTCTCTACGGTTTGTTCCGTTTCTTTTGCAATGTAGGGTTGGGTTCATCACCCGTGTTCCCTTTTAGGGCACCATTGTAACGGTCATTCATTATGCTCCCTAAGCTCCCCGTACCGCAGCAGCTAGCTACGTTTGCAAGACTATGTGCGCCTCGATCGGTCTGCCCCTCCACAAGCAGAGGCACAGACAATTGTTACAGACAATTATTGTAACAGGCACAGACAAATTGTGTCACAATTGTTCGTGTCTTGTCTTGTCTTGCCAAGCAGGCTCATGCTCCGGCTCCGGCTCCGGACGCTTACTTATCTCCTGCTTGCTGCCTCGCGCCTCTCACAGAAGGCGTGGCGGGCTGCCGAGCTGTGTGAGGGAGCTGCCGCTCCTCCTCGTTTTCTGTAAACGCAGCAGGGTAGTCGTGGAGTTGCACGTTCTGAGTGGAGTTGCACGTTCTGTCACATACTTGTTACCATATCGAAAGGAAAGTTTCATCAGTCAGGGTAATAAGACCGCCTGTCACTAACGGTTCTATAAGACGTCCCGAACTGACCCAGCAGGGGAGAGCGGGCGCTCCTTGCCGACACCGGGCATACGTCCCTAGGCCCAGGCCAGCCCTCAGCTCAACCGTCTTATTACTTCAGAGCCCACCTTGCCTGTTGTGCAGCCGCCAGCGGGCGCGTTAAGAAAGCTGGCTGTGAGTCGGAACGTCGGCTGTGATTGCCGGAAGATAAATGAGGTCCCCACAGAAACGCCACAGCGGGTGCGTGTGTCTTCCTGCCTTCTCCCGCCCTGCTGCAGGCCCCCGCGCGCTCCATCCCGGCCGCACCCTGGCGGTTGCTGCAAGTAAGCCCCTCTCCATCCCCTGCCCTCTTCCCGTGGCTACCGTTCCATCCATGGTAGCGTTTTCCCTTTGCGGCCGGCGGTCCACGGGACCCCCTCGTGGACCCCTCCACTAGCGCCGACGGCGGCCCTGCTTCAATCCTCCCCGCTATAAGGGTACACATGCACGCCACGTTGGGAACCCTAGCCTGCCCTAGCGTAGCCTGGCTGCCGGTTGTGTTGTCACATGCCCGGCGCTTTTACACCGGGACATGTATGGGAGCTGCAGCAGCTCCCGTAGCCGCGACGACCTACACCAGCAGTCCTGCCCCAGCAGACCGCCGCCCCCTTCCCGCAGCACCCTCTGTCAGGTCCTCGATCGCTGAACGTCGCCCAGGATGCATGCACCGCCGCTAGCTAGCGTGTATGGGCTCCCGTCCTAGTGTTCCTGTCCTTGTTCGTTGCGCTTAGGCGGCCCTGGTGTGGTTCTTAGTGATAATCTGACGCAATCGGCGATTGACTCCTGTTCGGACTAGCACAGCAGGGCCTTGTTAAGTTCCTGCTGCTGGGTCCTGTGGAGGCCCTTGGCGGTGTTTGGTTTCCAGGCTTTGTGTGCGTGCCGGGTAACTACCACACGCGTCTTGTTACCAACGTCATCAAAGCTGGACTTGAAGTAAGGCCGCAAGCATGCGTCCTTACTTCGACGTGAGTACTTCTAGGCACAGTCTAGCTGGAGGTAGGGCCTCACGACGTGTGCATGCGCTGGTGCGCTCATCATGTCTTGGCACGCACTGCTAGCTGCTGTGCTGTTCCTTGCGGCTGTGCAAACGAACATCACCTATCTACCTACAGCCAGCAGCACGGCCGGGCAGCCCGCCCGGGGTGCGTGCACCGCTGCTCATCATGAGCCTGGTGGAGTGAGAAGCAAGTAAGCCACTTAGTGCGCATTAGCTCAGTAGTGAGATAGCTTGCTAGCTAGGGCCGCCCGCCATCATAAGAGCGCCTCATTTGCCCTTAGAAGTCGCCAGCCGGTGCTTCAGCCCATGTCTCCGTGCCGGCCTTTGCAATGGGAAAAGCAGTGACACCAGGGCCTACGAATCGAATGGGACTTAAAGGTGGGGGGGGATAGGAAAGAGGTGTTGGCGGCCATGCTTCAGTACCCACGCCTTACTTGCAAGACTGCGTGTAACGAAAAACACTTGGCGTCTAAGTGCCCAAATGCATAAGGACAAACACTCGCGTGTCACTGCATGACTTACTAGTATGACCACCTCGCACCAACCCCGCACCAAGCGCAGCTATGGCGACGGGAATGCGAGTCATATGATGGAAGGTTACGGATTTCTCGCAGGAGGACACAGGCCGTTAACATTGCGAGAGTATTACGAGTAATAACCATCTTTGGTAAATCATGGAAAAGCATACCAGTGAGTAATCAGGGCGTCAGCAGTACAACGCTGCCGACCCTAGGGCCATCACTCGCATTCTATCAGCCAATAACTTCATTAACCCCATTTCGTAAAACACCTTGCAACATATATGCGAATGTAGGAGACAGCCCCTGACAACTTCAGTAAGAAGGCTTGCGAAATGTCGAACGTGCTGCCGCAACGTCTTAGCCAGAGGCGGGTTGTACCGACAACTCGTAGTCCATATCAATGTGCGAGATCAAGACGCATTGTCTTGGTTCAAGCACGAAGCAAGGTCGGCGGCCTGTCTGAGTGCGCAATGTTGCAGGCATTGTCGAGCCTCTAGGACAAATTTATTGCCGTTATATTCAGGCGTCTGAAGCAGTAGTATTAGTAGGAGACATCGGCGGAACAAATGCCCGTCTGTCTGCCTGGCGAGCCGATTTGGCTAGCCCATCGGCGTCTGAGCTTTTTGCGAAGGTGCGCGCAGCAGCCGCTCTATAACCCCGTCTTACAACACCCAATTGCTCTTCTTGGCTGAGATCCGTCGCTTAGTCAAACAATGGCTGTGTAGACCTACCCAACCGCTGACTACGACGCATTCGACCACGTCGTGGAGGAATTCCTGTCGGAGCCTTCTGTCCGCAGCAGCCCTCCCCAAGCAGCTGCGCTAGCAATCGCCGGCGCCGTCAGCAACAACAGGTGCAACATGACCAACGTGCGCTGGCTGGTGGACGGTGACGCCCTGACCGCCAAGCATGGCTTCCGGTACGACATCCCACAAACATCCCACCAGCACACACGCTTTCATACGATTCCCTGCGCTCTCTACTCCTCCAACTCCATCCTGCGAAATAACTGCTCTACCTCGCCATTTAATCACAACCTTTGCTCCCTGCCATTTCTCCTCTTTGGTCCTGCCTTCCTGGTCCAGCTGTTACTTCCCTCCCTGTTATTCTCCAACACCTCTTTTTTCTCCAACGCCCTCCACGCCCACCCCCCTAGCGTGGCGCTGCTGAATGACTTCGAGGCGGTGGGCTACGGCATCCCCGCGCTGCCGGAGGAGGACCTGGAGGTGCTCAACGATGTGCCCGTGCAGCCGCAGGTGGGGCCGGCGGGTTACGCACGGAGGGCTATGAGGACGCGCAGCAGTGCAACAGCAGCAGCAGCAGCAGCAGACCGCCAAACCCTGCCAAGCCCATGCGCCTGCTCCCAACCCTCCTTCCACCACCCCACCGCACTCCTCCGCAGGCTCCCAAGGTGGTCATGGGGCCGGGCACGGGGCTGGGTGCGGCTCAGCTGATGTGGGATTGTGGGCTGGGGGCGTACCGCGTATGGCCAGGTGGGTGGGTGGGTGGGTGCCGGGGTGCGGGGTGCGGGTGGAGCCCATGCATGGTGAGGAGGGCGGTAAGGGCTTGCAGGCGGTGGCTTGCCGCGAGTCACATGAGACAGGAGGAACACGGAACACTGGAGAGGGGGCTGCTGATCACGGCTTAGGGCTCTCTTCCCGTCACCCTCAACACCTCCACGCCTTTCCCGTCCCGTCCCCCTGCCTCCTAACCCCCAGGCGAGGGCGCCCACGCCACCTTTGCGCCACGCGGCTGGAAGCAGCAGGCCCTGGCGCAGTTCGTGACAGACAAGTACGGACACTGCGAGATTGAGCAGGCGAGCGGCCTGGGAGGGGGATGACTGGGTTGGTGTAGTGTACGGTGCATGCATGTGGCGGTGTGCCATACACGCAGGGGGGTACACCGCATCATGCCTGCATGAGATGAGGGCACGGGCGGGTGTGCGGGGCATGACACGGCAGGGGCGGTGGACGGCGGGCGAACCTGCACGAGAGGTGTTCCGGGGGCAGAAAAAGGGCAACTCAGGAGCCCCGGCCGGAGCCCCGCGCCGCTGCTACCCGTACCCATGTTTGCCTTGCCGTCTCCCGCCCGCCCGCCCGCCCGGCACTCCCTCGACCCAACCCCCCTACCCTTCCGCCGGCATGGGTTGCTACTTCCGGTATCGTTAACACGTTGGTCTTCTTTACCTTCTCTTACTCCTCCCCACCCCACCCCACCGCTGTGCTATGCTGTGCTGCGCTACGGTACCTACCGGGGTATATATCAGGTGGCGTGCGGCAGCGGTCTGGAGCTGATCTATGAGTTCCTGGCATCAGACGAGCCCGCCAACCGCCCCCACCTGCTGGCAGCAGCGGGCGCGCCGGGAGCAAAGGGAGGCAAGAAGGTAGGCACCCGCAGAGCCCTCCCCCGCCCCGCCCTGTGCTGCGATAGTGGCCATGCATACATGCATGCATGCATGTATCGGTATGTTTGCGTGTTGGAGTACTGCATGTGCTCGTCTTCTGGAGTCCCGGCCCCAGCCCACCTCACTCCCGCCAAGCCCACCTTCAGTCTACCGTGTTCCCAGTCACTCCCCTTCTCCCTCCCGTGCCTCCTTCCTCTCCCTCCCTCGCAACCATACGTCCTTCCCTCGGCTCCCGCTCTCCCTCCTCCTCGGTACCTCCTATCCTTCCGTCTCTCCCTTCCTCCCTCCCTCCATCCTTCCACCTCCTCAACCACCTCCCCCTCCTTAAACCCAGCGTGCTGCGGAGATCAGCGCCGCCGCACTGACCGGCAGCGACCCGCTGGCGGAGGAGGCAGTCGACCTGCTGTTCGCAATCGTGGGGGCGGAGGCGGGGGCCATGGCACTCAGGAGCCTGGCTAAAGGTGAGGCTGGGCGCGGCGGGTGTTGTTGGGGAGCTCTGTCACTGCATGGGAGGGGAGAGGGTGGACGGCGTGAGGTGGTGGCAAGAGGGGGGTACTGCCCGTGGTGGTGTGCTGAGGTGCATGTGCCGGGCGAGACAGGAGGGGCAGATACACAGCCGGATTAGCAAGCTCCTCAATGGGAGGGCTCATGCAAGCTACAAGTCAAGCGGTTATTCAGTTACCGGTATATTACAGCTGCCGTTGCACGTGTGCCGTCCGACGCCCGAAGCAGCTCGGAAGTCAACCGTATTCATCCGCTTGCGCTCGCTGCGTCCCTTCCCCGCTGCGTCCCCTTCCCGCTGATGGGCAGCAAGGGCCCACACACCCGGTTTACAGGGCGTCTCAACACCCCGCCCCCTCAGCTTCCCACTACCTTTCCAAGTATCACTCGTGTCACTGCTTTCCTGGGTGCCTTGCCCCGCCATGAGCCACACCTCCGGGATGTAAACTACGGTACCCATGAAACATCTACAACGTCCGCAATTCATGCGATGCTCCTACTGCTACACCTGCAAGTCTAATCGTATTCTGCTATTGAAGTCTCACTGAAGTCCCCTCATGCACATGCAAGTAGCAAAGCATGTTACCCCCTCGCCTTACCCTCACTCATCTCGCCCTTCACCACCCAACCCCTAAACCCACACCTCCCCGACCCCTACGCAACCTCCTCGCAACCCTCTTCGCACTTGACCAACCCCATCGTCTGCAACTAACTAATAACCCCACTCCACCACCACCCTTACAGCCGCTCAATTACAACCTACACCCCATCTACGGCCAGCTCCGATTGCGCAACCCCAGCCTCGTCGCCTCGCACCCCGTCCAAACCATGTTGACCATTGCAAACCATGATGACGCCGTATCACACGGTTCGTTAGTCGTTTCCTCTCTATCCCACGCCATCCCTCCTCATCCCTCCCCTTCCTTGCAGGCGGCGTCTACATCGCGGGTGGCATCACACCCAAGCTGCTGCCCCGCGTGCGCCAGGGCTCCCTGCTGGAGGGGTTCCTCATGCGGTCCGGCCGCCCGCCCTTCCACAAGCTGCTCACCCACACCCCGTTGTTCGTCATCACGAATGAGAAGGTGGGGCAGATCGGCGCACGGGAGGTGGCGAAACGGCTGCTGGCGGGGTCGTTTGGTGGCTCGTGAGGCGCGAGGAAGACACGCAAAGAGGGAGGAGCGGGAGGAGGAGGAAAGGAAGGAGGAGGAGCAGAGGGGGCGCGAAAGGGTGGTGGCGGTGCGGGGGTTGTAAGGGAAGGAGCTGACGTCCTGGATGCATATGCATACACGTCCGACCATCCTGCTAAGGAGTAGGGCCTTAGGCATTGAAGGGAGGCCATGTCGATCTAGTTTACGTGGATTGTTTTGAGTGGCAAACGGCCGCCTGCTATTCAGCAAGACGATGACGGGGCATCGTGCTGCATCTACGAGCGTAGCCGGTTACTGTTTAGGCGCCACATTGTTGCAAAGCCGAGGAACCCGAAGCTGCACACCACTACCAGCTGCAGGTAGGGGCTGTAGGGCGATTCCCGAGGTCATGTGCAGGAAGGCGGCGGGGGCGGGCATGCGCACTTGCGCAGAGGCAGGATGATTGGCGGGGCGGGGGCCCAGGAAGGTCATCAGCTAGCAGGCGGGCGGGCGGGCGGCGTGCCACCGAGAGGGTAGATGAGCAGTCGCAGCGTGATCCCGCACCCACATGTGCAGGAGGGGCGAGCGGAGCCACGGGGACCAAAGAGGGTCCTCATCCCGAACCCCACTGGCATCCACCAACAGGCTGAGCTGTTATCGGTTTGCAGCCAGCCAAGCCAGCCCTTTGATTGAAGGGGCGCTGGCAGGGCCATTTTGCAGGGCCAGTTGCTGCAGGGTTGTTGCCGTACGTCGCTGCAGGGTTCATTGCTGCAGCTGTTGCCTAGTAAAGCCGGATTGTAACAATTGTAAGGAGTTGCAAAGGCTGGCGGTGAGGGTGAGGTTGGCGCGGCTGGCCAGGATGTGAGGCAGCAGGGCCATCCCCTTCAAAGCACCCTGCCTCGGATCCTCGGGTCCATGCGGCCCAAAGCAACACGCACACACGTAGATGTTGCCCCCACAGTTGGCTGTGCTGCATCCGGATTGCTTCCCCAAGCGAGCGACACGCCCCTCCACTCCAGGATTCCGCTGCTGCTGCTATTGCTGCTGCTTCTGAACCGCCTTCGTTACCGGTATTGTTCATCCTGTGCTGCCTGCTCTGGGCGCTCTGCAACTGCAATGCTCCCGCTACTGCACCAGGGAAGAAACCGAGAGGTAACGCGCAGCCACACACACACAGGAGTTCCTGCCGTTGCTGCTGCTGCAACTGCTGCACAGTCGCAGCCCGGTCCTTCACAGCTGCCTCCCATCCTTCAGCTGTGCGGCTCGGCTGAACCGCCAGCACAGGCTGCTCCTGGACGGACGCCCCTCCTGGTGCTGCTGCTGCTCCTCGATGCTGCTCCTGCTGCTACCTCCCTGCAGCTTCCAGCCTTTTCCCTTCACCGTTCATGCACCGATACTGCCTGCCCGAATGCCTGCCAGCGGTATAGCTCTTGGCAGCACTTTCCAGCACCACTGCAATGTCTGCAAAGCGTCGTGGAAGTCGTTGTCGTCGTCGTCAACCCAGCAGCAACATGTGAGTCCATTGCGTCCTGCCTCTCGTGTTGCATGCATCGTCCGTGGCGGAGACTCCCTTTCCCGATTACGCTGCAGCCCTATTTCGCTATCAGTCATTATCTGCCGCATCCACACCTCCTCAGCTGAGACCTCAACCGTGCTGAGCAGCTGCTGTGCGGCCCCACCTGCCCTCAACATTCCCGCTGCAGCACCGCCGCCGCTACAGCACCAGTACCCCCCGCCTCCCCCGGGCTGTACTGCGTGACCTTACCCCTCTGCAGCCCAGGCGCTAGTTCTGATGCGCGGCCTGCCGTCGCGTCTTAGTACGGACTTCGTTCAGGGCTGCCCGGGCGTAAGCGATTTCGGCTCGGAGGTCGTCTACAGCGGCCTGCGGGTCCTGAGGGGCGGCTGTGGTGGATGCCGCAGGGCTTCCGGAGGAGCTACTGCTGCTGCTGCTGCTGCCAGCGGTAGACATGGAGGATGACAGGGAGTTCTGTGGAAGGAAGCCGGCAGAGGACATTTCCTTGCGCGCCAGCGCTACTACTTCTTCCTGAAGAGAGCCAAAAAATAAAGATTTCGGGGAAGGGTAGTTTGAGGCAGCGGTTAATTTGGGTCGTGGACATTGGGACACATGGGACACATGTCGCCCGAAACCCTAAGCCCACGCGCTGATGCCCACACCTGGAGTTCAGCGATCCGTTGCGGCTGCTCTGCCATTGCCTTGCTGACCTCGCTGACCACGTCTATGAGGGCCTCGTTAAGCCGCCGGTTGATAGTGACAGCCAGCGCCCGGCCATAGAAGAAAGCAGTCAGGATCTCCGGGCTAGACCCTGCACAGCAGCTCGATGTTTAATGACCTTAAAGAAGGACAGGCATTTGGTCGCAAATTGCTTTTAAGCTCCCCCGGCTGCCACACATTCATGTGCGGCCCTAGCTCACCCGAGCTGCCCCTCTGTGCTTGAACACGTACCACCGACGTCCTTCCTATGGAGCGAGATATTTGGCCTGGTCGGCGCAAGCGTGTGTGCAGTGTACTCATTTGCATTTTGGCGTTCTGACGTAACCCTAATGCACTACCCGTATAATTTCATTAATCCAATTGCACATATAAGATAAACAAACGAACGTAAGGCAAGGCCAGGCTCTCTGTTCCCGCGCCGTTCGTTATGCTGTCACGTGACAATCATCTGTAAGAGCGGAAGGCATGGGAGTCAGAGGGTTAGTGGGTTGGCTTCCACCAACAATATACTCTGTCACCAATCACCGGCAATATAACCACTGACTTTCATGATGGTATAATAGGGAGCAGCAATGCTCCAGCGGTTGCATGCTTCTCCTTCGTCGCAAGGCTATAGGCCGTTAGCAAGCGAAGCACTAAGCCATGCTTCATATGGTCACGAATCTTCGCCGCAAGTTGTTAGCTTTGAAGCGCCACCCGTGCGCACCACTACGATGAACACTTCCAAGTCATTTGGAGACCTTAAAGCTGTGCAAAGCCGCTCACGCGGCAAAAAGGGCAGGTAGGAGCTTGCGAAGGATTTGGCAAGGGTGTTGCTGACGCGGGTTCTACATGAAAGGCCTGTCATCGGCATCTTTCTTTGGACGCGCATTAGCAATAAGCGGTTCAAGCAACCTGGTTATATTTAAGGTTTAAATCGGGCCTCTCTCAGGGCAATCCGATGGCTGGTGCTGCGGGCTAGCGGCGAGCGACAGCTGTTCACGCTGGACAAGCGCCAACTCATCCAGGTAACGAATTCATGGCGTTTGATATGTTGCTGTGACAACATCTGGGGCAGAATTGGGTAAAACAATACCCAGCCCAAGTGCTGAGACCTACCATCCATTCCACGTGTCATCCCCATCCCAACCTCCATCTACCCGCCAGACCTGCCGGCTGGAGATCCCCATTCGCGACATGCGGCTCATGGACAGCGCTCTCGGCACCGAGACGCTTGCGCAGCTGCTGGTCCGCGACAACGCGCTGGTGTTTAGCATGGAGCACGTGCGCCTCATCATCATGGCCGACAAGGTACGACTGCGACTTTGTCAGCCCTTACCTTGTCAGGGTGACTGCGACCTTCCAGCTGACCAGCCCGCACCTATGAGCCATATAATCAATTAACTATTAACTACTGATTACATGCATACCCATCTGCACCCATACACCCAAACCCCTACTTTACCGCCGACGCACAGGCGGGCTGACCCCCTCCTGAACCTGCACCCATTCCCGGCAGGTGGTGGTTCCCCTGGACGAGGTGGCGCCGCTGCAGCCCTCCTCGGAGCTCAAGGACCGCTTCATCTCGCACCTGGAGGGGGTGGTAATGGACTGGGCGCTGCAGCACGGCGCGGCAGCAGCGGAGGCGCTGGCGGCGATCGGCGGCGGGGGCGGAGGTGGTAACGGCGGCATGCTGCTGTCACCTAGTACACACGCGCCGCCGCCAGGGTTTGGCATGAGCCACAACGTCATGGGTGGTGGTGGTGGTAATGGTGCTGTTAGTGGAGGGGGAAGCAGCCACCATCATGGTTTGCCGCCGCCTCCGGCGGCCGTTGTCGTACCGGTGCTGCCGCCGCCGGTGTCGGCGGCGACAGTGGCGGCGGCGGCGACGGCGCCGCCGTCGTCCATGTCGCTGCAGCTGGAGTCGCAGCAGCATGTAGGGAACAACGGCGGGAGCAGGATGCATGCCGGGCTGCGGGCCGGGGCGGTTGGTGGCGGAGGCGGCGGTATGATGGGAGTCCTTCCGGGCGGCGGCGGCGGCCCGGGCAGCGAGACGGCCTCCCAGACCGCGTTTGACCCTGAGTACCAGCCGTTCGAGATGCTGGTGCTGGAGACGGCGCTGTCGGAGGTAGGGGGGGTGTTTTAAGGATAGCTGGCCGTGAGTCGGAACGTACTGCTGTTGCCGGGTTGTGTGTTAAGAACCATGGCATGCAGGCGGGGAGAGGGGCAGTAAGGAAGAGGAGGGTAGTTGCGCGCATGCGTGACGTAGGCAAGCTGAAGGGCAGCCGGCCGCCCCCATGCGTGCCCACCGAGTGTTAACCGGACCGCTGCACTACCGCACGCTGTCCCCTCCTTCCTTCCCGGCCCCGCCCCCGCCCCCAGATCTGCACGCACCTCTCCCGCGAGGTTGACGCGCTGCAGGCCGCCTGCCAGCCCGCCCTGGAGGCGCTCATGAAGACCGCCGACACCGCCAACCTGGAAGCCGTACGGCGTGTCAAAACACACCACGCGCGCCTCGTCACCCGCGTCACGGCAACCAAGGAGGCGCTAGAGCGGCTGATGGGTGGGTAGTGGATGGGTGTTGCGGCTGAGACCGAAGGCTGAGGCTGAAGTAGTCTTCCTCCACGTTGTACTTGCACTCCTCCCTCTGCACTTGCCCCCTGCTTCCCCCTCCTGCTCCACCGCACTACCGGTACTCTTTTACGCTTCACTGTAAGGTGCTACCGGTACCCAGTTTTCCTAACCCATGTACTCATCCATCCTCCCCATCATGTAGGTGATGACGACGACATGGTTCGCATGTGCCTCACGCAGCAAGCGCACATGCGAGTGGCGGCCCTGGCAGCAGCCGCAGCGGCAGCGCATCAGCAGCAGCAACAGGACCACTGCCACCATCACCACCACCACCACCATCACGGGCATCATCACAGCCACCACCACAGCTGCCACCACAGCCGCTCGCCAGGCCGCTGCGACGCCTCGTCGCCCCACCGCGACGCAACCGCCGCCAACGGTAACGCGGAAACCCTAACCGCCGCTGTTGCGGACGGCGGCGGCGGCGGCGGCGGCGCTGACAGCGGCGACGCGGCCGACGGTGTCGATGGACTTTCCTACGACTCTGCAACTTCCCAGCCCGATGCACATCAACTGGCGATGCTGATGGGATCCAGCTTACCTGCATCGCCGTACATGCGACCTGCTTCGTTGGCCGCGGCACGTGCGGCGGTACGACACGGCGTGGGAAAGAAGGGCGGCGGCCTGGGAGAGGCGCTAGCCCTGGCGGAGGCCGCGGCGGCGGCGGCGTCGGGGGTCGGCGGCGGCGGCGTTGGGGTCTGTCCTGGAGGTGGCGGCGGCGTCGGCGGCGGCGTCGGCGGCCCTGGTAGCGGGGTTGGCGGCGGCGGCGGAGGAGCTGGGAGTGAGCTTGTGGAGCACGATTTTCTGGACGTTGAGAACTTGTTGGAGTCGTACGCCATCATTGTGGATACCACCTACCAGACGCTCATGTCAATAGGTGTGTAGGCGGTAGGCGGTAGCTGGTACTGCTGTTGCCCTGCTGCTGCGGTTCCTGTTGAGTAGCGGCATGGCGGCGGCGAGCAGCAGGGCTTCAATGGCTACCCCGACCCCCCCCCCCCACGCCACGGATATGGGATTGGGATTCGTTGTTTCACTTATATACTTTTTCCCCCCCACGCTGCCCTCTTATCTTTTGTTTTCCTCACGCTGCCTTCTGGCGCGCAGCCGACTTACACCGTTACCCTGAAGCTTTGGTATACCTCTGACCCACAAACGTTTTCCTCCACCCCCCGCATACCCCCCCCCGACCCACCGATCGAATCTTCTCCCCCCCCCCAACAGGCGAGTACATAGACGACACGGAGGACCTCATCAACATCCAGCTGGACTTCAGCCGCAACAAGCTCATCCGCTTCGAGATCCTGCTCACCACCGGTACCTTTGCACTCGCGTTCTTCAACATCGTGAGTCCTGCTTTGCAACGCCTTGGGCGCGTGGCGGTGTTGGCGGGAGCGGGGAGGAGGGAAGGGGCATGATGGGGCTGGCTGGCTGAGAGAGAGAAAAGAGAGGGAAACGGAATGAAAAGGGCTTTGCTCTCTTCTGCTGCTGTCACACCGGCGTTGGCTGCTGCGAATTACCCGCCGTGTCGTATCGTCGCACTGTTTTCGCGGCGCAGTTTACCTGCTCCCCCGTGTCTGTGTGTACTGGCTGGTGCAGGTGACTGGGGTGTTGGGAGAGAACCTTGTGCTGCCGGACACCATCACCCAGGACCTGCGGAGCTTCTTCCTTGTGAACGGCGGCACCATGGCCTTCTGCCTGGCCACCTATCTAGCGCTGGTGACGCTGTTCAAGTGGCAAAAGGTGCTGTGAGGGTGGCAAGGAAAGGTGCTGTGAGAGTGGCAACAAAAGGTGCTAAATGAGGGACAGTTACGAGGGACGGCTTTCGACGGGGGCTGCTTGCGGTAGGGATTGCTTAGGGGGGGTAAGGGCGCAGCGGTGTGGCGTGTGCGCCCCTTCCTCAGCCGGATCGCACCATCAGCAGTAGCAGTAGCAGACTGTTTAGCTGGGGCGTGGGGATAGTGAAGGGTGTAGTCATGATGCGGGGTTCCGGGCGCCCTGTCGCCATCGGCACTTGGCAACTTGCCTCGAGTTAGGGATTAGAGAGGAATAGAACACCCTGGGCGTGGAGGTGCTGCGAGCTGGGTGCAGGGTTAGGCGCGCGCGAGGTTGTCTAGGGGGGCTGCGTGGGGCTCGGAGGGGTAGAGATGGTGCGTGGTGAGTTGCAGCAGTGAAGGGCAAGGTGGACGATTAGAGGCGATGACACGTACAGCCAGGAGGGTTTAATCAGACCGAGAGAATGAAGTGGCAGGGCCTTCATTGTCCATGATGCGAAGAATGTCTTCGTTTCGTGTAAGAAGGGCGCTTGGTGTTCTTCTGATAGTTGTGCGCCTGCCGTGCTGAAACCCATACCAACAGCTTTTGCGATGAAGCGCTATTATGTTCCGTCCTTTCCTGCGACTATACTTTGCACCAACAGGGGTGGTGGTGTGTGGGTTACGGTTTGGCGGACGAACGGCGGCAGTGCTCTTTTTGTGTCTGGAGCGAGTATGTCGCCGCTGGTGATGGGCGGATTCATGCGGCTGAAGAGGGCGATATTCAAGGGCGATATTCGGGAGGACATCATGGGTGCATGGCGCTTCTCATAAGGCAGGCGCCGAAGCGGCGTTGCGGCATGCCAGGAAACGTCATCTGGCAGGCTGCTGTTTGAGCCTGTTGTGGATGTGTTGGGAAGCGCTGGTAGACCAGGCAGTACCCGACACGGCACTGCCATGGCACTGTCGGGCACGTTCTAGGGATGTCGAAGGATGTCCCTGGTAGCAGGAGCGAGGGTTAGGCGTCAGTACACTGGTTGCATAAGCATATCATGCATGCATGGAAGTCCATTAGGAAGTTGTGAATGTATGGGGGAACGAGGAGGAGGAGGAGTTGTGTGCATGTACGAGAGAGTTCCCCTTCATAGGCAGGTATGTGCGCTGTGCACTACGGTAGGTGCGTTTGCCGCCGTGTCTGGCAGCCCCGTACGTTTGCGTGTGTGTTTTGTTAATCTTGGGGGATTCCTGGGGGATTTCATAGCAGGGTGGAGTGTTGGCTGCGCTTTGCCCCGGGCATGCATGGATGTATGCTACTCCACTGTATTGCTCCTGAACTGGATGGGGCTTAAATGTGTTGGTGAAGTAATACTGGTGTAAAGCAGTGTAGGAATGGAGAAGAGAGGCGTCGGAGATTGATGCCCAGTAGATGTTGCGTAGGATGGCGGGTTACATTGATTGATTGGGTTATGTGGCAGGATGGAGACGGGGCTGCGAATGCCAGGTAAGGCAGGATGGACGTGACGTGCGGTTTAGAAGTTAACTACAAATACCTGACGGGGTGCGGCTTCGTCTTGTGCCAGCCAAACCGGTAGTATCGTTTTCTCGGCCTGATAACACACTCCGTACACCATGCGGCCAAAGAGGTGTGCGCTCCAAGGCAGGGGTGTGCTGTCCCTGTGTGGCTTGGCCGCCGGCCGCCTCAATCAACGCAAGTTTAATGGGCTTTTCCCCTGTTGCTGCCACTGCTGCTGGACTAGAGCAGGTTGGTTCTTCACGGCAGGATGTGTTACGAGAACTGGCCGGGAGTCGGAACGTACTGTGATGGCCGGAAGCTGAAGTCCCGACAGAAACTTGGCGCGCCGTGTGTGTGGGGCTTATGTATCTTGTGGGCGGTGTTAGCGAACCGGTATATGTTCTTCCTGCATGCAACAACACACCACCACATGGCCTCCAACCAGCTGTCCGTACGAGCTTGGCCGTAGAGCCAAGTATTGAAACTTGCCCAGTATCCAAGAAGTGCGCTGTAATCACAGCGTAAGAACGCCCGCTGGTAACAAGGCAGCCACTGTTATGACAGGTGCAGCTGTGTGCGGTGATGAGAACACAGGTGCCGTGCTCTCGCTGCCGCCACCGCCTGCCTTGCCGCCTACCTCTCCTAGCCCTCCACAACATCTTCCACCGCGTCTTCAACACTTCTCAGCAACTTCGCCCTTTACACCAACCATCCGCCGACATTTCACCTCGTAGCTCTACTCCACATCCAGCAACGCAGTAAGGAAACAACGGCATGCGTCCTGACTTCGTAATCAGTACTTTGATTATAAATCTTAGTATTAAAAACAATTGCCTAAAGCTGAAGCAGAGTCCGCCTGACGACCTTTCCCTACCTGCCAACCCCAATCTTCCAATCCGCCTGCTACCCAGCCACGCCACTTCCTGCAACCGCAGCTGCAGCAGCAGCCTTCGCCTCTTCGCGCGCCCGCACAATCGCTGCGATCGCCGCCTCCGCCTCCGCCGCCTGCCTTGCCTCCCCACGCTCCCTAGCTGCCCCCTCCGCCACTTCCTGCGCCGCCGCAGCTGCTGCCGCTTCAGCCTTCGCCACTTCATGCTCCCATACTCTCACCGCAATCGCCGCCTCCGCCGCCACCGCCGCAACAGCTTCCGCCGCCGCTTGTAACGCCGCCGCCGCCGTCTTGACATTTTCACGCGCCCGCGCATACTCCCTCTTCCTCTCCCCTTCTCCCAGCCCCACTGTCCCCAGGTATAACGCTTCCGTCCCCGCAGCAGCAGCCGTGGGGGCCCCGCAGATGTGGCATGTAGTGGTGGTGCTGCGCGGGGGGGTTTGCTCCGCAGCAGCAGCAGGTACCGCCTGGGGTGCAGTGCTAGGGTAGCTGCTCTGGCTCTGAGCACCGAACGGCAGGTGGGTGAGGCGTTGGGGAGGAGAGAAGGAAATGGATACCGGTAAGCCAAGGTGAAGATGAAGGGAGTTAGGAGCGCGGACGGGAGTAAGGTGGTGAGCGGGTGAGGTGAGGAGCATAGTTTTCACCCACCAAACCACGCATTAACCCCCGCTTTTCTAAATTCCTTCCCTCCTGCCCCCCACTCCCAACCTCCACTTACCAAACTGCTGTTCGTGGTCTGGGAGCCCTGAGCTGTTAGCCATGCGACCAAACATCCCTGTGAGATCACCCAGACCACCCCCATGACCATCACAGGCCGGGTCGCCAATAGGTGCATCAGTTCCGCACACCAGAGCCCCACGCCCAGAGAAACGAACCCGATTCTCAGACCTCCGGCCATCTGTTTCCCCACTTCCAGAAGCATCGGCGACCAGTCGGAAGGGTTGCCGGAGGGGACGCCGGGGTCGACTGCTCGAGCGGAAGGGGAGAAGAGAACAGAACAGGGCGGTAAGCTGATTCGAGGAAGGTGCTGCGATGCTTATAGGCGCTGGGGAAGTGAAGCACCGCACAGGATGACAAAACCCACAACTTTCACAACTGCCGCCGCCAGTAGCGTTGCGGAGGTGCTAGTAGCGCGCAAGGTGTTAGGTGGCATGTGCCGCTCATGCCCCCCTGCTGCTGGTAGCTACAGCACTGCTGACCCGTGGGTCAGCAGCTGGCCCACGCTGCAACGACCCTTCGGGGGGCAAAGTCCCCTTTCCCGCACCCGCACTCACTCACCGGTGGTGGTGGGACCAGGAGTGCGGTCGCCGACCTGCGGGGGTTGGGGGAAGGGGACGGAGTGGAGCTGGGAAGCGCGTGTTGCTGCGTTGGTTAAGGCGGCGGTTGCAAGGAGATTTACCCTAGCATCGGCAAGCCACGGCCGCCTGCTGTCAGAAGAGTATCACCAGCAAGGGCATGGCAAATAAACAAACCGACGTGCGGTGCATGAATGAGATGCGCAGAAGAGCTGCGTCAATTGTGCCCTCAAGATTCCCCGAATGCTCCGCCGACCCCACCAACCCGCGCACATACCGTACCCACCGTCTCAAGCGGATGATGGGCTGATACCCGCTTAGGCGCATTAGCGGATACCCGCCTACGGTACCTGACAGTAACATGCGCCCGTTCCATGTTGGCACGATCGGGTCTGAAGCGGCGGCCTGGAGGGCGGAGAAAGGAGAAGGGGAGGGGACGAGGCCGCTGGAGAATGGCAACCCCCCGTGTTATTAGTGCTTCCGAATGCGCTCACTGCATGAGTCGGGATATGGGATTGGGATTTGTTGTTTCACTTTTATATAATTTTTTCCCCCCAAGGGACTGTCCCTTTGCCGCACACGCACGCACGCACTCACCGGAGGTGGTAATGGCGGGGCTAGCTACTGCTTCGGGAACCCAGGTTCTATCCATCCACCGGATATCAACATGTGGGCGCGGCGGGGGAGGAAAGGGATTAGGCGGGGATAAGAGGGAGGAGTGAGGGAGGAAGGAAGTGAGGAGAGGCAAGGAGTATGGGATCCGGGTCTGGTTGGGCTATACTTCTGGCCTATTGGCTACTGTACCAGACTTTACAGTAGATCACCATGCGAATGGGAATCTTGGCAGTTGTAACACATATGTATGTCTTTATCATGCCGTGTCGTCACCCACCACCCCACGCATTCACCCCCGCCTTCAAGACCCCTGCCCTCCAGCTCCCCACTCCCAAACCCCATAAACCCCACATACCGCACTGCTGCCGCTCCTCAGCTTCGAGCTCTGAGCTATCAGCCATTTGACCGCATATGCCAGCCAGACAAACATGGCGATCCCCGTTGCGATCCAAGCCCGGGCCTTATAGCTGACAAACCCCGAAACCCAATATCCCGAGGTCATCCCTATGGATAGCACTTTCAACGCTTGCAGCACTCCCAGAATCGTCGACATGGGGTCGGAAGGGAGCAGGTCGCCGGAGAAGTCGCGGGGGCCGCCTGTCGGCGAGGAAGGGGAGAAGAGAACAGGGCGAGCTGTAAGGTGCTCTTAAGAAGGCTGCAAAAAGGAATAGCGCTGGGGCATTGAAACGGTCCGTGATGACAAACCAAGATGACCTACTACCACCATCGCCAGTGTTGCGGAGGTGTTATTGCTGCGTACGGCGGCAGACGGCTTGTGCCTCTCATGCCCCACTGACAGCATTGATGACCCGTGGGTCAGCAGCTGGTCCACGCTGCAACGACCCCTCGGGGGCAAGTCCCCTTTCCCGCACGTGCACTCACTCACCGGTGGTAATGGGGCTAGGGATGATGCCGGGCGGCTGCGGGGTGGTGGGGCTGGGCGTGCGGCTGCTGACCTGCAGGGAGGGGGGCAGCAGCGGCTGGGTCCATCCAGTGGGTTGCTTGGGCATGCAGGAAAGGAGGGTTGCAGTGAAGAGGGAGAGGGCCTCAGAACAGCAATAAGGTTGAAGCGGCCGACCCCAAGAACCTGCGCACGTACCGGTAACCTCTCTGGCGGATCAGCGGATTCTGTCTGAGGCGGTTCTATGTTGGCGCGGACGGGTGTGAAACGGCTTCCTGGCGGGTGGTGGGAGAGGACGAGATGGACGACATGCATGGCGGTTGCTGGGGGAGCGGTCAGGTCATCAGGAAAGGAAGGGTTCAGGCTTCAGGGGTAACACGATTGCCCAAAGCAGCACAGGAAGCAGGGATTATGCGACGTCCGCGACTGACGACAGAGGTCCAAAACCGGTGCCGAGCCGGAATGCGTTCAATAGCGTCCCACCTGGGCGAACAATGGGTAAAGACGATGCCCTACTTCGCTGGAAAGGAAAACTGCATGCTTTTATTTATTGCTGCTTGAAAGGAAAGAGTGTGACCCACCCGAGCTGCTGAGAGGAGCCGGCGCCGCAGCTGTCCGCAGCAGCGGGCGGGCCTTGTCAAGCTGAGCAGCACGGCAGACGCCCGGGCGGGAAGGTTGATTAACCGCAGTAGCGACCATCCTTAGCTATCGAAAAGAAGCGGAAGAAAGCTTGTTGCTTGCGGCCTGCTCCTCGAGCATTCAGGCTTAAAAGTCTGTAAGGTAGGCAGGATAATGGAGACGTAGTGCGGTAGCGCATAGACTAAGGCGACGTGGCTCGCGAGCTACACGGGTGAAATAAATGCAAGCGACAAGATTCGCCAGAAGCGCGTCAAAACCCATACTATCTAAAACCTACTTTGGTCGTCGCAAGTATCAAAGCGATATACACTACCGGTATCTGCGATAATGCTTTGAGGTAAAACATAAATAAGGAGGTGTTGTTATGGCAAAATGCCTGAATGCGATGCCAGTTTGAACTAGCGTAATAATTGCAACAAGCAACCAAGCTTATTTAATTGCTTGGTGCAGAACATATGTTGCAACCTGCGCTAAACGTATGAACTATAGATGCGAATTTTATATGAGGGCTTGAAAATATATAAACGGTTGCGAGCTGCTTATTCTCGCGCAGGGGACGCATGGCGTACGCCGCTCTCGGCTGTACAGCACCAATGATGATGAGCTAGGAGGCTGGCCAGCGCCCATAAAGCAACTATCCTAGTAGCGGATAAACATATTGACTAAAGGAAAAAGGTTTTTACAAACTCAAATTCTGTACGGTGGGTCTCAAGGTTTTCCTGGCACCCAGAGCATCATACGCTTATACCCGGACGCTTGGTGGATACCGGTAGTGTTAACCTTGTAACCTTCCTCCCTACTGCGGTTGTAACCCCAAACCAGCCATCCCTACTCGAAGGCCGCAAGCGCATGGGTGCCAATGGATAGGCTTGGGAGGTTTGGAGTCTGCTGGTCCCTAAACCCCTTGCCTTGGGCCATGAACAACCCCAACCTACGGCACATCCCCTAGCTATGTCCGCCCCCAACCAGGCCCCTCCGTCCCACCTATCCCCCAAACCAATCCTTCTCCTCCCATCACTTTTACCGCGACCCCTTCAAGCTCTAATTTTTTAGGGTTTGTCTTGAATGTTCTGAAACAACTTTAACCGCCATGAGTAACCCTTGTAATTTGCTTTATATATTACCACGGTACCCTTACCTTTGATGTGCGCGTGGCATTAAGAACGAAAGATATGGAGTAAGGAGCCAAGGCACCTGCTGAGCCAGAGCCGGCGTGTGCAACGCACTTTAGGCAGCCCCAGCTAGGGCTTTCAAAAGTGACCCACGGGTCAGCGGGCCGTACAAAGGGGCAATCGGTCGTCCCAGCACGTGGCGCCATTGAAGAGGGTCGTACTAGTGCTTGTATTGCAACACGTTCACAGCAGGAATGCATGTGTCAGTTCTTATAGGTACGCATTTAGCACTGGGGCACGAACGGTCATTCATTCATTCTGTAAATAGGTGGGGGCGGCAGCACGCACTGCACTGTTCTTCCTGCATTCAACCACGCACCGCATGGTTTCCGTCCAGTTGTTCGTCCGTACAAGCTGCTGTCACCCCAGGACAAATGCAGTCATGTGCCGTCGCGCTATGGATGCCAGCACACAAAAACATTAGCCGTGTAGCTAAGCGCCAGGGCCCATCATGGCTTACAAAGCGTACCTCTTAAAGCATTCCCAAGAAGTCCGCTGTAACAATAGCATAGTAGAGCCCGCTGGTAACAGGGCAGGCAGTGCGGATGCTGGCGGATGACCGTTACCTCTTACCCACGCTAAGAGTAAGCGCATTTAAAATAGGTGAGCTCACCCCCGTCCTCGGTTGTGCTGGCTGCTCCACTGTATCAGGCCGGAAGCCGTGGAAGTATCCCAAGAAGACTGCAGGACAATGGTACGGCAAGCATACCTCAAGACCGCTCCAAGCAAGCTTGGGGCCTATATGCCCCAGTTTTCGTTGTACGTGTAAGGCCTTATATCGTAATCTACAGAATAGGAGAAAAACTGTGGACCCATGCACTGTCTGCATCATGACTACGACAAAAAGTCAATACCGTTGCCTGCATCATGTACGCCAATATACACGGCAGACCACATCCATATCTCATAATGGTTACTGTTATTCTTTCCTTGTATACCGTGTGCTTGACAATGGAGTGCTGTTAGTTCCCAAGCCACGGAAATGCCATCCATGTCTAATTGCAAGCGCAGGGTGCCGCCCAGAACGGTGGTCAGGAAGACGAAGTGAACTCCCAGTCGCGCCTCCAAGATTCTGCAAATCCCTTGTTTGGCTACCTCTACCCGTACGACGGTCGTCATCCCATTCGCGTTATCGCTGGACGCAGATAACTAGTTCTCTACTTTGCTAATATAAGTAAAGACTGAATACCACATGGCAGAGCATAATATACCTCTGCTTTATTTCTTCCTGAGAGCGTTCATTTGCAGTAACCAATATGCGACTGCGCATGTTTGATTGTCTCCGAGGCTCTTCTTGTCTTGGTGATAATTGTAATGAGCCGCAAGTTGTACTTCAGCACCTTGACTTAACCCCAGGCTTCGGCAGCCAAGGTTCCACCGCCCGTAAGGTAATTATAACCTTCAACCTTCGCTGCATATGCCACCATCGGAATTATATCTTGGCGTATTTCTCCTCTCTCAGCGCTGTTTGGGTGTAAAGACGATTTTATCACACATGCGCAGGCGCTCGACCAAATACAGGTTGGGCTGTTAAGCCTCAGCGGTAGCTGGTTCACCTGCGTTACAGGCTTGCTTCAAGTCTTTGAGGATAGAGGCGTTGTTGCCGAGTAAGAAAATTTGGAGGTGGCCAGGGCTTTATCACGGTGACGCCCATCTTAACCTGGTTCTCACTTTGGCCGCAGCCTCTATGGTGTTTTTGAATATGGAGTCGATGACCCAGATTTTGTGCTTCTGTCCCCGGGGAAGCCCGCTCAATCGGAGTGCTTGGGCGTGGAGAGAAAGGCGCTCTTACGCAAGATGCACAGTACGCAGGTAGGCTGTTACTAACAATGTCTTATGTTGCAAGGGTGCCATGTGCTCTGAACGACGACTGATATTAACCACCGACCCTGTACGTACTACCAAACGAACTTTCCTTGCAGGGACCGGTTACTCAGCAGCTGCCTGCCGTGAACAGCTATACCAATCAACATCAACCGATCCGAAAGCGTTCGCCCGTGCATCGGGTCGTAGCCGCCGTGCCCTTGCGCCATGGCAACAAGGTCATCGGTGCCCTTCTACTGGAGGAAGGCAGCTTCCCACCACAGCCGCGCCAACTTCACCTACTTTCACCCAAACAGCAGTTGGCCTCTCCACCATCTCCCAACCACGACTCCGCAGCCACTCTCCCGCAATCATCCTCAACTTCAGCCACGTTAGCATCTGCCAAGCTGCTGCTTAAAAGCGAAGACGCTCTCCGGCAGCTAGCATTCACGGCCTCCATATGCTTGGCAGGACCCATGGCAACACCCACAGTAGGTCCTGCTAACCCTGCGAACTCCAACATCCCAACCGCAAATGCCATCGTCGCCACCGCAACTTCCACGACTGCTGCAAGCCCGGCCGCTGCTCCAGACAACACCAACATGCTTGTTTGGCTATCCGCAGCAGTCGCTCGGCTGCGCGCTGCACCCAGCATGTCCGCCCTAACAGCCGCGCTTTGTGGAGCAGTCGCGTCACATGTCCGGCGGACATTCATTGTAGATGCCCAAGCCAGCGCTGCACTAGTGCCGCCGCCGGGCCCGGACGCCTCAGTAGCCCTCCTGTTCAGGGTGCAGCAGCAACACCATCAGCACCCTGGCTTGCAGCAACAGGGGCTGGGAACGACAGCAGGCGGCGCGGGTGCCGGTATCGGGGACAGCGGAGACAGCGCGGAGGCTGCATATGCTGATGTGGCGGTGGGGGTGGGAATACCCATCCCGGGCGCAAACGGTGGCATGATGGGATCAATGTTGGTGGGAGGTGGAGGTGGCGGTGGAGGAGGAGGAGCCGGAGGGGGCAGCTGGAGGTGTCGACGGCAGTCCAGCCTGCTGTCTCGGATGTCGCAACCCATAAATGCGCCGGTGGTACCCGCGACGCCCAACTCTGTTAACGCATTCACATTCAAGTGAGGGAGGGCATGAGTGGGGAGTGCACGGGGGGCTTTGAGGGAAGGGAAAAAGTGGTCCGGGTTGGGTTCGAAAGGTGATATGGGGAGGCAAGCTGCCTCCCTCGTCATTACTTGACCTGACGACATCTGCAATCCAGCTTAGGCAAGCAGCCGGGACCGGGGGCCCTGGACCAACGCAACTCTAGCACCCCTCACACTCCCTCCCTATCTGCCTCCCTCTTGCCCTTTCCCTCCCTCTTGCCATCACCTGCTCTCCCCCTCACACCCATCTTTCCCAACCCCTCCCCCGCCGCTCCGCCTCCAAGAACCCCACACGGCGAGGACCCGGGCAGCGCCACGCGCCTCTTTGCGCGCGGCTCCCATGCCGATCCCCTCACGCGTCCCACCAACGCCAGCAGCCGCCATGGGGAGGGCGGCGGCGGCGGCGGCGGCCCCATTGTCATTCCCCTCAGCGCCGCCCGGGCTGCTTCCTTCACCGCCTTGGGTCCTGCCGCGCCCGCCCTCCACGCATGCGCTTTTCCACTGCAACAAACCCTGCTGCAAGCCGTGCTCGACGACAAGCTGCAGCAAGAGCAACAAGCGCAGCTACAGCAACAGGAGGCATCAGTTGTGGATCCGTCGAAGGTGGTTGTAACGGTAGCAGCAACCGCAACCGTCGCTCCCCAACTGCCACCAACCACCACACCCCAGCTCTCCGCCGGTATCGTGGAAGACACGCTGACCTACGTCCAGAACGTGCACAGCTGCTCACGCGACGTGTGCCTGCTCATGGGCTCCCGAAACACGACTATGCGGGGGGTTCTAGGAGGCGCCAGCGGCCGCAGCGCCTTCCTCGGAGGCGGCGGTGGCGGCGGCGGCATCAGCGCCGCCGTCGCCAGCGGCGGTCTGAGCGGCAGCGGCGCCAGCGGTGTGGCCCCCAACGCGCCTCAGTCGTTGGTGCTGCTGACGTTGCCGCTGGAGGAGGGGGCGGCGGTGGGTCTGTACTTGTGCTTCCCTCGGCGGCTGCCCGCGGCGCTGCTGGAGGCGGTGCGGGGGAGCTGCCAGGAGCTGGTGGACCAGGTGTGTTAAGAAAACTGGCCGCGAGTAGGAACGTACTGGGATGTCGGAAGATGAAGTCCCCACAGAACCGCCGCAGGTGTGTGTGTGTGTGGGGGGGGGGTAAAGACGAAACAACTAACGAACCGTGAGATAAGGCGTCATCATGGTTTGCAACATGTGAGCCAGCCCGACCTGCCCAGCCCAAATCTGCCAAGCCAGTACGATGAATGGACTTACCGAAAAGGGGGTGTGGGGTTAGGGTGGGCAGGGTAGGTAAGGGAAGTCCCATGCAAGGGATGCAACTGATGGCGGTAAGACACGGAAGGAGATTGCTACACGTTATGAATGAGCGTGGCTGGTGGAAGTAGGGGCGGGAAGGTAACGGCATCTGGAGATCACCTAGCTCACCTGTTCCCTCCTTTCTTGAACCAGCTTAAACCCCTCCAACCAACCAAGGCAAATTCCCCTTCTTCCCCTTCATCTGCCTCTCTGCCTCTTCCAATCCCACATCCCGTGCTCACCCCCACATCCCACTCACTCGCTCAGGCATTCGGGGCCGTGGTTCGTGACAAGCTCCGAAACTCTCTCGCGGCCGAGTACGACACCCTTAAAACCGCATCTCCTGGATCCTACGCCGTCGTACGGGGTTTAAATCCAACTGAGGAACTTATCGCTGCTGCCGCCGTGGGCGGCGGCTGTGGCGGCCTCGCCTCAGGCACCGGCGGCGCCGCTGCTGCGGGCATGCTACTGGGTTCCTCGCCTCCTGTCGCGCACGGACCCGTGGGTCGGATCGCCTCTGTTGACTCTTTCTGGCGGCGGAAGCTAATGGTGCCGCCGCACAGGACGTCGGGGAACAGCCTGCTGTCCACCGCGGATGTGCAGGACTGTGGCGGAGGCGGTGCGGGCGGTGGTGGAGGTGGCGGCATGGGATCACCGCAGCAGCGGAAGGTCATGGTGGAGAGGCTGAGAAGTGAGGGGGCGCGGGCCGCGGTTGGGGAGGGAAGGCGGTCAGGGAGGCGGTTTGTCGGAAGACCGTAGGGTAACCATAGTTGCCTTGTGAGTTGGCCTTGTATTCGCCGCCGCCTGCCAAACCCCCACGCTCCCTTTCCCCACACTCCGTACCCCTGCTCCCCAATGCCCCAGGCTTCGCAATGGCTCGTCGAGCATCCCTCAGCTACGACGCCTCCCATGCGCGCTCTCCAAGCTGTCGTACCATGGCCGAGCGAGCCGCCATGGCTGCCGCCGCCGCCAGCGTCGGCGGCAGCCCCGGTGGGGGCCCCATGGGCGGCTGCGGCGGCGGCATGCATGGCGTCGGCACCACCACAAGCGCCGGCGGTGAAGACATGCTTGACTTGCTGCTGGGGTCCTTCAACAATGATATGCTGTCGTTGTTTGGAACCAGCGGAGGAGGAGGAGGAGGGGGCGCTGCGGGTGCAAGCGGTCCGCTTCCGGATGGCCGAAGCGCCAGCATTATAACGGTGACGGGCGCGGAGCCGGGGAGTACGGCAGCACGACAGCAAATGGATCTGTTGGTTAGTTCGTTGCAGACGACGTTACGGGCGTCCGTGGCGGGGTACGGCACCAGGTGGGTGCGGTACAGGCGGTTGGTGTGGCAGTTACAAGACACGTGTTGACGGTTGGTTGTCGTTATTCGTTATACTCACACTCACCTCCTCTTGATCCTTCTTGGCACTCGGACCCCCATGGTTCTTACTTCCCTCTCTACACCCCCTCCGCTCACGCAGCGCCACCTTCGCATCCGACCTTGAGAACCTGGAGCTGATGGAGGTGCTGGGGCGGGGCGGGGGCGGGGTGGTGCTCAAGGGCCTACTCAACGGCTCGCTGCTGGTGGCGGTCAAGGTGAGGGGGGAGGGTGGGAGGGAGGAAGGGAGGAAGGGAGGGATGGGAAGTACCGCTACCCTATCCCCCGGTTCACACATCCTTCACCCCGCTTCTATCCACCCTTCCTCTCCCCAGCTCATGGAGTTCCCCGAGGACGATGATGAGGACGAGACCTCCCAGCCCGACAACGCCACCAACCGCCAAACCGGCAACAAGGGAACTACTACCGCCAACGGTGCAACCGCCAACGGCGGCGCAGCTGCAGCTGCCCTCAAGCGCCGGCCCGCGCCCTCCAAGCAGCTCAAGACGCGACGGGAGCTGCTGCGCAATGCCATGGAGCTGGCGGTGCAATCGGCGCTGTCGCACCCCAACATTGTGCAGGTGGGTGATCACTGATGAGGGCGGGTGGGTTAGGACTATTGGTGGGTGTTTGTTGAGATGAAGTGAGGCGCGTCAAGCAGCCTGTAGATGGGTGGGAGGGTGTGAACAGTAGGAGTGTATACACTTTAGTTAGGGGTGTGATTGTTGGCGTTGATGTCGTAAAGGAGGGAAACGGTGGGTCCCACAGCCTTTGGAACCCTGCCTGCTACTTCTGCGGCCGGCGGGAACGCTTGCTTGCCTTTAAAATGCCGTTCCGCTAGCTGAACAACCTGAGTTCGATGCCTCCCTTCCCTGCCCTCTCCCTCCGGCCCTCCACACACCCCCTCCCCGCGCGTCTTCGCCGCCGCTCTTCAACCGCCGCGTCACGTCGTCGCCCGTCCCCCGAAACATCGCCATCTCCATCAACAGTTCTACTCCACCTTCAATAACGTGGTAAGCAGACACCGGACATGCGCCCATGCGCCCCCGGCCTTTTGTCTTTTGCCTTCGCCTCCTCTTTAGAAAAGTCCTGAAGCTGCTGCCAAACCCTGCACCTCCCGTTGCCGCCCCGCTCCCTGCTGCCCCTTCCCGCTCACACCCACCCACCCACCCTCCCGCTCCCCACCCATCCCGGCCCCTCATTCCTCATCCTTAGGTGCTTCGCTGTCGCAACCAGGGAAGCAACCGGGGCAGCACCCAGAGCGGCACCACAGCAGCACCAGGCACAACCACGGGGGCAGCAGCAGGGGCAGGCGGCGGTGGGGTTGCTGCAGGTGCTGGTGGTGGTGGTGGTGGGGGTGCCCAGGTGCTCAGCACCGACCCACGTGCGCTGTACCTGCAGGTGGTGCCGCACTCGGAGCCGCTGGGTGAGAGAAGGCGGGGGGGAGAGGGGCGGAGCAGGGAGGAGGAGGAGAGAGGGGAGAAGGGAAAATAGGTAAGTAGTGAGGCGACTGGGGTCCCATACCCAATCCCATACCGGTATATCCCCGCTCGTACCCCCAACTCCTAACACCTGCATCATACCCCCACCCCGCCCGCTCCCTCTCTCCCCCAGGCGAAGACGAGGCGCGGGTGACCTGCATTCTGGCCGAGTACTGCGACGCCGGTTCACTGGCTTCCGCCCTGCAGGCGCGCACCTTCCCCCGCCTGACCCGCTCCCCGGTTGTACCCGCCTCCCCCGGCCGCCTGCCCTTCATGTACGACATGAAGGGGGTGTACATGACACTGCTGGATGTGGCGCTGGCGTTACGGCACCTGCACTCGCTGAACCTGGTGCATCGAGGTGGGGGGGGAGGTGGAGGGGGCTTGGGGGGGCGTGGATGTTTGTTAGGGCGTATGGGGCGCTCCTTTGTGCTGCGGCGCAAGCGGAAGGGAAAGGCTAATGAGGTGCTGTGAGAGAATGGACGGGGGAGCGTGCTTGCATGGTACGGTACTTGCCTGATAGCTGGTTGATGACTGGGACATGCCCTTGAGCACTTTCTTGCCGTGCTGACTGCTGCTGCTGCTGTTCCGCTCCACTTCTCTCCTCGTGCCGCTGCCGTACAACACAGACATCAAGCCGGCCAACCTGCTGCTCAAGTCCAACCCCCGCGACCCGAGGGGCTTCACCGTGAAGCTTGCGGATTTCGGCTTTGTGATCAACCTAACGGAGGTGAGTGGTCGAAAGGCGGCGGTGGGCGGGGGGCTGTGGGGTCGGCGGCCGAAGGACGTGGAAGGATGTGTATCCCTCGTGGAAGGATGTGTATCCCTTTCCACATCCTTTCCTCACCCACCTCCGCTCCATGCACCCGCAGACGGCGGACGACGGAACGCCCATCGCTCTGGTGGACCAGGCGTGTGGCACGTGAGTGGCGGGAGGCTGGCTATTTGGCTAGCTAGCTACCGTACCTTGCAGTCCTGTGCCTGACACGGCGCCCAACACGAGTTCTTTGCAGTGTGTGGTCTCGCTTTCCTAACGTGCAGTCCTGGTTGCTCCTCCCTCACAACCTCGCGACCAGTTTTCTTTCTTATTAGGCTATTTTTATTATCGCTTTTTCACCAAAAGGGTTCCTCTTTGTCCCTCCCTCCTCCCCAGGGTGACTCATATGGCACCCGAGTGCATGCCCGGCAGTGAGTCTGAGTTTAGGGGTGGAGATGGCGGTGGGACTGCGAGAGTCACGCGGTTGTGCACCGGACCTTGTTGTTGGCCCCTAGGCCTCTATACTCGGTATCAGTTGTGGATTTATCCTCTGCCAAACTGCCCGCTCGAATGTGTCCTCCCCAAACTTCCGCGATCTGATTGCCGTACCGTATTTGCTTTTTGTCGTGCGGGGGGCTCTGTGTGCGTCCCGCCGCTTACCGTGCATACATAACCCGCCTACCGCAGAGGCCAAGATTGATGCGTCCGTGGACATCTACAGCTTTGGCATGTGGGTCCAGAGGCTACCGTTTTCATACTGGGGGATGTGTATCGTGGGGATGTATGCAGGATTGTTTGTTGGGATCAGGTGATACTGCAGCTGGGGGTTTCAGACGAGGCCCCTGTCGTAAGGCCACGCTGCTGCTCCAAATGCTGCTGTCACTGTTGCTGCTTCAAATGGTGATGCTGCAACTGTTGCTTCACTGCATGCTGCTGCTGCTCCTAACGCTGCTGCTGTTGCGTGTCGCCGCTGTCATCATCATCGCAGACTGATGTGGGAGCTGGTGTCGGGGGGCGACCGCCCCTTCCCCACCGTGCACCCGGACAAGATCCCGCGCCTGGTGTACAAGGGGGCGCGACCCTCCTTCGCGGAGAACGTGCCGCTGCCGTACCAGTGAGTGCACCATGCGACATTGTTAATGTGTATGTGCGTGTTTTGTTTGTTTGTTTTTAGTTTCCTTCACACACGTGCGTTTCTTTTCTGTCATCGCGCACCTACCCTGTCGCCTCTAGGACAAACACACACACGTTTGTTTGTTTTCTGAACACACGTGTTTGTGCTGCGCAGGACGCTTGCCAAGATGTGCTGGCGCACCAACCCCGCACGTCGCCCCCGCGCCGCTGAGCTGGTTTCATCCATCGCCTCGCAACTCCAGTCGCTCACGTGACAAGCAACACAACAAAGACACGGTCAAGTTAGTAAGCCTTACTCGTGAGACATCGGGTGTGTTAAAATAACTGGCCGCGAGGTGAAACGTACTGTGATTGCCGAAAGATGAAGTCCTCCCACCGAAAATCGGGTGTGTGTGTGTGTGTGTGCCATTACTGCGCGTGCCATCGCAGTGTATTGTCTTGTGCCGACGGGTGGTGTCGCTGGGTGCAACAGCCCTTCCTGGGTATGGCTGGGCTGCAAGAGGCTGCGATGAGAGCGAAGGGAGTTGGAAACGAACGTTTGGAAAGGGATGAGGCTGGCGTGATTAGAGCGCGTCATGATGGAAGGAGGCAGCATGGTATGTTACAAAGCAGAAGAAGAAGCGATGAAACAGAAGAGCTGTGATGCAGAGTGGGGCATGAGCGTTCCTCAAAGGCGGTTGTGGCGGCAGTGGCTTTTTATGACGTGTGGAAGGCACCTTATGCTGCTGTGATTGGGGTTGTAGTGGCATTGGTGTTGTGGTAAAGTGTGGAGAGGGGAGGGCGGGGGAGGGGGAGGGGGGTTCCCAGTGTGCTTTGGGAGCTGCCCTACCTGCCGTATGGCATTAGGAATGAAGCCTATTAAGGTGGACAAGCATACGGTATTACTGCCGCTAAGAGCTTAGTTAGGCAATGGATCGTCGTGGATGTCAAGGAAAGGGATGTGCTTGCCGGCGAACAAGGGGGCGCGTTGTGTGGAAACTCCTCTCTAGGTAGCCGCCGTACCTCCTGTCATGCTTTCTGTCGTGATTTCTGTCGTGCTTTCTTGAACATGCAGGCGTGGTGCTTGCACAATTTTATACCTTTCGAACAAATGAATGAAAGCTCGGCGTGTTATCGCCAAGCACACGATACAGACATGCGCACCGCCTTGCGCGTCGGAGGGGCACAGGTTGACCCTCCAAGCTAGCTGTCCTGAAGGTCCTGAGAGATTGGGAGGATGTGACCATTAATTGCCGTTAATGTCCGACAGTTAAGCAACCGGCAGTCGTACCTTTTCAACAATGTGTGTATTTGCTTTCTCATGAGTGGCCGTATTTCGGGTGTGGTGTATGTCGTACAAGCACACGTGGGGGTTCATGTGATGCCGTACGGTACGGTTGGAAGCGTACGGGAACCGTACGACAGAACTGTACGAAAGCCTGGTATGGAAGCAGCTGTTTTCTCCTTGCTAACTTGCTGTTGCCACTATTACTGTTGTACTGCAGCTGCTGCGACCACTGCTAGTACTGATACCATGTATGTTTCATGGCCTATTTCCACAAGGCCACATGGGCTGGTTTCTCCTGGGGAGTTGGCTTACCCGCGGGGTGTTGTCTTGCCAGCCAGTGTGTGATAATTGTGAGGCGCGCCTTTGCTTTTGCTTTCATTTGGACGGGCTCGCGGTTTTATGTTGCGTTCATTGTCCACGCGAACGAGGGAAGAGCGCCTGAAAGGTTTTACTCGTGCCCAGCATTGGGGCAAGTCACAGGCGTTACGAGGGCGCGTGCTTCTCCTGGTCAGAGTCCTAAGTATTGGTTGGCAGTTAGGTTTTTCTTACTTTTACCGAGAAGGCAAGATGTGCACGCTTTCATCGGAACTCCTGCACCTCCTGTGCGTAGGGCTTGCATGGTTTGCTTATGTACGGCGGGTAAGCCTGTGTGGGGTTTTGTGGTGGATTTTAAAATCCCTACCGCACAATGCCGTACAAACCGTATAACGTGCTAGGGGTGAAGAGCGGGGCAAGAGAGGGATGTGTCACATGCTGTATTCCATCCATCGCCGTACAAGATGTACAAGGCGGGGGTCGTTGACTGCGCAACGGACGGTACAATTTTGGCAAAGGTAGGATGGAAAGAGAGAGCAGGGGATGGAGAAAAGAGTAGAATTACCGTACCTTCGGGTGATCATCGCGCAGCCCCATTAGATGGAATTATTTTTCAAGCTCGCGCAGGGGTGTCAGGAATTATTTTTCAGCTTCGCGCAGCTCATGTCCACCACTGCATTTTGACTGAAAGAACCCATCCATGTAAGCCCAGATCGCCAAAACAGGTATACAAATACCGCTATGTGTTCCATGGGGCATACTAGCATGCAGCCCGGGGCTGGGCAGCGGAGCTGACGGGGTGCTGGGGCATGTTGGGGGTGCGGGGAAGGGTCCCGTGGGGTTTCCCAGGTTTCGCGCACCCCTCTCAGCAATTATTTAATTTTGCGCGAAACTGTGCATTTTCCGAAATAATTATTTATTTTTGCGCGATGATATCGTGAAGGTACGGTATATGATTCATTTTGTGAGCAGGGTAATTGCAAGGAGTGTGCTTGGTGGAGGGGTTTTGTGTTTACCGGCATGTGCACGCGTGCCATATGCTCTCCGCTTACCGTATATCCTTCCACTCGGCTCCTGCTGGTGATATGCAACGGGCGCTGGGGAGTGATGATTAGCGTGATGGAGTAGGGAAACCACGACTTGGAAGGTTCCATGCTTAGCTTTGGCGGTGGTGGTGGGGGAAAGATCATGTAGCGTGTTATCCGGATGCGGAGGGGTTGGCAGGGACCAGGACAACCGTGTTGGGAAGGGTCCCCAGCTACCGGTAGCTACCCGAGGCCGTATTCCTCTCGTGTCGTTCAGGGTTGTTGTGGTAACATACAACCACACAACCGGATATCAGTTCACGGTAGCTGGACGCCTGGGTTGAGCAGAGCGCGGGGATGCCAGAGGCACTGCGGAGGGGCTTGAAGCGGGCCAGGGTTGATGTTTTGGTGGTGACGGACGGGGGCGGTGTTACAGCAAAAGCGCTGAAGCTGGCATTGAAGCAAGCGAAGGGGCCCCACCATGTGGTGGCACAGCAACGACATTAAATTACATTACGCCGGACCAAGTCCTGGCGTGTGTTAAGGAGGCATGGCGTGAGGGATGTCTGATGTTTTCCCCTTCCACAGCAACGACAATGGGATGGGATGGCGGATGGGTAGCCGGCTGGTGGACCCGGAAGGAAGCATGCATGCCGCATGCGGCGGTGCCGTTGCGGCGGTGGCGGTGGTGGGGCGTCAAAGATACCGGTATACCAGAACCACAGCAATGGGTGGTGGTGGTGGTGGTGGTGGGGTTCCGAATGTGTGAATTACCGGTACCGTGTTTGGAGGGGGGAAAAATTAGATAAGAAATGCAAACAACTAAGTCCCAATCCCATATCCCCACGGGGGGGGGGTCATCACGTAACCGGTGTACCGGTTCGATATCCCCACGCATGCTTCTTCCATGTAGGACCTCTGTGTCCTGGGCCCATATGGTTGCGTTTGAGGCCTGCGGAGGCACTGCCATGTTGCTACCGTTGCTACGGCTCATACGGCTCAACTCACATGGCTAGGCTTTGTACTGGTATCGGAGGTACCCCCTCAACCACCCGCCAGCGCGCCCTCAGCAGCACGGTAAGTCCCCCTCAGCGGTTCACGCCTCCTCTTCCGGACTCCTTTTACACCTTTCATACCTTTGCACTGCATTTCATAGCTTACACAACCTCCACATTCACCACAACACCGGCAGCCACATTACCGGCCCATCTGCATGAACAGCTTCACACCACCAGCACCGCAAACCAACACGACACATAACATCATAACACAAACTAATAGACATACTCCACATCCTACACCCCCACATCACATCACGACCATGCATCATCCCCAGTTCCTCACCCGTACCGGAACTGGAAATGCATGCCGCCCGGATGCCCCCACGGGTGCCCGCCACCCCCGCCGCCACCCGCCATGTCAAGATCTTGACCGCTGTCGTACAGTCGTCGCTTCTCCTCGTCCGACAGGACTTCGTACGCCTCCGCCACCTCACGGAACTGAGCCTCGGCCGCCTCGCGCTCCTCCGCCGTCACCTGGATGACGGGGTGTGGGTTGGGGACTAGATAAACAGACCCGCCGTGTGTGTATGGGGTGGTGGTGGTAAAAAGACCAGGAAGGAAAAGTCACATGGCCATGTGACAAGGAGGGTTACATTATGGTGTGTGTTTATGTGTGGACGCGTGGGGGGGGGCGGTCGCTCTGCTGAAGCGGGGAACCCAAAATACGAGTGTCATACACACGGGGGGTCCCCAGCCACCCCCAGCCAGGCCCCCCTCCCCCCCCGCACTACCGTACCTTATCCGGGTGGTACTTGCGCGCTAGGTCGCGGTAGGCCTTCTTGACGTCCCGGTCGCTGGCGGAGGAGTCCACGCCCTGGGGTGGGGTGGGGGGCGGGTGTGTGGAGGGGAGAGGAGGGGCGTCAGAGACCATACCATGCCATAGGAAGCCACAGGAGGGGCGAGGGGGGGAGCGGAGGTGGTGAAGAGAGGAGGTGGCTAACAGAGAGGAAACAGCCTGCAACAGGTATATTAAATGTCCCGGTGGGCATCAGACAACCCCCCGCTCCTCACCAGTATCTTGTAGTAGTCCTTGCGCTTGCTCATCTTGAGCCGCCGCTCTGCCTCGCGGTACAGCTCGTGGAACTCGCCGTCCCGCTGGTGGTGCGAGGACAACAGCTCGCGGGCGCGGACCTGAGCCTCGTCGTACCTGGGGAGAGGGGGGGATGAGGGGAAGGGTGAAAGGAGGGGGATCAGAGATATGCCACCAAAACCACAGGTTGAGGGGGGATTGAGGGGGACGCACGCGGAGGGTAGCAGAAACAGCAGGTGGGTAGCGGAATCCAAGTAGCTGGCTGCGCCCCTTATTATTTGGACCACAATGGATTTGGGCCACATTCGATTTGGGTCACATTCGATTTGGGTCACATTCGATTTGGGTCACATTCGATTTGGGTCCTTGGCCCCACCCTCCCTCCCTCGCCCCCTTTCCCCCGCAAACCCCACCCCACCTCTCCGCCTCCATCAACTCCCGCACCAGCGCCAGCCCCGCCTCCCGATGACCCGGCGCCAGCAGCAGCGTGTTGGCGCAGGCGGTGGCGGCGGAGGCGTGCTGCCGCAGTGCGGAGCGAGCGCGGCACAGGCCGAACCACAGCCCCTCATTACCTCGCCGGTGGTTGCGGTCAACCTGCGTGCATGCATGCAGAAGGGTGGGATAGTGGGGGGGGAGGGTAGTGGGCGTAACAGCTCCCGCCCTCCCGTCCTCTCTCGTCTCCTTCCGTCCGCTTAGCTCCTGCTGCTCCCGGCTATTGCTCCCATCCAGCAACCCAACAGCAGCACCATCGCCCTCTCTCAGGGCCCCTCCTCCTCTTCTTAATGGTGCAGCCTTAACAGTTGGCTAGTTTCTTCTCCCCCCCCCACCCTCTCGCCTCACATGCAGTGCCTCTGACAGCGCCCGCTCCGCCTCCCGCCAGTCCTGCGCCTCCACCGCCCGCTCGGCACGGGAGCGCTTTCGGTCGTACTCCTTCACCTGTGCGTGTGTGTATTATGGGTTTGTTTGGGGGAAGGTGAAAAGGTGAAAACAGGAAACGACTACCCGATCTGCCTGCAGTGTGTCAGGAACAAGACAGGGCCATCTCCCCTCCTATCCCACCCAATCACCTCTCCCACCCAACCGCCTCTCACCTCCTTCCCCCACACATTGGGTATCTTCCTTTCCCCTCCTCCCCTCCCGCCTCCCCCCCCACCTTGTTGAAGCCGCTCCGCGCCTCCCGGTGTTCCGGGTCGTACTTGAGCGCCTCACCGAAGTGGCGCTTGGCCAGGTCGTGGTCGGCCTGGGGAAAAGAGGGATACCCAATGTGTTGGGGTGGTGGGGAGGGAAGTAGGAAAACCGCAAGAACGTAACCATGCGGCACGCGTGACAAGGATGCGCGAGTTCTAGGGTACCGGTCCGGGGCACCGGGTGCCTGCTAGCCTGCTTCCCCACCCCTAACCCCACCGCCACCGCCATGGAAGGGAGGGTTCTTACGTTTCTTCTTTAGCTCACCCCTCCCTCCTTCCCCTCCCCCACCCCCAACCTCACCAGATAGAAGTACGCCCGGCCGCGCAGCACCAGCGCCTCCAGCTGCCGCTCGTCCGCCCGCAGCACCCGCCCCGTCAGCCCCACCACCTCCTCGTAACCCTCAGCGGACAGCTGCAGACGGGCCTCCAGGAGCTGGGCCTGGGGGGGGGGAGGGGAAAATGAAGGACACCGATTGTGATAGTGGTAAACAAGCAGACGAGGGGCGGAGGGGAAAGACGGGGAAGAGGGGGGGGGGTGCGGTAACCGTGTGACAGCCAGGCTCTACCAGAAAGCGGAGGAAGGAGTGAAAGCAGAGGTGGTGCAAGGTGGGGGTGAGGGAGGCACAGCAGGCCGGGATGTACAGCCCTCCCTCAGCAGCCCCCCAAACCCGCACGCACCCGCAGGCAGTCCGGCGAGTCCTCGTACAGCGCATCCAAGGTGGGCCTTATGCGCTCTAGTGCCTGTACGGCAGCAGCCGCGGGATTGCTGCTGGCATCGCCCCCACCCTCTCCGCCTCCTTCCGATGCCTGCTGCTGCTGCTGCTGCAGGCTGAGCTGCCGCTCCAACGCTTCTAGCTGTTCCAGCTTGGTCCGAGCAGACAACGTGCGCTTGAGCTGGGGTGGAGGCAGGGGGCGGGAGCAACGGCAGGAGGAGGGGACAAGGGAGAAGGGACGTGTGTACAGCCTACGTCGTACATCTGGTCTACGTCAGGTCATCTCTTGGGAATAGGCTTGGAAGGAGTATTCTCGTAGGCCCAAGCAAGCACCCAGCCCCTTCATGCCACTCCGCCTCCGCCTCCACCATCTCCACCCCTCACCTCCTGGTCCGCCACCTTCTGCCCCGGCTTGAGCTCCAGCACGCGCTCAAAGTCACGTTGGGCGGCAGCGTAGCTGTGGTGTGGTGCGGTGTGGGCGTGACCCAATGAACGAATGGGTAGCTAAAGAAGTAACACGACCTATACCCTTTTCGCAGTCATCATGTGTTTGACAAGTACCGATACCACCGGGGGCCGACCGCACGTACTCCTACCTGCACATCTGCCGCTGGAGCTTTCCGCGGTTAAGGTAACCCTGGAGCAGGAGCAGCAACAGGAGCAGAAGCAGAGGAAGCGTGGTGAGGAGGAACAGGATGGGGTGCAGGTGGGGGACAGGTATGCCGTACATACCGTACGATTGCAATTGCAGGTTTGAACCCATGCGTACCTGCACGAAGGAGCCATCCAATTGGACCGCTCTGTCCAAATCACGGAGTGCCTGTGACAGACTACGAAGGCTCATGTACGCCGCGGCACGCTTGGTGTACAACAAGGGGACAGTTGACTGCAGGTCTGCGATGGCGAAGATGTCCGTGCGGAGGAGTTTAAAGATGTGTGGGGCGTTAGGGTTCATGCTCGATCCTCGTGAGTTTGGTGAGGCAAACTTTGACAGCCGATGCTCACCGATGGCAGACGAGTAGTGTCGAACGGCAGATGTGAACTCCGAGTTTGCATATGCCGCATCTCCGAGCTTAAGAAATTGGGACACATCAGCTGCGCATGCCGATGGCGTCGTGGGTTAAGATTCAACTTGAGTCGTCTAGATGCCAGAGACATCGTCCTGAGTCCTGAGTCTGTAACAGTGGGGATGCAGACCTTACCCTGCACCAGACCCAGTAGAAGTAGTCCTAGTATAAGGACGTGAAGCTGTGATGGCATCATGTCCTGCCTGTGGGTTGGCTGCGTGGGTTGGCTGGGTGCCCAGCCCCAAGCCGGCCCTCAGTACAGGACAAGTATTCAAATTTACAGTACTCGCAGAAAGACGCATATGTGATCCCTTCTGAGCCTTCGACAAGTCCGTGTGCGCTCATGGAGTACGGGTAACAGGTGTCCAATTCAGTCATCAGTCTACCCGAACCCAGGTACCCAAGTTACCTGTTGTTGAACCATCCTCTCATCTTCAGAAGGATGCTTTTAAAGGGTGATCACGTTATCTAGCAAGACCGCTGGACATGGTCACGGTCCGTTAACTACTCTTTCTTGCCGTTAAGAGGAATTAGAAAGCCCATTAAACCCTTCATGTTGATCATTTACCAATAACCGAACCTTGGTATGAGGACATTACCTATACGTCCTATAATGCACGGGTGGCTATGGCTGGTGTTGCTAGGAGCCAGTTGGGCAGTAGGTGCAAGCGCAGACGGAACGCAACCAGAGAACACATCTGCTTCTGGGCGCGGTTTGCTTCAATCTGCGGAAAAGCAAGTAATGTCGCCAGATGTGCCATTGCAAGGTGTCTGCAGTGCGGACATCATGCAGCACTGCAAGCACATCTTTATCAAGGTACGTTTATTTATCCGATGCTGCTCCAACACCCAAGCTCTTCACCTGATCATTTGAAACCAATGCGTTCGCCACTTCTGGTGCAGAACGCGGCCAATGCAAAGCACGCCAACAAAGGCAAAGGTGGCGACCATGGGCATATTAGCAGCGCAGCTAAGCAAGCCGATGCTGGGACGGGATCGGACGCCCAGGGTTCGGCAGTAGCTGCCTCACAAGGGACCTCAGCGGCGACCCAACCTGCGACATCTACAGCAGCAGGAGCCGCCAGTGCACGCGCTGCCTCCCCCAGCAACAGCAGCGCTCGCAGTACTCAGCAGCAATCACCTCAGCCCGCTGGCACCGCTGCTGCTGCCACAGGGACGCCAGCCCCCGCTGTGACGACACCTGCAGCTGCGGCCGGCAGCAGCAGCAACGCCAACACCACCACCGCCCGGAATGCAACCACCACCGCTGCTCCTGCTGCAGCTGCCACTTCTGGCGCCGCCAACGGCACCGCGGCCAGCGGGTCCACGTCCACCGCCGCACCCACTGATGTGACGTCATCAGTTAAGACGCAAACGGCACCGGCAGCAGCAGGAGGTGGCAACAGCTCCGACAGCAGCGGCGCTGTGTCCCCCACCACCAACGCCACGTCATCCTCCACACAGACCCCCGCAGCCTCCAGAGCAGCTGCCAGCAACACCACCACCGCTGCGCTGCCTGTGACCACCACCGCAGCCCCCGCCAACACCACATCGGAGGGCACATCCGCTACCTCCGGCACCAACACCACCAGCACCAGCACCACCGCCAGCAACGCCGCAGCAGCCCTAGCAGCCGCAGCGGTAGCGGCCGGCAGCGCCCGCCACCTGCTGGCAGAGGCGGCCGGCGCTGCTGCTGCGGGTACCGACGTTGCAGGCACAAGTGCGAATGCTAGCGTGGTTTCCCTGAGTGACCCCCTCAGCATGTCGCTGCAGCTGCTGGGGCTGCAGAGCTCCTGGTCGGCGCAGGACATGGTGACCCGCGGGTCGGCACCTATTGCAAGGTGGGGAGGTGGAGAGGAAGCTAGCAGGCAATCGTGGAGAGGGGTGGGCGGGGGAAGTGGGTGTGTAGGGGCATGGCGGGGGCGGCATGCAGAGTGTGGGGAGGATGTGGTGGTGCTGGGCTGCAGGTGTGCAGCAGCAGCTGGTGGCGGGGCAGGTGGGTCAGGGGAAGGCATGCAGGCTGGGGAAGGAAGGGCGGCGGTCATCACGACCCCGCAGCCGCTACGGTGGCACGCATGGGAGCCCTGTTGCTGCTTGCCAGCCCAGCGGGTTACGTCCTCCTTCCCCCTGTCGTCGCTTTGCTCACCCGGTATCCCTCCATGCAAGCTCCATACGCGCGCCACACCCCTACCCACTCACCCGCCCACGACATGGTATTTGTTTCCCCTTCGCCCCACCTCCCTGCCACACCCCTCTGCCCACCCACCCCACCTCCATGCCGCGCCCCAGGTGTCTGCGCGGCGTCATGCACGCCAGCGAGATGTCCATCAGCCCCGACATACCCGATGTGACGGAGGAGTGCAAGCAGGAGGTGGGGCGGGGGCGGGGCGGGCCGGAAAGGGCTGGCGGGGAAGTAACAGGTGGAGAGGGAAAGAGACCCCTGGCGCCAGACATTGTACTGCTATGAGTATCGCTCACACACGCTCTACATGCATCACTTGCATCACCGCTTCCTCCTCAGCCGCTCCATGATTCATTCGTCCTCCCCCCTGCCCCCAGGTTCGCTCCGTGCTGGTGAGCCGTGCTAGCGATGTGCGCCTCGACCCGCCTCTGCTGGCCACCTGTGCGTACGACATCGCCCACCGCTGCGCACCCAGGCTGGGCAGCGACACGGGAGCGGTGCTGGGGTGGGTTGGGGCGGGGTGGCTGGTTGGACCGGTGGGATTTGGGGTGGGGTGAGGTGAGGCTGTACAGAGTGGATGCAGGTAACGCACGCTGGGCCGGACAGGATGGCCTCCGCATTCTTACACCCCCCTCCCAGCCTGCTCGCCCTGTGCTCAATCAACCTCCCAACGCTGCCCGCCCCCCACCCCTGCCTTCCCACCTTCGCAAACCCCCACACCTCCGTGCATGCATGCATGCAGCTGCCTCAAGGCCTCCAAGCCCCTCCTCCAGCCGCAGTGCCGCATCGCCGTCACGCAGCGCCAGGCGGCCGCCGCGGAGGACCTCAGCCTGGATCCCGACCTGCAGCGGGCCTGCGGGGCGGAGCGGCGCGCGCTGTGCGGGGCGGCGGGCTGGGGCGGGGGCGCGGCGCAGGCCTGCCTGCTGGGGCACCTGCGGGGCAGCCTGCCGCAGATATTTTCAGAAGTGATATTCCCGGAGCATGAGGATGGCGGGGATGCGGGTGCGGTGGGGGGTGCTGGTGGTAATGTGACGGCAGCGGCAGGAGCTGGGGGAGTGGAGTTGTCCGGGAATTGCTCGGTGGCTCTGGTGCAGCGGCTGATTGAGGAGGGCGAGGATGTGCGGTTCAACTACAGGTGGGAGGGCGGGTGGGGGTGCGAGAGGGAAGGGAAGGGTTGGGAAGCAAGCATGCAAGCATGCATGCTGTGTGGAGGGAGTGCTTACGTACCGGTAACTCACGCACGCGCCACATGGCGACGGCTTGGGGAGCGGCTGCCTGTGACATGGGACATGCAGGCTGCCATGTGACAGCACATGCGGTGCCCTCTCATGTTGCCCCTCAAGCCCAACGTGCAATTCTTCCCTCCTCCCTTCCTGTCTCCCTCCCCCCCCGCCCCCCTGCCCTCCCCCCAGGCTTTCCTCCTCCTGCGCCGCCTCCAAGCAGCTGCTGTGCCGCGACGTGCGGCCGGGAGGGGCGGCGGTGCTGAGGTGCCTGGAGGCGCACCTGGACAGCGACGACATGCAGGGTAGGACGGATGGGAGGGGGGCCGGATGGGAGGGTAAAAACTAATTGAAGAGTGAAGCAACGGAGGGAGGGAGGGGCCGGGGGGGGGGGGGAATGAGCGGCTGGGCCTCAGGAGGTAGGCCATTTGCGCATGGCTGAGTGGCTGGAACCCGCAGCACTCCCAGTTCTTAGTATCATCGAGACACTCCTCCTTTTGGCCATGTGGGCCTCACGTCTGTCAACTCGCCTCATCCCTCGTCCCACCACGCACCCCCTTCCCCCCAGAGGAGTGTCGGGAGGCGCTGCTAGAAGTACGGCAGGTGCGCTCCCTGGATGTACGGCTGGACCACACGTTTGTGACGTCATGTGGGTCGGACGTGCGCAGCCTGTGTGACCCGCGGGTCGGCGAGCAGCTGGGCAAGAGCCCCGCGGAGCTGCCGTTTGGCGTGTGGGAGCCGTTCGAGTGCCTGCGGGGGCAGCTGGAGCTGGTGCGGGATGCCACGTGCAGGAGGTGGGGCGGAGCGTGGTGTGAAGGGGGTTGGGGTAAAAGACCATACCGAAGGGGGGAAGGATGGCATTCGCCGTTGAGCTTCTTTGGGGGCGAGTTTGGGAGCGGAGGTGGGTGGCTCTGGTCACCTTCAGCCAGTGAAGGCGTCGTTACCGTATACCACAATCGTTCCTAGATACACCGCTTCACTGCTATTGGCATCATCTACGTTTCCTCTCCGCGCTGCCGCCGCCTGTACCGGTACGTTGTGTTGACGTACGTACGGCATGCCCCACCTCGCAGGCACTTGTACGAGAGCGTCGCAGCGGCGTACGACGATAACCGTCTGGATGCGGGCCTCATGCGCGGCTGCCATGGGGAGATTGCCGTACTCTGCTCGCAGCACCCCGCGCGGGCGCTGGAGTGCCTGCAGGTGAGGTGGAGTCAAAGACCATACCGAACCATAGGACACCAGGTTGGGGCAAAACAAAGGGATAGGAGGTGGGGCGGAGTGGGGCGCGGGTTTGCGTTGGGTGTGTACAAAACTGGTCGCGAGTAGGAACGATCTGGGTTGTTGGAAGGTGATGTCCCCACCACAACGTCAGGGGAGACGTTTGTGTTGGGGTGTGTGGGTTAGGCAAACTGGCCGCCAGTTGTGTATGTGCATGCGCAGCGCACTGCCCGCTTCCCAGGTACCCATGGACGACCCCTCTCCCGCCCTCCTCCTTCTTCTCCCGCCTCCTCATCAAACCCAGCTAACCGCTTCTTCCTGTTCTTCCCTCACTCCACCCTCTCACCCCCACCTGCATATTCGTACGCATGCACACTCTTCGTACAATAACACCGATGACGTACCTCCCACGGCTGCTGTGTACGACAGGCCCAGATCGACAAGTTCAGTCGGAGCGACTCACCGGCGATGCTCAAGGTAGGGTAGGGTAGGGTAGGGGTAGTAGCAGTTGTAGCAGGGTGGGCAACTGGACCCATCGCCCTGTCGGGTCATGCAGGGGTGGCTTCGCATGTGACCCATGGGCGTTGTGCGTTGGGAGGGATTCTTGGGTGCTTCGCCTCTCCTTTACCCCCCCGCCCTGATCTCCTGCAACCTACTCCTTGCCCCCAGTTGTCTCTTTCCCCCACCTCCTTCACCTACTCTCCCGCTCCAGGGTAAGGTCTCCGACGGCTGCCTGCGGGTGGTGGTGGAGCGGCGGCGCCAGGCGGCCACCGACGTGGCCTTCCTGCCGCACCTGCGGGAGGCCTGCACGCGGGAGCATGCCACCTTCTGCGCAACACCGGGCTTGGAGGTGGGTGGGGAGGGAGTATGGTAGTGGTAGTGGGGGGGCGCGCGTGGGGTGGTGGGGTGGGTCTTGGGATAAGAGGGAGGTATACCGGCATACCGGGGGGAAATGCGCTGGCCTTGACACGACCACCCTACCCTCTACCACCACCACCCGCTACCCCTCCAGGGTATCCGCGGTTTGGACTGCCTGGTGGACCACCGCGCCTCCCCCGGCTTCTCCGGCCGCTGCGGGGGGGCGCTGCGGGACTTCCTGGCGCGTGCGGCTGCGGACGTGCGCGGGCTGGCTGGGCTACAGCGGGACTGCGCGGGGGAGATACACACGCTGTGCAAGGGTGAGGAGCAGGGGCAGGAGGAGGAGGGGGGAGGGGTGGGTGAGGGGGAGGAGGAAGAAGGCATGGACGATGAGGGATGGCGGGACTGGGTGAGGGTGAGGCAGGGAGGTTGAGGGGAGGACGGTGGGAGCAGGGAGGGTAGGGGCGTGTGGATAGCGCTACCACGGGCATGGTGGCTGGTCGTATGGGGCGTCAGCGAGGGGGAGCATGCTCGTAGCTTTGCCTACCATGTCGCTGCTTTGCCTATCGACCACATACACGCCCCCATGCCCTCCCCTCACCCCTGCTCACCCTCCTGTGCCGCCCTTACCTGTGGTTTTGGTATATCTCTTCCCTCCCCCCCCCAGGCGTGCAGCCGGGCGAGGGGCGTGTGGTCGGCTGCCTGCGTGAGCAGCGCGGCAACATCAGCTCGGAGGGGTGTCGGGGGCAGGTGGTGCGGCTGATGGGCCTGATTGCGGAGGACCACAGACTGGATGTGGGGCTGGCGCAGGTGGGGGGGAGGGGAGGGGGGGGAGTGAGGGAGGGGGGGAAAAGAAATTCCAAAGTGCGGTGTGATAATGATACAAGTTGCTGACAATCCCTGGTGGAATCAACCGTGAGTCGAGCCGAAAAGGTGGTTAAAGGCAGGGATGGGGGGAGGGGGGGAGGGGCGTCAGAGACCATACCATACCATAGGAAGCCACAGGGAGAGGGGGAGAGGGGAAGGGGAGGGTGTGCCCGGTTTTGGGAGCCGCGGGTGCTTGGATTTGGTTGGAGGGCCCTTCTGCTTGGCGTTTACTGCTTGGTGTTCCTGCTTCATCCCTCATCCCCCCCACCCCCCCCCACCCCTACCTCCAACCGCATCAGGCCTGTGGCAGCGACATCCAAAAGTACTGCGCGGGAGTGGAGGCGGGCGATGGACAGGTGGGTGGGTGCGGGTGTGTGTGTGTGTGAAGTAGTAGGGAGTAGGGAGTAGGAATGGCCCAAATAATATGCAGGGAAAATTGGTGGTTTCAATTAAATTGGTTTCTCTCATAACCCCCTCCCCCTTCCCCTCCCCCTTCCCTCCCCCCTCCCCCCCCCCAGGTTCACGCCTGCCTGCGCCGCTCCTGGGACCACCTGGCCCCCGGCTGCCGGGAGGCGGAGGAGCGGGTGGAGCAGCTGGAGCACGAGGACGTGAGGCTCAACCCCGCACTCATGAGGTGTGTGTGGGGGGGGGGTAGGGGGGAAGGAGAAGTGCAGCAACATAGGTAGGGGGAAGGGGGGAGTGGAGAAAGAAAGATGGAGACAGAGAGAGAAGACATGGGGTCTCGCAGTCGCCATAGTTTCCTTCCAACCATCTCCTCCACCTCCTTACGCCCCTTTCCCGCCCTCCACCCCTTTTTTACCCCCTCCACTCCTCTTCACTCCTCCCTTTCCTTCCTCCCCCTCGCAGGGAGTGTCCGGTCGCCATCAGCAGCTTCTGCTCCGACGTGCCCCCGGGCGCCTCCCGCGTCATCTCCTGCCTGCAGTCGCACATGGGGCGGGGGCACTTCCCGCCCGCATGCCGGGTGGCGCTGGCGGCGCTGACGGACCGGGCGGCCACCAAGTACTCGCTGAACTACCGGCTGAGGCAGCAGTGCGAGCAGGGTGAGGGGGGGGAAGGAAGGGAGGGAGGGGTTTAATAGGGATACGCATTCCGCATTAGGCTGGGAGGGGGAGGGAAAGGGAGGGGAAACCAAGTGGTGCTCTTACAGGACAGGTCGCCCTGGGTTGGGTTAGGTGGTTGGTTGGTCGGCTGTAGGTCTTGTAGGCAGGTAAGGAAGGCGACTTGAGCTGCTATTGACTTGCATGCTCCCCGCGCCTCCTTCCTCATGGCCAATCCTCCCTCCCTCCCTCCCTCCCTCCCTCCCTCCCTTCTTTCCTCCCCTAACAACCCACCCCCATTCCTCCACCCTCCATCGCCTCACTCGTCTCACTTCTCCCCCTCCCTCCCCCTCCCCCCCCTCCGCAGACGTGCAGCAGCTGTGCGCGGATGCGGTGGACGAGGCGGGCGCCTCCGCCGCCTCACTCCGCGGCACCGGGGGGGCGGCCAGTGAGGAGACGGCGCTGGCGTGTCTAGCGCGGCAGGCGGGGCAGCTGGCGCCGGGGTGCAAGGCGGAGCTGCAGGTGAGGGGAGGTGGGGGGGGGGGGGTAAAGATCAGCATACACCGTACCATAGGAAGCCACGGGTTAGGGTAAAGCAAAGGGGATAGGAGACGGCAGGATAGGGGGGGGGGAAAGGGAGGGGTGGGGTCATAAGCTCATATAACCCTGATAAGGTTTGGGGGAGGGACAGAGCAGAGCGGGAAGCTTTCGACCTGTGCGTAGCATCATGTACCGTACGTGGCTGGTCGCGAGATCTGCATGAGTCGGGGCATGGGACTGTGCTTCACTTCTCTTTCCTTCCCGCCCCCCCCCCTCTTCCCCGCCCCCCTCCCCTTCCCTTCCCCAACAGACCCTTGTGAAGCTCTCCCTGAGCCGCTACCGCATCGGCATGCCGCTGACCAGCCAGTGCGATGGGGACGTCATGGCGCGATGCCAGGTGGACAAGGTGAGGGGGGAGGGCTGGGTAATGAGAGGGGTAATGTGTATTGTTGTTACTCGCGAGGGGAGAGGCTGGCGGAGGGGTTTGGTTGCGGGAAAGTGTGGGAAAGCGAGGACGGAGGGCGGCAGGGAGAGGACAGTATAGAGAGGTAAGGGTTATGCACTCTGCACCGCACTTGTCACATACATTGCCATGAGGCGTGTGCGCTGTCCTAAACCCTCTCCATTCACCTTCTCTCTCTTCCCATGCTCCCCTCCACCGCCCTCCCCCTCTCATCCCCTCCCTCGACCCAGATCGCCGCCCCCTTCCTGGAGTCCGGATACGTGTTGAGCTGCCTGGCTCGCCACGCGGCGCAGCTGCACAAGCCGTGCTGGGAGCTGGTAGCCAGCATGGATGACAGGTGGGGTCGGGGAGGGGCGGGGGGGGGCAAAGATCATACGAAACCATAGGAAACCACAGGTTGGGGCAAAACAATGGGGATAGGAAGCGGCAGGAGGGGAGAGTAGGGAAAAGGATAAAGGGAGGGGGGTCGTGTCGTGCTGGGAACTGGTAGCCAGCATGAATACAGGTGGGGGAAGGAGGAAGGAGAAGAAGAGCAGCCGGGAAGGGTTTGTGGGTGTCCCTGGGGAAAGCGAGGGCCGCCACAGCGCTCGGTGGCAGTTGTGGACCCCCATGTACCGATACCTGTGTGGTGCTGTTGCTGGTATTAGACGTAACCTTCCATGTGGTGCGTCGTGCCCCCCTCATCCGGATTATCTGGGGGCCACCTCCCTCTTGACGCCATATGCCGTCAATACCCCCGCGCCTAATACCTCGCACCGCCACCGCCACCCTCCCCTCCATCACCGCAGCCAATTCAAGCGCGCTGCCGCCGCGGAGACCACCGCTGTCACACTGCAGTCGTTACCAGGACGTGGAGGCAGCATCAGCAGCAGCAGCGGTGGTGGTGGTGGTGGTGGTGGTGGTGGGGGTGTGCTTGATGAGGCCACCCTGCAGCGGCTAGTGGGGGACGTGCGGCGGGAGCTGGAGCCGCGGCTGTACACCAACATGGAGAAACAGGTGGGGGGAGAGGAGGTGGTAGGGTGGAGGGTGGGGAAGAAGAATACCGCATGGAGTATGGGAGAGAGCGAGGGGGGAATGACAGGGTCAGAGAGGTTCGGGTACGCCCACCACCGCACCCGTTATTACCCTTACCGTTGCCTGCCCCCTATCCACACACCCAACCCTTGATATGAAATCGAAACTCCAGTTGCTCCAACCTCCATTTTGCTTCTCCGCCTCCCTCCACCCCCTCCACCTCCCCTACCCCCCAGGTTGCCCAGGTGCACGTGGTGGCACGCAACGTGTCCGGTGAGCTGCTTCACTCGCTGGCTCCCCGGGTGAGTGCACTGCTGCATGCCACCATGTCGCTGCTGGTGCTGCTGGCGGTGGGGCTGGCGGGGGGCGTGTGGGCGTGGAGGCGGTTCATGGCGGGGCGGGGGGGGCTGCTGGTGGTGAGGAAGGACGGCAGGGTGTGAGGCGCGGCGTCGGCAGGGAGGGGGGGAAGGGGGAATTATAATTAAGTGTAGCAACGGAGTCCCAATCCCGAATCCCGACTCATGCAGTGGGCGCATTCGGAGACGCTAGAAAGTAGCGCGGATGGGGAGAAGGGTGGGTGAGATGGAGGAAGGGGGTAGGGAGGTAGGAGTAAAGGAGTTGGGGCTGGAGGAGAGGGGATGAGGAGGACGTGGGAGGTTGCAGGGAAGGGTTGGGGGGTGCAGCATTGCGCTGTAATGCTGCTTCGGAGCAGCCGTGATGAGTAACAGTGAGGTAGCGTTGTAGGATTATCGTTGCGTCCGAACGGATGGTAGGTAGGTAGTTAAGCTATAGTGCATGCCCTACAAAGGATACCGTAGTTGTGGCGTAATAAAGTGGGGAAGACTGGCATATGCCTTTGCAAGGCGCGCGACCTTTGTGACTGCCGTACTGAATTCGGGGTTTCGGAGATGGCTTCAAAGCAGAACCGGACCATTTATGTGAATGTTGCTTCATATGTGTGATGAGTCCCTGAAGTAAACCTGTTGCTGTCGACAGCTGCTAAGTTTGGGCTGTGGATCATGACAACCTCGCAGTGCGCCCTCTGCATAACCCCAAAGCATGGTTCGCGCTATGAAATGTATCCATTTCAAGCTGCTTCCCCCAGCACGTACCGAATGCGAGTTTCGCGCCAGCTGCAAGGGATCAGGTGACTCAATAGGCCTGCCTTCTTTTCTGCTGCTGAGCCGAAATGGAATCAAGTGTTGGATGCCTGAAAAGCGCAAAGAGACTTTGATTTGTTTCAGAGGTAATTGGCAACATGACCCGCAAGCTGAGACCACCCTCATTCGAAGCCCAACATTGGAGGTCCACGGAATGTTCATTTACAGGCAATAGCCTTTTCGGCTGCCTTTTATTTGCAGTATATTCCACACGATATACTGACTTGCGATTATTGCTTTGAGCGCTGACTTTGCACACAGTCACCGACCCTCGGGGCGCGAACCGCGAGAAAACGCAAACGCCGCTAGCTCTACTCCCACAACATCATTTCCGCACCGCTGGGTTGCATCTTTCAGCTCCTTTCGCCCCTAGTCGAAAGCAGAACTGCCGGTTGCTGCGCTGCGTTGTCGTTGCGCCGTCTTCCTGCGCCCCGGGAACAACAGCGGAGCGCTTTCCAAAAAATGCCGACCTATGAAATCAAGTATGCAGGCGCGGACAGCAAATGCGCAGGTGAGGCAAATCACGGGCGTCAGCTAATTTCGACCTGTTGACAGAGATCGGTGCTGCGGGAAGCTGCTTGCGTTGGAGAGGCTTTCCGCCTTGGTTACGCTGGTGCCCGCAATTTTCTAGGCCGTCTTTGCTGCTGGAAGTCAAATCGCTTCTGTTTATGTCAAAGTCAACCGCTGGATGCGGATGCGTTGACGCTCGACCATAACGAAGCCGGTTGCGTTCTGGCAGAGCGGCTAGCTCTGATCGGCCTCGTTTTAACTGTGCCTTGATTACTCCTAAACTTCTAAAGATGCTGCTTGAGCTTGCGCGCCCATGTACAACAGATTGCCGGAAACCGATTGACGAGGGCCAGCTGCTGCTGAACATGGTCTCCCCCAAGGGCACGCCGTATTTCAGGTGTGTGTGTGAGAGAGAGGATGTGGCAGATCGATAGCGCCATGCCTGCATGCCGGTTGGCACACCAGGCGCCAGGAGTCCTCACATGCATGCAGGTGGCATCCCATGCAGCAGTCCCTTTCCACTTTTGGTGCTTACCATACCAGTACTCAAATGCCCCTCCGTAAAAACACGGTAACCACCCTCCCTCCTCCTGCCGTACTTCCAGGCACTTCCCCGGCTGTGTGAGCGGCCGTGTGCTCTCCAACATACTCAAGGCGCACGGCTCCCTGGATCAGCTGCCGGGGCTGGGGGGCCTGCGGGGGGAGGACCAGGAGACGGTACGGCAGGTGGTGAGGGAGAAGCTGGGGGAGGAGGAGGAGGCGGAGGGAGGCGAGGCGGGGGAGGAGAAGGTAAGGGAGGGGGTTGGGGGAAGGGTAGTGGCAGGGGCGAGGGTACGGGGTAGGGTCCTGCTGTGTTTCATGTCACCGCTTGTCCTGATGTTCTTCTGCCCCATGTACGACTGGATATCGCATCTGGCACGTTTTGCCGTTTAAGACGCCTGCCGATATCCAGAGCCACCGAGGTCCAAGCCCGATCTCGCGCCCGGGCCCTTTCCCTTGCCTTTCTTCCTCACCCGCCCCCTTTGCATGCAAAACAGGCGGTGTCCGGGGACGGCTCTCAGCCCTCTCCCAGCAAGGGTGGCAGGGCCAGGACCCCCAGAGCCACACCCGGCAAGCGGGCTGCCGGCGGAGGCGGCGGAGGCGGAGGTCAGCGCAAGCGCAAGGCGGCGACGGCGGCTGGCGGGGGCAGCCGGTCCAAGCGGGCTCGAGGGGGGCGCGGTGGCCGCACAGCGAGTGAGGAGGGGGGTACGACGGAGGATGGGCACACGGAGGGAGGCACGCAGGAGGGGGAGACGACGGCAGGGGGCACGGAGGAGGGCGAGAGGACGGAGACGGGAGTGGGAGCAGCGGCTACAATGGCGGCGGGTGGGGTGCAACGGATGGAGGTGGAAGGGGAGGCGGGCACGGAGGAACGACAGCAGCAGCAGCAGGAGGGCGGGCAGCCGCCGGCAGCGGTGGTAGGTCAGGGACAACCGGCGGTGATGGCTACGGCGGTTGAGGCAGCAGGTCAGGGAGGTGGTGGCGCTCCCCATGTCCCCATGGCTGCTCCCGCGCCGGGTCCCGCCCCCCTAGAGCGTCGGGCGGCTGCTACTGCTGCTGGTGCTGCTGCAGGAGGAGGAGGTGTGGAGGAGATTGCCGCGGAGCCGGCTGGCGAGGAGGCCATGCAAGCCGCGCTGCTGGGGGCGGCGCTGCAGCCCTCGCAGCAGCAGTTCTCGCAGCCCTTCTCGCAGCACCCGCCGGCACACCTGCCGCCGCCGCCGCCGCAGCAGCAGCAGCAGCCTCAGCATCCCCAGCCCCAGCAGCAGCAGGGTGATGTGAACATGGAGGATGCGCGGGCGGTGGATCAGCATCATCATCATCACCATCATCATCATCATCATCATCATCATGAGCAGCAGCAGCAGGTGACAGCACCCGCGGCGGCAGCACTCGCGGCGGTGGCGGCGACAGCGCCCAAGGAGCAGCTGGCGGCGCTGCTGGCGGCGGAGGCAGCGCAGACGGCGGCGGAGGCGGTGGCGGCGCAACGAGCGGAGGCCCTGGTGGGCCCGATGGTGGGGGTGGCGGCGGCGGCGGGGCAGGGCGGCGGGGCAGCGGCGGGGCAGGGCGGCGGGGCAGCGGCGGGGCAGCAGCACACGCAGCAGGTGCAGCAGCAGGGTCAGGTGGTGGTGTAGGTGGGGGTGGATGTGGCGGGGTGTCATGGGGGTTTGGGTGGCTTGGTGGCGGGGGCGGTTCGGGACTGTGGGCTGAGTGGCTGAGGGCTGATAGGTTGAGTAGAGTTATATCATCGTTGGTGTGCCAGGTTGTCTTATATGCCGGACAAAATTGGGGATTTGCAGTTGTGTTGCAGCTTACTTGTTGGCGCCATCATGGGCATCTGTTTTCTTGCATTGTTTGCGTTGTTAATTTCAAGTACCGGACCCTGTCGGTATTCTCGACCCCCCCCTTCACGTCTTGCACGGTTGCTGGTAGCGTTCTAAATCGTCATGAGGCAGCTGTCCTAACGGTCATGCGTGGCTGCGGCGTCAACCATGCTCTAAAGTAAGGCCCTTTACCTGTGTGTGTTAGGACTCGCCATATTCCTGTTGTTGGCTGTTGGCGTATGCATGCGATGAGATGAGATATGCGGAGGGGGGATGTGGGGACAAGGGAGGCACGTGGATCAGCAAAGCTGGCGGCTTATGAGTAGACCACTGTTGGACTTGTTGCTGTTGGCACGGCGTTTTGTACGGCGCTGGGCGTTAACATTTGATTGTACCTGCCTAAGGCTTTGTGGACCTGAATGGGTGTTTTCTGGACGTGTCTTTACGTGAAAGGGTGTTTAGTTGCTGATCGTTCTTTGCGTTGTGGGGCTGCAGCTAGTCAGTTGTAGGAGTACGGACCTGCCTGTAATCCTGTCAGGCTAGTCAGTTGTAGGAGTACGGACCTGCCTGTAATCCTGTCAGGCTGTCACCCTGCGTGGGCATGCGTTGTTTGCGTCACCAGCCTTTGTGTATAGCAAATGCGGCGGACTTCACACTGAAAGTGTATGCAAGGATACGTAAGGGTACAGCAACTCAGCATAACAACTTGTATGGTTTGTGTGTAGAGCCCACGAAAGGATGCTATTAAGGTTGTCGCAACGACAACGATGATGCCCTCGCACACGGGGGCGATGCTGCATGGGTGGTGCGGCAACAGCCTTACAAGTCCAGCAGGGCTGCCTGCCATCCTGCCTCTTCCCTGCGCCAATGCAATATTCGTCAGGCAGCATCCCGCTATTGCTTTAACACAAAGCATCCAATATTGAAAAGAACATGGCAAGGGTCACACCACATCGGGCTGAGGACAGTAGAACACCCGCATATACTATATGTATGCTCGCGATCCAACCTACAGCCCGTCTCCCTGTTGCATGCCCCCAATCAAACTCCTGAACCTCCTTCACCACTCGCTAACAGCCAAAGAAAAGACCATCCAGCTCCTTGTTACTCCATCCCTCCTCTCAGACCCCCTACTCCGCGTCCTCCGTGAAGGCCCCCAGCACCGACGTCTTGCGGCTCATCTCGTCCACCTTGGCGGCCGCCACGCTGCCACCCCCCAGCATCTTCTCCAGCCGGGCCTTCTCCTTGGACAGGTACTCGACACCCTGCAGGTGCAGGTGCAGGGGCGCGGCAGGGGCAGGGGCAAATTAGACCAAATCATGTGAAACCACTGAAGGGCATAAATCTAGGAAGGCGGCAGGGGTCGACAAGACAGATGGATGGTTAGTGGTGCTGGGGCAAGGGCGGCAACGGCGGCGGCAGGTGACATGTGGGAACAGCTAACAGGTGGCATGTAACAACAGAAGCAAAAGGCTGCGGCTACCGTATGAAATCATGGGTTTGCATACCTTCCATTGCCTCACGGCTTCCACACGTCCCATCAACCCCCACGGCAGCACTGTGAAACCCACATAACAGCACCAGCCACCCCGCCCGACGCAACAGCCTGCCTCTCTCTCTCTCCCTTTCGCACGCCTACCTTCTCCGCCGCCTTCTCCATAAACTTGACGTACAGGGCACCGTTGACCTTGGCGTCACCCGCCTCTAGCTTCTCAGCCTCAGCCTTGGCCTCAGCAATCACAGCCGCCTTGTCCTCAGCAGTCACGAACTTCTTGGCGAGGGGGTCCAGAGTCTCCACGCGAGCAAAGCCCTGGGCAAGGGTTTAGCGCAGGCAGGTAGCCGCAGGTGTGAAGAGATGTTTGGAAAAAGAGGGGAATGTTGGAAGGGAGGGCAGCAACCAACGAGGCTGCAAGGAAGGTGGCAAGGAAGGGAACAATACGACACTGTATGAGCCAGCTGTCAATAGGGCGGTGTGCTCTTGTCGTACACCCTTGTCGTACAAACACACGCACACACCCCACCTACTCGCCCTACTCGCGGCCAGTTTTCTTATAACACCCCACCTTGTCGGCCTCCAGCTTGGCCTTCAGGAACTCGAGGAAGGCGGTGGCGGTGCGGGCCTGCTGGTAGCTGCGGGAGGGGGAGGGAGGGAGGGAGGGAGAGGGATGATATGGGATGGGAGGGGATTAGAGACGCCGAGCCGCGGATACGCTGCGCTGACCTCTATGGAGGGGAGTGGATGGACGGCGGACACACGAAGGGAGGGATGAGAATTGGTAATAGGGGTATAGGGGTATTCGGGGGGTATGAAAAGGGAAGGGACAGCCGGGCGCCGCGGAACGAAGGCAGCAGCAGCTGGCAGCGGTCACCATAGCTGATTGCTGTCATGTGATGTTGGCATACAGGTGCGGCTGCTGCTGCTGGTGTGTCGCAGGGAATGCAGAGTCTGGCTGCAGTCAGGTGCCGCAGCGGGGCACAGTCGGCCCGGCAGTCTTCATCACGCAATGCACGACAGTGCACGACAAAGTAATTGGTGTTGGTTGTGTGACAAAATGTAGAACCTCGCGTATCAGCAGAGGAGCCAATATTAGAAGGCCGGTCGCACGGGTGGCAACAGGTAAACCAAGGTTCTGCCATGCTAGGGGTCTACCTGTCAACCAAACACGCAGCAGCGCTGAAAACGTAGTGAGCATCTAAGGGTAACCAAGTACTGCCTGGCAGTACCCCCAACCGCCCCACGCCACTCACTCCTGCGCGCTGTCCTTGTTGGCGGCCTTGCCGGCGGGGAAGTACTTGACTGCGGACAGGGGCGAGGATTGGAGGGGAGCGAGGATCAATCGGAGACAGCATGGGCGGGCCACTATGGACTAATCCCACAAACACTTTCGGCACCACCTCTTTAAGGCGAGGACTAGAAGCACCCCCACGGCAAAACCTACTGGTGGGGAAGCCGCGCACTTCGAACTTGTCACCCAGCGAGCGGTGCGCGTCGGCGTTGACCTGCGCGCGTTGCGAGGGATGTTAGTTTGTTGGGAGGGTGCAAGTCAGCGGTTGCCGGTTACTCGACAGCTGACGTACTCCCTTCAAAGGAAGACGGGGTGTCTACGTTGGTTACGTACACAGCTAATCACCAAGACGCCGATGCCGGTCTATAACCGCTTGGGGCACGAAACCCCGCCTGCCCGCTGGCCATCTGGGTCACTCCACCAACCCAGCCCTGCCTGACCCCAAGTCACGCCTGCTGAACTGCAACCCAAAGCCCACCAACCACCGCACCTTGGCGACCACAACGCGGTTCTTCAGCTTGGGGTCAGCGGCAACCAGCTCGCCCAGCTTCTTGAACTCGGGGGTCATGCGCTTGCAGTGGCCGCACCAGGGCTGTGGGAGGCGCGAAATGATAAGGTTAGGAAGGCCGGGAGACGAAGGGAGCAGATGAGAACCAGCAGTGATGGCAAGGAGGTAACCGCTGCACAGGGCAGTTGATACGAGACTTACAGCATAGAACTCCACGATGGCGTGCTTGCCTCCGTTAACGTGCTTGTCAAACGTCTCGGGCGCTGCGTGAAGGAAGCGACCAGGCAAAAACTGATGGACATGAAGTTTGTGAGGCTTAACAGAATAGGCAAGCGATTAAGCTAACGCTGATAGCCCTTGTCCTTAGGCGGAGATCGCTCTATCACGCGGACAAGGAAACCAGTTGGACGGTTGTCGGAGGCATGGCCAGCCCTTTCTGCGCTTACTTAGATCCAACACGCCAGGCAAAGAGACGGTGGGATCATCTGATGCCCGGACAAACGCCACAGCACCCAATAGGGCGGCGAAGACAAGCGTGAGCCGCATCCTTTCAGATCGCTGAGGGACACGTAGGTCCTCTGAACAAGCTCGAGTTACTGCCAGATGCTAGAGTGCCAAGTTATTATTAGCACTAATACCTTCCCGCGCAGGGGCGCTTTTGACAGGGTTCCATGGATTTGGCATGTGGTGTCTTGTGGGCCTAACGTCCCGACGAATTCTCGAAACGGCAAGTTTACCGTTCTGATAGAAATGTTTGATGACAAGGTATAGAATTTGGAGTAATACTGAATACCTATCGCAAGCTAACGCTGCCTTTCGCCACGGGAAAGCCACCATTTTTAGCCAGAAAGCCACGAGTATGCCCAATTCTAGAAAATAATAGGTCAATTACCAATTGATAACTAAAGAGCAGCTTCTTGAAGCATAACTTCGCCCTAGGAGGCCCGGTGGACTTCCGCCACAAGCATCCACGGACATCCTAGCCGCCCGCTATGCAACGGGTGCTGCGGGCGGCAGGAGAATCCCTCTTAGTCGGGCGTGCTGGGGGACTTCGCATAATGCTTTGCGCCAGCGGCCTGCGGGGCCTCGCCTTCAGCGGCAGTGCTAGCCATGCGGCCGTTCCGTCAACGCTCTGCTCTCGGCCTTGCGCCGTGCGTGCGCCATTCCTGCATCCGCATACCTCCTTCTTCCGCAACTTTAGGACGCCACAGCTCACGATAGTCAACGTGTCTCGGCCCGAAAGCCGGGTGGCAGCCCATGACAAGGCACATTCCGCCACACCTCGAACGTTCCAGGACCTGGGGTTGCATGCGCCGCTGGTTTCGGCGCTGCAGGGCATGGGCATAACGGAACCAACCGACATCCAGGTGGGTGGGGTCATGCTGCGTGGGAAGGTTTCAGGTTAGGTGGATACCAGTGAACCTTGAACGGTGCCATGAACGGTACTATCCCTCTTGTAACCCCCTACCAAGCCCGACCCAATCCTTGATCGTCCACCCGCCTTCCCCCTCTCCCCTGCTTTCCTCCCTTCTCCCCCCCATCTCCCTCCCTGGACCAGACCCTGGCCATCCCCGCCCTCACCCAGCAGCCCGGCAACTACTTCCTCGCCTCCCACACCGGCAGTGGCAAGACACTGGCCTACCTGCTGCCCCTGGTGGGTGGGGGGTGGGGGTAATTTGGAAACAGAATCCGCATTAGGCTAGATAGTTGGGATGTGGTTGGAGTTGGGGGGGGGGATGGGGTCGTGTGGGGGCCATAAACCCGCTGGGGAGGGGTGCTGGGGTCCTCGATACGGGGCTGGTAGGGGAAGAGGAGGGGAGGGGTGCAAAGCGGCCGGACGGGGGAAGCTGGTGCTGGTGCTGGTGTGGTGTGCTGGCCTAGGTCGTTGGACTAGGTAGCGCACGGTAGCAACCGCGCTGCCTGGCCCTCACTTGGTCCTTTCCCCTTCCTCCCATGTCCTCCACCTAACCCTTCCCCCCACAGATCCACGAGCTGAAGGCGCAGGAGGCTGCGGGCTACGTCCCGCGCCCCCGCCGCCCTCGCGTCCTGGTGCTGGGACCCACTCGGGAGCTGACGGACCAGATCACGCGGGTCGCCAAGAGCCTGTGCCACACCGCAAAGTTCCGAGCGGCGTGTGCTAATGCGTTTCGGAGGTGGGGGCCGAAGCGGGAGGGGGGAAGGAAACAACTGAAAAGTGAAGCAATGGAGTGAAGGGAGTGAAGGGAAGGGATGGGGAGGGGAGCAAGCAGAGCTGGGTGAGGGGTGCACCCCGGTTCTGGGGTTACTGTCGCGTGGTTCCTTACCACTGCTGCTAACGTCCTGTTAAGCAACAGCTGGTACTGCCCGCTGTCTTTGTGTATGTCCCTCCACCCCACCCCATGCCTTGTCACACAGCTCGTTAGTTGCCTCGTCAGTTTCCTTATTTTCACCCCACCCCCTCAGCCTCTCCGAGCAGTCCCGGCAGCTGTCGGGTCCGGTGGATGTGCTTGTGGCCACCCCCACCCGCTTCCTGCAGCACGTCAAGGAGGGCAACGTGCTGTACAGGGATATTCGCTGGCTGGTAAGGGGGGCGGGGAAGGGGAGGGAGGGGTGGGTGGGAAGGGAAGGGGCGAGGGGGCGGGTCCTGTCTGCTTTCCTTGCACCTCCATTGACTAGCTCCTCCTCCTGCTTTTACCAGCCCCCACCGCCGCCTATGTCCCCATTGCCTTGCACTCCCTTTGGCCTGGTTACGCTCCGAGCGTGCACACCTCTCTCCCCCCTGCCGTACATACCTCCCTTCCCCCCTCCCTCCCGCCTGCCTTTCTCCCCATCCCACCCGGCCCCGCCCCCAGGTGGTTGACGAGGCTGACACGGTGTTTGAGCAGGGCTGGGGGCCCGAGGTGGCGCAGATCCTGGCCCCGCTGCGCGCCAAGCCCGACCCCGCCCGCGTGCTGCTGGTGAGCGCCTCGCTGGGGCGACCCGTGGTGCGAGCCATGAAGGAGCTGGTGCCGGATGCAAGGGAGCTAAAGGTAGGGGAGGTCAAAGACCAAACCATACCATAGGAAGCCACAGGTTAGGGCAAAGTAAATGGGGGTAGGAGGCGGCAGGGTGCCACAATACATAATGTTGGGGGGACAAAGAAGGGGGTGGGGTGAAAAGAGCAGACTCCTCCTGTTTACCCTTGCTTCAATTTATAAAAACCCCCCTTACCTCCCCCCCACACACATTGGGTGTTTCCCCCCCCCAGACCTCCACCCTGCACCGAGCTGTGTCCGGCAGCTCACATCAGTTCCTGGGTGTGCCGCCCGGGGGCAACAAGCTGCAGCTGCTGGCGGAGGTGAGGGGGAGGGAAGGAATCGGTAGGGTAAGAGGTGGGAAAGAAAGAATACGTGAATACCCAATGTGTTGAATGAGAATGAGGTGGGAAGGAGGGGCATGGCGAGGGGCTTAGAGAAAATACAAGGGATCATCAATCCCCTCCCCCTTCCCCCTTGTTTGTCAGTGTTTCTTTATTTTTACCCCCTTCCCCCTCATCTCCCCCCCCCACAGGTCCTGGGTGCCGACTCTCGCCGCTCCCAGAAGGTTCTTGTGTTCTGCAACACGGTGGACAGTTGCCGCGCGGTGGAGCACTACGCGCGGGAGGAGGGGCTGCGCTGCGTGTGCTACCACGGGGACATGCCGGCGGAGGAGCGGCAGGTGGGAGGGGGGAGGGAGGGAAAAAGAAGGATACCCGATGTGTTGAGGATGGCAAACAAGACTATAAGCTTGAGGAGGAGGGAGCATGTGGAGGGGACGGCTCCATGGTGTGGGAGGCAACGTCGGGTACGTACCCCCTGCATGCCGTAACCCCATACCTCCCCACCGTTTGCTTTCTTCCCTCTGACCTCCCCCTTGCTCGACCCCCTTCTCCCTCCACAGGAGTCCATGGCTACCTTTGCCGGCGCCTCCTCCTCCTCCTCCTCCTCCCCCGAGCAGCCCCCCCAGCAACCCATCATGATCGCCTCCGACCTGGCCGCCCGAGGCCTCGACTTCCCGGGCTGTGTGGACCACGTGATCAACTTTGACTTCCCCGCCACCAGTGTGGACTACCTGCACCGCACGGGGCGTACGGCACGGGCGGGGAAGACGGGTGGGTTTGGGGTGATTTGGGTTGGGGAGGGATGAGGTGGTAGGGTGGGGAGGATGGGAGGAGCAGGAGGGTGCTGCCTGCTGCGGGTTGTTGGGCGGGCGGGAAAGGGAAAGGGAATCTGGTGGCATGTGCTCCCTGGATTTGCGGGATATTCTTTCCCGCAACCCCTCTCTTCCTTACCCGCCTGCCGCCATCCTTAACCCGCCATCCTCACCCCCCCAGGCAAGATCACCTCCCTGGTCACCTCCCGAGACAAGGTGCTGGCCCAGCGTATCGAGTACGCCCTGCAGCACGATGAGCCACTGGACGGACTGTCGGCAGACAGACAGAAGCTGCCGCCCTCGCAGGTACGGCACGTGCGGTAGACTTTTGCATGCCGTAGGTACATACTACATACCGTACGGCACTGTGGTCCTCTGCCCCCATCCTCCTCCTGGGGTCCATGTAAATATGTTGCCTCCCCTTCCAGCTGTAATTACTTGTTGCCTGCCTGGTGCTTCGTATCCCAGCCCTATTCCCTAACCCTTCTTCTTCTTCTTACCCTGCCTCTGCCGCTGCTGCAGGTTGCTCAGCTGCAGCGGGAGCGCTCCAACGTGAAGGTGCGGGAGGCGGTAGCGGTGCTGGGCCCCAAGGGCCTGGCGAAGCTGCGGGCCACCAACGCTGCGGCGGGGAGCGGGAGGGGCAAGGGGAAGAAGACGGCGGGGCCGGACGGCAAGCTGAGGCTGCGGGGTGAGGGGGCGCCGGTGGGGGGTAAAGGGGTGGGGTTGAAGGGGAAGAAGACGGCGGGGGCGGCGGGTGCGGCAGCTGCGAAGAAGCCGGTGTTGCGGGGGCCGGTGCGAGGGGCGGCGAGGTTTACGTTGATGGAGGAGAGGTTGGAGCGGCGGAATGTGGAGAAGGGGAAGGAGGCGAGGAGGGGGCGGGTGGGAGGCGGCGGTGCGGCGGCGGCTAAGGGGGCGAAGGGCCCTGCGGGAGGGCAAGGGAGGAGCAGTAGTGGCAGCGGCGGCAGCAGCAGCAGGTTCAGCAGGAGCAGGGGCCCCAAGCGGTGAGATAGGGTGTTCTGTTGGGAAGGGTGTTGCGAGGTAGGGCGTCTTGTGGTAAGGGGCGGGGGGGGGTAAGCATGGTGTTGGGCATGGAGACCTGATTTGAATAGGGGTCGCTTCCTGAGCGTGGCAGTACAGAGTAAGGTGATCCGCACGTTTCGCAAAAGGCGGTGCTGGATTCGCACAAATCTATGATTACCCCCTGGCAGCTTTCAGGTGCTTACAGGAGTCCAAGGTCCTTCCCCTCCTAGGACAATGGGGCAAACAGCAAACACTGAAGACGCAAAGCAAGGCAGCGCAAAACCCTCCCGTAGCAGTCGTTGGGCTGTGACTGGTAACGGTACGGTACGGCTCAACAAACTCAACAATGCGCTTCAATGCGAGTCCAACAACCCAACACGCAAGCATGTATAGAGCTGCGGAGCCCAGCCACACAACCAACCGCTTTCAACCGTTTTCACACTGTCGCCGACAGGCTGCTCAGTTTCGAACCTCCTCTCAACGTACTAGTAATAGCCAATTCCTGCATGCAACAGCAACCTGACACCACAACAAAGCTCCTACAAGCTGGGCCTTATGTGCCTCGCCTACCACACGCACATTGCCGGGGTCTCACCACCGCAGCAGCAGCTGCAGCTTTTACCTCACTGCAGCTTTCGCTCAGCTGCGAACTCATTCCCACCCAACCCAACCGCATTCCGTGTCCTGCCCAAAGTAATACCCAGCGCGACAAAACCCCCACGCTTCCCGCGTCTCCAGCCCCCGCCCCCGTCCTCCTATCCACACCCCGGCTCATCCTCATACACGTTGCCTGCCGCCCCTCCGCCTCCTCCTCCTCGCCGCCTGCCGCCGCCTCCTCGACCCCTCCGTTGAGGCAGCGCCTCCTCCCCTCCACCTCCTCCCTCATCCTCATCCTCATCCACGATCAGCTCCCTTCCCCGCACTGTGAAACCGTACGACTCCTCCTCCTCCTCCTCCTGTGCCCCAACACCCCCACCATCACCCCCACCCCCTCCGCCGCCTCTCCTGCCGCCCTCCCGCTGCTGCCTTCGCCGCTGCGGCAACGCCCCCTCCTGCCCATCTACCTCCTCCTCCTCCTGCTGCTGCTGCTGCTCCACCCCCGCAACGCCGTCAGCCTCCTCGACCTCCTCCCTGCCTCTTCCTCCTCCAACATCCCTGCCACACTGACCCCTAACTCCCCCACCTCCCCCTCCCCCGCCTTTCTGACCAACCCACACCCCCCATTCCGAAGCCACCAGCACCCCTCCTCCACCCACCCCCCCTCCTCCTCCTCCTCCTGCCCCCTCCTGCCTGCTTTGCCGTACACCCTCTCCCACCAGCTCGTACTGCTGCTCGTCCGCTCGTAGTACGACATCGTACTGCTGGTCCAGCCCAATGTACGAATCGCTGAGCAGGAAGAGCGTGACGCGGCGCAGTGCCACGCCGGTGCTGGTGTGTGTGGGCAGTCGCAGTCGTACGTTCGCCCGCCCCTCCAGCCCCACCCGCCGCAGGGCTAGGAGCTCCCGACTGGATGGGTCACCAGCAACCAGATACCAGCCCTCCTCCTTGACCTGCATGGGAGGGGTGGAGGGTGCAGGGTGGGAGACCATACCCGACCATAGGAGGGTGTAGGAGGAGGAGGTGGTGGGGGTGGGAGATAACGGGGCTCACCATGCGTTTTACTATGGTGCATGCAGGTATAGCACCCAGCCGCCCTTCGCCGCAACCATGATGCAACCCATGACGCAGCCTACATGTCACATGGGTTTCCAGGGTGTCCCCTCCCCAACCCCAACCCAGCCTCACCCTCCCGCTCACTCACCTTGGGAAACCTGGGTGCGTACACCCGGGGCCTGCCGCCCCTCCTGTCCCCCGCCCGCACCCGGCTGATCTCCACCTCCACCTCCCACTCCTCCACCTCCTCTCCACCGCCGCCTCCTCCTGCCGCCCCCGCCGCTCCTCCCCTTCCTCTACCCTCCTCCTCATCATCATCCCCTCCCCGCCGCACCCGCACCAGCCTCGGCGCCCTCCCCGCCCGCACCCCCACCACCGGCAGCCGATCGCACACCGCCACCACCTCCTTCGCCGCCGCCGCCCCCAACAGCCGCCCCAACAACCCCTCCGCCCTCGCCCTGCTGCTGCTGCTCCGCCCTCCCTCTCCTCCTCCTCCTCCTGCTCCCTCTCCTCCAGCCGTCCCCGCCAGCGCCTCCACCAGCAGAGGCAGGCAGCCCAGCCCCGCCGCCTCCAGCGCCTCCACGTGGCTCTCCTCCAGGTGCGGCAGCATCAGCAGGCTGCTGTCGTCGATCCACCGACCCTTGGGTCACAACGGGAAGGCGGATTTAGGAAACGGAGAGGGGGGGACGGTTGATTCAACAGGCACACAGGATACGTGCCAGGCTGGTAGCTGATATGTGGTCAACACACACCACTAGCGAGCAGCGACAAGGGTTCAGAGAACGGGATCAAACGAAGCAAACTATAAACTGCAAAGCAATCAACCTCCCTCCGACCACGTCCCCGCAACACCCCCCCCACACACACACACCTGCGTGACGCTTTGGTTGAGGTTCACTGCCGCTAGCGCCGTGTCCAGCCAGCCCCCGTGCGCCGCCAGGTCTATGAGCGCCTGCAGCAGGCGGGCGGAGTTGTCCAGCACGGACTTGGTGTCGGTCAGGTAGTCGGCGATGGGGGGAGGCAGGCGGGAGAGGTGCGCCTGGGGGGGGGGGAAGGGGAGGGGGGGCAGGGGGGCGGGGCAGGAGTTATGCATGCAAAGAGAGTGAGAGCGAGGTGGCGATTACCGGTATGCCCGGGCAGGAAGGAGAGGAGGGGGAGCTTGTTGGGCCGCAACCCATGCTGCCACCCATCACCTACTCCCGTCGTCCCCAGCTTGTTAGTCCCCCCCCTCCTCCTTTCCCCCCTCCCTCCATCCCCCCCTCCTCCTCCCTCCCCCCCTCGTGGACTCGTTGTTTCACTTATATAATTCCCCCCCCTCACCTGCAGCAGCAGCGACGCTTTGGTGTGCGGGTCGTCTGCGGTCCTGGCATCCGGTGGGAAGCGCACCCCCGCCTCCCGCGCCAGTGCCGCGTTGATCTTGTCCTCGTTGTGCCGTACGGGCAGCTCGTCGAACTCACTGACGGAGCACAGGGCCTGTTAGGTAGGGTAAGGTGGGGGAGGGAGGAAGGGAGGGGGGAATAAAGAAGGAGAAACGGGAGATAGCTGCTTTCTATCCCCTTTGCCCTGTGGTTTGGTGGTGCATCCTCCCCTCCCCCCCCCCCCGCACCTGCAGCATCTCCCGGGTGCCCATGCCCCCCCGCATGACGCCACCCAGCTGTCGCAGCGTCTGGTGGCGCAGGTAGTAGAAGGAGGCGATGCGGCCCAGCGGGGTGGGGCGCACAACCCCGCCACCGCCGCCTAAATCGCCGTCGTCGTCGCCCTGCGTGATGCAGCTGCGGAAGGGCAGGAGAAGGAGAGGGGATGGGAAGGAGCAGTAAGGAGCAACAGAAAGGGAGAGAGGGAGAGAGGCAGGAAAGGAGGTGCGAGAATGTTAACGCCGCATGCGTCCTTGAGAGGCGAGCTTTGGGGAGGGTTGAGCACTCTGAGCAGTACGGATGAGGGGTTTGCAAACCCCCACCTTCTCTCTCCCCCGACCTCGCACCACACACAATGGGTACCCCCCCCCCCCCCCCCAAACCTACCCCACCCCCTTCCCTCCCCATCCCACCACCCCGCCCCACCCCGCCTCCTCCAGCTGCCCCAGCGCCTCCGCCACCAGGCCGCTCATGTAGGCATTCACCGACTCCGCATCCGTGCCTCCCAGGTCGTAGTAGGAGGGGTTCTGCAGCAGGCGGCGGAAGAAGTAGGTCCAGGTTAGGTAGTCCACCGCGTCCTGGCGGCTGGTGATGGTGCCCGCAACGATCTCGGCGTTGAAGTGGTCGGCCACCTGCGGGTCGGGGGTTGGGGAGGCAGCCAAGCCAGTAATAGGCGTCACGTTTCCGAAACGCTGGGTGCCGCTCTCTCTCGTTGCAAGTATGAGTGTAATCCGCATGCCGCCGTGAACCTATGCAGCCTCTAAAAGCGCAGACGCGCAGGCACGGCTGTCAAGCTCTGTTCCCTTCACCTCCAGCCCCGCCCACCCTCCTTTCCTCTTTTCAACCCCTTCTCCCCGCCCACCCCCCTCCCCTACCTGCTCCCTCAGGCTGGACTCCACGGGGAAGGGCTCGTACAGGAAGCGCTTGTAGAACTGCTTCTTGGGTTCGTGCACCATGATGACGGCCACACCGTGCCGGTCGTACTGCGGGCGACCCGCGCGACCCATCATCTGGGGGGGGGGGGGAGGAGGGAGAAGTGGGGTGGGGGGAGGAGGGGGGAGGGGAGGTAACATGAGGGCAGCAGCAGCGGCAGGGGGGAGCTCTCCTAGCCGCCCGCTTACCACATTGCGAATCTGGCTCGACGGTGCTGTGTTTGGACCTCACACACACCCTTGCATATGCACACCCAAAACGCGCGCAGTGTCCTCACCCTTTCACACACCCCTCCCCTCCCCAGGGCGTGTCATCTAGTTCCCCACACTGTCACACAACACATCTTCCTTTCCCCTCCCCTCCCCTCACTCCTCCCCACCCACCCCCTCCCCCCTGACCTGCAGCACATCCGTGATTGGGAAGTCCACATAGCGCCGCGAGCGCGCATCGAAGAACTCGGTGCCCTTGATGATCACCAGGTGAGCCGGCGTGTTGACACCCCAGGCTAGCGTGGAGGTGGCCACCAGCACCTGGGGGGGGAGGGAGGGGGAGGGGGAGGGGAGGGAAAAGGAGAGTACCCAATGTGTTGAATGAGGCTGGCAAACTAGATGACAAGCCCCAGGGAAGGGGGAGAGGAAGGCGGAGAGGGAGGGGAGAAGGAGGGGTAGAGAGGACACACCGGCATGTTTCTGTCTCCACACACCCGCAAGAGCCGTGTCAGCATCGTTGGGTTCCTCTTCCACAGCTCCGCAACCCATACCCCCCCCCCCCACAGCCCGCCCCCACCTGTATCACTGGTTCACTGCACATTTATTATTGCTTCACTTATCTTTGCCCCTCCCCCCCCCACCTGTATCTTGCACTCCACGTACCCCCTTCCCCCTCCCCCCCTCCCCCTCACCTGTATCTTGCACTCCACATACCCCCTCCTCCCCCTCCCCCTCCCCCTTCCCCCTCACCTGTATCTTGCACTCCACATACAGCCTCTCCACCAGGCCCCTGTCCCGCTCCCCCAGCCCCGCGTGGTGCAGCCCGATGCCGAACTGCAGGCAGTGCCGCAGCGCCGCGTCCTTCACCCCGCCCAGGCAGCCGGACAGCTCGGCCTCCGACATGTGCAGGAACTGGGCGGGCCGGTTGTCGGCGACTGGGAGGGGGAGGGGGGGAGGGGGGGGAATAGATGATGAGTGCAGCAGGGGGGTGAGGAGAATAGAGGTTGTAACTTCCACTTGGAAGGGGGGAAAAGAAGGATACCCAACGGAGGGAGGTGAGGAAGCGGGTGGGGTCTGGGTTCCGATGGGGACAGGAAGCGTGACAGGCGTCGCACAACCTCACTCGTGCAAAAACGAGGAGGCAGGGAGTCTCCTCACAGAGCCCCCCTTTCCCTTCCCTTCAGCTCCTCTTTCTCATCCTGCTCCCTCACCCTGCTCCCTCACCCCCACCCTCCTGCTCCCCCCTGTCATAAAGCTCGTCAGTTGCATCGCCACTGTCTCCTAAATGCTTTTACTCCTCACCCGCGTATGTTATGAGGTCCAGGGCGGTGAGGCGGGTCTGCCGGCGTGAGGACACGAACACAAGAACCGGCTTGGTGGGGGAGTGGACCTGGTGGTGGTGGGGTGGGGCGGGGGGGGAGGGGGGGAGGTCAAGAGATATACAGAAACCACAGGTAAGGGCAAAGCAATGGGGACACAAGAGGAAAGCAGGAGGGGCGGGGGTCAGAGACCATCATACCAAAGCACAGGAAACGACAGGTAAGGGCAAAGCAATGGGGCAACCTCCGCCCCCAGCCCACAGGTTGTCAGTGTTTCCTCTTCTTACCCCCCACCTGTATCGCTGCATACGCGGGTTTGTTCATGGCCGCCATGCGCGGGCAGTAGAACTTGCCCGGGTAGCCCTGGATGTGGCACTCCAGGGGGACGGGGCGCACGCTGGGTTTGAAGTTGAACAGACCCGCGGGTCCGATTCCCAGCCAGTCAGCCAGGTCCTTATGCGGGGAGAAGGGAGGAGGCATGGGGGGAGGTGGGTAAATGGGGGGTAAAAAGAGAAAACTGACATGGTGGTAGGGCGGAGAAAACAGCAGCAAGTTGGTATGACCATGTTTGGGGGATGAGGCTGGGTTTGGGTTGGGAATACGGCAAAAGGGGTGGGGCAAGTTGGGCAAGATGTGTACGGCAGTAGGAGCAGCGGCAGTTAAGGTACACGCACACAATAAGAGGAGCTGAAGGAGCGTTCCCCGTAGCCAAACGCCACAACCGGATACCAACCGGCACTACCGGTATATGTTGACCCGCCTCTGCATGTCCTTCATGCTTGCCTGCCACCCTCCCTTCTACGCCTCATATCCCACCCCCCCTCCACCGTTTTACGACCCCCCCTACCCCCAACCCGCCCCCACACCCCCTCATTCAACACACTGGGTATTCTTCTTTTCCCCCCTCTTACCTGCGCATTCGCCAGCGCCGTTGACAGTCCCACGAACCTCACTTGCTGCCCGCCCGCCGCCGCTGCGATGTAGCGCATGCGGCTGACGATCACCTCCAGGGTGGGTCCGCGGTCGGCTCCCAGCAGGTGGATCTCGTCGATGATGAGCAGCCCCACCTGGGGGGGGGGAAGGAGAGGAGGGGGGATAAAAATAAGGAAAACTGACGAACTGAAAGACGGAAGGGGAGAGGGGAGGGGGGAGGGGAGAGGGGGAGGGGGGAGGGAGGGGGTCAAAAAAGACCAACCCATAGGAAACCGGGGGGGAGAATAAGGGAACCAAGGGGGCCGTCTCCTATCCTCTTAGCTTCGCCCTAACCTGTGGTTTCCCATGGTATGGTGTATGGTCTTTGACCCTCCCGCACCTTCTTGACGTAGCCCCTGGTCTGCCATGCGCGCGAGATGCCGTCCCACTTCTCGGGCGTGCAGATGATGATGTCAGCCGCCAGCAGTGCACGCAGGTCGGGAGTGTAGTCACCTTTTGGAGGGGGGTGGGAGGGGATTGAATGAGGTGAGTGAGGCGGGAAGATGGCTTGGAAAAGAAGCAGGGAGGGACCCCTCCCCTCCCAGCCCTACCGTCCTATTCCGCCCTCCCCCTTTCCGAATACGCACACTGCATGAGTCGGGATATGGGCTTGGGACTCCAGTTGCTGCACTTATAATTATTCTCCCCCCTCTCCCAGCCCCCCCCCTCCCACCCGTCAGCTCCACCATCTTCTTCCCCAGCAGCGGACACAGCCGCTCGCCCCAGTCGCTCAGCCGCTCCCGAACCAGCGCCTTCAGCGGGGCGACGTAGATGACCTTGGGGGGGAAGGGTGGGGGGCAAGGGGCGGAGGTTGCGTGTGCTAAGAAAACTGGCCGCGAGTAGGAACGTGCTCATGTACGGCATTGGGTGAGAGGCGTGTACGGTCAGGACATGTTTACAGGTTTCCCAACACCCCACCTTGTTTTGCCCCAACCTGTGTTTTCCTATGAATTGGTATGGTCTTTGATTTCCCCCCCCCCCACCTTGAGCCCCGGGTGTGCGGTCCACAGTCGCATCATGGTGAGCTCGCTGCTGATGGTCTTGCCTGGGGGGGAAGGGGGGGGAATTGGGGAGGGTAAAAAAAATAATATGATGAGACACTGACGAAGCAGATTAATATTAGGGGATTGGGGAGGGGGGGGGAGATGACACAAACACACGACGTGACAGGTAGGCTCCATGGTGATGCCTTATCACACGGGTAGCTAGTTGTTTCCTCTTTATCCGCTCGTACATATGCATCTTTTTTAAGTAGTTCCTTTTTCCCCTTAGCTTACCCGAAACCCTCCCTTTCTTTCTCGGGCTGGGCGGGTCGGACTGGCTCACGTGTTGCAAAGCATGTTGAAGCCTTACCACACGGTCAGTCGGTGTTTCCTCTTTCCCCCCACGCCCGCCACCCCTTCCTCCTTACCCGACCCCGTAGGCGCCCCCAGCAGCACGTTCTCGTCCGTGTGGTACAGCGTGTGGAAGGCCTGCGTCTGGATGGGGTTGAAGTGGGTGAAGCGGCCCGCGTAGAGGGTCTCGTAGGCGGGGTGGCGCAGCGCGGAGAGGGGGAGGGGGTCCAGGTCGAGCAGCTCTGGAGGAGGGAGGGAGGGAGGGAGGCGGAGGTCAGAGAGGGAGCGCGGATGGATGGGTCGCGAGGAGGCAAGCGCCCAAATCGCGTCACTGCCATTGCTGCACCTGACTACTGCACCCACCCTTTTACCTTCCCCTTGATCCCCGCCACCCCCACATTCGCTGCAACACCCCTCCCTCCCCCCTCCCCCTTCCCCCCTCCCCTTCCCCCATTCCCCCCCACCCGTGTGCGGCGGCATGCGCTCCGGCAGTATGAGCCCCCCGAACGACAGCTCCAGCCACGCCTCCGCACCCAGCCACCCGTCCGCCACCGCACGCACGTAGTACTGCGGCGGCAGCGGCTCGAAGATGGGGATGGTGAAGGCGAGGCGGTGGGAGTCGGAGTCGCGAGCCATCTTCTTGGTGAGAAGCCAGATCTGGGGATGATGAAAATAAGGAGGGGGGTGGGGTGGAGGGGGTGGAGGGGGTGGAGGGGGTGGAGAGGGAGTGGTGGATGGAGGGGCGGGTTAGGCGGGGGGTGGGTTACGGAGGTGGAGACACGCCCTCCTACTTTACTCCTCTAAGCCTTTCCCCCTTCCCCCACTCCGGCCACTCACTCCCGCTCCCCGCCCCCCACTCCCATGGGGCGGGTCGGGCTGGCTCACATGTCGCAAAGCATGATGAAGCCTTAAACACACGGCTAGTTCGTCGTTTCCTCTTTACCCCACTCCCTTCCACGCTTCCACCTCTCACATTTTCATCCCTTCCCTTCCCCATTCCCCACTCCCCACCCCTCACCTCGCTGTGGTAAATGTGCTCATTCTTGCCGTCCTCCACCCAGATGTGCCACCTCAGCCCGCTGCCGTGCTGCCGCTCCCGCCACTCGAACGTGGGCCTTATGTCCAGCTGGATCCGCAGCACGGTGCGGGTGATGGGCTGCAGCGAGGCGGAGAGCTCCAGGGAGGGGAAGGCGGCCACGCAGCCCTTCACCAGCGGCCCGGCGGCGGGGTGGCGCAGCAGGGAGCCTATTTCGCGCTCCTCCATGTCGCGCATCTCCCAAATGCCCATGGAGTCCTGGAGGGGGAGTCAAAGGACATACCATACCATAGGGGGGGGGTCAAAAAAGGTTACGGCAAAGCAATTTGGATAGGAGACGGCAGGGTGCCACAATACAAGTGTACGCCACCGTCTTACCTGCCTGTCCTCAAGCTTCTGCAGCAGTTCCGGCCCCAGCCCTGGAGTGCCCTCGAACTGCCGCAGCGGGTGGTTGTGCGGCCACAGGCGCAGCTCCAGGGCCTTGGCCAGCGTGAGGCAGGTGTCGGCCATGCTGCTCCACTTGCGCCTGGGGGGGGGGGGGGGGGCGGTGGTGGAAAGAAGGATTCCGGAGGCGGTGATAAGAATGTGAGAGATAGCCAAAGCCATAGGTTAGGCCAAAGCATTGGGGATAGAGGAAAGAAGTTAGGGAGGGGGGCAGGGTGGGGTAAAGAGGAAACAACTATCTGACCGTGTGATAAGGCGTCATCATGGTTTGCAACATGCTCCCCCACCCACAGTGCCCATCTAGTTCGTCAGTATCCTTAATCTTGCCCCCCACCTGAGGCAGATCTCGAATATGGCCCGCATGATGCGCGGCGCGTTCTGGCTGGCGAACATGAGGTCGGCGGTGAGCGAGAAGCTCTCCAGGCGGGCGCGACTGATCCAGGCCTGTGGAGGGGGGAAGAGGGGAAAGGAGGGGGGGAGAGGGAAGTGGGAGTGGAGGGGAAGAGATGGAAAGGAATGGGAAGGAGGACTGGGAGAGAGGGGGGATAGGCCGTTTGGCGGGGATGGAAGAGTGACAAGGGGGAAGGCTTTCATTTCCCTAGGGAGCCCTACGCCCTTCGGGAGCGAGGACCTGGGAGCAGCATGCCGCAGCGCCCAAGCCGTTCCTAGCCCTCCACCTCCCACCACTGTCCCTCACCCACCCACCTCTGCCCCCCCCCTCCCCCTCTTGTAGCATGGCACTTCCTCCCTCTCCGCCCCCGCCTCCCACCCCAACCCCCCTTCCCGCCTACTCGATTCCATTCACCAGGAGCTTGTCGTCTTGTTTGCCATTCTCATTCAACGCATTGGGTATTCTTCTTTCCCCGCCTCCTCCCCCTCCCCCCCACCTGCATCAGCACGTTCGCCTTGCCCGCCTTGTTGTCATTGCCGCCCAGCCCCTTCACCGGGTACGGCACACGGCGGGCCAGCTCGTCCAATTCCGGCAGCTCCTCCTCGCGGACCTGGGGGGGGGCGGGGGTCACAAAAAATGAGTGCTAAGTTATACAATACGCCTAACAACAACAACAACAACAGCAGCATACAAACAACACTACATCAGCCTAGCCCCCCTTCCTCTCCCATGTGGCCATGTCATCTCCTCCTCCTCCACGCTCTCAAGCTACCCTCTCCCCCTCCCCCCTCAGCAACCCATGGTGAACCATCGTCATACAGTTCGTCCGTTCCTTATCCCCTCCTCCTCCCCCCCTCCCTCACCATGAGCTGCTCGAACTCCGCACTCTGCGCCACCATGCTCAGCACCTCCCCCACCCCCATGTGCGGCCGCAGCAGCCGGTTGAAGGTGACCATGCTGGCGGCGCGGATGTAGAAGTGCGAGGCCACGCGACCCAGCTCAGTGACGTACAACGCGCCGGAGCGCTCGTCGTACACGGCCATCTGGGACTCGCGGAGGGTGCGGGCGGCGGCGACGACCAGGTCGCGTTTGTGGGCTGGGAGGAGGGGGAGGAGGAGGGGGGGTGAGGAGGAAGGGGGGAGGGGTGTAAGTAGAGACGAGGCTTCACCATGGGTGGGGTGGTGGGTGGGAGACTTTGAAGTCTTCTTGAGGTTGGGCCCTGTTTGCCCTCAAGACACGGAAACGCCCTTTCGAAAGATCTCTAGCAGAGGCATGAGGAGGCAACAAGAGCAAAGACAGCCAACCAAGAATAACATCAAGATCAATTACAACAACAACAACAACAGCAGAAGTAGCAACACCGGAGATGAAAGCAACACATCCAAACGTAGATGAGCCCCTCCGTGGTGTGTAGGTACGACACAAAAGAGGCGCATGCGCGATGTGCACCGTGCCCCATGTCGTGTCGTGTGTGTGTTTCGTGTGTGTCGTATCCTGTCGTACCGTCCAGTCCCGGATCCAGTACGAGTTGGTCGTACGTGACGCCGTACGCCAGGGGGTTCCGCTCCAGCCTCCGGGCCATGTAGGAGTAGCCTAACCAGGCAACACCCTCGCGCACGTTGGTGACGGTGCCCAACACGATTTCTGGGAGGGCGGGGGAGGGAAAATTATATAAGTGAAACAACGAGTCCCAATCCCATATCCCGACTCATGCAGTGAGCGCATTCGGAGACACTATCCTAGAAGCACGCATCTCCAAAAAGGGGGGGGCGGAGGTGGCGGTGGCGGAAGGGCGGGGAAAGGGTAAGGACACAGCAAGGAGTTAAGGGAACCCCTCATACCCTCCTCCCTTCCTACCCAATGGGTAATCTTCTTTCCCCCCCTCCTCCCCCCCTTCCCTTGGTCAGTCTTTCTTTATTATTTTTACCCCCTTTCCCCCCTCCTCCCCCATCCCCCACGCGCATTCAGGTTATCCCCCCCACCCGTCCCCACCTCCCCCCTCACCCGCATTCAGGTTGTCCACTAGGCACTTTGCGAACTGGCTCTCGATGGCGCTCTGGTGGGTGAGCATGCCCAGGTAGTGCGCCAGCTTGTCGTGAGTGGTGAGGATGATGCCCAGACCTGCAAGGGGGGGTGGGGGGTGGGGGTAGAGGGGGGGGCGTGGTAAGGAGTAAAGAGGAAGGGGGGTTAGTCTACATGACAACGGGGCAGGGAGCAGTGACGGTAGAGGGACCCCTATGTCAGCTAGTTTACCACTATCACACCATACATTGGAATTTCTTTTTTCCCCACCCGCTCCACTCACCGCTATCCTCGTACTGCGGTCTGCCCGCTCGTCCAAAGATCTGCTGCACATCCAACATGCCCACGTCAGCAAACCCGCCCTTCTGCGCGTCGTACACCTGCGTGCCCTTGATGATGACCGTGTGTGCGGGCAGGTTGACGCCCCATGCAAGGGTTGCCGTACACACCAGCACCCGCAGCAACCCCTCCGCGAAGAGGCGTTCCACGAGGGAGCGGTCGGGTCGCAGCATGCCCGCGTGGTGGATGCCGAAACCCAGTTCGAACAGCTCGGCCATCTCGCGGTTTCTGAAGGGGAAGGAAGGAAAGGAGGGGAATGAAAGAGGGGTAAAGAGGAAACAACTAACTGACTGAGGGATAAGGCGTCAACATCAAAACAGCTCTTCATCCGGTTGCGCGGCGTTAACTGAAACCGGATGAAGAGGGCGCGGGGCGAGGAGGAGGAGCGTGACGCGTGTGGGGTGTACAGGGCAACGTAGGCGGTATCATTGCCCGCATCACCCTAATCCCTCCTCCCCCCCTCCTGCCGTCTCCTATCCCTCCTAGGGTTGCCTTGCCCTAACCTGTGGCTTCCCATGCTACGGTCCAATGTCTTCGCCTTCCCCCCTCCTTCCCCTCCCCCCCCTACAGCTCGTCAGTTGCATCGTCAGTGTCTCATTATCCCCCCTCCTACCTGCTCCTCCGTACATCCTTTGCGAACAACCCGTACTTCTCATGCTCCCGCGTATCCAGCAGCGCCGCCTCCCCCGCCTTGGCCGCCAGGTCCGCCAGCACACGTGCGGTCTTGCCGGTGTCCTTGCGGCTGTGTACGAACACCATCACCTGGTAGCCGGCCTTGAGCGACTCGGACAGCTAGGGGGGGAGGAGGGGAGGGGGAGGGGTGCATGGGGGCAGGGTTCCGGAGGAGGGCATAGGGGGTGCATGGAGGAGGTGCATGGTTGGGGCAAGACAATGGGGTGGGTGGGTGCGGACGTGAGCGTTACGGTACCCGGCTGAGAGCCATTCACATGCAGGCGACATTCCGTAATATATTCCCGATTTCCCGTAGTATACGGCATGTGGGTTCCGACTACGTTGCCTGAAAACCCAGCCCACCCCAGCCCTCTATTTCCCCCTTCCCCTCCTCCACTCCCCCCCTTCTCACCTTGTTGTAGCACACCTCGTTCATCACATTCTGCCGCGCCAGGAAGTTCTTCTCACTCACGCCCACGAACTGCATCTCCAGCGGCACGGGGCGGTAGGAGGCGTCGAAGTGGAAGAGGCCGCTGTTGGGGCTGACGCGCAGGAAGGCGGCCACGTCCTCGTAGTTGGGAAGGGTGGCGGACAGGCCCACGATGCGGATCATGGACTGGCTGGCCTCAACCTGGGGGGGGGGAGAGGGGGAGAATAGGGGTGTGACTAATAGGGTTACATATTGCGGTGGGAGGGAGGAGGAGGGGAAAGGCGGGAAGGAGGGAGGTGGGGGAAAGGATACATCACCCACGGGTCCACCCCACACCCCCCACCTGTCTCAGCGTGCGTGCAATGAGTGCCTCAATGACTGGCCCCCGGTCGTCATTCAGCAGGTGCACCTCATCCACGATGAGCAGCTTGACCAGCGAGGAAACTGACACGTCGCCGCCCTGGAGGGGGAGGAGGGGGAGGAGGAGGAGGGAGGAGAGGGGTGATGGCAAGAGCTAAGGGGCAGGGACGACCCGCCTGAAGGAGTGTACCCAAACCAACGACAGGTGAACGAACGGCCCCCCCCACCTTCACCGCCTCTCTTCCCCCTCATCGCCCTCGCCCTCCCGCCGCCGTCCCATCCCCCCAACACACTGGGTATTCTTCTTTCCCCCCCCCCCCACACCTTGCGTGTGATGACGTCCCACTTCTCGGGTGTGGTCACGATCATCTGTGTCTCCGCCAGCTCCCGCTTGCTCAGCTGCATGTCGCCCGTCAGCTCGCGAACAACAAGACCTGGTGAGGAGGGGGGGATGAATAGGGATACATGTTCCGCATTAGGGGGTGCCAGGGGGAGGGGGTCAAAGACCATACCGAACCATAGGAAGCCACAGGTTGGGGCAAGACAACCGGGGAGGTGGGAGGAGGGTAGGGAGGGGTGGAAGTGGTGGTGGTGGGTAGACGAAGAAGGTCGCTTCAGACTGCCCATCCAAGAGGGACCCACGGGCAATCGCTTAGCGCTCCGATAGCGCTGCCCGCACAACCTCCTTCATCCCACCCTTCTCCTCCCTCTCCCTGCCCCGCATGGTTCGTCTCCCCCCCTTTCACTTCTCCTCCTGCCTCCCCTTCTACCCAGCGGTCCCCCCCCTCCCCTCCACCCTCACCCAGCGGCTCCAGCCTCTTTGAAAAGTTGGCCGTCACCTCCGCTGCAAGCGCCTGCATGGGGGTATTGTGTACCGGTGCCAAAGGGTTACTATTTAGTAATCCATATCCATATCCATAGTAGTAGTCCATATCCATATCCATAGTTTTACTAAATGGACAATGGATGGCCACCAATAATCCTTCGTAGCTGAAAACTGGATCAGTAGTTAGACGGGGTCATATAACATCGGTGAGGTTGCAGCAGCAGCAGCAGCAGCAGCGAGAACAACTTACTACTACTTAATGATGTAGTACGATGTAGTAAGCCATGTAAACATGCAGCAGCAGCAGCAGCCGCAGGCAGACCCACCTTCATGGGGGCCACATACACGATCTTGAAATCCGCTCGCTGGATGACGCCGTACCGCATGTTGGATCCGATCTCCCGAAGTACGGCAATCATGGCGATGTTGGTTTTGCCGGCGCCTGGGTTCCGGGGTGTGTTGGGGGGGACGGGGATGTGTGGGGAGTGGGGTGAGAGATGGGGTTGGAACGGTTGGAACAACCAAATACAATCCACAGCAGTACCCGCCTCTTCCTACCTCTATCCCCTACATCAAACCCGCCACGGCCATGCACGGTACCGGTGCACGGAGGGAAGGTGGAACCACCTCCCCCGCACCACCCCTCATCCCCGCCCCCCCTTCCCCGTCCCTCCCTCCCCCCCACCTGTGGGCGCGCACACCAGGATGTTCTCGTTGGAGTGGAAGGCGGTTTTGAAGATGCGGCTCTGGATGCGGTTGAGCGACTTGTAACCGGGGAATGCGAGCTGTGCGTGGGAAGGACGGGAGGGGGGTCTGAGTTATACCAAAACCACAGGTTAGTGGCGGGTGGCAAGAGGATGAGGGGAGGTCATGGGGGGTGGAGATGAGGATAAGAAGTGGGTAAGAACGCGTGGGTTCAAGGGTTGTCGGGTTATCCAGGTTGCTAACCACGTGCTAGGTTTACGTGGCGCGCTCGCATAGACGTTGCTCCAGCTTCACCCAGCCTTCGCCACATCTTCCCGTCTTGGCCCCTTCTCGTCCCTCTCCTCCTTGAGAAGGTTTTCTTTCCCTCCCTCCCTCCACTCCCCCTTTTCCCCCCCCTCCAATCCCACCTGCGCCCACTCCTCCAGGTCCGCAATGCGCACCAGCTCGCCCTCCTCCGGCGGCGGGGCGCGGGGGGCGGCGGGCACCAGCACCTCCTCGTACCCCTTGTACGTCCTGGGGGGAAGGAAGGGGTGGGAGGGGCGGGGAGAAGGGGCAGGGGTTTGTAGGGGGGGACATGTAGGGCCCCACCCACCAACCCCCCTAGCTGCTGCCCCCCTTCCTTTCTCTCTCCCTCCTTCCCGCGCTTCATCACATCGAAACACCCGTAATCACCTCCCTCCCCCCTCCACTCCGCCCCGCTTGATTGTATACAATCCTAGACTCCAGCCTGAAATCCAGCCAAATGCGGGCTATTTTTTCCCTATTAATCCCCCCACCCCCCTGCTGCTCACTTGCGCACGGTCCCCTTGGGCAGCGCCCCCCTGGCCGCCCCGCCCGCCTGCCCCTCCCCGCTGCCTATCCGCAGCTCCACCCCCCCGGCCAGCAGGATGGTGTTGGCGGCGGCGGCGGGGGGCGCCTCGATGTCCATCAGCGCGCGCATGCCCGCCTGCATGAGCCACTCCACCTCCACCTCCGCGTCGCTCTTGCCCTTGGAGCCCTGCTTCTTAGCATCCTTGCGCTGCAGTTTGGCCAGCAGCTTCTGGCTGCTGCTGGTGATGGTGACGGTGGTGCCGTACACTGGCATTGAGGAGGAGGCGGAGCCACCTGCACCTGCACCTGCCGTACCGCCCATGTCCCCCAGTACGGCACCCCCGCCGTACAGCTCCTTGTAGCGGGCGATGGCGGCACTCAGGGCGCGGGTTACGGACTTCCTGTGTGCGAGTAGGAAATAAGAAATATAAGTTAACTTGTGAAATAAGGAAAAGGAAGGGGGAAAGGAGAAAGGGAAGGATAGACGGAAATTAGGGAAGGGGGAAGGGGATGTGCATGTTGGGTTGGGCGGGAGATAACAGATAGTCTCGTCCAAACTCCCCATAAACCTCACCCATGCAACATGCTACATGCCCCCCACCCATGCATCCCTTCCACAATCACCCCCCACCCCCATGCAACCCCCCTTCCCCCCAAACCCCCACCTGTGCTCCATAAGCTCATGCAAGCTCTCAAACGCCGCATCCCCAAGCATGTCGTACAGCTGAGCTGCCAGCTCGTCCCCTCCTCCCCCCGCCGCTGCCCCCAGCAGCAGCGCCGCTACGGCGGTGGCGGTGGAGGCGACGTCCTCGCCACCCGCCGCCCCCTGGGACCCCACCACCCGCTCGCACCAGCGGTACAGCCACACAACACCCACCTGTGGAGGGTGGAGAGCAGGGGAGGGCGTGGGCAGGATGGGGATGTGGGTCCGTAAGGGTTGAGCCAAGGTGGTGGCAGCCGCGTCCCAACCAATAGCGTTTTTCACCTTCGTAACCCTTTCCCTCCGCCCCGCCCTGCCTCGACAGCAGCAGGGCTGCCGCCCCCCCCCCCCCCAAACTCACAGCTCGTTAGTTGCCTCGTCAGTTTCCTTAATCCCCCCCAATCCTGCCCCCCCTCCAAAACTCACATCCCGCAGCTTCTTGCGATCCAGCGTCTCATCGTCATCCCCGTCATCATCGTACATTGTGTACGGCATTGCTCCTCCTCCTCCGTCCGCCCCTTCTCCTCCTCCCGCTGCTGCTGCTGCCAGCAGCTGCTTAAACTCCTCGGGAGAGGGCTCACTGGTGTACGGCAATCCGTACGACAGCCCCCCTGCTGCTCCTCCTCCTCCTCCTTGCGGTCGCCGTGCACCATCCGCCGTGCAGAAGAGCTCGATAGCTTCATCCGCCCGCAGTGCCACCTCGGGAAAGTTGAACTCTAGATCCGCCCCAAACTCCCCATGAACCTGCTGCCGCTGCTCCTGCTGCTGTCCTCCCTGTCCTCCTGCTCCCGCCCCTCCTCGTGCGCCAGCTGCCGGCTCCTTCCCCACCGCTACCGCTGCATTCCGCAGTGCCCCCAGCGCCTCCCACAAGCCCGTCATCGCCGCCTCCTTCACCACCGGTCCCAGCTGCGCCTGCAGGGCTTCCCGGTGCGGCCGAAGAGCTTGACCCATGGGTCGGCCGCGGGCGGTGTCGGGCGGCGGCAGCGCACCCCACCGGCGCCACACCAGCAGCGCTAGGGAGCGCAGCTCGGGAGGGGAATGTTCGCCGTCGATAGCGGAGGAGACGGCCTGAGGAAGAGAGGGAGGAGAGGGGATGGAGGGAGGGAATAGGGGTAGGAGAGGGAATGTAGGAGGGGTAGGAGATGGAAGGTAGGAGAGGCAGGAAGCAAGGTTAACTACTAGCGCGCTTCGACCTAGGAAGGCATCCAAGGTGGTGCCGACCCAGGTCAAACATGGTGCAGTGAGAGCGAACCCAGATCATATTGGGGGACAAGAGCCGACCCAGATCAAACATAGTGGAAAGAAGGCATCCCAGAACAGATATCGGGGACAAGAGCCGACCCAAATCAAATAAGGTGACAAGAGCCGACCCAGTTCAAATGGGTGATAAGAGCCAACTCAGATCAAAATAGGTAACAAGAGCCGACCCAAATCAAATATGGGGGACAAGAGCCGACCCAGATCAAAAATGGTGAGGGGACAGCCGACCCAAATAAAAAAACAGTTGAGGGACAGCCGACCCAGATCGTACAAGAGGCCCTTAGGCCACCAGAAGGACGTGTGCCACCCTCCTGTTCTTCCCTCCTCGTTTCCCCTCCATGTCCCCTCCTCTCTCCCTCTTAACCCTCCCTCCACAGCCCCCACCTTGAGGAACCTGTCGTACGCGTCACGTGCCGCCCGGGGAACTGTGTTGTACGACAGGGGGGAGAGAGTGGGGGGCAATACGGATGGTGAGAGATGAGCGGGGAGAAGAAGAATGCGTGAGGAAGGAAAGTGAAAGGACAGGTAAAGTAGGACAGGCGATGTACGGATTGATGGGCTAATTACGAATCGATGCCCAAGATAGCCGGGCCAGGCCAAAGGAAAAAGGGAAGTGGTGGTTACCCCACATGCGTTCATGCCAGATGCCACCCCACGCCCCCAACCCCTCACACACTGGAATTTCTTTTTTACCCCCAACCCCTCACGTCTCTCACCCTTATCGCAGCCGGCACCAAACACCTCCGCAAGCAGCGCCGCCTCATCCCCCTCCGCTGCACCCCCTGCTCCGGAACCGCCCCCTGTTGCCCCTCCTCCTACTACTGCCCTCCTATCCCCGCTCCCCCCAATGCTTCCGCTGCTGCTGCCGGCTGTAGCTGCCTGCAGCGCCGACCCACGGGCCACTGTGAGGGCGTCCACATCTAGTTGGCGGAGGTGGGGCGGTACGGCAGAGGGGCCGCCCGCCTGGTCCAGTACTAGGGAGCGGAGGAGGGTGGTCAGGCGGGGAACCTGTGGCGGGATGGGGATGGGGGAAGGTGTGAAAAGTGTGGCGGGAGGCTGGAGGGCGAGGAGGTGAAGGGGAGAGGAGGGAGGTGCACGGAAGGCTATGGGTGCGGGGTGAGCAGGGTTTGTGATGAGATGGAAGGGAAGGGAGAAAGGTTAGGAAAGGGACGATAACGTGGCACGAGGCATGGCCGGAAGTAGATGGAAGCGACATATGCTGGGTAAGCCGCACCTGGCCATCGTTTGTAATTGTTAGCGCGCGGCCCTTGCCCATGGTGGCGAGGCCGCGCGCTACGGCCTGCTTAAGGGCGTGCTTGGCCTCAATGGACAAAGCTGCTCCCAGGCCAACAAAGTAGTATGTAACTTGCTACGACTTCCTACGATTTGCTACGATGGATAATTACTTCACCGCTATCCAAAGATGACAGCTCTGCGGTAAGAACGAAGTGATGATTTGCCAACACGATCGCCGCAGCTTGCTGCTAGAAATAACCTCCGTGGTACTTGCACAAACCTATAAAAGCTAATTTGTCAAATACTGCAACACAGGGAAGGTTAACGCAGAAAGCAGTTCCAGGGGTCCTTTACTAACGGCACAGCTGGTGATTCGCTTTCCATCGCGACGATCTCTTCCTCCAGACTTCCCATCTCTTACATCCCTTGAAGGAAGTGATCATCAATTTATTCCACAGGCAAAAACCAAATGTTAAAATTCCTTCTACTCTTGCGACTTGCATTATCCATAAAAGGAGACCAAGGGAAGAAACGTTTTGCTTAGAATCAATGCAATGAAGTTGTATACGTTTAAATCAAGCTTCGTTCCAGTTGTGCGCTCAAATCGCCGGGCAAGCAGTGGCAAGAACCCCAGCCCCGCTTGCACGAGCTCTGCACGCTCAACACCTAAGCGCTTTCCGGCGATCTGGGTCGCCAGCACCACAGCTGCCGGGAGTAGTCGTAGGCGGATGGTGACGCTAGCGGGGTCTCACTTAGAAGGCAACGATGACGATGATGAGCCCGGTAGGAAAGAGCGCTCGGGTACAGTGCTGATGTTCATCCTTTCCTTGGGAACTTCTTCACGGTAGACTCATGCAATCTGTGGTCATATATTCACTCGTCGCGCACCACGGGTGTCCCAAGGTTTCCTCGTACCTAGGGCGTCAAAAGCACTTTACACATACGTACGTTTGCTGCTGCTCGTTGCACCCAGCTGCTTGCTCGTTCACCCTCTTCAACCCGTACTCCTGCTGTGGTGTACCATCCAAGGCCCTGAACGGCACCTACTTGCAAACCCCTATTCCTCTTTCCTCATGCAAAGTCATTAATGCAACCCACATCATCCCCACCCTCACTTCACCTTTCCGCATTCCCAACCGCAGCCCTATCCAACCGCCCAACCGCTTCCCGCCTCATCTCAACCGCCCAACCGCCTCCACCTGCACCACCAGCCTCAACCGAGCATCCTCTTCCTCCACACCTCTCCTCGCCCACCTTCACCTCGCCAACCTCTCCAACTGCCACTGACACCGTTGTACCAACCGCCTCAACACCCCTCCACAATCTCACTGCGAGGACCATCTCCTTTGCCACCTCACCCCAAGCGTCCCAACTACCAACATACGAGCCACCTACAACAACAGCACCAGCAGCAGCACAAACAATAGCACCAGCAGCAGCCCCGGTAACGTTATCAACCACCACCACCAGTGCCACCACTGCTGCAGCCATGGGGGCCTCTGCTGGCACTGCAGCCCTGCTGGGCCATTCAGTCAGCGGCGGCACCGCCCCTTCCACGTCAGCCGCGGGTGCGCATGCTGCTGCTGCCGCTGCTACTGCAGGGCCCTATACGGCGCCTGCGACGGCCCCCTACTCCCGCCCCGCCTACTCCTCCTTTGGTGGCGCCAGTGCAGCTAGCTACGGAGGCGGCGGAGGAGGAGGAGGCGGAGGCGGAGGGGGCTCCCCCGGCAGTCCCCGCTCCCTCCGCCCTTGGAGCCCTGCCCTAGTGGTGTTCAGCGGGGGCACGGCTTTCAATAGCGTGGCAGGTAGAGGGACAGCTGGGGGGCGGTGCGGGGTGGTGGTTGCGGTGTGGAGAAGTGGAAGACGAGGAGGGTGCAGGGGTGATGGGAGGTGAAGGAGGGGGTGGCACGTCATCCTTGACCCTCCCCTTCTCCTACTAAGTACTAACTGATCCCGCGCGCCCCGCACACCCAGGCCACCTGCGGCGCCTCACCACCCGCGTCTCCCACGTGCTGCCTGTGTCCGACGACGGCGGCTCCACGGCGGAGATCGTACGGGTGCTGGGCGGACCCGCGGTGGGCGACATCCGCTCGCGCTGCCTGAGGCTGGCGGATGACAGCGATGAAGAGGTGGGGGACCACCATGACAGGAAACCAAACCATAGGAAACCACGAATGGGGGGGCAGGATAATGGGTCAGGGAGGTTGCTGGGTGCTAGAAGACAAAGGGAGGGTTAGGGTGGGGGGAGGGTGCCCCCCATGCACCCCCCGTCCCCTCATGCATGCGCCCCCATGCACCCTCCTTCCCCCATCGTATCCCCCCATGCACACAACGTGCACCCCCCATGCAGGCTCGCGCCGTACGGCGGCTGCTAGCGCACCGCCTGCCCGCGTACGACGCGGGCGCCGCCAAGCAGGAGTGGTACGCCATCGTGGAGGGGGATCACGCGCTGTGGCGGGGGGTCTCGGAGCCGTACAAACACACCATCCGGGCCTTCCTGGTCAACTTCCACACGGCGATCCTGGCACACAACAGCGGCGCGCGGTTCAGCTTCAGGAACGGCAGCGTGGGTGGGTTGGAGGGGTACCGGTACGAGGGGGGGGGGGGGGTAGGCTGACTCGGGGTGTAAGGAACCGGTTAGAGCGTCTCTGGGTTGAGCAGGCCGGGGTCATGGCGTCACCACCCCACCTCCTGACCTACCATGCCCCTCTCTCTCCCCACTCCCTGCCCTCCCTGGCCCTCCCTTGCCAGGTAACTTCTTCTTCGCCGGCGCCCGAGTGTTCTTCCACTCCCTGGAGGCCGCCATCTTCCTGTTCAGCCGCGTGGCCAGGCTGCCGGAGGGGTCGCAGGTGCTGCCGGCCATTGCGACGGATGAACGCATCACGCTGGGTGGGTGGCTGGAGGGGCGGTTGGGGCGGGGTCAACGATCATACCAATCCCTATGAAAAGCCATAGGTCTGTCTGTCTGTCTGGCAAGCTGCCTGACCGTCATGCTGCTGCTGCCCCTGCTGCTGCCCCTGCCTCAGGTGCTGAGCTGGAGGACGGCAGTGTGATTCGGGGGCAGAACCAGATCAGCCACCCCAGCCCGCCAGACGAGGGAGACGGTAGGTGGAGGAGGAGGTTAAAACGAGGAAAACACCGTATACTTCCCCCTGTCCTGCTCACTGCCCCTCATCTACCGGGGTATCCTTCCCCCTGTGGCCTTCCCCCTTCACTTATATTATGTTTTCCCACTGCCGGACAGGCAGCGGTCCCGCCCAGGTTGACAAGGGCTGCGAGGAGCCGCTGCCCGCACCCATCCGCCGCGTCTTCTACCTCGCCTCGGACGAGCACAAACGCTCACCTGCGGGGGCCGTGGGCGGCTGGGGGACCACTGCGGGAGGTGGCGGCGGCGGAGGCGGCGGCAGCAGCAGCAGCGGAGGCGCGGCGGCGGATGGCGGCTGCGGCGTGGTTAACAGCATGGTGGGGTGTGCGGAGCAGGAGGTGTTTCCGGCGGCTAACCCTCGGGCGCTGCAGGACGTGGGACGCTGTGATGCCATCATTTACGGCATGGGCAGTCTGTACACCTCCATCTGCCCCACGCTGTGCCTGGAGGGAATGGGAGAGGCGGTGGCGGCGAGGAACGTACCCAAGGTGATGCAAACTGATGCTGCTTGGAAAGGGCTGTACGGCTGTACTGCTGTGACTACTGATGACTAATGGCCATAAAACGTAGTGCGAAGATAGGAGATAGGGCTCTGGTCCTGACTCGTGCCTTCCTGCGCCCTCTGCACTTCTTCCGCCCGCACCCCCCGCCTCCCGGCCCCCGTCAAACACCCCGCCCGGTCGGGCTGGCTCACATGTTGCAACCCATGTTGACGCCTTATCCCTCAGTCAGTTAGTTGTTTCCTCTTTACCCCGCCCCGCTCCCCCACTCTCCCCGCCTCCCCGCCCTCACCTCCCCGCCCCCCCAGGTGCTGCTGCTGAACGGCAGTCACGACCGGGAGACCTCCTGCTGCGGTGCACGCGAGGGGCCCATGGAGGCGGCGGACATGGTGCAGGCGGTGAGGCGGGCGGCGGAGGGGTTGGGAGGGAAGAGGAGGTGGTCATACGGTAGCTAGAGGGGCAAAAATATATAGAAAGAGGAGCTGCACGTGTTCTGTTTCCCTTCCCGTATGCTTGTGTAGATATAGATATACTGCAAGCTTGCCCGATAGTGGGAACGCACTATAACCGTGATGCAACTGTACTGCAACCGTACTGTGCATGCGTGTGCTAAGAAAACTGGCCGCGAATAGGAACGTACTGGGATGTCGGAAGATGAAGTGCATGCGTGTGCATGTGTATGTGTATTTGCACCCATCCACCCCACCAGGTGTGTGACGCGCTCAACCGCCGGCGCACTCGCCGACCCGGGGGTCGTTTGCGACACCCCTACTCCGCCTACATCACCGGACTGCTCGTACCGCGAGGCGGCGCCGTACGAGTGGATCCAGCCGCACTCGCTTTGATGGGTGTACGACACATCTTGGAAGTGGATTCGTACATGGACGACAAGGGCCGCGCCAACTTTGATCCCGCGGCCCTAGTGGCCGCGGTGGGTCAGATCTTGAGGCTACATTGGGAACCTCCGCCGCCGCCACCGTCGCCACCAACCCTGTCTCCGACGCTGTCTCCACCTTCTTCCCCAGTGATGGGATCCGGATCCTGGATCCGTACGACAGGCTCAGCGGCGTTGCAGATGACTCCCGGGGGGGCTGATGACAGCCAAGATGCCGGGGAGCAGCAACCAGCCGTATCCTCTGCTGCTGGAGGTGCTGCTGCGGGGCCTGCGGCGGCTCAGATACGTATAGGGACAGAGCCTGATTGGGAGCAGCAAGGGGCTGACGCAGCTGCAGCGGCCGTACAAGTGGTTGTGGCGGTTGAGTCGCTGGGTACGGCAGTTAGCAACCACCACCAACCACCAACCGCTGTACTTCCGTAATAAGGTGGTATCGTTCACATTGCTGGACTGAGTTTACTGGTGAGGTGTGCGTTGCTGGCGAAGTGAGGAATGTATTGCTCGGTCTTGTCTTGTCTCGGTTCGTTTGCTGGTTTGCGGTTTTTGGGAGGCGAGGCTGCTTTGTGAGTTAGGCGGCGATGCCAGGCAGAGATGCACACTGCGCGTTGTTCGCCTGCTGCCTGGGGAAGCGCTTCGGGCAACCCCTTCGTACCGTACCGTACCATGGGGTGTGTGTTCTCCACACTGCAAGGTGTTGCTGCCCCCTGCTATACGCATAGGGTTTACCCTAAAAAACACGGCGGCGTGTCCGACAGTGCCATGCAGCTGCTGCGTGTACGCATGTGTCGTTAGGGCAGCAGCCTGCCGTACCGGTGCCTCGCTGCAATGGTATTCACACTGACTGTTGACCCAAAGCAGTGCCCGCACCGTCTTCAATCAGCGTGGGGGAGGCACATACGAGATACGACATACGCAGCACAAGTATTACAACGGCAAGTCGCTGCATAGCAGAGCACCAAGGCACCATGGCTATACCGGTAGTAGCGCCAAACAGAAAAACAAAACCAAGAAGTGCTTACCCACCTACAAACACGTATAACACGTCTCCTACTTAGAAAAACGTCGTCGCCTAGACAGCAGCATATTACCTTGTTCAGTTTTATTGATACTACACGACCAAAGTTCTTTTCCCTGCCGTACAAACGGGTACACGACCCCAACAACGCACACTCGCTTCTTTGGACAGGGCAGCAAACCCTGCCCTTCCTACTCTGGGCTCTCTCCCCTGTTCCCCCCTCGCCCGTGCATCCTGCAAGCGCGCGCGTCGCAAGAGTACGAAAGCGCTCTCTACAGCGGTCTGCTTGGCATATCGCTGTTCGCTACGTCACACGCCCATCCACGCCCATCCCGAACGAGCCTGGGCGCTGCCGGGCTCAAGCCAACTGCCCCGTGCCCAAACTTTGCAAGTATTCCTCTTTGCAACAAAAGAATCAGAAGACAGACAGAACTTACTTCAGGCACAACGATTAACTCTTCCGGACTCAACTAGGAACGCGCCGGGCCTGTTTCATGGGTGCTCTTGGATGTACCGTACGCGTAGGGCCAACATGGGCTCCGGCGCTCTCAGGTGCCTTCCGGGAGAGAGAAGCAGGGCTCATGCACACACCACGCCTTCTTAGAACACCTCCCTACCTGTCGCCCTGTTACTCAGCGCCAACACCATAACTCCCTCTCACAGGTGCTCTGCCAGAAATGTTTACCATGCTTCCCGGTTGACTTCTTAACTCGCTTGACGCTTGACGGCACCATCACAACCCTCCATCTTCTCACCCTCCGCTCCCCTGCCCCGGTCGTACTTGCGGCACAAGGCCTGCACTGCACAAGCCATCGTTCGTGCAGCCTCACGTCTCCAGCATCCGTTGGGCGTCTGTGCCACTTGCGTGCGTGTGAGAGACGCGAGCTCTCATCCCAAAAAACGAAACCCATATCGCCATGGAACGTGCGACACGAGTCCCAAGTGGCACGTATGCGCCAAACGCCGCCAGACAGTACAGCTGAAAGAAGATATAACTTTATATAAACCATATGCCTAACACATGAAACCGGGCAGCACATTAGGGCAGCACCCGCACACTCCTCCTCTCCAAGGGGAGGGGTGCGGCAAACGCGGACCAGGAGGCTGGCAAGATTAGCGGCTACACAACAGCACGTGGATGCCGGATACCCTTCAACGGGTCTTACTCAAGTAACCCACCCAGATGCCTGCCTCAACCTTATCCGCACCCCCCCTACCACAAAATGGCCTCGCCTGCAGACACCCATGCTATACCCTTCAGGCGCCGCATGCCCTCCCACAACCGGCGGCCTGCAATCCCCAAGCGACGGCCTTCGCCACGCGGCCAACCATTTATTGTGCGCCATACTAGGATAGGTCACAACCCAGAGCTCCGTCTGGGCGTGTTTCATTGCCGCTCATACCCAGTCATTACTTGGTTACGCATGTTTCGTCATAAGCCAAAGCAGCCGGCAATTCCAAAGATCCGAGCTGCGAAGAAGAAGTTTCACGGACCCGGTCAACGGGACCTGTCAGGAAAGTAATGAAGAGCAAGATTGTGTGTAGACCTCTCCGCCCATATTCTTCCTCCCAAAATTCACACGCACTTGGACGCATGCTGCATGCTCGCAGCGGCCCTGCCAGTGCCACCTGCTCACAGCAGGAGCGACAGCGGAAAACGCAGACGGCCCCCCCTTCCGAAACCTCCTCAACTGCCCACCATCTGCCCAGTGCCCACCCACCCTTGGGCCCCAAGCAGCTTATAACAACAACAACAGCAGCGACAGGGGGTCTGACCTCGCAACGTCGCAAGCGCGCAGCAGCATTACTGCACCGGCAGCGCTGCCAGCAGCTCCAACACCGCAACGCATTGTGTCGGCTGGGGACTGGCATTGGTGGCCACTCGCTGTACAGGAACCCAGGTCACATGGAAGGGGGGCTGCTGCTGCTGCTGCTGCTGTGTAGGAGGGGCAGGAGGAGGGGGGCCCTGCGGGCCAGGGCTGGGCTGCCCCCCCGGGCCTGCTGCTGCGGCATGGTCCTGCATGGGACTGGCGGGTCGCAGCCCCGGGGAAGCCGCGGCGCCGGCGGCAGGGCTGCACAGCTGAGGCGACCGGGAGGGGTTCCAGTTGGCGACAGGGCTGGAGGCGGCGGCGCCGCCGCCGCTGGCGGCATGCGCCGCAGCGGTCAGGCGTGTCATGGCCGCTGCCGAGGAGGCGGCACGAGGAGAGCCGCAGCCGCCGCCGCCGGTCCCTAGTGCCGCTGCCGCAGCAGCCGCTAGGGCAGCCATGTTGCTGCCGCTGCCGTCAGCGCCGCCGCCGCTGCCACGGCCGCCGATGCTGGCCGGTGTCGTAGCAGCTGTGGCAGAGCCCGTGGGAGTTACGGCGGCGCTGCTGCCGCCGTCCGGATCGTCCAGGGCGTGTTGGACGGCGCCGCCGCCAGATGTCAATGAGCCGCCTGCCGCCGGCGACGACGGCGAACGGTATCCGTACTCGTCGTCCGTTAGCTCAACCACCTTCTTGTCGTACCACACGCAAACACGGATGAGGCACGACATGCCCATCCCATGCGCCGCCAGCACTGACGCGGCCGCACGTCGGAAGCGCCGAGTGAGCTGCGCCGTCGTCACACCGCGAGCGAACACAGCAGGCGGCAGGTGGAACAGCGACCGCAGGACCAGGCCATAGCAGCAAACGGTCGTCACCATGACGTCACTGGCGTTGCCGGCGCCGGGGCTGGCGGCAGCGCTGGCGCCGCCGCTGCTGCCTGGAGGTACGGCCGCAGCCGCAGCCGCCTCTAAGAGCGGTGTTCCAGCGCCGCCGCTGCCTCCGGGTACCTGCGAGCCGCCGGCAGCATCGTAGGTGCCGCCGCTGTTGTTGTTTACGGGCGCTGGTACACGTAGCAGTGGCGGCATGGAGGCTGCCACCACAGTAGCCACGGCATCATGCAGGCTCTGCTCCTGTTCCTGCGGCTGTTGTTGCTGCTGCTGCTGCGATGCTAGTAGGTTTGCCAGCGCTCCAGTCGCCTCCGTGGTCACCTCCGCCGCCGCAGCCGCGCGGGCAGCCAGGCAGTGGAATGAACCCGATTGCATGACCGGGCCGCTAGGCGGCACAGCAACCGGCGGAACCATGATAGCGCTGGGACGGACGCGGGTGAGGGGGCCGCTGTTATTGGCGCTGCCGCTGCCGGCGCTGCGAGGTCCTTCTTGTGCCAACACAGCCGCCCCCGTGTGTGCCGGAGATGAAGGTAGAGCCGCTGCCAGTGCGGGCAAGACGGGTGCACGTCCTGAGGAGATCTCGAAGGAGAGGATGCTGCCATCCAGGCTGCCGCGTGGCAACACGCCACCCACAGCGTTGTTGCTGCTGCTGCTGCTGCCGCTGCCGCTGCCGGGTCCACCGTTGCTCAGTCGCGAGGCGGCTACCGCTGACAAGCTGCCCGCACCTGCGCCGGCACTGCCGACGCCCTCGCCACCATTGCTGCTGAGCCGATGCCGGCGGGGAATGAGCACGGATGCACCGCTGCTGTCAACGAAGGGCTGTTGCTGCTGTTGTTGCTGCTGTTGCTGGGAGCCTTGTTGCTGCTCCGCAAGTTGATCGGGCTCCGGCAAATTGTGCTGCAGGGTGGGCTCAGACACCAGTTCTGGAGCGGAGCCCTGCTGCTGGGCAGCCGGATCAGCATTCAGTGCGTTGCCAGAGCGGTTGGCGGCGGATTCGCTGCCGGCCCCGCCCACGCTACCACGTGACATGGAGTTGCCCGAGCCGCGTTGCCGCGACAGCAGCGAAGGGACCGCACAAGGGGTTCCCACGAGGCTCCCCCCGGCGTCGGGCGTCATGTAGCCAGCAGCGCTCAACACGTGGCTTGGCAGCGGTACGCCCTGCACGTCATTCGCTTCCTGCCAGGACGCGGGAGCCGACCCATGGGTCATGCTACCACCGCTGGCAGCGGCCGGAGCAGCGGCAACAGCGCCGGTCGTAGCATGCCGACCGGGGACAGCGATATCCAGGGACGCCCGGGGAGTGCCTGCCAGGTCATTCCAGGCTGACACGCCACTCACAGATGCGCCCAAGGTACCCGCATGGCCGAATCTGGAGTGCGGCGGAGGGCTTGGGGGCATGTGAGGGAGGTGCGAGGGGCTAGGCTGGGGACTGGGTTGCGGCTGGGTTTGCGCAAGGGAGGGGTCTTGCTGACAGCTGTTGCGCCGCTTGGAGAAGCTGTCACCTGCGGGGAGCCGAAGAACAACAACAGCAGCAGCGGTGTTGGCAACCCGTGAGGCGCAGGAGCGAGGAAGGGGCAGTCTCTCCTCCAAACTCGTGTAGTAAAAAGGCAGCCGGCATACCGGTAGTAGCCCTTTCCGTGTCATACACGCAACTCTGCAGTCCCGCACTTCACCGCGCCCCTCCCCGTCCCCATCCCTCCCTCCATCTCTCCCTCCCTTCCCAGCCAGCCGGCCGCACGCACCTGCCAGCTTTCGGGTCACCGCCAGCGCCTCCACGTCCAGACACACGGGCTGGATCTCCACCAGGCTGCCGCGGGGCAGCGAGGGAACCGTCACGTACAGCACACTGGGGCGCACGCTGCCACGCACCTGAGGCGGCGAGCGGGGATAAAGTCAAAAGTGGGGCGGCGAACGGGGAAGAGAAGAAGAAGAAGAAACACGGTGCCAGGGTGTTTTGACGATGGTGTGAGGAGCGGGGGGCAGAATGTTCTGGGCGGGCAGGGATGCCAGCATATGGCCTAGGAGCCGACAGCAACGCTTGCAATCCGGTTCCCCGTTTGGTTACCGGTAGCATCTGTGCATGTACATGTAGCACATGCGGGACCCTGCTCGCATACCTCGGGCGGCTGCAGATAGGGTTCCACCACCGTCATGGCCGACGACAGCGGCGGCGGCGCACCGCCCGTCCATGTCGCGCGACCCGCGGGTCCAGCGGCGGCTGCCGCAGCCGCCGCCAGTTGCTCCTCCTCCTCCTCATCCAGCCCGTCAGCCCCCAGCATCACCGAACGACGGCCGGTGCCGGCGCCCAGCAGCAGTCCGTACGAGGTGTTGCCGCCGCCGCCGAGGCCTCCGCCGTTACGGGGCGTGCCGGCGCCGCTGCCCAGATCGCCGATGGAGCTCCGGAGTGAGCGGCTGCTGCCGCCACCGCCGCCGGGGCGGGGCATGGCGTGCGCGTAGCAGGGCAGGCCGCTCTGTGGAGCATGCATGGGGGACACACGGGGGGAGCGATGGGGAGCGGGGGCAGGGGAATGATGAAACGTGCATCATTCCGTTGATCGAGAGCGGACGCAGTCCGTGATCCAAGATAGCAAATACCGGTATCCTGCACTGCTCAGGTATCACACCCGCGAGCTCCTGAGCAGCACGGCTGCCCCCAACTCAAGCAGCTGCATGCACCAATCCTCTTCTTTCCTAAACCCCACACCCACACCCACACCCACCCCCATCCTTTCACACCCCTCACCTCCAGCAGCGCCTCCACCGCCGACCTCGCCAGCGCCCGCAGCTCCGCCCCTCCTCCTCCTCCACCACCACTCCCCCGCAGATCTCCACATCCCGCCACCCCTCCAACCCCTCCTCCGCCGCCGCCTCCCCCCACCGCCGCCGCCAGATACACCGTCAGTCCCAGCGCCGCGCCCACCACCGTGGTCCGCTGCGCCACCGCCACCGCCTCGCAGCTGGTCATGGCACGCAGCACCTGCGCCGTGATGTCTCCGTTGACCAGCGTCATGGTGGGCGGGTCCAGCGGGATCTGACCCGCCATGTAGACCAGACCGCGGTAGCTGGTGGCCTGTGGTGGCCGCGATGTGGTGCAACACACGAGAGCGGCAGCAGTGGGGAGGAGGGAGGTGTTACGGCATGCATGGAAGTAGGTTGGAGGGAGGGGTGAGGTGGGGTGAGGTGGGCGGCGTGTGGATACGCACGATACATGGAAAGAAGGCACCGGTTGCAACTCTTGGAAGAAAGTAAGGCCCAACCTGCTTCCCAGCGCCCTTCCAGCGTATGCAAGCTCCATGCTCTCTCCAACCCAGGCCCCCCCGCCCGCCCGCCCGCGCCTGTGCCCCCAAACCCTGTATGGTGGCGCCTTGTCGCCAGGCTCCCCGCACCAGCGCCTACCTGGCTGTACGGCCCAATGCAGCTAGGCGCCCAAGAGCTGATGCTTTGCACATGTAGCACACGCCGACTGTAACGTCCAACAATAACCGAGGGAGGAGACGCAGCAACAGCGCCCGACCCGGGCAGTGCCCCCCGCGGCGGCGGCGGCAGCGCTGGCGCCGCCGCTCGTGCCAGCAGGAACTCACACATGACGGGGCAGCCGTGCGGCAGGCAGATCTGCACGGTGGCGCGAGAGGGAGGGTCGCGGCCGGGGAAATGCCTGCAAACGGGGCGGGGCGGGGCGGGGTATAAGCTAGGACACATAACTGTCTACGAATGAGGACACATCCGCTAGCCTGTCGCCTCTTACCGTGCACCCATGTGTGGTCCCCCCGACCCAGCCTCTGCGGCACCCCGCCCTGCCCTGCCCTGCCCTGCCCCACTCACGCACCTGCAGTACACCCCGTTAGCCGCCTGGAAGTGGCCCATGTTGGCCAGGAAGAGGTGCACGAACAGGCAGTGCCGCAGGTCCATCTGCAGCAACGCCAGCTCTGGGGAGGGGAGCGGAGAGGGACGAGAGGCGCATGGGCACAGGGCACGGGTGAAGCGAGCGCGGGTAAGCGCTGTCCTGCTCCATGCTCTGCCGCATGTCAACCAACCGTTTCCAGCACATCGCGACGCCTAAGCCGTAACCCAGCCCTTACCTTCCACTACGGTACCCACCCACCCACCCCCTCACTCTTACCCTGCTGCGCAACCGTCAGCAGCCAGTGCAGCGCCGCCGTGGTGTCGCATTCGGTGATATCCGAGGGCAGCGCCGACTTGTTGCGCACCGCCCGACACACCAGCTGCACATACTCGGGACCCGAGCACATGGACACCTGCACCGCAAAGGTCTGAGCCACCGCCTGCTGCACAAGAGGGTCCAGAGCAGGGGCCGCCGCGGCAGCGGCGCCGGCGCAGCCGCCGCCGGAGGCGGCGGCGGTGCCTGTGGCGGCGGAGCCGCCGCTGCCGCCTGCGGCGGCAGCTGCCCCGGCAGCACCGCCAGCAGCCTGTGGCTGCGGCGCCCCCCCTCCGACCGCTCTTCCGAACCTGGGTGCGGTCACGTAGTCCTGAGGCACCATGCGGATGTCGGAGGGCAGCTCCGCGCCCTCCCAGCCCAGTTTGGGCACCACGCGGAAGGCTTTGGGCACCAGGTGACCCACATCGCAGGTGCCGTACACCACCTGCCGTACAACACATGCACACGCGCACGCGGGGGGGAGAGCAGGGGCACGGCATTGCAGGTCATGAAGGAGGGTACCAGTAGGTAAAGCTACACCCAACGCTGTCGCGTGGATGAAGAGGGCTATAATACCAAGCTGGTTGGATACCGTAGGTGCGGTGTACTAAGCCATAGCCTACCAAGACAAACCACCCCTGCTGCTCCCGCCGCCTGCCTCCGGCTCCCCGCCCCACCTCCGACTCCAGCAGCTCGATGCGGCCCCGCGGGAACACCGCGCAGTCCAGGGTGAGCGTCTCGTACTCGCCGCCCTCCCCGCACACGTTGCAGCCGTACGCATCCGCCAGCGCCAGCAGGTGCGACTCCAGGGCGGCGATGGTGCGACCCAGGTGCTTGCGGGGCTGCAAACCCAGGCAGGCAACCTGCGCAGAGGTGGGCGCCGCGTGGGAGAGTGGGCAGTGGGCAGGGAAGGTGGGGGATCTCGTTAGGATGGGCGCAGTTGGCGAGGGAGAGGGTGAGGAGAGGGTAAAAAGCGGCCGTATTGAGAGCAGTGCAGCTAGCTAGGGAAGCAGCAGGGAAGCGGTCAGACCCATGCTGCTTGCAGTGGTGGCAGCCAGGAGCAGTTATGTGGGTTTTCTGCCCAACGGACTCTCCCGGCGCACCTTGACGAGGATTGCCTCCATCCCGCTCTCCACCATGCCTCTGCAAGGGGACAGGAGAGACGGGTAGCAGCAGCGTTAACAGTGCCCCATGTACCTTTGCTCTAACCGCTCATCAATTGGGGTAATTGTGCGTGCCCATGTACCCATGTAAGGAGCTTTTAAGTATGTATGCACCACGGAGGTGGCTGAAAGCTCGCGGCATCAACCGCCCCGGCTAACCCCGTCAACTAACGTGACGGTGCAGGGAAGGACTAGAAGCACGCCAGCCTCTCCTCTTCCTTGCCAGCTTTCGCGCACCTAAGCAGCAAGCGCTGTGGCTGGTGCCACAGGTAGGCCAGCGATACCAAGTTAAGTCGGCTGCATACGTTTTCCACACGCAAGCGCTGGTAGTCAGAAGCAATTGCTCCTGATGCAACTGCCTGAATTCCAGGTACATTGTCTTTCACGTAAGCCAGCAGCTGGTAGAGGTCCTCCACCTCGTCTCCATCTGTCGGCGAGTAGCCGAGGTCCTGCACGCTGCTGGTACCGGCTATGCGCTTTCGGAAAAGCGGTAAGCCCGTGCAAGCTGCATACGCCCCAACGAGCTGGTGGCCGACCTGTATGGGGTAAAAGTTGAGTAGGCGGGAATGGGAATCCCTTTCGGCGGCAGGTGAAGCGCGCCACCCCACAAGCATAATCCCGTCCAAGGTTGCTATCATGTTAAGCGCGTCCAGATTTACACGTATGCCATCTAAAGCAGCGAACCCACCGTCTGAAAGCAGAATGAGTCGAGCTCATCCGGCGCTGTCTCCTCAGGCAGCAAGTTGGCCAGCGCAACGACGTCGTGGCCATGCTGCTTACATAGTTGCATAGAGTAACATGAGTCCTTTCCGCCAGAAATAAGCGCGACCACGCGCATGATACGTTATTGTCGACACTCAGGTGGCTACCAACTTTTAGGCCATGGCTACGTGCCAAGTACACCTAGTAGAAGCAGAAGTTAACCTCTATGGGGGAGCCGCACAACCAGGCCCGCACATGTTACCATGCAAACATAGCTGGATTACCGAACGGCTAGTTTACACACAGGATATACTGTTTTAGTGGAGCATATCTATTAATAGGCCCAGTGAAAATCACAGAATAGGTAGCCTCGACGGCTCTGGTGTCCGGCACGCTTGTCGCCCCCGTGCACTTCCTCATATACCAGTGATCTAGCGTACCATCATTCTTTCTATGTCCCTGTTGTACTACCTTGGGCTATTAGGGTTATACCTAACGCTCGTCACGTCCGTTCCTGCTGACGTAAGAGGATAGCCTCGTCGAACAGGAGAGCCCACAAAGATCTCGCTATTTATTCCTACAGATATTGATCTTGCTTGTTGGTTTGAAGGTGGCCCTACGGGCCTTTACCTCCGATGGATAAGATAGAAAATTGGCATGAAAAGGACCAAGCGATTACGGTCTCTGAGGGCAACGGGTTCCTATATAATCTTGCACTTCGCGCGAAGGTAGGACCCAGTCAGAGCGACAGGGCACCACCACCAACCGCTGACGGCCGAGCGAGCTGACCCTGGCCGACCCTGTATCGCAGGTCGATTCCAGTCCAAATGATATCTACAGTATTCTCACAGACCCCAACACCGTCTCGATCTTCCGATCAATCAAGGTGAGCCTGGTTTGGCTTTGGATGTATGGTCTGACAGCAAATTACTGGCGAGAAAGGCGCGCAGCTAGGCTGGCAGTAAGCAAAAAGTGATATGCGGACCCGTGGCATCGCCGCCCACATAATGCGGTTAGGTTGTAGCGCTGTGATTGGTCAACTGCCAGAGATGGCCAGGACAGGACACCCCTGCAAACGGCCTTCATCCACAGCCATAAGCACCATGTCATTGCACTTGTATAAGGACAAGTGGGCTAGAAACGCTTCACAAAGCAACCACCGCCTGTGTCCAAACTGGGCCCTGTGGCAGTTGCAGTAACGGTCATACATGCAGCCGCAGCACCTGCCCACCACCTCCTCAGGAGCTGCATCTGACCCATCCACACCCATCCAGCTTCCTGGCCCTGGCACCGGATACGGCGCTCTTCTGCGCTCCCCAAGCTCTGTCCTCACACTGTTCCCGCTTGGGCCTTCCCGCTCACCGCCTTACCCCTCTCTATGGGATTGGGATTTGTTGTTTCACTTTTATATAATTTTTTACCCCTCTCCCTTCCTGTCCCGCACTCCTGTCCTGTCCCTGCACGGCACGCCCTAACCACATACGTGCACCAGGAGTGTACCTACCGACGTGTTGTGGAGGACGATGGGCAGGGGCAGCGGCGGCTGGAGATAGGGCACCGAGCGGTGGCGCGATTCCTCTTCATCAGCATCTCATTCGTGAGTAGTGGGGGGGCTAGGGTGGGCACGCGGTGGATGGGCGGTGGGGATAAAAAATTAAATAAGTGAAACAACGATGAGATGGGCGGTGGGGATAGGGGTGGGCAAGGGATGGTCGCCATAGGGAGTTAGGGCAGGTGCGGGTGAGGTTGGTGCGGGAGGGCTGCGGAGGCGACTGGGATTTGGGTTATTAAGCTTGAGGAGCATGGATGCCGGCCCGTGGCTTGACTTCACCAAGAGTACCGGTAATTGTCCAGCAATGGGTAGCGGTACACCGCTTGCTCCTCTTGCTGACTACCGCCGGCTGCTGCCCCCGCTGCCTCATCTGGGGCCCGCATGTCCACTGCAGGAGACGCACCTGCATGTGTGGGAGAATGACGTGGAGAAGACGGTGAGGAGGGGGGGAGAGGCGCTTGGCGGGGGGCTAGCTGGCTAGGGCGTGCATGTATGGGACCGGCTGCGGGCGGCGGGCGGGCGGATGAGGAGGGTTGGGTGCTCGGATGGAAGGATGCGGGTGGAAGGGGCTGGGAATGTCAGCTGGTACCGGGGCTCTGGTTCAGAATGCGCCGCAACAGCGGGTGCATCCGTTACTTGTTGCATGTGTCTCTTTCCGCTCTTGGCTTCGCTCCTGACGGCCACGCACGGGCGCCGCCATTGCCGTGCGCGCGCTTCTGCTGGCACGCCCAAACTGCTGACGTCTACATACCGGCACATCCGGAAAATGCTTACTTGGCCTTTCACTTCCCCATCGCACAACATCTATCACACCGTGCAGATCAAGTTCCAATTGGCTGGACCGGGCCTCATGCAAAAGGTACTTACCAGCATCTTGACCAGCGGATGGAGGGGTGACGCCTTGTGGGGAGGCGGGGTCGTCACAGGATGGGACCTTGAGCGCTAGTTTTGGAGTGGCGTTTGCACGTGTTATTACCCTACCTGAGCCTGGACTAGCCTGGACTGTTAACCCCCCGGCGTAGTTTACGGTAGTTGCCTCAAGCACTGCGGCTGCCAAATGACGTGGTTTTCCGCCGCCGCAGTTCGACGGCTGCTGGCGCATCAAGCCCTTCACGCAAGAGACCCTGGACGACATCTACCACCCGGAGAGGCTGCAGAGCAGCAGTCCCCGCAACCACCATCACAACCACAACCACCACCATCACAACCGCAATCACCAGCAGCACAACGGCTTTGGCCTGTTCAACGCCGCGAGCCTGCTGGGCTTCCTACACCACCACCGTGAGTCCCTGCTAAGTGGTTATCAAACGCGCATACTGGCTACCGATACCGTTAGCAGTGGAAGGGCGAAAAGAATGGCTAGCTGATGAACCCAACAACCCGAAGCTGCTTGCCTCCTATGAGTACCTCCATCCCATCCTTCTCTACCTTCCAAGCTTTTGCAATGGTACAAACCCGCCGGCTTTGCTTGCCTTGCCTTACTACCCCTGCATGTCTGTAACGCTCTTGACCACCCATTGCTCGACCGCCGCAGGGCCTCCCGAGGCGCGTGAGTCGCTGGTGACGCTCGAGCAGAGCATCCTGCCCCGCGGCCCCACCCCGCCCGGTCTGAAGGGGCTGGTGCGGGGGCTGTGTGCGCACCAGCTGCGGTGCATGATGGAGGACCTGCGCCGGGAGCTGGACCGACGCAAGCAGCAGCAGCAGCAACAGCAGGAGGGTGAGGAACGGGGTATTCACGGCCGGGAGGGGGCTAGGTAGGAGCCTGAGGGTGCAGTAGTAATGTGAAGGGGCCGGGGAGGTGCGGCGTTAGTAGTGTGGTGAGACTGGTGACGACGCGCGGCCGGGGGTGTGTGTGATGACATTGGATGGCTTGGGAGTTGTTGGGGTGTATGTTGTAGTGATGCAATGTTCCTTGTCCATGTGATGGTTGCAGATTTGCTTACCGGCATGTTGCCGTGACTTGCATGCAGGCTCGGCCCTGACAGCTGCTGCTACAGCAGGCACCGGCGACAGCACAGCACCCGCAGCGGCGGCTGTGTCGGGCTCCTCCAAGGGGCAGCATCTTGGGTCTCTGGCGGCGGCACCGGCTGCTGCATGCATGGCACTGGCGGGCGGCGGCTCGCTGTGGGCCGCAGTGGCACCGCTCTGTACCATCAGTGTACGGCTGTGATGCGGTCAAAGATGGGGAGATGGGGGGACAATAAATGAGGAGTGCAGCAACTGAAGTCCCAATCCTCATATTCCGACACATGCAGTGAGCGCGTACGGAGATGGGGAGGCCGCCACCGCAGCAGCAGCACCAACCAGCTACTGCTGCTACCGGTACTGTTGCAGCAGCCGGCAGTGATGCGGCCGCTGCGTAAGCGTTGGGAGCGTGCAATGTGGTTTGGGGAGCGAGATCTGAAGCCACACGGAGCAGGCAGGGTGCACGTTAAGCAGCAGCAGGCCCGATGTACACTGTTTGTTTGAGGCATTCATGGGCCCGAGGCTTGGGCTGCTGCTGCTCTATATAGTACTAGGAGTCAACCTACCTGAACTGCCGGTATCTTATGGGATTGTTTACTAGGTACTTTGGGGGCAAACCTGCTGTCCAACTGTGGCTATAGCTGCTCTTCCGTACAGCTGCAGTAGCTGTTTTGCGATGACCGTTCCACGCTAAAGGGCTGCATTGTCCCGCCCAGCCAACAAGCATCAACGTGTACCATATGCTCGGTATGTCGATGTGACGTTTAGTGCCTGTACGACCGACAAGGGTTAACAAGATAAGAGGAGGGGGCGGAGTGGACGAGCGCAGTCAATGTACATAGAGTTTCCAGGGTTTCCAGAGAATCGAGGGGTTTCTTGTTTTGCGTGCTGATTTGCTGGATGGTGAAGGTACCGTTACCTATTGGAGGTCACCAGCACCCCAGGTAGAACAGTTTGCGGTGCAATGTGTGCGAGTGTGTAGGCATTTCGGAGGTAGGGTAGACCACATGTTTCACGAGATCATGACCACAGTTATACCCGCCACAGGGATTGCACATTGCAGGTTCAGGTTGGAACGCCATTGTCAGCAGGGTTGGGCAGGCGTGCCTAGCTAACCAACCGTTTGTACTACAATAATCTTTTGCGCAGGCAGTGGCATCATGAGGTAGATGTGTACGTCTGCGCTGCGAGGAGCACCCATGGAGGTGGCCAGATTAAGACACGAGGCAATCGCAGCCTGCTCTTTACAGTTGCCTGCTACTTGACCGCACTGTACAATCCGCCTGACGACTACATGTACGGCATATTGTTGCGTGATGGGAGGGGGTCAATGGGGGATTAGATAAACTGAGCCGCGGAAACACTGACCCTGACCGTAGGTTACCGGAAATGGAGGATGGCATTGCCCGATCCCTCCTGTAACGTCCTTGTAACCAACCTTGTCAAACGGCTCACCACCTATTCCTCATTACCCCCCTCGTCATCACGCCTTGCCACCGATCACGATGACCCCAGCCAGCGCCAGCGCCGCCAGTATAAGCCCCACCACGCCGGGGTTCAGCCGGTCCGCGGGTGTGCCCGCAGGTCTCCGGGGCAGCAGCTGTCGGTCCGGCGGGTAGACCCACTCCACCCAGTCCCAAACCGCCCATGTCACCACCACCGCCAGAAGCATGTCCTGCAGGGGCGGGCCACGGGCGCATCACGGGTGCCGTACACAGGTGGATCGGCGAGTGGACGCGGCGTCAAGGCAGCAGTGGAAGTGGCTTCATGGCAGCAGCAGCAGTCCGTTGCACACTCAGCAGTCTCAATTTGGTATGCCGTCATGCATGGCCAGTGAAACAGCGCGCACCGTCTTATCCTCCGGCAGCCAGCCAGCTCCCCCAACCCAACCCCAACTCTACCCGGGCCCCGACCTCACCAGGGAAGCCGCCGCCATGCACTACGCCACCCAACCAAACTACGGTCAGGATCAGTGCTTCCGCGGCTCAGTTTATCTAATCACCCAACCCAACCCAACCCCAGTAGAATACCCCACCCACCACGCTGTAGTGTTGCTCGTCCAGCACGTCCCGTACGCAGGTGTGCAGCAGCGCCGCCCACAGCAGCCATGTGCCGGGGCGCCAGCCACCCGGGTGGTAGGTGCGGAAGGCGAGTGGGACCAGGCACCAGAACACGCAGTGGCCGCTGAACAGGAGGAGGAGGGGAAAAGAAGAATATCCAATGTGTGGTGTGCTCAGTGGTAAACTAGCTGACAAGGAGGAGGGGGTTGGGGAATGGGGAGTAGGGCATGAAGGGGTGCAGGTTGGCTAGAAGGAGGCGGTAGGGTGGTGGCGGAGGAGTGACGGGAAGGGTGGTAAGATGAGCACAGGACAGAGCTGGCGACACGTGCCGGTAGCTGGAAGTTCTACGAACCAGAGGTTCTTCATCATGCACGGACCCGCGTGCGGACCTGAATATTAAGTCGTTGCAGCCGCCAAAGCCACGGATCGTGGTGTAACCCGCCTTGATCGTCTCCCACAGCCCGTCAGGAGGCGGTGGGAAGCGCCGGCGGTAGCAGCCGGGACGCGGGTTGGGCAGCACGGTGCTCAGGAAGCATGCCATGCGCAGCAGCCGGCTTACGCAATGGGTTAGTACGACCCGCGACATGAGGCCAAATCCAGAGTACGGCACCTGGAGTCAGAGTCGGCAGGGTCGGCGGGGCACAGAGGAGGGCAGACATGTCGTCCTGGTGTTACAAGGACAGTTTGAAGGAAGGAAAGCAAACCAGCACAGAACACCGACTTGCTTTGTACCCGCTTCGTCGTCACCACATTGCGCCAACATCTGCTGAAGACCCAAATATGAGGACATGACCCGTGGGTCGGCCCAATCCACCTGGTCCCAGGTTCCCGAGAACGCTAGTGCGAGCAGTGCCAGCAGGAAGTGCTTGATGTCGGCCCAGCGGGCTGACGCCACCGCATGCACCCAGCTGTTGTGCCGCGCTGCCAATCGTACGACACGAGCCACGTTGTCCTGCAGACCGGGAACCATGTCGTACTTGCGGTCATCCCACGCGGAAACCAACCTGCGGACGGTTGGTTGGTTGGTTCGGTTGGCTAACTTGTTGCTGGGGCTCAGGAGCGAGCGAGGATGCTAAAGGAGCTGTGAGGCTGGTAGCACACCGTAGAAGGACGGCCGTATGGGCTTCTACGACAGCGAAAGCATCCGGCGCCTTAAGCAGCCGTGGGTATGCCGTACCAGGGCTAGCACATACAATATGGTAAACTCCCTGAGCCTCGCCTTACCACCCTTTACCACCCTTCCCTACTTCACAACCCGTTGCCTTCACCCCACCCATCGCCTTGTCCTCCGGTTAGTTCCTTCCTTCCTCATTACCCCCTCCCCGCCTCCAGCCTCACCACACTACGCAGTTCTCTACCGCCAGCTCTGCAAGCATGGCGCAGAAGCAGGCCAGGAAGCGGCCCACGTGCGCGTGCTCGTCACGCCAGCGTCGGAAGGTCAGCACGCGCCACCCCTGCGCCAGCGCCACTGCACATGCAAGAGCCGACCCACATCAAGGCAAGGCATGTACGACATGGTATGCCGTACGCCGGAACCGAGACATGAAGGCAGGCAAGGAAAGGAGGGCGAGGGGGGTGGGGCACCAACCACCAGCATGTCAACGCCATGCTTCCTTTCACTTACCTAGCACGGCAACTGCCTTGAGGACGGTGTCTGCCAGGCCCGTCCCGACCCCCAGCGGCCCCAGCAGCGCCCGGAGGAGGGGCTGGGCCAGGAAGATGGCGAAGGTAGCGACGTCGAGGCCCGACCCGCATCGGGCGCAGGCAGCAGCGCGATGGCTGAGAGCGCGGAGGAAAGAGGAATTATGTGTGTGGGGTTAGTCGCAACGAGCTCAATGTGTACGAAGGTTGAAGCGTCCAACCTACTCGCGCGTCTTCTGTCGATCAGACGCATCAAGCTCTAACGTGCCGTTTGGTGGTGGGTCATTGGAGGATAGTCCCCCAGTAACATTTCCAAGCCTGCGCCTGACTCCGCGGATGTCTATGGCAGCCATTTCGTTCCAAGGCGCGATGGCTAACGCATGACAACAAGAAGCCTCCGTTCACTAAACTGAATAGAAGAGCTACCAAGAGCGTTAGGCAGAGTCACCGGTAATTGGTACCAAAGGTTAAGTTGCGCAGCTTGCTATAGATGTGCAGTCAAACTCGAGATACAAAAGTAGGAGTTGATCAAACTATCCCGAAAAACGCGTTCGCTTAGATCGCCACGCGTGATTAAGGGCCAATTCAGGGCGATGGCAGTTGCCCCCCGTCCTAGTATGTATCGGTGGTATTAAGACAGCTCATCTTTGTAAATACTTTATATACAGTACGTAGAGGTAGATGAAATAATCGCTGCGTGCCAAATGCTTCTTCAACTTGCGGATGTATGGCCACTTGGCTTCGAGCGAAAGATTTATCAAAATGCAATCACGAGGGTTGCTGAATCATAACCTTCTTACCACAACCAAAGCGACTAGAGCGCGAAGGTAGAAAAAGTTGGTTTGTCGTATAAGCCGCAACGAACGACACAAATGCGTGCTGCAGCCAGCAAAATGTGGAATGCTTGGAGATTCTTCAAGCCATAATCAGCCTTGACCAAATGTATGTGCTGCGTAACGCAAAGGTATTGATACTTAGCCCTCGACAAAGATGTTATGCTTGCCTCGAACACCACACTAGCAGAAACCCTACACAGCGCCGCCCCTGAGCGTTGCATTGGTGACACCTCCTGCATTAACAATCCTTCCTCGTTGCACAAATCGTCATATCCCAGCTCTGCTAAAACCACACTACCCAACCCATCCTAGGAGCCTAAGCCCCGGTATTCAAGCTTCGGCAGGCGTATACGCCTCTTAGTAAACATATTTATAATGGCGAAACAGCAAACGTCGGCCAAGAATTCGGGCGCTGCCGCCATCGAGCGTCTGCGGTCGCTGGCAGTCACGCTGACTGCATTGGAGCCGGTGGCTGTCGCGAGGGCTCTAAATGGCATGAAGGATAGCAACCTGCCAGCAACAACGGAACAAGCCGCGCTCCTAATGGAGTACAACGTCGTCGCCACGCTTGCCGTCGTTCTTGAGCCCAGCGACGTGTATGATGGCACGCTGAGAACGCAGGCGATGGATGTTGTGGCGCGTATGTGCAGGCTTGACAAACAGGTGGGTCGAACGAGCTCCGTACCTACTATGGTAGGCTTGCAGACACGGACTTTCCCCTGGTTTCTTCGCCAGACGTTATTGCTGCTTGCCCCGCACTCTTACCTACCGGAATGCCCTCGCCTTTTTCCCATCATCATTCGTTCAATGCCCACCAGTGCCAAGACGCCTTCCTCAGCCACGGAGCTGTACGGCGGCTTATACGGAACATCGACGACGTGCATTACGGCGGTTGTGTGGATCCAGCAGCCGCCATTCGAGCGCTGGGGTACCTGGTGGGGGGAGCCACGGAGGGCCCCGCCCAGCAGGCGGCAGTAGATGTAAGCCTAATAGGTGTTTTTGTTTTGGACGCCCAAACCTACGTCTCACCGTCATCCTTGTGCACAACTAGTCGACACGACAGGCATGCGCCTACAAGACCTGAATGAGAAATCGACAGACAAAACAGTTGGCAGACTCTTGGCAGCCCCCTAGAACCCCTGTACCTAAACCCCGATTCCTGACCCGCGTCCGCTGCCCACCTCAGGACATCTTCCTAAGTGGCACCGTCTTCCGCATGCGAGACGAGCTCGCCACTCGGCACCAATCAGATGATGTCATCTGCGCAATCGGGGAATTTCTTTCCGCCGTCGCAGCCTCCCCAGCTAGCCAAGCCCGCATCTGCGACGCGGGGCTGCTGCCGCTGCTGCCCCGATGGATGGCCTCCGGCTCGGGCGGTTACGGCTGCGGCGGCGCGTTTGTCGATGTGTCGTACAAACTCTCCATGCGGGAGGCGACAGTGCCGTACATGCGCAATGATTCGTACTTTGATGCGCTGGTACGAGTTGCCTCGCATGTGGCTGCGCTGCCGAACCTCCGACGTGTTGCGTTGCTGGCGTTGTGCAACATCTTTGGCGGTGATGCGGACAATGTACGAGCGGAGGAGGCGCTGTTGTCACAGACCGTACCGGATATGTTGTCGGCACTGCTGGCGGCAGCGACGGCAGTGGAAACGGCCGCCGGTGCCGCGACGGCGGCGGCGGCGGCGGCAGCGCTGACAGCACATGCGGTTTCGGACACGTCTGGCGGCAATGCACTGGAGCAACAGCACAGACATGCCTCCTCTCCCAGCAGCTGCGATTCCCTAGATTCCGTACGACAGTCGTGCGCGGGCACGAGCTCCTTGCCTTCGCCCTCGTCTCCTTCGTCATCCTCTTCTGCGTCTCCTTCCGCCGTTACCTCATCACCAAGGTCCGCTGGCAGCAGTGCAGCTGACACGTCAACAACGAATGAGGATTCCGTGTACAGCATTGTTGCCGTACCGTTGGAGTCCGTACTGTACAGCATCAAGAGCGTGGCCTGCAACCCTGCCATTGCACGGAGGCTAGCGACCCGCGGGTCACACTCGTACGTCATATCACGTCTCGTCGACGTGCTCGTCACGGCATGCCACCTTGCAGTTACCGGCTGCCTAACCGCTAGCGAGTGGCTAGATCGCGTCGGCGTTACAGCCCAGGCGATGCTGCGTATGGCCTACTCTCGCAAATTCGTGCCCGTGCTTCACGTCGCCGGGGCTGTTCCCGCATTGCGACAAGTGTTGCTAACGGCTGCCAAAGTTCGGGCACTGGCTGACCCACGGGTCACTGAGACGGCCCGGACCGCGCTACTGTTCATTGGAGACGACCACGGAGGTACCGTGGACGCCGGTGGTCACGTGCACAGGGGGCCAGGCAGCAAGGAGGAGGCTGGGATTGCAGCGGCGGCGGCAGCGGCGTTTCATGCACTGCACAATCGAGGCAATGGCGGCGGAGCTGCTGAGGCGACGAGGCCCAAGCTCGCAGCGTCAAGCGGCCAGTAAGACTCCTGCGTGTCACCCCGGTGGTGACTCACAAATACCTGGAACCTGAGGAAGGCAGGCAGGCGGGCAGGAAAGAGTGCCGGAACCAGCAAGGGACGAACTTGCTAGCGTTTCACAATGACTGCTCCATTAATCACTTCTCACCATGCTCGCTCCGCTGACCCCCTTACTGATTCCGGCACTCTTCCCTGCCCTCCTGCCCGCCTGCCTGCCTTCCTCAGGTTCCAGGTGTTTGTGAGTCACCACCGGGGTGACACGCAGGAGTTTGCGCTCTTCACGCTGTACCCGCTGCTGGTGGCGCATGGAGTGAGCACCTGCCTGGACCCACACCACCGGTATGTAGCCTTTGTAGGAGGCTAGGAACACCGCCGCTGCCACTACCACTGCCACTGCCACAGGGTCGGGGGACGGGCTTTGGGATAACAGCAATAGTTCATCGACCGCAACCCCACGTATCCACCTCCACTTTCTCCTCCCTCACCAGCCCGTCCTCTTCCCTGCCCCCTCTCTCCTCTCTCCCCTCCTCCCTCTCTCTCCCCCTTCCCAGCTCCCTTTCCTCCGACTGGCGCCCCACACTGCTCCGCTGCGCCAACCTGCTGCTGGTGCTGAGCGAGGCGCTGTTGGGGTCTCCGGAGCACCTGCGGGAGGTGGAGGGGGCGCTGGCGGGCGGGGCACATTTGGTGGCGGTGGTGCCGGAGGGGCTGCGGTGGCGGGATGCGCAGGGGAACAGGGTGGGTATATACAGGACTGGGGTGGCGTGGGTGGAGTGGGTGGCTTGGGGGTTGAGAGGAGGAAAGGACGGATGAACTCGGGGCCTCTTTGTTGCCCTGCGATAATGCGTAAGGGGACTGTAGAGCTGTTTTGCCATCTTCCAAAGCCATCCCTTCTTGCTGCTTATCGCTAACTGAATGAATGACCGTTACAATGATCCTAAACCGAAATCGTTTGGCCCCGAACCAGTTCCATCCTGGTTACTGTGGGTTGACTTCCTGGCTTCCTGCAACCCCTGCAGGTGTTGGACGCCCCGCCGCTGTCGCTGCTGGAGTCGCTGCCCGCCGGTCTGCGCGGTATCCTCACCGACAAGCCGCTCATCTATTCGTCCGCAAAGCACACGGAGTTTGCGCAGCAGCTCATGACACGGCTACGGCTCAAGAGCGATGGAAGCAGCGGTGGTGCTGCAGGTGGTGGTGGTGGTGGTAGCAACCATGCTAGGCCTGCTGCTGATGGGGTTGTTCCTGAAGGTGGAAGCGCGGGATGTTATCCAGGGGCCGAAGGAGCAGTTCAAGCAAGAGTGCATGGAGGAGGAGGGGTTTCACCAAGGGTTCCGGAGCCTGCTGAGGAGGAGGGCCTGGGGCAGGGGCAGGAGTCGCTGCCTTGGCCCTGGTGCCGCCTTTTGCCGCCTGATACTGGCCCGGATACGTCGGCTGGCAGCCAAACTCACGGGAAGTCCCAACACGGGAAGCCCTCGCCTCTTCGTCTCGAGGAGGTGCTACAGCAGCAGCAACGCAAGGAGCGGCAGAAATGGCTCAAGGAGTATCGTCAGCAACAGCTGCTGCAGCGGCAGGAGGCGCAGGAGTGGGATGATGCGGAATTGGTCCGGCGGCAGGGCGGCTCGGAGACGCCTGGGGACATACAATCGCCACGGAGTGCATGCTGCAGCTGCTGCTGCGGTGACAGGGGTGGCGGCTGCGAAATGCCCGGGGCAATGTTGGTACGTTTGGGAACATGCAGTAAGGGCCCGCCATCTGTTCACCTAAACCTGGCATGCTTCGGATTAGATAAACTGAGCCGCGGAAACACTGACCCATGCTTCGGATGTAACGCGCCTGCCACAGGGCATCTTGCTACCGGTATCTTCCGCACTCCTCCGCATTGACGCCGACTGTCCCTTCCGTCCGTTGGCTTGAGTATTAGTATTCTTCAGCTTCATTTTCATGATAATCATGTATGCCGTACATCCCGGATTCCTGTTGTGGCCTGCCGCAAACACCCCGCTGCGCTTCCTGCAGAATCAGCTTCTGGCGGTGCAAATGGAGATGGTACGACACGAGCTCCAACAAACAGTACAAGCGGTGGGTTATACGCTTATAGTGGGCGCGGACATGCACGATTATAGCTGGAAACAACACTGCGGGAGACCCTGAGCAGCGCAATGCACAGGCGGAAAGACCAGAAAGCTGCTTTCATGCAGGTGCTGTCAGGTGCTGCTAGACATAAGCCACGGTATATTAGTACTTTTGCCTTGTTGCTCTGTGTCCAATGCTGCCCCATCTTTACACCTGCCGTACGCAGTCGTACGACACATTATGTCACAAGGTGGATGGGCTACGTCGTGACGTCGCGGAGCAGATTGTGCAGCTGCGACTTGAGCTGATTGGCAGGATTAACGGTGTGCAACGAACGCTGACGCAGCAGGCTACCAGCGGCGGCGGCAAGACGACAGAGGCACCTAGCGGGGCACACCGGGGCCGCAAGGACGAAGACCAACAGCAGAAGCAACATCAACAACAACAACAACAGCAGTTGGCGGACGTGCTATCAAGCACGCTAACGGCAAGCCTGCAAGACGCGGTGGCTGCAGCGGTAGCGCAGTTGCAGGCGGCAGCAACGGCAGCAGCGGCGGCCCCGATCACGTCCTCGTCTCCGTCTCATGCAGCCACGGCTGCCGCTAAAGGAAGCCATCATGCAACGGCAGCAGCGGCGGCGGCGGCAGGGAATCCGATGTCAGCTCACCACACGCATCATGCTTCCCAGGCCTCTGCGCATCATGGTAACGGAAGCATGAAAGTTAACTTCCTTCCGCCTTCGGCAGCGGTGGAGCAAGGAGGGGAACACTTGCTGATGGCGCGTGCTGGAGCCACGGCGGCCCAGCCGGGCGGAGGCGCCGCCGCCGCCGCCGGAAACTCCTCCCTGACGGCGGGTGCTGTTTCCGTTGGATCAAGGTCGCGTAACGGCCACCCAAGCAACGGCAGCAGCATACCGTTAGGTCATGGAGGTGATAACTCATCAGGACTTACCGCTAGCAGCAGGAGCTCCGCAGCGGCTGTTGTCGCTGCCGCCGCCGCCGAAGCGGCCGCTGCTGCGGCGTCGGCGGCAGCGGCCGTGGGGCGACCAGGTCCGTTGGCGTTGTTCGACGCAGCGGCGGCGGAGGACGATCTTGAAGACGACAGCAGCGGTGGCGGCGGCGGTAACGGGCGCATGCTATCGCCCTCGTCACTTCTCGCCTCCGCCACGAGCCCAACGACGGCGCATGCGGCACTGCTGCTAGCAGGGCGGACAAGACAACCGTACGGCGGGTTGTCGTCGCCAACCCAGGTTGCAAGCGGCGCCAGCGGTGCCGTATCTGTACGGGAACGCGCTGGCAGCAGTGCCGGGGCTGTCAGCGGTGGCGGTGGGGGTGGCGGAGGCGGAGGCGGAAGCGGAAGCGCCAAGTCCCCAGGCGCCAAGATGTTGCCGCCACTGCAGGTTGCGGGACAGGGAGGCAGTGGGTCGCTATCACCCACCGCTGTGAATAAGACGGTGGTAGAGCGCACGGAGGGGATCCACGGCCATAAGGCCCCACAACAAGGCGTGTTGCCACAACAGCAACAAAGACAGCAGCAGCAGCAGCAGCAACCAACGATACCGGTGCACCACCAGGCTAGCCATCACCACCGCCAGTATCATTAGCACGCATCTGGGTTGGCAACAGTGCATGCGGATAATTAACGAATGTGGGTGGTTTTCTCAAATTGTAGCTAACGTTCACGTAGGCTGAAGGTTCCAGGTATTGCCTAGAGTGCTTTCCCAAGACGGTTGACTACAGCTTGTGGGGTAGTTGACTTTTTGCTCGAAGGGTGTGCGCTAATAGCTATCGCAAGAATGTTATCGACGTTTATATTCTTTTTCCCTATGTCTCAAGTCATGTGCATGGAGTACGACGCCTAGGTGCCTTGAGCGGCACGTCACAACAGGAGACGGTTAATGTCGTACGACTTAGAATGCGAATTCCGGATCACAGCCCGCACGGCACTGCAACTGTGTCCGTTGCAATGCCGCATGCATGCGTTGCTTCTTACTGATAGGAATGGTCTGGCTGTTGGACCGGTGACACTCGGTCCGCATGCACCGGTGCCAGGTTGCCAGGTGTCACCCCGCAACTTGTGCTAGGCCCCAGTGCTGATTGCGGCCATGCCTACCACATCTCGGCGGGTGCTTCCCCGCAAATAGCCGTGTATTGGCCTTTGTAAAGGCTTACCCGGCAGGAATACCCGGTGTTCGGCTGTACACTGGAGGACGGCACTGGCACATACCGATACTGGACTCTGGGTTGGGGCAAAGGTTGGGGACGAGCGCATCCACTTGTGGATTGTTACCTTATAAACATACATCGCTTTTAGATTTAAGTGATCGCTCAACTTGTTCATAAGAGAAGAAAGGCAATTTGGCATAGGCTTACTGACCCAAACTGCAGTAAAAGGCCCACGGCAGAGATCTCGACTTTTGGATGTGGAATTGGCAGCGATGACCCCAGCATTAGCATTTTACGTCAACCCATAGGTTATGGTATCTACATGTAGGGAAGAAGCGGATTGCGCGGCGTTGCTCCGCAGAGCATGATGCTAGTTGGGAAGTGCCCGGGCGTTAATCCTCTCTTGCTTCCAAACAAGCCGAAGTTTTGTCCACACCGTTGTTTTCCAATAGCTAGCGCGGCTGGGTATCAACAGCCGCAGGTCGCGCAAGTAGCCGCCCGGACAACCTCACCTGGAGAGGTGAGCTGATACAATTTATCCCGTTGTGTATATTTCTTATGATCATGCATCTCTTTGACTTCTGGTGCGATCAATTCTAGCAGGATTTTCAAGCCGACGTCACCGGGCGGGGCGACGAGCTATTTGAGCAACTCCAGGACAATCGCAGCGTGTTATCTACACAGGCGTTGCTAAACCAGCGTCTAATATGTTGTGTTACATGGGAGGAGCTGGACGACCTGCTGCGGTCGAACTGGCGTCACATGGACTTTGTAAACGTCAGCACGGTGTGGACGCGCCTGGCTAACCTTTTTGGCGGTGCACGCGTTCATAGGGTGAAGGGTCAGCGGTCGGTTGCTGCGCCACCTGCTCATGAACCGGCTTTCAGGCAGTTCCTAGCTCGGCTTATCGAGGTGACGACGCAGCAGCTGCACGTGTTCGGCGTGCAGGCGCTAGCCAACGTCATGTGGGCCATGAGCAACGACAACTGGCAGCTGGAACAGCACGAACCGGCAGTAACGGGGCTGATGCTGAAGTGGTGCTCAGCGCTCAGCAACCACTTGGATGACATGCGCTCCCCAGATGTGTCAAACATATCAACCGCCATCGGCCGCCTAGACCATCTCTGGCACCCCAACTTTATAGTCGTCTTTTACCGCGCCGTGCTCCGTCGCCCTGACCTCATGGAACAGGCGGACGCCACCACGCTAAACAACCTGCTGTACGGCCTCTCCCGCGCACGGCGGAGAGGCCTCGTGCAGATGGCGTATCAAACACGCCTCTTCCTTAGCCGCTGCGTAGGGCACCTGCTCGAACGAGCCAACAAGGGGGACGGCCAGGCGGTCCGGTTGGATCCCTGGCGCGCAGCGCAGCTGCTTGCAAACTGCCACGAGCTTGGCCTCCGGCTCAATCGCCCCTCGTACGCCATTCTCATGCCGCTAGTTGCCCGGGCCTACTCACGGCGGCCCTGCCCGCTGGATTGTTGGAACATGCGCTATGTGGCGGCGCTGGTGGAGGCGCACTTGGTGGTTCCGCCGGATGTACGGCCGGACTTGGGGCCGTTGCGGGAGTATGTGGAGGCGCGTGTGCATGAGGTACCCACCAGCAACATGACTCAGCTGGCGAACTGGTTTGCGAGCCTGAAGCAGCCCATGAGCCCGGAGTTCTGGGGGCAGCTGTTCCTGCGCTACGGCTGCAATGCGGCTGTGGCGGCAGCAGCGGGCGGGGAAAAGCAGCAGCAGCAGCGGCAGCAGGAGCGGGATGGAGGCGTGACGGCGGCGTTGGAGCAACAGCAGCAGTCCTGGCCGACGGTGGAGGGGGTGTATCAGCAGCGGCAGCAGGAGCGGCAGCAGGAGCGGCAGCAGGAGCGGCAGCGGCAGGAGGCGTTGGGGGCACGACGGCAACGCCAGCAGCAGGCTGGCATGCGAAGGCAGCAGGATGCGGGGCACCGGGAAGATCAGCAACAGGAGCAGGAGGGGCAGCAGCAGCAGGACGGGCCACAGCAGTTGCAGTGGCAACATGAGCAGGACCGGCCACAGCAGCAGGACGGGCAACGGCAGCAGGAGGGGCAACAGCAGCTGCAAAGGCGGGAGGAAGTCCTGGGGAGGCAGCACCCGTGTCCGCAAGGAGAGCGGCAGCAGGAGGAGGAGGATGGGCAGCAGGAGGGACAGCATCAAAGGCATGCTTGTGCGGGGTGCAGTAGCCCTTCTGTGGCCCGTTCCTCCTCCGCAGCACCAGCAGCAATGCTGGCAGAGCGCCCTTCTCGGCATCACGGCCGCCTGCCAGCGGGCATTCGGCGCGATCAATTCCAGCAGCTGCAGCAACAGCCGCAGGCACCAGAGGTGTCGGGCGCCCCCAGGTTGTGTTCAGCTGCATTGCCGTCATCTCGCACACTACCGCCGCCTCATCAACAGCAACAGCAGGGAGAGCAGCAACACCAGCAGCAGCAGTTGACGGCATCACCGTCGCTGATAGGGCAGCTGGGGCAGCAGCAACAACAGCAGCAGCAGCCAGCGCCAGTGCGGCAGCACGCGCTGCAAGCAACCAGCAAGCAGCGGCGATGGGTTCCTTGTGGAGAGCAACAGCAGCTCGGGCCCGAGGAGCAGCAGCGGCAGCAGCAGCACGGGCCCAAGGAGGAGGAGCAGCAGCAGCAGCTTAACGGGAAGGGACCGCCGTCGGGGTTATCGGAGGCGGAGACCTGCGCTATGTCCCGCTGCCTGCCATTGCAGCCTGCACAGCAGCAGTCGGAGTCACTTGAAGAGCAGCCGGAGCTGCCCCAGGACCTGCCGCATAAGCAGCAGCAACCGTCGCGGGAACTCGAGCAACCCGCATCAGCGGTAGCTCAGCATTCCGGATTCGAAGGCGGGCGGTTGCAGCCGTTAAACGAGCGGCCGCGGGCTTGTGAGATGCGTGGGGAAGGGGAAACGGAGGAGGAGCAGCGGCAGCCGCAGCATCAACAGCAGTCAGGGGAAGGGCTGGGGCTGCAACCACCGCAACCAGGCGAGCAGCTGGGGTCTGCTGGGTTAGCCCAGTTGCCGCATGCAGTAGCATCGCAAGGGGACAAGCAGCACGACCACCTTCACCACTCTTCACCTGAGCAACAGCAGCAGCGGCAGCAGTCCTTGCCGCCGCCGCCACAGCAGCAGCAGTCGTTGCCGCCGCCGCTGCCGCAGCAGCAGCCATACTACCAGCGATCCGAGTCATGGCGCACGCGCCCTCCGGCTGCATCACCGCTGCCAAGCACTCAAGCCCCTCCAAACGGGCGACGACGCCCACAGCAACATCAGCAGCAGCAGCAGCAACGGCAGGCACAGCCGCAACCACCTCAGCAAACCCTCGACCCGCACCGCCAAGAACAGCACAACCACCACAACCACCACCAATATAACCTCCAGCCCCCATGCGCCCTAACCCAGGAGGACCTTGCACCACGCACCCTGCACCTGGTGTGCTGGCAAGCCGCCAAGGCGGGTATCCTGCCGCCCCGCGCCTTCCTGCGTCTCTACCTGAGGCACGTGCCGGTATGGCTGGTGGAGCAGGCGAGCGACGTGGAGTGCATGCAGGCCATTCACACGCTGCGGCTGCTGCGGTGGGTGCCGCGGAGGGATGTGCGGGAGGCGTTGTGTACGGCACTGGAGCGGCGGGCGCCGTCCTCGCGGTTGCCGCTGTGGAAGACGGCGAGGTGGTTGCGCGAGCTGTTGTAGCAGCAGGCAGCAGCAGGGAAACAGGTAGCGGGCGGCGTGATGGGGAGTTTGAGGGGTTAGGTTAGGCTTGGTTGCATGGCGAACATGGGGTGTGCTGAAGCGGCAACGGGAATCAGCGCGGTTTGTGCTCTAGTTTGTGCTTCTAGAAGGGGAATGGTAACGCGGAGGGAGGCATGCCGTCTGGGCAGGGTTTGGGGCAAGGCAGGTGAGCAGGTGGCTGTACGTTCGCTGTATGGCGGTGCTGAAGGAGCCGCCAGCCTGCAGAGCTCCTGCGGCAGTGCAGCCATGGGAACCACAGTGCTGGGTCAGTAGGAGTAGCGACGTAGCGAGGCATGTTAGGCATGGCGGGGAGCGCGTAATGCATGCACGAATGCGCTATTAACGTTGTGTTGTGTGGCTTGGGGCCGGCTGTAACTTGCTCCAGTTGCTGTATCTGGGTTGGAACTCGCCTGGACACGCGAGTTGGAGGCGCTTGGTGATCTAATATTTGCAATAGCGGATATGCACATTGTAGTACGCGAGAGTGGTGGGAGCAGCAGCGGAGTGTATGAGTGCAAGTGTGGAGGAGGTGCTGTGTGGTCCTCGCAAACGGTTGGGACCTTTCGTTGGCTTTCCAAGCTGGGCAGGTTGTAGGTTGTTGAGTCCCCGTACGCAGGGAGCGCAGGTGCTGTGGTGGGCTTTGTGTGAGCCACGCAAAGTCGCAAGTGTGTTAGCTAGAGGAAGCGTCCTCTCCTTGGGCTATACCGATAGTAGCACAGTTATAGCTGATGGATAGATTTTTTGGGCAGGAGGCAGCGTAGTTAAGATGCGTAGAGTAGGCTAGGACGACTGGCAAGCGAGGACGAGGAGTGTAGGATTGGACGAGGAGGGTAGTTGGCTGTTCTTGCGGGTAAGCGCCCGGTTGGCAGTGGGTGAGAGAAGACTCGATTACGTACGGCAGAGCTTGTCTGTCTCTGCGGCGTCCTGCTTGGAAGGAGCCCTTGTGATGTACTCAGCGGCGTCCTTCCGTGCCCGTGCCTTCTGTCAACCCAGGTACCTTCAAGGTTCGTCAGGTGTCCCACAGGCCAACAGAATCGACGCAACATGACGCAAACATAGCTCCCTCATTTCCCAAAGTTTGCTACGGGCGCCAATCGTCGTTCATGAGCCAAACACAATCCTATCTGTTGCTAATGGTATAACCGTACTACCGACACTAGGAAAACGGGACAACACGGGGAACGTGCTCCCAACGCTTGCATTCATCCCCGAACGGTTACGGTCATACATGCAAGTGTGAAAACCAGGCCTAACACGCCTATAGTTGCCAAACGTTCCCTGTGATTGCTCGTACCCATCCTCCACCCGTCCCTCCTCAGCTGCAACCCGGCAGCTGTACAGCTAGACAGCCAGCTGTCGCTCCCCCTACTACGCAGCCTCCGTTCCTTTAGGGGCTTCCCATGCTGAGAGGGAGGTAAGGCTGCGACGCCTGCTTATTTCCCCTGCCCTGCTGAGGCCGCCGCTGCTGCTGCTTGCTGCTCCATTTGGGTGAAGAACTCTTGGAACCGCATGCCAACGCGCGCCGTGACGTGCATGAACTTCTCGCAGCACTTGGCCGTGCACTGGAGGCAGCAAATGGACAAGGGAAGTGTGAGAAACAGTGGGTGGGAGCTCAAGACATAGCTCTAGCAACCGCTGCCCTTAGGGGTGAGGACGCCCCGAACAGGGGCCGGCGACAGTACCAAACCCGGACCACGACAGCAGTTAAGTGGGGATGACACACCAGCGAACCGTTTTCGCGAGCATAAAGTTCCATATACTTGAGGATTCGTTGCGCCGTTTTCCCACTATGCAGCATCCAAGCCCACCTGCTCCTCCTTGGCCGACAGGGCCTTGCTGCGCATATCCTCTACGCACTCCTTGAAGCATCGCTCGACGAGCCGGTTGTACATTTTAAGGCTGCGGGTTCATAAAATAAGATAACTTTGCTGCGACGTCACGGACAGCACTTGGGTCAGCGCGACGGATGGCCGCCTCGGCTGCCGCACCTGTCCCGCACTTGCATCTGCTCCAAGGCGGCGCCTAGGGCCATCTTGGCATCATCAGGAAGATCCGAAACAGAATCTAGGGGGAAGTTCATTTTTATGTTCCGGCTGATGCAGGCGCTTCAGGTGGGGGGAACAAAAAGAGGCTTTGGGGTTAAAGCAAGATGTTTAGGAACTACAAGGGTTGGTTTAGCAGTAAGACAAACGGCCCAGTATGCATTGCATAACAGGATGTACGGATGCGTTGCGACTGCGCGCGCTAGGGTGCAACCTTTCACCGTCTCTTTCTGGGTTAAACATTTAGCAAAATTTACAAGTAATCCTAACATTTAGACACAATGGAGGCTGTGCAGGAGGCTGCGCAGGCACTCCGCATTCTAGTAAACAAAGGTGTCGAGATGACCGGACTCACCGATACACAGCTAGTGCAGCTTGCTGTAGCTGCCGTTGTGGCGTTGGGACTTGTTTACCTCTTGAAGGACATTTTGAGCACTCTGCTTATCCCTACAATCAAGGTGGAGCCGACAGACGGTATGCGCGCGAACTTGGGACGCGGGTTGGGTATCTTGACGCCTGACCAGCGCTTGCTGTCGCGCAGCTGAGGCCAAGGACACTATCGTCGCTGCCAAGTATACCCCTGGTCAGCCTGTGGACAAGGATGTGGTGCCATGCTATGATCCCAGCACTATGCAGCTGCTGGGCCACGTGCCGGCCATGTCAGCTGCCGAGGTAAGGCCGTGCTTGCTTAACTTTGCTGCCGCTCACGCTCTTTCCGTCCAGGTTCTCCGCGGGGTGCCGCTTCAACCCTCGTAGCCGTTACAGGGCGCACCATGTCCCGATGGCTTACCGTCACCCTGTCCGCCAAACCTTGCACACACAGCTCCATTCCCAGCATCCCGCAATCTCCACAACGTATCTCTCGCATCAGCTGTATTGCGTTAAAGCTGTACTGGGTAATGCTGAATCTCCTGTGTCGTACACCTCAGGTTCGGACGCGCATCGCCAAGGCCAAGGAGGCCGCCAAGGTATGTTTCCAACCGTAACCGGACCAATCGGCATCTTCAGCACTCAATACTGGATGTGTGACCACACCACCATCCATCACATTCCGTGTTGCCAGTGCCTTTGCCTGTACACGCCGCACGCATTCCCACATCCCTATCATGTACATCCCCCGTCTGGCTTGGTGCCTCTCTCGATGCTGCATGACCCGGGCCGCCCTGTTTCCGTACATCCGTACAGATCTGGCGCAACTCGAGCTTCTCGCAGCGCCGCAAGCTGCTGCGCATCCTGCTCAAGTTCATCATGGATAACACGGAGACCATCTGCAGGTGTGTGTATGTTAAAGTAACTGGTCGCTGGGGAGCCCTGTATGCCGTAGTGCCCTGTCGTCGTACCCTATCCCGTCAGTTAACAAGTGCTGCTCCCTCTCGTCCTCTTCCTCCTCCCGCCACGCTGTTGCCCTTGCGCTTACAACACCGCTGCCCCTGCTACCACACCTGCTGCCATACCTATGCGTCAGGGTGTCTGCTCGCGACTCCGGCAAGCCCATGCTGGAGGCCATTGTCGGGGAGGTGGTGGTGACGTGTGAGAAGATCCACTGGCTGTGCAAGGAGGGAGAGCGCTACCTGCGCCCGGAGAGGCGCTCGGCGGGCATCATGGTAGGGTGGTGGGGGCTGGTGGGGGAAAAAAAGACCAAACCATAGGAAGCTACGGATTAGGGCAAATCAATGGGCGGGATGGATTGGTTGGGGTGGTTAGCCGGGTTGGGGAGATGGGGAGGAGAGCAGGGAAGGGGAGGGCAGGGAGTATTAGGGTACATGGTCGGGAAAAAGAAATTCCAAAGTGTGGTCGGGAGGGGTCGAGGGAGCTGCACGGATTTAGGTTGCAATAGCTTGGAGCCGTGCCCCATGTAATGCATGGCATGCTGGGGCCGTTTGGTGCGGTGTGTGCCCCGGCAGCACAGAGCCTCTGCAAAGGTGATGATGCTCCCTGTGTGCGGAGTTTGACCCACACCTCCCCCGTACCTTCCCCCTTCCCCATGCAGAGCTTCTACAAGTCGGCTCGTGTCGAGTACCACCCCGTTGGCGTGGTACGTGGGTGCCGGGGTCAGGCGGCGGGGGGGTTACTAGCACAGGGGAAACGGCTGACGAAGCGCCGGGACGATGAGACGGACGGCGTCTCGGGGAAGACCATGCGGCTGCCGCTCACCTTCTTGACCTCCCTCCCTCCACTTGCACCCCTCACTCACCCTTCCCTCCCTCTCACCCCTCCCTCCGCAACCCCAGGTGGGCGCCATCGTGCCCTTCAACTACCCCTTCCACAACGTGCTCAACCCCCTCACCGCGGCGCTGTTCGCGGGTAACGGCCTGGTCATCAAGGTGAGGCGTGGGAGCCCTGGGAGACGGAGAAAAGAGGGGGCTGGGTAGGATAGGGTAGGGAGCGAAGTTGCGAGGGGGGCCTTTCTGCTTCACATTCTCCTCCTTATCCGTCATGTTCGTCCCCCCATTTCCCTGCCGCGCTTCTCCCCCTCTACCTGCCCTTATTCCCCCAACAGGTTTCGGAGCACGCCTCCTGGTCCACCGGCTACTACGGCCGCATGATCTCCGCGGCGCTGGCCGCTGCGGGCGCCCCGGCCGACCTGGTGCAGTTCGTGACGGGGTACGGCGAGGCGGGCAACGCGCTGGTGACGGGCGGGGTGGACAAGGTCATCTTCGTGGGCTCCACGCAGGTTGGCAAGCTGGTGATGCGCGCCGCGGCGGACAACCTGACGCCGGTGGTGTTGGAGCTGGGCGGCAAGGACGCGTTCATCGTCACGGAGGATGCGGACCTCAACCAGGTGGGGGGGGCCTGGGGCTGGGAGGGGAAGGATATGAGGTTCAACGGCCCTGACTCTGGGTGCGTAAGGAGAGGAGGAAGGATCTGGGGCGGAGGGCATGTGGGGCGCGCGTGTGGGTTTAGACGCCTGCTGAAGGCCCCCGCCCCCAGTGTGTGTTAAGAAAGCTCGCCGCGAGTCAGCGTGTGTGTGTGTGCTGGAGTCCCCTTGGGACTGCCCAGCGTCCACACACCCATCAACTCCTTCGCTTACATGGCCACAGCCCTGCTGTCGTCCGCTTCATCCGTCATTCTGCCCTCTGCTGTCTCTCTCTCCCTTTCCCCCAACGCCCGCCCCCACAGGTGATCCAGGTCAGCCTGAAGGCCGCATACCTGAACTGCGGCCAGAACTGCGCGGGTGGGGAGCGCTTCCTGGTGCATGACAAGATATACGACAAGTTCCTGGAAACGGTAAGAGGGTAGGTAAAGTAATCGAAAGGTGAAGCAACTGGAGTCGCAGCCCATATCCCGACTCATGCAGTGAGCGCATACGGAGACACTATCGAAGGGGGGGGATACACACGGGAGACACGTCGACATGGGAGGTGTGGTACGAATGCCTTGAATGTGTTGAATGTAGAAGTAACTCTCCATCCTTGTTTCTCCTCCCTCCACGCAGGTGGCCCCGCTCGTTCGCGGCATGCGGCAGGGCAACCCGCTGGGCGAGGCGGAGGTGGACTGCGGCGCGCTGTGCATGCCGGGTGGGTGGCAGGACTCGGGACAGGAGGTCCCGGTCTGCTCGGAGAGGAGAGGAGCGGGATGGGCTGGGGCCGCAGTTGGGGAGTCCAGGGGGTCACTCCAGTGGCCATGTTGCGGTCCCTCGGGAAGGGCATGCACTCCGTGGGCGGTTCCTCCGTAGTGGCAAACCTTGCGGAACAGCGTCAGCCAGCTGCGGCGCTGTGACGCCACACCGGGAGGAGCCATGGAACCCCTACCCCCCATGCACTCTCACGTGCTGCTGCCGCCCCTCCACCCCTGTTGCTCACCCCTGTCCCTCACCTGCTGCTCACCTCACCTCCCCTTGCTGCTGCTGCTGTCCTCCCGCAGGTCTGTCTGAGAAGGTCCACGGTCTGGTGGAGGACGCGGTGGCTCGGGGCGCCCGGCTGCTGGCGGGGGGGCGGCTGCGGCCGGCGGCGGAGGCGGGCGGGCAGTTCTACCCGCCCACGCTGCTGGCTGACGTACGGCCGGGCATGAAGATCTGGGAGGAGGAGGTGTTTGGGCCGGTGAGCGCTGGAAGGGGGCAGGCCGCATGGGGGTTAGGGCGGTTTGTGACCGTTGGGGTGAGGGTAGTGAAGTTTCCAAGTCTGCATGCAGCCCAACGGCGTGTACCAGCATGCCCCACCTCCTCCTCGTCTTGGACGTTGCCGCCCCTCCTGGCCTTATACCGTGCCGTGTACCAGCATGCCCCCTCCCCCACTCGCGTCCCTCCTTCCACGCACGTCCCTCCTTCCACACACGCCACTCCTCCATGCGCCACTCCGCGCAGGTCATGAGTGTGGTCCGTTGGAGCTCGGACGACGAGGTGGTGGCGCTGGCTAACGACTGCCCCTTTGGGCTGGGCTCCTCCGTGTTCGCGGGCAGCCAGGCGCGCGCGCGGGCCATTGCGTCACGGCTTGAGGCGGGCATGTCCGCGATCAACGACTTTGGCACCACCTATATGTGCCAGTCGCTGCCGTTTGGAGGCGTCAAGCACAGCGGCTTTGACCGCTTCGCCGGTGAGTGGGGGGGATGGAGGACGGGTGGGTGGGCTCGCGCATCCGTCGGACCCTCATGCGGCATTCAATCCTCCCACCTGTTCCGTGTCATTAGGATAAGACAGCGCGGACAGCTCCTCTTCAGCGTTGCGCTCTCTTCTATCTCTCGTCTTTCCCTCCCACTCCTAACCGCCGTGTCTCCTGCTCTCCCTCTTGCTACTGCCTCAGGTGTGGAGGGCCTGCGCGGCCTCTGCGTGCCCAAGTCCGTGTGCGAGGACCGGCTGCCGCTGCTCATGAAGTCGTCCATCCCGCCGCCGTGGCAGGTGCCCGTCAAGTCCAACGCATTCGCATTCGGCACCTCCCTGGTCGCCATGTTCTACGGCCCCGGCCTCATCTACCAGGCGCGCGGGCTGGCGGCGCTGCTGCACTGCCTGGTCTTCCCGGGGGCGTACGGCAAGAAGGCCGGCAAGAACAAGGCGGCGTAGCTGGGAAGGGAGGGATGTGCAGGGGGGTTAGGTGGCGAGGAGAAGGTTGGCAGCGGCTGGCTTGTCCTAGGGCTCTAGGCTGCGGCTGAGCGAGCTGGCTTGATGGGAGATGCATTCGTGAGACAGAGCTTATTGTGTGGAGGAGCGCTGGCAGCCTGTGTGCTGTTATCCATGTTTTGGACGTGTGTTTGAAGGCGCAGCGCAGCAAAGCAGGAGGTGAACGGGGAATGAGAGGGGTACCGCCGTGCGCGTAGAGCGCAGTTTTATGCGGGATACGCTACCATAATAATGGTTGGGGGCGGTTGCTTTCGTGCTGGTATGTATGCTGATGGCGTGATGGAAGCTTCTGCTCAAGTTCTATGACGGAGAGGGGTACCAGATTGCTCTGTCTGTGTCTGCGTAACGCGTTTGTATGACGGGGGCCACAGTCGTCCTTGCCTATATTCTGTGTATATGTTGTTCGTGGGGGCCAACGCACGCACTGCCCACCTCTTCCTCCGTGTGTTCAGTACCTTTTGAAGTCGCTGCTTGCGCGCAAATGGTAGCGCTTATAGGCCTAGAATGCTATGTTCCGTCTTCCTTGCGTTGGTTTGCGGAGAGTTAATGAGCCCATGTGGCGTGCTTGCAAGGTCTGTCTACATTGAAGATAAGGTTTGAAGAAAGTATTGGCAAATGGGTGTTGCTAGTGGACCGCTTAACGTCAGAACCGCCTAAAGTATTGAACTTAGATATCTCATATGTAACAGTGGAGGAACGTTTGCAAGGTCATTTCCCAGTTGTGCCGCTCTCATGTCTTTGTAGCATTTGCAACTTGGTTAAGATGTCTCTTCCCGACCGCCTGATTCAGTCCCGTCAGTTAAATCAACCTGCTATGGCATCGCAGCTTCGTGTGTGAACCAATACGTCATGCAGTGCGAGCCTGAACACCTGGACGTTGCAATGGCGCCGGCACTCAGGGCAGCTTGCGTGCGACTTGGACAGGCTGTTGGGCAGTAAAGTTGGGCTATTTACTTATGAATTTTCGCCTGACGCCACCCTCATTAATCTCCAAAGGCTAAAGTGGACGTGCTTCTACACTTCGGCTTTGATTACCTGTAGCGAAGGGTGAGTGAGTTGTTACAAGCTCTACGGCTCGTAGCTCTGAACGTGCCTAATTCCAAGGTCTCCCTGATTTCGGCCAGATCGCGGAACCTGCCGTAACCTCTCTTTTCTCACGCCTTCAGACCAAAGTGTCTTAGGACAAAAGTTCCATATGTATGTATAGCAGACGTCTATGCAGCCGTTTGGTGCAGAATGCGCGAGTAGGCGAACAACCAACGTAAATGACACCATCGGCACCGGGAAAAATTTCGGCCAGTCAACCGCGTAGCACGTATACAGATGGCTGGTGGCAACGGAGCAAAGCGATCTCGCGGAGACCCGACCCCACGCACGCGATGCAGCGCAGCCACAAGCCGCACCAAGCAACACTCCACGCGCAAAACGCGGCAGCTACACTGACTTGCAAACAGAGTATTTCTGGAGCGGGTGTGCTGAGGTGCTTTCACGGGCGCGTTCTAGGTATCAAGCACAATTTCCATGTCCTCCAGTGAACTCAGCCGGAGCGCTGCAATGGCCCGTCTGACAGCACAGGTCCATTGTATATACCTTAATGGTGTTATGTGTGTAATGCCCGGCTGTGAATATGCTGATTGGATATGCAGAGGTCGAAAAACGGCACTGGCCAAAATTAGGTTAGGCCATCTTCTACAATGAATTTTTCAGTCGCACCTGCTGGCCTCCCTGCTTTACTTAAAGGCTGCCGGCTTTGGAACTCCATTAGAGATATATAGAATACTGCAAAACGCGCGATAAACGACTCGGTAAGGCCCGTATCGGCGATCTAGAGCAGGAAAATCGCGCCTGGCCGAAATATGGCACATTCAGAGCTAAGGCCCAGACGAGCCAGGAGGCTCATGGACCGCACACACAAACAAACAAAGGAAAAAGCAACCTGTAGCGGAGGGGAGTAATGTATACTGAGCGCACTACCGTACCGGTACTGCAGGAAGGCCGGTCGAAGGGGAGCAAAGTATATAAGCTCATGCAGTCAGCTACATACATCCTGTAATACGTCTTACATCGTTAATAGCCTTTAACCGTTTTCTACGTACACAAAGCTTGCAGTGGCAGTTCACATTTAGTACGAACACCTTAGAGCAAGTTACCTCTGCCAAAATGAATTGCAATTCCTACTACCTAGCTGTTGTCTTGCTGTTGATTGCAACTGACGTATCAGCATCATCCGCAAGCCGGAAACTGCTGGGCGCCACGAAACCGCCGCCATCCCCATCTCCATCTCGAAAGCCACCTTCGCCTCCGCCGCCACCTCCGTCACCATCTCCACCGCCTCCCTCCCCGTCACCTCCATCATCATCTCCGCCGCCACCCTTTCCTCCGGCAGGTAACAGAAACGTGGTGTAATTCCTTTGTGCCTCTTTCCGATGCTCAATAGCAGCAACCAACCTCCAACTTCACGCATGCGTCCGTCTCCCCAGACTGCACCACTCCGACACTCCTCTGGTCAGACGAGTTCGATGGCGCCGCTCTGGACACCACCTCCTGGAACTACTGGATTGGCAAAGGTGGGTTGGTTTGCGGGTGAAGATGAGGAGCCGCAGGCCGGCTCAAGCAAACTTTGCACATTTCAAAACCCGCCCAAACCCCCTCTCCTTTCTCAGCCTACAATAATGAGCTCGAGTACTACACCAACCGCACCGACAATGTACGGCTGGCGAACGGCAGTTTGGTTATTGAGGCGCGCTCTGAAACCTACGGAGGCATGAACTTCACTTCAGCCCGCATCGACACACGGCTCAAGCAGGCCTTCTATCCGGGAATGAGCGCGGGGGGAAATGTGTTTGGCAGGATCCGCTTCGAGGCCAGGATGAAGCTGCCAAAGGGTGGGTGCAAGTCAGGGTGTGCAATGGTAGGGGGCTGTGGTGGGTGGAAGGGAAGATGTCTAGGTCATGGCTAGCTGATTGCCTTGCCTGGGGCGACGTTCCGTAGAGAAAGACAATAGACGGGAAACTGTAGCCCGATTTGTACGAGCTTCCCGCTTGGGCTCAGTGCTCCCTCCCGCCTCACGTCCAACCCACTCGCAGGTCAGGGTGTGTGGCCCGCTTTCTGGCTGTTGCCTAACAGCAAGATCTGCGACGCATGCGGGCCGTACGGATCTTGGCCGTACTCTGGCGAGATCGATATCATGGAGGTAAGGCGGCACATGGGGGGGTGACGGTGTTTGAGCAGGCGTGATGCTAGGCAGGTTGCGGTTTGGGGGCTTGCACGGCTAGGGGAAGGGTGGTAACTGGGAGAGCAAGCCATGCACGTCCCATAGTACAGCACCGACGTCGGCTGTGTCCCTTGTTGTTCCTAGCCTACCGTAATACCCGAGTTTGATCCGCTTCCCCTCGCCTCCCCACCATGCAGGGCATTAACAACATGACCTACTCGTACGGCACCCTGCACTACGGCAACTACCAACAGTCGGGTGGGTAACTGCTAAACTGTAACTGACAGAGACTCTTTCTGGCTGGCTGGCTTGCACCAGCACGCGAGTGGTTTGCATCGTAATGTCTGAAGTGGCTGAACGTACGGTATTGCTGGCACCGGTATTGTACTACATAGTTTGGCCTTATCTCCACCATGCCGTACCGCCCCCACAGGCAGCAGGTTTCGCCCCACTTCCGTCGAGCTGGGCCTGGAGTGGTGAGTGGGGTGGGCGGGTTGGGTCATGGTCTCGGGTAGTGCATGATATCCTGTGCAGAAGGGGGGCGTGCATGGGATATGGCCATCTGTTGTCTCCACCAGGGATTGCCTAATCGCACTTCGCAGAAGCATTCCTGGGTGCTTAGAATAGGTTGGGAACTGTACCCCTTATCGATCTGATTGGTGCTCTCGCCTCAACACGTCCCCTCTCTCGCCCCTACACACAGGCACACGTTCGCCCTGGAGTGGGCCGCTGACCAGATGTGGTGGTATGTCGACAATGTGCTCGCCTTCACCCAGCACAGGTGGGCGTTAGGGGTTTGGTAGGATGGTGGTTTGTTGCCGTATGTCCTCCATGTTGAGACTACAACAAGCATGCTTAACCCTAGACAGGGCTACGTGAAAAGTGCATTTGCCCTCAACCTTATCTTGACGTGCCCCCTGTCGTCCCTCCCTCGCTCCCTCCCTCTCTCCTCTCCCTCCACCGTCCGCACAGTCGCTCTCTGTCCGACGCGGGATGGTGGACTTCGAGCCAGACCACCACCCCCACGGGCCCCAACTCGCCCTTTGACGCGCCCTTCTACATCATTCTCAACCTGGCAGTGGGCGGCGACTGGCCGGGGCCGCCGAACGCCTCCACCGCCTTCCCCGCGCAGCTGCTAGTGGACTATGTGCGGGTGTCGGGATACTAATGAGCCGAGGGTTGGGGGATAATGAGTGGTGAACTGGGTGTAAGGGTGTCGGGATAGGATAATATGACGAGCAGAGGTACCGTGAGCAGGGGTTTGTGGTTACTGAGTGGTTGAGGAAAGGTGAGGAAGGAGTGGAGTTGTGATGGAGGTCGTCGGGAGTGGTTGTGGAGGGTGGCTTGGGTCATGGGGTCTGCTGTCTCGCATGATTGTGCTTGGAGCTTAGATGGTTAGGGATTAGCTGATCGTAGCGAAATGAAACTTCTTTTAGAATGTTGGCATCAGCACGTTGGGCCTTCTCACCCCCGATAGGTTTAGGGGGTTTAGGGGGTTTAGTTGTTATGATGGTTTTTCTTACATATACGTTTGGTGTCTTTATATAGCTACCGGTACTGCTAATGGACTGCGGTATCGTATGTGGCGGAAGGTGCGGAGGTAGGGGCCTACAGGCGGGTTGCGTGAAACCCCGGTGCGGCTGACAGGTTGGGGCTAGGGCACGACCGAAAGGAGTGCGACACGTCCTGTTTAGTGGTGTCCCCTGTGTTTGTACATACGAGGTATATGTTGCAGGGACAAGTTCCCTTGGTATAAATCTTTGCACATTTCGTGATACGCTACACTGTGTACACAAGGTGTACACGCTTGGCGCTGTTGGGATGTAGGCGTGTGCGTGTGTTTGGTCCTACGAGGTGTCAAGTATGACAAACCCCTAGAGCATGTCGGGAATACCCCTAACACGAGTCGGATACGTATGATGTAACTCAAGGAGAAGAGCCGCTAGGACTGTCGGAAAGCCCATCACAAATCCGAAAGTACGACCGCCGGACAAGAACGGTTGGTTCTACCTTTCTTGCTGGCTGCCAAACCATTACAACCTGTCGCAACACGACTTTCACCAGAGCTAGGAAGTCGTGACGCTAACGTTACCTAACCTCCTTCAATTGCTTGCATTCGTCTTTCGCGCATCTAGGGACGCGCCTTGCGTAGACCACTTAACCAGCTGGCTTACGGTATGCAAGCCACAAATGGACACAACTGTAGTGTACCTTGAAAACGGTTGCATACATCCCGATTGCACCTTAACGCCACAACAAGTGCTTTTGAAACATGCCGGTGGCGTCTACACAACAGCGCTATTCACTCCAGATGGCTGCGTTGTGGACTGGGACCTGCACCGGCAGCGGCTGCTCAGGCATGTTCCATCTGTCGTGAATTATATCTGACAATTGGTCTCCTTTGGCAGCCCGTGCGGGCCCCTTTCCTTGCCCAAGCGCCTCCCACGGAGTCTTTGTTGACACTGCGGTGCTGCCGCAGGGGCATTGAGGTGCTCAACACGCGCCCCTCGCAGCCCTTCCAACCGCTGCTGTCTACCCTGCAAGCGCAGGTACGTTGGGCCTCGTTCGGGGCATCCCCAGGAATGCATTCTTCCTTTCGAATGCCCACCCCGTCTTCGCAAACTGCGCGCTGCCCTGTCTGCTGCGTCGGACTCCTGCAGGGCTCCTCGCTTTCAGCCTTCCTGGAACAAGCAGTGGTACCGCGTGTGAGGGAGGCTCTGGGGGCTTTTTTTGGCGGCAGGATCGGGAGCGGCCCCGGCAGCAGCTGCCCGGCCGGCAGCAGTCCTGACGCACATCACCAGCAACAACAACAGCAGCAAGGCCAGGGCCAGGAGCAGGACAAGGACCAAGAGCAGCAGCTGCTGCAGCAGCAACAGCAGCAGCACGCCATGTTTGTGGTGATTATCTCCCCGACGGGAACCGGGAAAGCAGCTGTAGTTGCAGACGCATCAGCAACGGTAACAGGAGGCACTGAAGTCGGACTAGCGACGGCGGCGGCGACTGAGGGACCGCAGCAAGGTGCCGTGGGAGGTGCGCAGGAGCTGCCGGTCAGCGTCGCCGTGTACTGCAAATCCGTACAACTGCAGCCGTACGGATCTCAACATGCCATCCAGGTACGAAAGTATCATACAGTGCGGCATACTGCTTTAACATCACGGTGGCCAAAGGTGATCATCCAAAACCAACGACCCCGTCTTCCTCTCCTCTCCCGCCCATGATGTCCCCTCCTTGTCTCCCAGGCAGCCGTGTTGGGTGCCCCCAGGCCGCTACCCGTGGCCAAGGCTGCCAGTTGGGTGGCTGAGCGGCGGAGCTATGAGGAGCGCCGACCCGCAGAGGCGGCTGAGGTGCGGGCCTGCCATCGTATATGTTGTGCTCATGTGCATAACCAATCCACCATATTTAGTAGAGGCTGCCTTCGTGCACCGCTTACTCTGGCGGTCAGGGCCCTCTGACTGCAACCTTTCCGGCCCGACTTATAGGGCATGCATGGTAACCGCAGGTGCTGCTGTCGGATTCGGAGGGACGCATTCTGGAAGGCCTGACCACCAACTTCTTCGTCATCATGACGGCGCCAGGAGCAGCTGAACCAACCGTCGCAACTACCGCAAGTACGACAAGACACGCTGCTACGGAGGACGATGAAGGAGGAAGGACCAGCAACAGCCAAGCCCAATCCGGCGACGCCGCATGCGAATCGGCGTCCTCGGTGACCGCACCAGCCTCCCAAGCCACGTTACGAGGCTGCGGCACGGATTCGGCTGTGGCGCTGCCGGGCACAGCTGCAGCTCGTGTTGTGGAGGCGGCGCGGAGGCTGGGCTTGCGTGTGGAGCTGGAGCCGCCGAGAGCCGCCGAGCGGGCGCAGTGGAGCGAGGCGTTCGTGTGCAATAGGTGAGTGGTGGGGGGGGGTGAGGGTGGACGGACGCCCCGGAGCCCTGTGCAGCCCTATTTCCTGACCTTACTGTCTCACTGTTGTCTTTAGCATGGGTTAGTAAACCTTTCTTTCTTCGCTGTGATTTCCACCCCGCAGCGTTCGCGGCATCCTGCCCTTGAGCCGAGTGTTCTGCCCCCAAGGTATGTCCTAGCGGAGCTGTTTGTGCCGCTGCAAGCATGCCTCCCTCCTCCTGTGGCTGTGTGATTGGCCTGTTTGCATGTTCGCCGCCTACGCATACTGGCATACACCATGTAACGATGTCCCCTCAAGGCCCTTTTGCCGCATGCCCCTGTCCCTGAAGTGGGATTGCAGTGCCTCACGGCTTTTTCTCTTTGCCCTCTGCCGCATGTGCAGACAATGCCTGGGGCGCCGACCCGTGGGACTGTCCCCTGCCTCACGCGGCCGGTCCCCACACCAGTGCACTGCTTGCGGAGATGCGGAGGCTGCAGACACTCACACCTTGGAACCAACTTTGATGGCCTTTCTTGGTTTCCGTGGGACCTACTTTAATTACTTTTCTCTGCTTCCATTTTAACACAAGCACTAGCGTAGCCCCGGTGCCAGCGGAATGATCCAGCTGCGCTACAGGCGCCCTGTTTTGTAACATCTGGTGGTCTGGCCTTGTTTGACACACGCGAGCGTCTTCTTGCGTAGAGGCTCGCTAGCGTAGAGGGCCCTATCCGCTTCGCAAACAGACCTAAGACGCCCATGATGGCCGTTGGGCAGTCCGGGCACCCGGCGAAGCGTAGTCCCCTTGCAAATGTGTGCGTCTCTGAAGTCAAATCCTGCTCCGCAACACAGCAGAAGCCGACCATGCTCGCCCTCCGCTGCCTCCTACCTGCCTCCTGCTGCACCTCCTACATCATCCCTACACGCCTGCACTCCTTCTTCCCACCTTCTTCCAACCCCTCCGGCCTGCTTTACACCCCTCCCAGCACGCGTCCCTCCACCCCACACGCCGCCTCCACCTCCGCCTGCCTAGCCATCATATCCTCATGCAAACCCGCAGCCGCATCCCGAGCCTCCACCGCCCCCTGCCCCTCATGCAACCACGCTAGCAGCGCCGCCGCTAACGCCGCCATCCGCCAATCCTCCGCCGCCGCCGCAGCATGTACGGCGCCCTGTAGCAACCGCTGCAGCTGGCTGTAGCAGTGCGTCAGCTCCTCAGGCGAGTGCGCCTCTGAGAGGACCATCTCTGCCAGCGTGAGCTGCGCCCGGGCTTGAAGGTGGACCGACCCATGGGCCAGGATGAGGGGCAGCGCGTCCTGTGTGTGTGTTGTCGGGGAGCAGGCAGAGCGACAAGGGACTCGTAATGGACTTAGGGGGAGCAACATGGCCAAACAGATACAGAGACAAACGTTAATATGCAGCTCCCCTCCTCCTCCCGGCTCTCTCTCATCCTCCCCTTCCCCTTTATCCTACACCCCCTCCCCCTCACCTGCAGCAGCACCAGTACCTCCTTCAGCTGCCCCCCGTCCGACAACTCCGTCCACACGCGGCTCAGCAGCACCAGCGCCTCCGCCGCCAACAAGTCATAGCTCCGACCTCCCGCCCCAGCACCACCCTCTGCTGCTGATCCTACCGCGCTGACACCACCACCCATCACACCCGCCTCAGACGCAGCGCCCGAGGCTGCAGCAGCAGCTGCAGCGGCAGGGGGTCCGGGCTGAGCAGGCAGCAGGCATGCAAGCACGTGCGGCAGGGCGCCCTGCGGGTCCCCGGCTGCTAGGTGGATCTCGGCTAGGAGCAGCAGGCAGCGGAGCGCGGGAGCCTGGAGGCCTGTGAGTAGTGGTCGGTGGCCGGGTTGGAGGGGGCGAAAGAAATTCCAATGTGTGTGTGTTGGAAGGGGGGGTGTAAGGCGGGGTGTACGTAGGTCATATACTGCCCAGCTACTGTTGCTGAGCCGCTGCTAGTGTTGCTGCTCATCTTCTATGCCGTACGCAGTACCGTCTGCAGTACACAGCACCGCATGCCGTACCTGCGTCCGCACACCTGGCGAAGAGCTCCGTCGCCGCCTCTGCAGCCTCACGAGTGGCGCCTGCAGCTAGCATGTTGAGCACACCCCGACGACTGGCCTCCAGTCTTGGTGAGGGGAAGAGGAGGGAAGGGGTCGGTCGGTAGTGGGCGGGGTAAGAATCTAAGAAAGAAGAATGTATGGTAATGTGTGAGATGCTGAGTTGGGCGTAAACTCACACCTAACCGGGAAGAAAGGCGCTAAGCGTAGGCGTCCTGCCCGTCGGCCCGCCCTCGACTGCCCTTCTCACCTGAGCTCCAGATCCCGGTGCGGCTGCGGGTCTGCCAGTGCCGCCAGCTGCCCCACCGCCGCCGCAGCCCCCGCCAGGTCCCCCACCGCTAGCGCCCGGTCGTGTGCCGCACACAACCATGCAGCCGCAAGCGCTGGGCCGCCCCACAGAGCCAAGTGGCCGCAGTCCACAACGTCAACGTAGCTGCTGGTGCTGATGTTGGTGCTGTTGTTGCCTACGGTGGCTACGGTTCCCGCTGCTGCACCAGAAGCAGCGGGAACCGTAGCAGAATGAGGAGTCGCCTGTTGCTGCCCGGGCTCCGTAATTTCATGGGAGGAGGGGTCGGTAGCAGCACCAGCAGCACCAGCAGTAGCGGCGACGGCGGCGCCCAGCGGCACCGCAGAGGCCTTGAGCAGTCCAAGGCATGCGGTGGCGGCGGCTGCCGCCGCCGCCGGCCCCCGCCGCGCCGCCGCCGCCAGCAGCTGCGCACATGCCGTACCTCGGTCCTCGAACCGCGCGGGGGTTCCCGAACCTACCTCCGCATCCGAATAGGCTGTCAAGTACATGAGGGTGTGGACTCGGTCCAACGTGCTGTGGCCGTGTAGGGCCCAGGCGGCGGCTTGCAGCAGGTGTGCGGCGCCGGCGGCTTGCTGTACGGCATCCGCGATTGCGGCGACGGCGCCGCGGGGTTGCGAGCGGTCAAAGAGGAGGGGTGCGGAGTAGAGGTCGGCGGCGGCGGAGGTGGCGCGCGCGGCGCTGTTGGCGGGGGATGGTGTGCCGTCAGGGCCGAGGGGTGGAGGTGCGGCGGGGGCGGCGGCGGAGAGGGAAGCGGCGGTGGCGAGGGCGAGGGTATCTCGAAGCGCCCGGGCAACCTGCGAGGTGTTCAGGAGTTGGGCATTGTTGTGCGTGTAAAGGAAACTGGCTGCCCGTGTATGTGTGCGATAAGGACACAAACGGTATCAGGGCCCTACGAAACTGAGCAGTTATGAGATCTGGGCACTAGACAAGTGCGACGTAACGACATCGCAAGGCACATTGCAACTAACCCACTCACCATCATCGGTGCCGACCGCATCTCCGCAACACCTCCTCCTCCTTCCCCTCCCGCACCCCCTCCTCCTCCTCCCGCCGCCGTCGCCGTCAGCGACCCCGGCGGCGCATGCAGCCCCCCGTCACTCGGCTCCACGTCATGTTGCAGCGCGAACCGCGCCGCCGCTAGGTCCGCAAACGCCACCAGCTGAGGTTGCACCAGCTCCCGACCTCGTTCCCCGCAGCGTCGCAGCAGCCGCAGCAGCTGCACGTGGTGAGCCTGGCCGGACCGTAGTGCGGCGGGGCCGTGGGGCGGTAGGCCCGGGGCTCCAGGGGCGGTGGAGGACATGAGACGGCAGAGGATGGCGAGGGATTGCAGCAGCGCGGCGGGGTCGGAGGAGGACTGGGCGAGGCGCATGGACTCGTGGAGTGCGTGAAGGGCTTCCGGCGTGTGGCCCAGACCTGGGGGTGGGTGTATCGGTAAGATGGGGTGTGATAGGAGCGAGAGAAAAGGAGGAGCAAGCATTGAGTTGAGGGGGTGTCAAGCCCCTGAACTTCTTACGTGCTACAGTATCCTCTCATCCCCCCGGTCCCTGCCCTGTGCTGCCGTCCGTGTAGCCCCTACGCCCCTCCCGCACAGCCACCCTCCATTAGCCCCAGAGCTCACCCGCTTGCAGGGCGCTGAGGCTGAGCAGTCCGGCGGCGTGGCGCGCTCGAGCCGCCCCTCCCGGGGCCATGCAGTCATAGTAGCTGCGGGGCGGCAGCGTGGGGGTGGCGGTAGAGTGCACGTTGTGGCTCGTGGGTCAACACGCAACTCATTCTTCGAGTGGGTTACATGCTTACATCCTAGTCGCTCGCTACATCCTAGTCGCTGTAGGGAGCATCAGTTAGGCATCTAAGTAAAGCGTGTCCAGAAGCACAAAACACAGATACCACAAGTACGGAAGAGCAACGTCTAGCACCAACCCACTTCACCCTTCACCCACCCATGCAACATGTCCAAACCCGCCGTGTAGTCCCGGTGCTGAAGCGCCGCCTGCAGCCGCACCAGCCGGGCCAGTGGAACACGCTCCTCCTCTCCACCTCCACCGCCGCCCGCCCCAGCAGCTGAGGCGGGAGTCGGCCCCGAGGCGCCGCCTGGGGGGCCCTCCAGGGGCGCTAGGGCCGCGTCGAGCTCTGACTGGGGCATGCTGGGACCCTGCTGCTCTATCCGCTGCAGCAGTCGCGACACGAACACCTCCAGTGCCGCCCTCTCCCGCAGCGCGCCTCCTCCTGCTCCACCGCCGCCGCCTCCGGGTTCCCCCACCTGAGGAGCCGCCCTGCCTGCTGCTGCTGCTGCGCCCGCTGCTGCTGCACTGGGGTCGGTGAGGGCCGCGAAACACCCCCCTGGAGCCAGCGCCGCTGTTACGTCTTGCGCAATGGCTGTGTGCAGCTGCGCAACGGCCTCAAAGGAGAGGCCCAGGAAGGCGACCCGCACGCGGCGGATGAAGAGACCCAGCGGGGAGAGCGGGTCCAGGCCAGCTGAAGTGGGTAAAGGAAGGGAAGGTATGCAGGGGTGCAGCGGGTAGTAATGGGAGAGGCTGGAAGGAAAGGGAGGCGGAGGCAGGGGAAAGGGCATTATATGAAAGCGCAAGTTCGGCGAAGCACTGTGACTTAGCCAAGTTGTCATGGAGGTGCGGATCCCCGGACCTAGGCCCGAGCAGAAGAGGAGGCCCATTCGAAACGCCCATGTGCCACGTCGTACCGACGGTTCCCATGCCCTGAGGAGGCATGCCGCGGACATCGCTGTTTCGGACCAGCAGCTTCCTGCGGGGGACAGAACAGCGGGGTACGCTGTTTAGCACTTCTGTTGATCAGAAGTAAGGCGAGGCGACTGAGACGGGTTGGGGCGAAGTCGCAGTCCACCTGGCCAAGTGACCGGCTTTCCAAACTTCCAACAGGTCAACTTCTGTTTCCACAAGCGGCGCGATAGGCTAACGCCCCTTAGCCGCTAGAACTAGCAAGCGACCCACTTACTCAAGCAGGCCGAACAGTTTGAAGATGTCATGTGGGCAGCGGAGGTTCTGCGTGATGAGGCAAGGCAGGAGCGGAGTGAGGGGAACATGAAGGGCAGGAGAGGAGTCCAAGTTTAGGCCGCCTTGCATCCACGGCACGATAGGCAGCCTAAAGTAAACCTGTGACGCTGCGCGCCCCGGCCTGTCATGGATGTTGCACCCGGTTCGTCTCGCGTTTTATGCAGGCCGCACTAAATCACAAACCAGCTCATGCCTCACCCGAAGCGTCACTTCCAGGCATCCCACAAGCGAGCTCCCAAGCTCTCCCAGCTGTCGCCTGAGTTTTGTGCACAGCTGAGGCAGCGTCGGATATACGGCGCTGTCCGGTTCCTGTATAAGTAGATAACCACGCATAGTTCATGCCGCTTGCCACTTGCTGTAAGGCTAAAAAGGGGAGTGTGCTCCATGGTAACTATAAGATAAAGCTCGCCTTTAGCTCTCTTAGGAGAAAGACCGCAAGTTGTCGCGCGATTGAACGACGATCAGATACTCGTAAAAGCTCTGGTGGAGGAGGATGCACGAAGAAGTGCACTAGAACGCTAATGTAGACCTCCTCGGGCCGCACGCTGCGCGCCATCCGACTTCTTGTCAGTTGTTAATGATATATTACACAAATGGATAGTGCATCCTGCTATCCGTGCAATGTAAGCTTAGCGAACAAGGATGAAGTCAAGCTCAATGCCATAAGTGCTCCGTCTTATAGCTTGACTTCATAGTGCGCTATTCGCGTATTCGCTAACGATGACGCCTAGCACTTTATGAAAAACGATCATAACACAATGGGCCGACCAGGACGTCCAGGAGAAATCATGGTACGAAATGGCGCGAAAGGAAAGGCACCACCTGGGCAAGGGTTCGGGTCATTAGCATACAAACCACGTAATAATAAGCTTATGTACAATATGCACACCTAGCTACAGACTCACGTCCTGCCGTGTCACATGTGTCTAAAGCGGAAGCACTGACCCAAGGGCCAGCCTCGAGAGGCCTCACGTGAAAGAAGTACAACCTGTCCGACGTGTATGCCATGGTCCCGAATCCTAGCTGGTCCTAGCCAGCACGGTGGCCTTCATAATGCATTTCTAGCTACTGCACCGCACTAACGCGACGAAATCATCATCGCCCTGATGCGCTGACTAATCATGTCCTCCATCGTCTCCTCCATCTTTTCCTTCATCTTCTTCATCTCCTCCTCCATCCGCTGGTGGAGCAAGTCCTCCACCAAGCTCCCGACCCGGTCCACCTGCACCACCTGGCCACTGCTCAGACCGCTCCTAACCGAGCCCGACAGCAGCGCCGCGCTCGCATCCATAACACTGCTGCCCGCCCCCGACCGCAACCCACGTGGCTGCGGCTGCGCCTCAGCACCCATCCGCGGCGACATGCATGTCTCTACGGGCGGCACCGACACGTCATCCAGCGCCTGCTGCTTCGTTGTTGCAGTGCCTGACGCCTTGCCGAATGGGCTGTTTTCTTCGGGCTCCGCGGTCTTCTGCGTTCCCGCCCGGGGCAGCCCCAAGTGCGCCTCGGGAGCGTCCCGCCCCTGAAGCATTGCCGTCAGCTCCGCCACGGCCCGTTCGGCGACCTCCTGATACCGTGCGGCGGTTGCAAGCGAAGCAGATGAGGAACAGGACGCCGTGGCGGGTGCGGCGTTGACCTGGGTGTAGGCGTTCACGAACAAGCGCAGGGCTTGCAGCAAGCGTACGGACGGATCTGTAGCGAAACAGAGGGGCAAAGGGGCGGTTGGGTTAACTAGGGATAATGACAGAAGGATAGAACTGAGCGTGGATAGCACGCTGTGGGTGCAAGTTGCCCAGCTACGGGTATAGCTCATCGCGTTGTATCGTACTGACGTGCGTTCATGACATAAAGAGACCCTACCTGCGTCAGCCCCGGATGCCGCATCTTCCAACGGCACCTCCTGTGACACAGCTCCATCGTCTGCTTGGACCGGCGGTTCTTGGGCATGCGTGGATGTGAATGAAGCGATTGTGGGCGACTCCGCCGCAGCTTCTACTGCCGCGCTGGCAGAAAACGTGGACTTGGCTGGGCTGTTGGCTCTAGGCTTCACGGCCGGCAGCGGAACCTTGGGCTGCCGCCGCTGCTGCTCCTGCCCGCCAGCCATCAATACGTCCGAATCGGGGGCCACCGCCGTCTGCAAAAACTGCTTCTGCAGCTTATTGCCCGCAGCGGTAAGTTGTGAAACAATGCATACGCCGGTGCCGTCGGCAGAGCTAGCAGCGGGCTGCTGCTGCTCCTGCAGAATGGAGCGGAGCACGTCTTCAGCGCTCGGAGCCGGCTGTGATGACGCCGACACCCCCTGGTGAGATGCCAGCAAGACACCTGTCGCTGAGGTTGCGGCTGTGCCTATCGAAGGGCATACGTTCTCCATCGTAGCCGCTCTGTGACGGGCAGCAGACATCGCACCCCCCAGCATAGGCGTGGCCGGGTTTGCGCCGTACAAGGGGTTGCTGCTCATGAGCAGCGCTGATGACAATGCCTCCTCGCCGGTGGTACCATTCGGCGCATATTCGTGCTGACCGGACACGGGCGTGCTCGACCCCGAAACGTCGCCCATCTCGGGCATGCACGAGCCGCCGCTCACGTCAGAGAGCCCTGGTGTGACTGGCAGCGTTGGTGCCGCGGTGTACACAGCGGGTTCGGCAGCGGCAGCCTCCGCCTCAGCGGCAGCGGCCGCCTTCTGGCGTGCTGCCGCTGCGCTGAGGATGGCATGCGAAGGCGGGAGCTTGAAGCCGATGCCAGCGGCGGTTGCCTGTGGGCCAGGTTGCCCGGCCGCCATGACCGCTGCATCAGGAGCTGCAACGGCAGCTGGTGCCGGCGGCGCCACGCCTGCACGGGACCTTGGTGTTGCCGCCATCATAGACGCAGCGGCTGCCGCAGCCAACGCCGCGGTAGCAGCTGCCGCACGGGGTGTGAGGGCGGGTTGGATGAAGGCAGCGCCGGACGTAGGGGCAGCTCCTAGCGGACTTGGCGCTACGGGGGCGCCAGCGTAGGCAGGGCGCTTGGCGATGGAATTCTTGACGCGTTGTATCATGCGGTCCAGCTCCTCAGCTTGCTTGTCTGCATGTCATGGGAGAACAGGGGATAGGGCAAAAGGGCAAAGTGGTTGCGAGTGCCGTCCTCAGCAAGCAGCAACTGAGCATGTTACCCCGGGCCGGCTCAGCGTTTCCATGAGCCAAGAAGTTGCTTGCAGTAGCCTGGTATGCCACGTAGCATTGCCCACCTGCTTTTACATGCGCCGGGCTAAACAGAGGCAGCATTCCGCGGTCTGGTGTCCACGCGGAACTCGTCACGGCCCCATCCACGTCCATTCCAACAGCACCACCACCCCGCTTGGTGTTGATGGAAGCGGGAAGTGGCATGGCTGCAAGGAAGGGCGACAGGGGACCGACAGCGGCTGTCGCAGCCATTGGCGCAGCTCCTGCGCCACCTCCCAGCGCAGGCCTCGCACTGGCTGCAATGACAGCGGACAGCGGGCCTCCGGCAATGCTGCCGGCGCGTGCTTGGCGGTACCATAGCGAAAGGCTCTGGCGACGGGGGTCAGCAGCGAGCGCCTTGGTAGCAGAACCCTGGTCGATGCCAAGGCTGTCGAAATGCTCCCTGCGAGCAAGAGGCAAGCATAATGAGGACAAAAAGGTACTGCTGACCTGTGCTGACCGATAAGAAATTAAGCCTGCAGAACCCATGTATCGACGCACTTTTCCATGACATGCAGGCTGTGTCGCACCTGAACAGGTCCCGCCTGAGGACGCCCTTCACGCCACCTGTCGCCTCCCCAGGCTGCCCAGCTCCTGCCAGGCGGTTGGAAGCGCAGAGCGATGCGGTCTCCTCCTGCAGCGGAAGATCATCCAGCTGGGAACCTTCCCAGCAGGTCTCCTCGTCCTCCCCCGTCTCCATAATCACGTCGTCGCCGTCACCGTCAGGCCGCGGCACGCACAAGGCTGCATCAAAGCCGTCGCCGGCAGCAGCACCGCCAGCCTCCATGTCCACCTCCGGTGCCACGTCCTGTGCGTCTTGGGCAAAGCCACGTGGCTCGCCTGGCGTCTGGCCATCCTCTGACGGGTCGCAGAAGACGATCTCGTCGTCCCCCTCCACCTCCTCTGCCCAAGTCCGTGGTTGGACGGCAAGCGCGTCTGGTTGAGCCGCCACCTCTTCAGCTGCTGTGGGGTCCAGCTGGAATACGGGTGGCGCTGGCCGCTGCGCCCACTTGCCTGCCGGGAGCTGTGCAATTACAGGGATGGGCGGCGAAGCAGTGGCCAAGGGAGCGGGCGCTGCAGCAGGCTCTTGCTCGAGCCGCGAGGGGTCGCCACCCTGACTGGCCTCTTCCTCTTCATCTACCCGCGCCCACCGAGGCAGCTTGTCTGCTGACAGCAGAGCCTGCGATAGCAAGGGAGATACATGATGAGAGCGCTAATCACAGGAGCTTTACCAAGCTGCAGCCAAGCGCATCAGCATACTGCTCATACCGTACCGAATAAAACTCTGCCTGTGTCTTTCGCGTGGAACACCCAGCAAAGACATCCATGCGGTACCCACCTTGCCCTGCCGCACACGCAGCACGGTCACCGACATGTCGATGTGCACCTCGCGCGAATTCCGCAGCTCCATGCCTTCCGCGGCAGCCGACTTGATCTCCTCAGCGGCATCTCCAGCAGCGTCGCACGTGCCCCATGCTGTCGGATTACAGGGCAGCATGGTCGACACCAGTTCCAACGTTAGTCAAAAGAGGCAACTGCAGCCGGCTAGGAGCAGTCTAAGAGATGCATGTGGCACATCAAGGGGGTCCCAACCACTCAAGTCCCACTTTCCTAAGCCGCAACCGCTACCCCACGCAAGCACCTACCCTTCCGCCGCGACACCGCGCAAGGCGTCTTGTGCTGCTCCCGCTGCTGCACCATGGCCGCCTGTGCTCGCGCCTGTGCCTCCAACTGCCGCTGGCAGTCAGCCACCGCATCCTGCATGCGCTTACCAAGCTTGGGCGTGAGGCGCCACAGCAGCGCGCAGCCGTCCCCACCCACGCTGACGAGGCCGCGATAGTCGTCCAGCAGTACGGCACCTGTGCAAACGTCGCCGTGGCCTGACCCACGGGCCAAGAGAGCGCCGGTGTCGACGTCATACACGGCAACGCCGCCCTCGTTGCAGCTGCACACAGCCATGTGCCCCGTGGGATCCATGGTGACAGACACGGCCTCGCCTGACAAGTCGGCGTTAGCAGGAGGGAAGGGGGCCCATCAGTAGAAGCAGAAGCCGGCTACGAAAGCGTGCTTGTGAACATGATAATGACTCTGCACCCTGCTTAGCGTGAAGGATAACCGAAACCGAATCACGACTACTGCATTCTCTGCTTACGAAGCTAAGCTCGAAGCGCCACTATGCTCCCCGACAGAAACCCGTCCGTACGAAACAGCCAGTCCTTACCACAGCTTGCGTCACCGCTGAAGCTGCCTATTCCGCGGCCCGTCGCGACGTCGAAGACGCGCAGCTGGTTGCCTTGTCCCACAGCCACGGCGCGCCCGCCGGTGGGGTCAACCGCGATGTCGTAAAGCACACCCCGGGGAATGCGCTCCGTGTTGTACACCTCGAACGTCAGGCCGCAAGGGTCCAGCTGCACGCGCCTGGATTAGCATGAACCAGGGATGTGGGTCAGCAAAAGGTACCATGAGTCAGGGATGTGGGTCAGCAAAAGGTACCATGAGTCAGGGATGTGGGTCAGCAAAAGGTACGACCTCCATCCACATCCGGCAAAACACGGTCCGTCATCCCGCAACCTTTCCACCTGAAAACGACGCTCTTATCCGCCGAGCAGCTGAGCAGTGCCAGGCGACCGCCAGATGAGCTGAAGCGCACCGCCGTGACAGCGGCCGTGTGCGCATCGCATGTGCCCACCAGGTCGTATCCCCGTGACATGTCGTACACGTGGATGAACATGTCGCGTGAGCCAGACGCCAGGTAGCAGGAGCCGTCCAGGGATGGCGGGGAGTAGTCAAGGGACATGATCTCCAAGTCATGGGCCTCGCGAAAGAGCAGCAGCTCCAGCGTCGCCAGGTTGTACACGCGGAGGTTGCCTCGGGTGTCGCCGGTGGCAAGGTGACGGCCGCATGGGCTCACACGCAAGCAGCGCAGGGTGACGGTACGGGGCTGCTGTCCAACGCCTGCGCGGCTGTCCGGCGCCGGCAGCGGAGCCTCCGGGGCGCATCGGCGGTGGTGGTTATTGAAGACGGTAGCGTCTTCGTCAGCTTCAGGCGGGTCGGCATAGATCGTAGCTGCATAGGCACCAAAGGGAGGGAACAACGATTACTGAGATTCGGCGGTACAGCTCAGCCATTCACATACTAGCTCCTCTCGGCTACACAATACTCCTGTGCTTCCCCAAAACCCGCTTTCAGTCTAGTACACGACCCAGTTCCAACGCACCGCGCAGTGTGCGAGTGACGCGTGCTGCCGCCGACGGCTCCGCCGGGACACCCATGGGACCAGCGGTTGAGGCTGAGTTGTCGAGGCACACGTTCCAGAGCCGCACGGTGCCATCTGCGCCACAAGTGCACAGGATGGATGACGGCCCGCTGACGGCCTCATTGCCGCGCGACGTGGGGCTCTCGGTGGGTGGGCTCAACAGCGGGGCTTGCCACGCCGGAATCAGGGCCGCACTCCAGATGACACCGGAATGGCTCAGGACGCTCCGCGAACGGGTGGGCTGGAGGGAGGAACGCAGGGCAGTGGCATATGGTCCATATGGATAAGGAAGGGTAAATGATGGAGCCGGCGGAGGCATGTGCGCGAGTCAGGGAGTGAGCACAGCTCGCTCAATCGTCGTTCCTGCCAACCTGCGTCTCTGCTTACCCGGCTGGGGTTACGCATGTCCCAAATCATGAGGGTGCGGTCCGCGTACGCAACCGTCAGCTTCTCGCCGCTGCAGTCAAACGCGCAGCCAGTGGCATCTGGGTGGGCAAACCCAGCACCCGAACCGCAGGGCGTTCCTGCAACAATGGGCGACTGTGCTGAAGCACAGCTGCCCGCAGGCGCTGGGCTCCCGCCGGGAGCCTCCGCCGGATGCGTCCCCGCGCCACGTGGGTTCAGACGCGGAAGGTTGCCCTTGAACGCCAGCGTACGGGTGGCGAACAGGCGGACGACACCCGCAGCGCAGGCGCACGCGACCAGGTTTTGCGAAACCGCCAGGGAAAAGGCGGCGGAGACCTGCAAAAGAGTGGGGAAGCGGATGGGTGACTAAAATCTTGGGTTGCCAGGGAACACGGGCGACATGCAAAGCCACAAAATGCGGCTGGCAGGTAGGCCCTACTGACCTATGTAGGCTCTAACCGTCCGACGGGCACCCATGTCAGCCAAGGCATCGCCGGCACCTTTCGACACCAAGCACAACGCAACCATTGCCATGCTGGCCCTTACGTTCAAGTTTGTAGACTTGTCAATGGTGCGGGTGGCTGACCGCAACGTCAGCAAGATACCCTCTTGGGTCAGTGCGTAGAGCAGCGGCTGCCCTTGTTGCGCTGTGCCCTCTGCCGGGGCAACGGCGATTCCTACGAAGCTGCTGTTTCGGTACTCCTTGAGATTGGCAGGGCGCGGCATCAGCGTTACCTGACCCGGGGCTGGTTGGCGGCCGGAGGGCAGTGACAGCAGCCATGCCTAAAAGAACACAAGAAGGAAAAGTCGGGGTTGTTAACGAAAGGGGGCAAGAGCTAGGTGGATCAAAGAGGCAACACGGCTGGGCCTGGCTTTGCCCGACCTGTGCCGCAGCTTAAGCCCGACAAGGCGACAAGAAGAATGCGCAAGTGCACGCTGACCCACCTTGAAATGGCCACTCCTGCCAGCTTTGCCAATCGTGGTGATCATCATGCCGGTACCGTCCTCTACGATGCATGCGCGCTGCACCTCCGCTTGCGTGTGCTGCTTCGCTAGGAGCGTTCCGGTCTGCCAATCCCAAACGCACAGCTGGCCATCGTACGCCTCGCCGGTGGAGACCAGCAGACGGCCTGCATGGTTGAAAGTTACATGGTTGCTAAATGCAAACAGGACAGTCCCCAGACTTTCCACCACCCCGCAGCATCCTGTCTGGGCCCCCGCTATGAAAGAGCAGGGCTGCAAGCCGAATTGCTGGGGGTAAATGTTTCCCACCACCATAGAATGTTGGAGTATCATGGTGTCTCTGCTGTCAGGCCCCAAAGGGCTGCTTCAGGTCTCGGAAAAGAACGTTTGTGGCTTGACCCATATCGTCAACCTCAAATGCACTCACCATCCTGGCTGAACGTGATGCTCCCCACACCATTCTTGTGGCCGCGCAGGCCTTGGAGGCATCGGCCAGAGCTAACTTCCCAGACTAGTAGCTCGGGACTCTGACCTCCTCGTTCACCAGCGGCCAAGTAGGCCCCATCCTTCGAAAAAGCAAGGCAGGCGTACGGCTTCCCAGGATGTCGAGACTTGGGACATAGGAAAGTGGTTTGCGTCTTGCAGTTGCTGTCATAAATCACAACGACAGAACCGCTGCTGTAGGCTATGACACCCGGTCGCGATGGGTGTTGGCAGGTGACAAGCCCAGCATTGCATGTGCCACAGCCGAATGCGCGTTCCAACCGCAAATGCTCTACTGCTTGCAGTGGTCCGGTGTGGGCGACCTGCACATAAAGGAAACACGGTTATTAGGTGTTTGTGGCGGTGTTGTAGGAAGACAAATGTCGAGCTGTTACAGCGGCACACCTGCTGTCCAGTTCCGCGGCGGCGAAATGAAGCGCCTCTTGCCGAATTTATGATCTCCATGATAGCGCAGTTCTGTTTTGGCTTGAGAGGCTCAGAGGATGGCGTCGCTCGCACTTCCTAGCGACCAAGAATGCATGAAATAGGAAGCCACCGCCACAAAGGAGGGGATCGCCTGTCAACCTATCATATATGTTCCGGGAACTATAGGCGAGTAACAGGTCATCCTTGCGCCTACGCTCTCATCTGCATGACATGCATACGACAGGTGGATCCAGACGTGACAAAATGTGCACTCCTGTTGTTCTGAACTATTGTTTTCTGGGTGGTTCACTTTACAAGGTGTGAGCTTTGGCTTGCTTACCGCCAGTACTTAACTTACGCTGCCCTAAGAACTGCAGACATCAACACATTGTACGCATTTCTTTCGCATCCTAGCGTAATAAACCTTCTGTAATTGCATTTATTCTCTGGCTAAACTAAAAGTTTGCACCAGCTTGTACTATCTAGTTCCGCGGCCAAGAGGATGGACTCAATATTGCGGTCAGGCGGACCTATACAAGGGCGACATGTAGATAAGCTAGACACTCTTCCTGATGAACTTCTCAAAAAACATGACGAGGAATACCTAGTGAGTGCAAGTAAGGGGGCATGCCGCGCTCGATGTTGCCGACGCCATTGTAAGCACTCTATTCCATCATTTATACGATCAAATACGTTATTGACGTTGCTTTTCACTGAGCCGCGGGGGCATGTCGTACCCCTGTAACCTATGCCCACAGGCCAAGCACCAGCTGGACAAGCTCTTCGGGGTGATCCTGCAGGGTCTAGTGCAGGAAATGCCTCTGGACCCAGTTCAGTTCATCATCGACAGCGTACAGTACGGCGTGGATCAGGCATCCCAGGTTAGGACTGGGGGTAGCCGGGCAGGTGTAACTTCATCCTACACCACGTATGGGTTTCGGCTTGGGTACAACAAGTAACAGTCCTGCTGTAAGCGCATGGCACATCCTAAGCAGGCCGTGAACGTTCCCTGCGCTGGATATACGTTAAAACATTTTGCTCTTACACTCACTCCCTGTTTCCCAGGATCCCGAAACCGGCCTGCCAGTTCACCGTAAAGAGAGGCTGATGGAGCTATTCCGGATCATCGACAAGCAGGGCACAGGCCGCATTTCCTTCCGCGCCTTGCAGGTACGGCAACCGCTTCCACTTGCACTTGCAGTGCAGTGCCTCGCTTGCACTTTTAATTGTCGTACAGTGTTGTACGGCCAACGGGCAACCCTGACTGCAGTCTGCACGGGGCGTGTTCCAATTGATGGTCCACGCATGGTGATTGCACTAGGGCGCATTGCCTTACGCGTGTGTATAGCCCTTTCTCGCTTACATGCGCCCGAACGCCACCGAAAAACGGGCTTCCGCGGCCGCACTGGCGTCCTTATCCTTGCTGACGTACGCAGATGTACGCCAACCGCTACGGAGGCCAGACGCTTGGCGCGGAGGAGCTAACTAGCATCTTCTCCGACTTCAAGCCTGGCTCGGATAACCTTATCAACCAGGAGGAGTTCTTGGTCTTCTTCTCGCGCGTTAGCAAGACCATCACAAACTCGCAGTTTGAGGCGATGATCAAGGAGATGATTAGCTAAAGCCATCAGCAGCTGCTGCTTCTGCCAGGAAGGCGGCATGATGCATGAAGCATAAGGGGTGCCGATGAACCTGGAGTGCCTTGCGCACCATAGCTCGGTTTCGCATGGAAGTCCGCGAAGTGTGATAGCTTGTAATCCTAGTTAAGGAAATGGGTTTGTAGTCGTCTAAATAACAGCCGTGTGGCCTTCAGGTCCACACCCCCAGCCATGGGACTAGATGAGGATGGTACCGGCTGGTTGACGGGTTGCTTGTTGGTGATATGAGGCAGCATGCACGATACGCATGTTGTTGTACGTGAGGCTTAATAATGTACCGTATATGAGAACTTGAGAAGGTGTTTGACTTGTCAATGTAGCAATGAGCAGGAATGGTGGGCCACGCGCAGATGGTTACCACTCCGGGCCGTCACCCACTGATTGGCAGCCGCAAGGCTGTTGCAGTTATACGCCATCCACTTGCCACCCAGGCAAGGGAATGCATAGATGCCAGTTGAGTGGGCGAGGGGAAAGTGTAAATGGTGGCTTGGTTGCTTCGACCGTGGTTCTCATCGTGAGGACTGTCTAGCGTGTGGGGCCATCTTTCCAAAGGGCATGCGCATGTATCTGAACTGGGCTACCTATATACGCAATGACTTTGCCCTGGGGTCCTAGCGGAAGTCGGAGCTGTAACGGTGCGTGTGTTCTGCTGGGTCGCCTCCAGCAGCGAAGAGGTGGGCTGGGGTGAGGGTGCCTGAACCATACGGGCTACTACGGTCACCACTTGGCCCGCAGCTGTCGCGCAGCGTGCGGTCGCATGCACGTTTATTGGACAGAAGGGCAAGCACGGCATTAGGCACGCAACGACGAGTACCGTTGCTCTGGGGTGATCTCTGCAGTACGTAACTGCCGTTGTACTAACGGCCCCGAGCCCCTTTTGCCCCGAGCGTCCTTTGGCCCCTGGTGCCCACCCCCCGACCGAGGGCCGTCATTAAGATACTTTCCATTTGCCTTTCGGTTTCCCACTGCTTTCGGCGCTCGGAAAGCTCTCGCGAGCATTACAACTGCAGTTAGTGAAAGTGTGCAGTTAATACAGTCCTTCAATTACTGACTCCAGTACACATTTTAGCCAATAGTCGCTTTTATATTAATTGCGTGTGTCAGTGAACATGTTTCCGAACCCTTTCTTCGCTGCTATGGGCGGCCCCTTCGGCCCAGTAAGAGCAATGCTTCGCATAATAGAAACGAAGGATATCCGTTTGTACTAGTGTTCGGCTGCTGGGAGCTTTCCATTTTGCAAGCCAAGGATGGTCGCGCCTTCTATGTGCGCAGGGCCTTAATAACATGGGCGGAATGGCTGGAGCGGGGATGCCTGGGTTCATGGGAAACCAGGGTATGCAGGGACCTGGTGCCCCGCAGGGACCTGGAGGCCCGATGGTTCCCATGTCAGGGGGCCATGAAGGACCCGGCGTGGGTGGTGGTGGCGGCGGCGCGGCCGGCGGTAGCGGAGGCCCAGGAGGCAGCCGGCAGGGCAGCGACAACCTTAAGAATCGAGTATGCTTAAAGTATGAGGGGCTTGCAAGGGTCGGGAAGACCCAAACAAGCATGCAAGCCTGAATGCAAGTCGAAATCCCGCAAATCGTAACCTAATTGCCCTGGTTTCTTGATCTCAGGTTCATGCAAACAGGCAGCTGCAACTACGGTGACAACTGCAAGTACGCGCACCTGACACGGGCGCAAGCCGAGGCAGGCGGAGGAGGACCCATGGGCCAGCAGAACGACCGAGGAAACCGGCGAGCCGGTCGAGGCGGCGGGGGTGATGATGTAAGCGGGCCTGGAGTGTTGCAGTGACCTAGGCTGTAGGATAACCCCATCAGGTGTTAACAATGCACGTTTCCATGTGTACTGGGCGCACAGCTTCATGCCTTCTGCGCAGCGACACCTAAACCCGCCCTTCATCTTCCCTTGTAAACCCGTCATCCAGGAGTCGGGCGGCCGAGGGAAGAACGCCGGTGCTCGTAAGACGCGGCTGTGTGAAAAGTTCATGAACTTGGGGTACTGCCCGTACGGCGACAAGTGTACCTTTGCACATGGGTGAGTCAAAAGGGGCAGCTGGGCTGCACTGCGTTCCACGCGGGGTCCACGTCACAATGCACGGTGAATGAGTAACGGTATCCCAATTATGACGTTGCCCTCTCCTAACTGCCTGCTGCCGTTTTCCTCATCACGTCCTCGTCACATGGCTGGGGGGATGCAGGATGGAGGAGCTACGGTCGGCTCAAGGGTCTCGGGATGTGCACATGTCCGAGGGGCAGCAACACCAGCAACAGCAGCACTCCTTGTCGGCGCCGGCAACGCAGCAAGGTGCGGCTGTTGGGGCAGGCTGGGAAGCTGGGGTGGTAAGGGGATCGCGCGCAGCGGAAGGCCTTTCCTGGAAGGCGCAAAGGGCTGGTTTTCAGAGCTGTCTTTACATCGTTACTGATAAACCGAATGAGGATGCACGCGTGAAGTTAACCACGTTTGCGCGGTTAACCGAACTACGCTTCTTCTTGGCTTTGGGTGCAGAGTCCTACTCGAGTGCGGCGACTGCAGCAGCTAACACGGCGACAGGGCAGGCGGCTGGTGCAGCACCGGGCCGAGGTCAGGCAGCGGTGGGGCAGCCAGCTGGCAAGCCGCCCGCGGCGGCAGCAACCGCGGCGGGGCAACAGGGCGACGGCGCAGCGACGTCGGCTGCGTCAGGTCAAGCTGCTACGGCAAGCTTAGCAAAGGTAGGGGCTGTTGTGAGACTTGTGACTAATAGGCTTGCTGGCTGCTTGCTTTGGGTAAGGGACGTTCGGGTCTGTGACATGCACGACGTACGAAGGCCAAAGTCCTCATTTTTCCTTGGAGCGGACTCTGTGTAACTACCGCCTTTGCGTTTGGGGTCTACGTTTGTGTGCGGGCTAGGGCTACCTGCATGTCAGCATGTGATGATGCTTTTGGCACCCTGATGAACTCTCTGGAACCTGCAGGAGGTCACCTTCGTGGACAAGGTTCGGGCGCTGTGCGGGGTGCTAGCCATCGGCAATGCGGCGGCGCTGGCGCAGGAGAAGCCCCTGGCGCTGCAGACCGCTGCCATGTCGCTCCGGAACAGCAACGCCCTGAAAGAAAACCCTTTTGCGGACAGCGTTGAGCGCTACCTCCAACAGCAGACGTAGCGGAGGCACCGCTGTATCCAACAGCAAACGTAATGGAGGAGCCGGCAGCAAGGAAAGCACGCAGCTCAGCGGCAGCAGCAGGGGCGACGAGGAGGCTGGAAGCGGCGGCAATTAATTAACGGGGTGGATGATGGTGTAATACGTTTTTTGCGGTGCATGCAGCGGTTTGCACCCGGGCATGCTAGCATCTGCTGCTGCGTGGTTGCGAGTGCGGAGACGTGGCGGCACGTTTTGTGTACGAGGGGGATTGCAAAGAGTACCCAGAGGAGCCTTCTCTGACATAGTCGTGAAGGATGAGGGAAGACGGAAAATGATGAGTGGAGAATCACCTGTGTAACCTGTAGTGCCATTCCCGGCGGCTTTACACGACGTTGTGTGGCGGACCCAGTGCAACGCAACATCGCTTGTGCGTTGCATCATTACGCTTGTTGCAACGACCAAAGCAACGCCCGCCAAGCACCAGGCAAGAAGCGCGAACCGCATGGAGGGCGCAATTCGCCTCCTGGTCGCCTGAGCCTTGTATTTCAGAGCCAACAACATAGCGCCAACGAAGCCCGCATGCACAGCCTGCCTAACATCGAAACATGGCCCCCTTAATCTACCAGTTGGAGCTATACATCTCAAGCAACGCGCTACCCAAACCCATTAGCTTCTAACAGGTAGTTAAGTCTTCTCTTCCCAGCTCCAAGTTCCGCCACAATCAGTATCGTACGGTCACATTCCGCATGTAACCTGTTACACCAGAAATAACCCAAATAAGGGCTCGACTCCACCCCCCGAGGCCTCGCCTTCGTCCTCTTTACCCCCTTCAATCAGGGCACCAGGGATAATTATTTGGACAGCGCAACCTGCGTACCCGGAACTAGCGTCTCCGAGACCTTCCTCCGAGCCACAAACAGCCTGGGCCTTATGCGCTATAACCCTACTCAACTTCAATGCAACCCTCGCCCCCAAGCAGCCGTCCTGCCTCGTTCACCACAGCTGGCAGCATGATCCGCAAACGCTGCCGCCCTTGCAGGATAAGGCTGCTCTTAGCCTGGGACGTTTCCGACCCGACACTGCCCGAGCAATAAGGAGCAACGCGAACCGTCAACATCACGCTGACGGTTCAACAACGCAACAACGCACTCGCCATGCAGGCCGGCAAACCCACCAACGTTTGGCACCGGACTTGCATGCTTGCATGCAGCCCCGTGGCCCCTGCAGTGAACCCTCACAGCAGAATCCTGCCCATGCGACGGTTGTGATCTCTGGACAACCCATCAACCGTCAACCCCCGCAAACCAACGGTTGTTATCACGCAGCGTGCCATGCGGCACGTGGACCAAATCGCAAGAGGAGCCAATAAACAAACTGCGCCTTCAGTAATGCATGTAGCCCTAAAGCCGGACGACACGAGCGGAACGACACAAGCAAAGGGACTGGGACAAGGCGTCCGGTCGCCGTGAAGCACGTTTACGACCACCAAAACTCCCTGCTTCCTACGTCAGCACATACCTTTATATGCGCATGTGCGCACAGATACCTCAGCAAAGGCCTCAATCAAGCCTGCACCAAGGGGCAACTTCAAAAGAATACTCATATTGGAGGAGCCCCACCACTTGGAAAAGCCCCACCATTGAAGCCAACGACAATTGCCGCGGCGGTTCACAAAACCAACCAACCGAGGTGGCGCTCCTCAAGAAAGCATCCGACACAGGTCTTATGGCCTCCCTCAACAAACACTCGCTCACTCAAATCACAAAAAAAACTGTTCCTCCTTCTTCACCTCCCCCCATCACATGTGCATGCCGGCACACTTCCGCGCCCGAAGCCCGGCACGTCAAAACCCCCAGCCCCAATAACAGCTCTCTCTCTCCCTGCCTAGCAGCGATGCACCGCCGTAGCAGCCCCCAAACCCACCGCCGCCGCGTGCCGTAGCAGCACTTTGTACTAATTCTGCGCGTTGCTAGGCACCGACCGCGCCGCCGCAGCTGCTGCCTCCGCCGCAGACCGCACCACATGCAGCCGAGTGGCCATCTTCAGCATGCGTACCGCCATGGCCGCTGCGCCGTAGCCGTTGTCGATGTTGCACACCGCCACGCCAGGCGTGTTGGCTCCCAGCGTGGACAGCAGCGGCGCCACGCCGCCTAGGGAGGCTCCGGAACCGGCACTGGTGGGTACGGCAACCTGAGGAGGCGGCGCGGTGTGCCGTACGACACGTTTTGGTAAGATCGGAGGTCGGGGCGGGGTTCTTGGGGAAGGAGGTAAACTCTGTTGAAGGGCGATGCATCCGGCGGAGTTGTATCGTTCAAGTACACCGGTAATTAAACGTGAGCGCGTTTTATGCGGCGACGCTCGCCCCCGTCCACCGTCCAACCCCATCCGCCGCATCCCACCAACCCCTACCCACATCCCCTGCCCGCCCGTCCGCCCTCGCACCCACCACCGGACTCGGCGTAAGGCCCGCCACCACGCCCGGCAATGAGCAGTCCATGCCCGTCACCACCACCACCACATCCGCCGCACGCAGTGAGTCCACGTTGGATAGCAGCGCATGTAGGCTGCATGAGCCCATACCACGGAGCGGGAAGCAGTAGGCGCCCAGGTAATCTGCCAGCACGCGCACCTCCTCTGCAACGGCGAGGTCGGCGGTGTCAGCGGACACGATGGCGACGGAGCCGGGGAAGCGCATGGGGCGCGGGAGCTGTTCGGCGGTGGCGGAACGGAGCTTCAGAGTGCGAGCGCGGGCGTTGTATTCGACGCCTGCGGGTGGTTGGTTGAGGGTGGTTGGAGGGCGGTTGGAGGGTGGTTGGTTGTTGCTAAAAGGGAGTTGCAAGCGCTTGGGTTGTGCCTGGGTGTAGACGGCGGCTGGGGCGGGAAGGGGTCCGGAAGTGGGTTACGTCACAGCTCACAGGGCCAAGCGCACCTGGAGCGTGCAGGCGCACGGCAGAGTAGGTGGCGGGGTCGATGCGCGCCGCGACGGCCACCCGTTGCCGCTCCGTTAGGCTTAGCTGCGGGGTAGCGAGGTTGAGGGGCATGGGAGGAGAGTAGGAGACGGTAGGGGTAAGGTAGGGGATGGTAATGGGTGCACACAACGACTGGATAGGCAGCAGTGGTGTAGGGGTCACAGATTAATGTACCCGGTAGGTAAGGGATTCCGGCAAAGCTGGGGGATATACGGTACACTAAAGAGTTGCTGGGAGGCCAATTGGGGAAGTGGATGGACGACTGCACCCACCAGCTTGACCGCGATTTCCTCCGCCGACTTGCCAGGTCCCCACACCACCTCGGGCGTTTGATGCGAGTCCACAGGGGGAGCTAGAGACTCCAGGTTGAACTCAGGGGTTATCTGCGGGACACGTAAGGAGGTACGTGATTGCATGGTGGACCCAATATGGCATTGCCGTTGATTTAGCTCCATAGCTCCCCCCTTACCTGAGCGGAAGCCGCTCCCAGCCCCATGCCGTTTGAAAAGTGCGAGCATGCCTGGTCCGTTGTGGAGTTGGTGCTACCCGCGCCTGCAACGGTCGAAGGCATTGGCCGACATTCATTAGGGACAGTCGCGTCGCAGGTCACACTCTGTATGTGTTACAAACCCCCAGCATCCAAAACATAATCTCAAGGAGACGTCAAGGAGCTGTTATGAGCATTTGAGGGTCTCTCAGCTGTCGAGCAAGGATGTTAAAGCCCGTCTGAGCCCGTTAACGCAGTAGGGCTTCATCTACTTATTTTGTATTAGAGACGCGAATGCATAAACTTCATCTACGTGTCCAGAGTAAATCCCTTGATGCTTGCCGGCCTTACGAAGCCAAGATGCTAGCCGAACACACTTGCACACTCGCAGCTCTTACCAGCTCCTCCAGCTCCAAGTGGTGTGCTTCGTCGAGTGCCGCATCTCCGACGTGCTCCGCCAGTCCGAGCCGCAGGCCGTGCCCTCGTCGTCGGGTGCGATTGATGGACGGCCAACATGGGTCTTGGCAATTTGGAGAAGCTATACTAACCTAGTAACACTGGCTAACGGATGGAGGGCTTTGGTATGCAATTCGGGTCCCGGTATGCGCACATGATGCCGGTCACGTACGGCAAACTTCCTCGGGGAACCCTTTTCCAACCCCTTGGATAATCCACGTCGGACAGGCAGCCGAATGGAAACAGCTCATTGCTTTCGCACTGAAAGACGGGCAAAGCATTGGGTTATGCCCATTTTTGCCGTTGCCATCCCCAGCACAAAGTCGAACGAAAGGGCTTAAGTAGGCTTTGGCTAACTCAATTAAGCCTAATTCAATTTGTGTATAACATGGTTTTCGACCAGTCTCAAGCTGGGTGAACTGGAACGAAATACCAGAGTTCGAGGACACTACATGGAGGATGGGGTTGGCTGCTGCTCGGGGAAGCCAGCAGGACCATTTGGGTCAGGGCATTCGTAGGCAGGGCCGTTACCAGAACGAACGGTGAATTAGGGGCGCTCTTGGGCTGGGGCAGGAGAGGTTGCAGCAGCTTTGTTTCCAGGATGGAGCTAGGACTCTAGGCGGTATGTTGCGCAGCCTCTCCGGTCATGGCAAAGGAAGGCTTGGCGGGTGCAGGCGATGCATCTTCAGGTAGGGCTGCACGGGGAATGACCTTCATGCCCGACCACGGAGCCGTAATGACGTGGGTCTTATAGCGCCCCCCCCCTCGACTAATCCTGACACCTTATCCCTCAATCAGTTAGTTGTTTCCTCTTTACCCCTCGACTAATCCTGGGTGTATTCGGGGGGTCTTTCCTTCTTCCCCCCCAGACGTAGGGGTGGTTACCCGTACGTTAGTTGAGGATGGTGTCTGGGTGCTGGTTATTGTGTGATGTGGCCTGCAAGTTGTTGTTCTTTCGGCTGGCGCACAAGCAGCACATAAACGTCTGTGTGTGCCCCTTCGGACAATGTGCACAATGTTACATGTGGGGGTTGTGCAGTATGTGGAAGCTTAGGTGTTGTACAGGTTCATAAACCCTTTGCAAAAGCCCTCTGAACACATAGCGAAGTCTCCCACAGTAGAGCACGTTGGAAATTTCGTCTGGACGGCTCTCACAAAGTGGGTATTCCGGAAATGCCAAACATTGACGTTTTTGTCCAGACATTTTTAGGACGGGCGAAGGTACTGATCATTGTCTGATGGCACGGGCCGTTGGCCGACGCGCGCTGGGTCGACTTTGGCTCCGTCACTGCTGGCAAGGAGCTCGTACTGCCAGCCATCCCTGCGACGTTCAAGGCTGACAACGTGAGGGATGCAGAGGGGCTACTGGCATTGCTGAGGCAGCGGCGCATCATGCCGGAGGGCAGCACAGCCCTCATCAAATCCCTCTCTGGCGGGCTGCTGCGGTGGCAGGACCTTGAGGATGGTCCTGAGCTGCCTACTGAAGGGCGTCTGGAGGTCGTGTTTAAGCTGGGCACTACAACAGGTGGGTGGGTTGGGACAGGGACGGAGGGCAGGCGGTTGCAAAGTACAGGAGATGGGGTATGGGTTGTAGCTTATAATAATCCCTGATGAGTAATACATGTTTGTCGCGCTCTCGCTAAGCAAGTCCAGCACGTATGCCTTGAGTGAACCACCAAAGAGCAAAGACGTGTGTTAGGAGGACGTAGGATCTGCCATGCCATGGTGTGTGGTCACCTTCTCGCGATTTGCAACCGCGATTTGCGGGTGGCCGCTCCACCGCTGCGGCGCCGTCGCAAGCAGCAGGGGGGGCCATAGGGGCTGTGTGTGAAATATTGTTCATTCTTTTTTTGTGCCCGTGCTCAACCTCTAATGCCTAGGATCAAGCTCATCCAAGGACTACAGCGGGGCTTGGCTCTACTCGAAGTACGTGGCTGAGAAGTTTGGAATGGACGCGCCGTACAAGCAGTATGGGCTTTACTCCTGTACGGCCGCTGGCATGCTCTACGGGGCCAGCAAGTGGCGGCGGGCCAGCCTGTTGGCGCAGGCGGTGCTGCAGCCCGACCCTAGCCAGCAGGAGTTGTTGCGGCTGATGTTGGGTGCAACGGCTGACCAGTTCAAGCTTGCCGTCCACTATGTTGGTAGGTTTAAAGCACAGGGGGTCATCGGGGCAGCCAGTGCACCACTCCTGTGGTTAGGGTACTGCCGAGCTTCACGGCTGTACAAGCAGCGTACGTAGGTGGCCGGCGAGGGTTTAGGATGGAGACAAGCGAGGGGGGCTGATCAAGGCAGACGTAAGGAAGCAGTTCTTGGGCAGCAAAATGGAGGAACACCCAGGAGACAACAGTGCCGCACCGTGCATGCTTCATGTGGCTCCAGAATTCCCCATGTTGTTTGTGTAAGCACGCCCAGCAAACGGAGGTCCCTGAAGTTGTGCGTGCTACTGAGGCCGATGTGGCAGCCATCTAAACATGATGGGCAGCGTCAGTGCCCTTCAAAACGTGAAATGTATGAAATGTGTAACATGTATGGAGCTATGATGAGGAGAAAGAAAGATGGGTCGATTGCGTGTGTGGGCCACGTCGGCTGGTTGCATGATTGTAGTTGATGGCGACCATCCAGGATAGACCAATGTGGTGCCAACCTATCACACCGTGTGAGCCGTGTCGTGCTGACAATGACAAAAGGGTGTTAGCGTTCGTCGTTGAGCGAATGCCCACGGGCGAGACACCTGAAAGGATGGGTTACAACAGCCGACAGGGGGAAACGCATAGGCACAAGAATGTGTTGTGGGACCCTTTGACAGATGCCATCGTGGATGATGGGAGCATTTGAATGCACAACATGTGCGCACGTGATTGTTTTGTTGTTGGTGCCATGAGAGCTCGCCGGTGAGGCGTGCGGCTTAGTCAAGAGTTTGAGGCCGTTTCAATTGTGTAACTGCAAGGAGATGGCTTGATTTGGGGCGAAGTGGACCTGCTGGAACTTGACGACATGCATCACATGCCTGAAGCAACGTGCGATGCAGTCCAACCGCAGCAAAATGACTTCAGAGACATTGAAAGCCTGTCGTGCCCCAACGCTGGTTTGGCCCTCTAGTGCCACCGGGGTCCGCACAGTGATGACCGTTGGGGGTGCAATGGAGTCTCGCAGCAATGGTACCGCCACGTCTGCTGCGAGGGATGCTGCTACGCCCTGCCGATGACCCATCACCGCCTCCCAGACACTGACATCCGGATGGCAGGGTTGGTCACCAGGCACGGTTCGCAGCAAGGCTCCGCTGTGTGCTGATGGCTCCGGTAACGCCCGAAGGCGCTGCCCGGGAATGTGAATGGGCACCAGCGGTAACGGCTCCACGCGGGTCGCCACCATCGGCTGCTTGCCTGCTGGCAGGATGTGCTGTAAGTAGCGTTCTGGCGGGGGTCGCAAGCGCTGCAGCACGAGCTGCAGGTGCTCCGCTGCCGCGAGGTTTGTGTAGACGGCGGCAGCAGTGTGCATCGCGACCCCGGCCTGAACGACATCCAGCAAGCACGGCAGCCCGAATGGCAATCCGATGTCGCGCTGCTGCTGCTCCGTCGTCGTCGGCCCTTGAAGAATGTATGCTGGGGCTGGGCACCCCAGCTGCTGTAGCCGCTGCTTCATCGATCATCGGTTGACATCGGCGGGGCATCCTCAGGCGGATGGGGCGGCGGAGCGCATCGTCAAGGTACTGAAGGAGGCCTTGCGGAAGGCCTGCTACGAGGCGGCGGATCCGGGGGCCTGGGAGCGGGCTCTTCCTGAGCTGCTCCTGGGCTACCGCTGCTCTCCGCAGGCGGCAACGCGTTTTTCGCCGTACCAGCTGCTCTATGGGGGTGTGGAGCCGGTGATTCCGCCTGCCGTTCGTGAGCGGCTGGCGGAGCCCGTTGACTTCGACGACGTGAAGGCGGCAGCGGCATCGATTGTTGACAGAGCGGAGTGGGTCCGGCAGGCGTACCCAGCGGCGGCGGGCAACCTGCTGATAGCGCAGCACCGTGACACCCTGCGCTACTCAGCCATTCGCACCGGCCGCTACCTGGCCAAGCCTACGGTCTTCTCGCCGGGCGACTACGTGTATGTCCGGCGGGGCAACGTCGCCCACACCCTGCAGTTCCGCCAGTACGACAACATCCTGCGGGTGGAGTCGGTGGGTCCTATGGGTGTGGCGGTGCTGATGGGCCGTGACGGCTCGCGGGTGCGGAAGCGGGTGGAGCAGCTGCTGCCATGCCATCTGGAGGTGGACCCTGCGGTTAGGCCTGAGCTGTTCCGCCCGGAGCGGGACCTGCAGTGCGAGGTCTGTGGCTCGCCGCATGATGGCAGCAAGATGCTGTTGTGCGACGGGTGCAACACCGGCTGGCACTGGCATTGCCTGGGCCTGCGGGGGAAGCCTCAGGGGCAGTGGGTGTGCCCGCGCTGCCGCGAACTGGAGCAGGGACAGCAGGAGGCCGCCGCCTCGCCGGTGCTGCCGCCGCCCCCCGGGGTGGTGGCGGCGGCGCCCGGGCAGCCGGGCCAGGTGGCGGCGGGGGCTGAGGCCGCCGCTGGGCGGACTGCGCGCCGTCGGGGGAGGCCTTCGCGTGCGGGGGCGGCCAAGCCGGCGGCGGTGGCGCTCGTTTCGGCGGGTGGGGTAGGCCTGGGATGTGGGTCGCCGGCGGGGGCGGCTGACGGGCAGGGGGCGACAGCAGGGTCGCGTGAGGTGAAGGGGGACGTAGGGCAGAGTGAGGGGCCGGTCACGGGGCCTTCGGGTAGGCCGCAGCAAGTGGTGATGCGGGATGAGGTCGGCAGGTTGCTGTTTCCACGTACGGAAACGAGGAGGTTTGATGAGGAGGCGGCTGCCTTGGATGGCAGGCGGGTGCGCCTGGAGGGGGAGGGGCTGCGTGTGGGGGTTTTGCGGTATCGAGGGGCCATCATGAGGCCCGAATATTTTGTGGTGGCCTGGGAGGACGGGGGCCGAGAGCAGGCCACCCTGGCATGCGTGCGGGAGTGGCTCATCTGAGCGGGCGTGAGCGGGGGTGCGGTGCTGGGGGGGCCCTGCGGTCCTGAGGGGAACCGGTCCTGAGTGGGTGGCTGCGCTCTGGGATGGCGGGCTCGCGTTGGGGTTAGGGGGCTGCGCTGTGCAAGGGCGGGGCCGAAAGGGCTGGTATGGATTCCAGGGGGAGCCGAAGGGCTGAGGCTGCCGTACAAGTGTGGGGCCTGCGGACTGGGGTTTGGGTGTTAGGGATGGCCTGACGGGTCAGGTGCTGAAGAAGAGTGGACGGACGGTTATTGCGGCCCGAGCGGACGGCCAGGGAAGGACGGAGCGAGTGTCATGCCTTCTCGTGCTATGGCGTGACCTGCAGTGGTCTCTTTCCGCGCTTTGCCTGTGTTGGCGTGGTCGGGGGTCCTTGCGGACAACCAACCCAATGCTGGCTTGGTTGTGGGGGGGAGTGCGGACCCCGGTGGCACTAGAGGGCCAAACCAGCGTTGGGGCACGACAGCTGTCGTGCCCCATCGTTGGCTCGTGCAGTTTGTGGTCACGGGTGGTGACGCTCGCGGGCATGTCCCATGGTTCAGTTGGATGATGACGGTGCGAATTGCTACTGCTGAGGTGACTGAGTGGTTCCGGTTATAATGGCTGGTATTATCGCAGTTCCTTTGCTTTAAGTGTTGTGGGCTGTGGAGAGATCGCTCTGGCGTGTCCAGAGTATCTGTCGTACAAGTGCTTGTCTCGTTAGGCGGCGCAGTGCCCGGGCTAGGGCACTGCGTTTTGCTCACATACTCATGTACTGCCTGTAAGAACCATGAAGGGCTTCATGCGTTCCTGATCTGCGGCGCAGATCTGCAGCTTACATGCGCGCTTAAACGTAGTCACAAACAGCGATCTCCCAAGCGTTGGGCAGCCCAACGTAGCAGTCACAATAGACAAAAGGTTATCAGTTCCCCGTGGGCCTGGTCAGTCCGCGGCTCAGCCGTCTTGAAGCCCGCCCCAGCACGGGACGAGAGGCGCTGAGGAGCGCTCTACGTCTACAGCAAGACTAGGAGTGCGCCTTCCGGTTACGGGAGGCAGAGACGGAACCTGCGTTACGCAGGTTCCGTCTCTGCCTCCCGTAACCGGACGTAACCGGACGTAACAGGCACTGCGCCGCCTAACGAGACAAGCACTTGTACGACAGATACTCTGGACACGCCAGAGCGATCTCTCCACAGCCCACAACACTTAAAGCAAAGGAACTGCGATAATACCAGCCATTATAACCGGAACCACTCAGTCACCTCAGCAGTAGCAATTCGCACCGTCATCATCCAACTGAACCATGGGACATGCCCGCGAGCGTCACCACCCGTGACCACAAACTGCACGAGCCAACGATGGGGCACGACAAGCCAGCCAGTCCGGTGCAATCAGAACGGTCGGGGCGCAGGACCCGTGTCAAGCAACCAGGCGCTGTCGTGCTTTTGCAGCAGTACATGTCGCTCATCAACGAAATGAATGAATATAGGCATCTGCGCCATGGACTTGCACTTGTCCGTTCTGCCTGCGCGGGATTTGTTGGGAAGGGGCTATGTTGGGCAGGAAGGCAGGGTTCAATTCTCAGCCCTGTCACCCCTGGTAGCCCTGGTAATCCGGATGATCGAGTGGAAGGAAAGGGGCTCGGCGGTGTGCATAACTTCCACATCATGTTCTTCTGGGCACGTCTAACGGAAAGAAGCCGGCATGCCATCTCCGCGGAGGGGGACCCACGGACCACGTCTCGTCCTTAACCCCGTGCGGATTACCATGCGAAACAGATATGCACAGCATCAATAACCAAAGCCATATACTAATTTATGAGCAAGGCCAGGCATTAACCACTCTCACAATGTTGGTCTCCCACGGCAAATACCTCACGATACATGCCTGACGCATATGCAATAACTTATACGATTAAGACGTCATAGTTGTATTGTTAGGTATAGATTTACCAAAGTGATCCAGTTGAAACAGTATGTTCGAAGTGCTGACGACCCCACTTGGGTTACCGAACGTTTAACCTATCCGAAAGCCTTTTACGCGTTACTTCTGCTGTTATGGTCGTGTTAACGCACAGTTAAGCCTGGAGTTGACGGCGTTGCAAACTACCCAATTGACACCAACGTGTGTCGCTGTTAATAGGCATGTTAAGATGATGTGAGCCGTAAAGGGGTATCCCTGCAGTCATTTTGACTTGGGATAGGATGGGGGAGGAGGTTCCTTTGTCGGCAATTGACGACTCGCTGCGTCACTTTAAGGCGCTCTCGGAGGTAGGATATCAGTTGCTGCTACGTAGATCGCTATTACCCTTAATCACCAAATGCTAAACACCCATTCCATTTGCTTTGGCGTGTTGAGCCATGCGCATCCGACTATCTTCACCTAGCCCAGCACCTGCGGCGACGCATACGCAGGCCCTAGACGAGCGGCTTCGCAAGCGAGAGCAGCAGGCGAAATGGGACACGGAGTTATTCCGCAAGGCGCCAACGGCGGCGTCACCGTCACCTCCCTACTCGCCCGCAGCGTCAGGAACAGCGGGACTCCCTTTGACGGACGAGGACAGCGCCCTGGACGCGGTCACGGCTGCGCTGTTTGGCGCTCGTGCCAGGCTCCAACAGGTTCAAGCCATGGCGGACGATGCACGCTCCGCAGCGGCACAGCAAACACACCCCCAGACGCAGGCCCAGGCCCACGCGCAAGCACAAGCCCAGGCGCAGGCCCAAGCGCCCGACGGCGGACGCGTCCGCTTTCGTTCCATCAACGAGGAAAGCAGCCCTACGCTCGCCCAGCGTCGCCATAACGGCGGCGGCACCCGCCCCTCCGTGCTGGTAGGCCCGCAGCCACCCGTGGTGCCGCTGCCGGCACGTGGCTCGCAGCTAAATAACGCCAACGCTGCCGCCGCCGCCGACTACACCTCCCTCCTGCGCAGCAGCCTGAACAGCCCGGGCGTGACCTCCAGCGGCGCCGACCTAGGCGCCATGTCACCCTCCTCGGCTTCGCCTAAAGCGCGCCTCTCCTTCACAGCCATGGGAACCACCTCGCCGCTGGGCGGCCCGGTAGCAGCCGGGTCGTACTCGGGAGGTTGGTCTCCCGCGTCCTCGGGAATGGCCATGCAACGCTCCGTTACCACAACCACCACCGGCAGCGCTCCCAACGGCGGTGCCGTACTGGCCGGGCAGGTGCAGTACCGCGCGTTGTTGGCGGCAGCGCAGGCCGCCAGCCGCAACGGCGGCGCCCGCTCGCGGGCTTTCCATGCAGAAATGGCGGAGATAGACGCGGAGATAGATGCCTATGTAGGCAACTACAAGTTCGAGCAGTACGCACCGGATGCAGCGCTTGCGGTGCAGACGGCCTGGCGGGCCCGCAGGGCGCGTGTGTTCTTCAATCGATACAATGCCGTACGGCGGAAGCACTTGCGGCGGCAGTTGGCGCTAGCGTTCGGGCCGTTGAAGCAGCTGGTGTTGGCGGTGTTGCATTCGCGGAGACGCATGCTGCGGCGCGCATTTGAGGAGTGGCGGGACTGGGTGTGGCTGGGTAACGAGCTGTTCCTGAGGGTGAGTGAGGGGAGGGGGGGTATTATGGGGTCTGCAGCCGCATGCAGCGGTCGGTATAGGGACGGGCGACACATGAAGAAGCAGCTGGTGGTTAAGGGTGAAGAGATACTCGGAGAACACCCGTGTGGCTGGAGGCCGAAGGGGCGGCGGCGGTTGACTCGCAAGCAGATGATGCTATGTAGCTTGGGACGGCTGCGCTTGGGCCCAGACATGGTCTCGCGTAAAGCTACGGTTTGGCAATCTCCTCATCCCTCCTTTCTACCCCCACTCCCTCCCTCCTCCTCTCCAGCTCGTCACCAAGCTGCGTGCCTCCATCGGCAGCATCAAGGAGCACGCCACGCCGCAGCAGCTCTGGCAGCTCTGCACGGCGCCCGGGGGTGACCCATGGGCCGCCAAGTTGACGCTGGGCGCGTTGGTCGCCAACGTGCTGCTGCGGCAGATGCCCACGCGCACGCTGGCGCTGTACCTGGCTGCATGGCGCCGAGCGGTGGCCAAGCAGGTAGACAAGCGGCAGGCGGCGGGGGAGGTGCTGCGTCGCATGGAGCGGTCTCGCTTCTGGGAGTATGTACGGCTGCTGTTCAGGTGGGTCCGGAGGTTGGGTTGAGTGCTGGAATGTGGGCTAGAACATGCCCAAAGCTACGATCCTGCAAGAATCACACGCCCCTTACACAGCAGCAGCGACAACGATGTAACAGGTGTATGGGTGGAACGGTGTAGGGGGGTTGCTGGATCAGAGGCCTTTGGAAAGCATGTGGGTTGACGTTTTATTACCCCAGCGCCACATGGCGGGAAAGCACATGTGCGCCGCATGCCCCGTCTCATACCCACGGGGCTTCATGTCCCATGCCCGGCCCTTCCAGGTTCTGGTTCCGCTGGTCCGTCATCCGCGTGAGCGAGCGGCTGCAGATCGCGCCGCCCATTTTCCGGCCGCGCATCCCCGAGTGGGACGCCTGGCTCTTCAAGCACACGCGCTCACGGGAGCTGCAGTCGCGCATCGTGCTGCTGCACAAGGTACGTACAGGGCCAACTGTGCAGCACACATCACATGTATATCAGTAAGCTAGGAAAGGTCCTTGGCCTCGCTGCGTGTTTTGTTCGTCGGGCTGAGGATGTCGCGCGAAGGCTAGGGGCCCGAGCTGCCGACTAGCAAGAATGAGCACTGAAGGATAGACGCGCTTGGGCACACGAGAACCTCGTCACAGTCGCCTCCGCTTGAACCATCGCCCCCTCTTGGCTTCACTGCTTGCGCCTTTCTGTCACCATTCCGCCTTCCACAACCCCCTCCCCTGTTTCTCCCTCTCCATGCACCCCCCCCCCTCCATACACACCGCGACACAGGGCTTTCGTGTGCGCCACTTTTTCGAGTTCTGGCTCTTCTTCATCCGCCGCAACAAGCGCATGCGGCAGGCGTGGTTCAGCACCGCCGCACACCACATCGAGGCCATACTGCGCAACTCCATAAACGCCTTTAAGGCCAACGCAGCTGAGGCGCGACGGCTGCGACGCATCAAACGCACCGTGTTTGACGGCATACTCTACATCACGCGGCGCAACAAGACCGTCCGGCGCATTGCCAAGGAGGTGAGAGCTGGCTAGGAAACGGGCGCCGGTTTTGTTTATTTCATGGGCCCGGGCCCTGTTAACATCCTAGCTGCTTCTGCTTCCCAGCCCTTCCGCTCCTCCCTCCCCTGACCAAACCAAACCCAACGCGTCGGGGGCGTACCGGTCCCTGTCGCTGCTTAAACCCTATACCTGCTTATTGTACAGCTCCCACCCCTCTCTCTTTCTTTTTTACCCCTCTCCTTTTCCGCTGCTGAGCTGCCCCCTCTTCCCTTTCCCTCCCCCAACCACCACCACACCCGCCCACCAACATTGCTCCAGGTGCACGAGATCAGTCGCAAGGCGCGACTGCGGCTGTCCTTACGGCGGCTGCGCGAGTGGTCACGTGCCAACCGGCTGCTCTTCACCGCTGCCAGCATCCAGATCCTGGCCCGCCGCGCCTCCTGCCTCATCCCCGCCTACGCCATGTTGGAGGACTACGTGCACATGTGGTTCATGTGGTGCTGGTGCACGTGGAGGGATTTTACGCTGGGCAGGTGGGTGAGGAGCGGGAGCAGCGGGGTCGGATGGGGTGGGCACCCTGGTCGATGCTGTCTAGCTGTGGCTGTGTCTAACTGTGGAATCGCACCGCCCGGCTGACAGGTTGCGCATGCGCTGTCTGCTTGGGCTGCACCTGTCGCGCGCCAACACGGTCTACCTCGAAGTGGCCTTCAAGGCGCTGCGCAAGTGGGCGGAGCTGCAGCGCTCGGAGCGTGCGCGGTACGCGCTGCAGCAAATGCGGGTACCCCCCGAGCACCTGCTGAACTGGGGGCCCGGAGCCGGCGGCGGCGGCCGCAACGGGCCCGCTGGCGGCGGCGGCGGCGGTGCCGGCGGCGGGGAGGGTGCTGGCGAGGGCGGTGGTGATGGGGCTGGCGGCGACGCCGCGGCGGCTGTGGAGGACAGCGGCGACATCTTCGCCACGGACGTCAGCGCGGAGGATTCCGGCCAGGAGCAACCGCAGCGGGAGCCATCCCAGGAGCAGCCACAGCAGCCGCAGCAGCCCCAGCAGCAGCACGGAAAGCAGCATGATAGGCACCATTTGCATCACCCCCGGCGGACGGCGCAGCAGGGGCCGCAGGCGGAGCACTCGGGTGGCAGCCCTCGCCCCGGCGCCGGCGGCGTTAGCGCGGAGGCAAGCGCTGCGGGCGTGACGGGCACGGAGGAGGACGAGCAGGGCGATTACGAGCTGTTTGTGTCGCTAGCGGATTACCCGTTGCCGCCAGGAGGGAGCTGGAGGTCGCCATTGGATAAGCATGAGATCATGCGGCGTGCGGCTGTGATTCAGGCAGCTGAGGCGTCGCCGCCGCCGGCGGTTGTCCCACCGCCACGCATCAGCTACGCGGGTACCATTGGCTTGGCCGGCGGCGTCAGCGGCGGCGCGGTCGGTGCCGGCGGCGGCGGGGTGTCCGGCCTGCAACTGGGATCGCCGGGGGACGCAGCGGCAACGGGAATAAGTCTGGGCAAGATGCAGGAGATGCTGCAGCAGCTAGTGGTGGGTGGCGGTGGCGCGACTCGAATAACAAGCACCCGGTTGCATGGTCATCTGCACCTGCACATGCGCAGCGAATGGCCGCCCTTGGCTTCTCATTTTCCACACCTGTCAAAGCGACAAGCGTTGCTACCTGTAGCCGTTTCGGCAAGTCAGGCATTGCCATTGTCCTTCCGCAAATACATATGACACATACCCCTTCTTACCTTGTGCTTTGCCTGCTTGCCCAGGAGCTGGACGGTCCTTTCCACCTGGAGCCCGGCGAGCGGCATGTGCTGCTGAGTGTCGTACGGCACCGCGAGGTCAGCGGCACGCAGCGCTCCTGGGTGGATGTGGAGCACTCGGTGTCTGAGGTGAGTACTTGCGTAATTGCAGGGAGCGGGGGTTGTGGCTTGTGAGCAATGGGGTGGAGAGAAGCCTCCTAGGATGCGGATCGCAGCCTCGCTGCTGGCGCCATGACTGTGGAAGCTATAAAACTGCGTGGCGCCTGCCATGCCTACCGGCATTCCATGGCTAATTTCGCAACTCACACACAGCGAGTTCTTCCTTCCTTACCGCCCCTTTCCTTCCCTAAACAATTTCCTCACAGATCTTTCTGTCGCAAGGTCGCCGCGATCCCGGGCTGTGGCAGCGTCTGGTGGGCCTCCTGGTGTGCGGCGTGCCCCACCCCGACCACCCGGGGGCCCACTTGGTGGACCAGGGCCGGCTGCCGCTGGCTCGGCAGGCAGCAGGCATCCGCCGCATCATGCACCTGGCGCGACAAAACCTGCGGATAGAGCCCGCTGCCGCTGCAGGCGCCAGCGGCGCTGGTGCTGGCACTGGCACCGGCGGCGGCTCAGCCCCTAACAGCTCGTCTAGCGTGGTCATACCGGCTGCGCCGCTGTCGCCCAGCCGTCGACGCGGCATCATCTTGGGGGAGGAGCAGGAGGAGACGATGCTGCTGCACCGGCTGTGTGAGGCGGAGGACTACCTGGACACCTGCCTGCATGTACTGCTGGGGATCGGGGGTGGCGAAACCATGCTGCTGCGTCGCGCCATGGGCAGCCGTGTGCCTAGAGGCACGCTGCTAGGCGACGCGCTGGTCACGCTGTTCCAGCCTGCGCTTCGCTGCGACCTGCTAACAGCTGCAGCGGAGCTAAGGCACCGAACCAACCGCGACCGAGTGATTACCTTGGGCGTGGACTTGGCGGATAAGGCCCGCACCTACGCTGCCCACCGGCCGGAGTTCACGCTGACGAAGCATGATCCACGAGGAGGCAACGCCGGCGCGAACAACACCGCCGCTGCGCGAGCGGCGGCGGCCGCAGCGGCGATTGCGGCCCGGTTGACGGGCGGCCCCGCAGCCGCCGCAGCAGGGGCATCGTTGGAGCATGGCGTTGCGCCGCTAGTGCAAGCAGCGCTTGCACCCACGCCATCTCACCAACCCCCCAGCAGCAGCATCGCCAGCAGGATAGCTGCGCTTGATGACGATGAAGACATGGATGCGCTCCGAGCGCGGCGCCGTGCGGCGGCACAGGCTCAAGCGGAGGCGGCTGCGGTGGCTGCAAAGGCCGCCGCAGCAAGCGGCAGCCCCTCGCCAGCTTCGCCAGCCCCAGCGGAGACGCCATCCCTGCTGGCGTCTCGCAGCCCCAGCCCCTCGCGCAGATGGAAGACCCTCAGCCTCAGCAAGAGTGCGGTGATCCGAATGGAGATGCTGACGGGACGACCGATTGTTCCAACGGCTGCCTCACCGCCCTCCACCGGCAACAAAAGCACCCTGTCTTCGCCGCTGCATGAGCCTCCGCCCACAGCACGCGCCAGCGGCAGCGGCGTGGCGCCGACCCCAAAGCGCGGCGGCTTTGCCTCCCTCGCCAGCCGCATCATGCGTTCTCCAACTACCACCAGCCCCACTCGCGGTGGCCGTGCGATAGCGTTCATGGAGTCGGGCATGGTAAGCCCCGTCTCAGGCTCAGCTACCCCCGACGGGCATCGCGCGCCGTCTCGTGCGGGCGCCTCGCCTAGCCGTCGGGGCTCCCTTCGCAGCATGACGTCCTTCGCCTCAAATGTCTGGGCGCGCGTCAGTGCCTCGCAATCTAGTCGTACGACCCTCGCGGACGGCGGCAGCTTCTCCTTCATCAATGGCCACGTCGGCGGCGGCGATGCAGCTACGGCACTGAGTGATGTTTCGGATCCAGAGGGGCGGCCGATTACGCCGCAGGAGAAGAAGCAGCCAACGCTGGTCAAAAACTTCCTGCACCTGACGCCACCGGGGTTCCTCTCGGCGGGCAAGGTTCTTAACCCAGCGGTAAGAGCGGAGTGCCATCACTTGGGGGGATGAGAGCGTGTGGGTTGACAAGGTTTTGACTGAATTCAGCGGCTGCATAAGATGTGTAGGCAGGTTCTGCATACTGTGCGAGAAACGTAGCATCCAGGCCTCCCATCCTTTATCACTTCACGGCATCCCGCTAGCAAGACGGTGTAAGCAGAGACGAGCACGGACCCTCTCAAATAGCAGCCAGCCAGCCAGCCACCAGAAGACTGCCCACCGTCGCCCCACCCTTCTGCACCTAAGAAGCCCGCCCATCCGCCCTTGTCCCATCCCTCCCCCTCCTTCCTTGCGCCCTCCGCAGAACTTCCCGTGGCCACGCGAGGTTCCCTCCCAGGACCAGGTCCAAATGAAGTCCGACTTCATATTGCGTGCCACCTTGCCTAATCTGGCAGCCATGCCGCAGCTGCCGGACATCGTGTTCGGGCCGCTGGGCGACCCTCCTGGGTCGCAGATGGGACTGGAGCCGTGGAATGCTGGGCCATGGGCTGGCATGGGAGGCGATGGCACTCAGGTGGGGCATGCCGCATGCGCCAAGGGAACTGGGAAGGGGAACCTTTTACAGGGGACCGAATGCAGCAATGTCTGTGTGTTGTATACTCCAAGACCCGATACAATTCCAACAGAGGAGGTTAACAAGGGGTGTTGTTGAAGTAGCGTTCCTAACAGCCTGTTGCGCCATGTTAGGTTGGGTCGAGCCCACGCAGTGTGGCACCGCTGCTAACTTCGCGGTACCGGTGCCTGCCCATGCCGCTCATGCGGGCCCCCCCCAGGATGCCTCTCCGGAGCATTCGCTCAGGTCGCATCCATCCGACGCCTCTCTCCGCGGCGCCGGCGCTATTGCTGAGGGCGGGGCGGCCGGCGCCGGCGGCTCCCCAGCTGGCGGCGACGCAGCAGGCGACCAAGGCGCCAGTGCCTTCGCGAGCGTCGGCGGCCAGGCAGCTGCCCTCGCCGCCGCAGCAGGCAGCACTGCCGTGGCTCACAGCCTCAGCGGCGGCCCTGCTGACAAGGCGCTTGAGCTTCAGAACCCGCCACAGCGACTCAGCATGCGCAGCACGGTTTCCTTCTCCGGTCGGGCGTTTCAGTTACGCGGCGCGACGTCCATCTCCGGACGTGGCCTGTCGAACGATAACTCCTCCCTGCCTAGCCCCAGCCCGCCAAAGAAGCAACCCTCGATGCTGGGACGGCGATCCTTGTACGGACCTACCGCCAGCAGCGGTGCCAACAGCGGCATGGATCGTGAGGCGTTGGCGGCAGCGGTGGCGGTACGGAAGGAGCGCCGTACGCAGGCGTTATTGCACCACCTGCTGGGTTACGACGTTCTGTTTGACGGTGTCGTTCATAGCGGCACTGTGGGCGTGGACCCTTCTCAACACCTGCCGGGGCTCCTAGAAGGGGACGAGGACATGGATGATGAGGATGAGGACGAAGATGAGGGGGAAGATGGGCTGAGCTTGGGCGACGGTGACGAGGAGGAGGAGTCGCGCAGTCGGCGGAACGTGGCGGCGGAGCTCCTGGGCTTTGCGATCAGTGAGGAGCGGCATAAGAAGAAGGTACAGAAGGCCGGCCCACGGGTCATTGGCCGTGCGGCGTCGGGTGGGCTGGCGCGCGTGTTTGGCATGTTTGGCGTGGGGCGCAGCAGCATTGACGGCGAGATCGGTAGCGATCTGGACACGCCGTCCTTCCGCATGTCGCCACAGTCTGGCGAGGGCGGCACCTTTGGCAGCGCCACGGATGACGACGACGACGATGAGGACGACGCCACGGGCTCCTCCATGCCCACGCCGCCAGACCGGGCCGGCGGACGGAACAGCAGCAGCAGCATGATCAGCAACCGCAGCAGCCTGGGCAGCCGCAGCAGTCGGCGGCCGCCGTTCAAGGTAACGGCGCAGCAGCTGAATATTTTCATGGGCGGGCACCTGCGGCGCGGCACGGGCGCCCTCCGAACGCTGCCCTTGCGGCCTAGGAGGTTCAGCGGCGCGGGGTTTCGAGGGCTGCAGTTGACGGCTGACGGGATATGGGTGACACCGTACGGCATTCAAGTCATTCGGGAGGTTCCCGAGGACGAAGCAGAGGAAGAAGAGGAGGGTGGCAAGGACGGCACAACGGCGACGGCAGCAGCAACAGCCGGCGGCAACGGTGGTAGCGCTTCAGCGGACGCGGCGGGCACCGCCGCCCAGTCCGAGGCCTCGACGGGGATTGTCCGCCGGACCAAGACCGTGGTGGTTCGCGAGATCGTACAGACGGTGCCGTTTGAGGAGCAGTACGACTTCCACAAGTCCTTATGGCTTCCTCCGGAACGCCGTACAAACATGTTGGACGGGTACGACCTAGCGGCGGAGCTCAAGGCGGGAACCGCCGGTGAGCTGCTGCCAGCGCACCTCCGACGCTACATGACGCCGCCGATCGAGTCGCCGTTCCTAACGGAGCTCGAGCACGAACTCGCGCGCACCCGCGCGCAGGCGCGACGTAAATCCAACGTCAGTACGGCAGAGCGTCAGCGCGCCTGGTCTCGGCTGTCGCGCGGCGCCAGCGTCATTTCCCGCGGCAGCTACGGCGGCAGCAGTGGCGGCGTACGACCGCTCTCCGACGGCTCCGGCGCGGGTCCCTCATCCCCCAGCCGCCGTCACCGCCGGTCCTCCACCTCACCTCCTTCCCGGTACGGTCGCAACCGCTACCCTATCGCGGACTCTGCATTCCTGTCCGACAGCGACGACGACGGCGCCGCCAGCAAGGTCGAAGAAGCCCCGGCGCCTTACATGGATGACCTGTTTGATGACGACTACGTACACATTTCAGCGGCGGCGGCCTCCGCCGCCGCCGCAATGGCGGCAGTAGCTGACGAGGATCCCTATGTCCGGCGCTTGAAGCTCATGGGCGCACCCGGATACGCCTCCATGAAGCTCAGACAGCCCTCGGTTGCCGTACCCGCGCCCGCCGGGACGTCAGGCAGCGACACCGTGTCTCCATGGAAGGTCGGAAAGTCGCTCGAGGGCCTCCGCCACCCCTCGCCGCCGTCGCCGCTGATGCCCGCCGTGGAAGCTTCCAGCCACTCCGTAACCTCCAAACGCAACCTGCGTCACCTGGCGTCATCCAAGTCCCACCAGTCGATGCGATCCAGGCACCACTCTTCCGTGCACAACGCGCACAGCGCTGCAGCCGCAGCACGCGCCGCCGCCTCCACCTCCAAGACCGTTGCCGCCGCTGCGGCGGCGGCGGCGGCCGCCGCGGCTCGCCGAGCCTCCGACGGCGTCGCCCACGGGTTGCCTGCATGGACCAACAGCAAGTCCCTGCGTACCCTGGCGCTGGAGGCAGCGGCCGAGGGCCATACGTACGGCCTGGATGCCACGCAGCTGCCCAACGCGGAGGAGATTTCGGCGCTGTTGAGCGGCATGTTCTGGGGAGGTGGGTCGCTGCGGTCGTCGCCGCGAGCACGCCGTGTGCGCGCACGCAGCCGGCCGCGCAAGCGCGGCAACCTGCGGACTGGAGAACAACAGCTGGTGGATCCGTTGTTGCAGATGCCGCTGCCGCCACCACCGCCGCCGCCGCTGGCGCGACGGCGGGGGCCGGAGGGTGCCGGAGGTGCATCGGAAGAGGGCGGCTACGGTGGCTTTGGGGTGGGTGTGGAGGAGGAGCAGGAGTTGCAGCAGCTGCGGCAGCATTCGCTGCTGCAGCCGCGGCCGCAGGGACCGGACCAGCCGCCGGCGTGGATGCATGAGGATGAGACGCGCAAGGAAAGCAAGCGGGGACGGGAAGGGGCGCCTGCGCGGGCCCAAGCTGCGAACGACGGGGTGCAGCTTCAGCCTCAACTCCAGCAGCAGCAGCAGCAGCAGGACGCGGAGGCCGCTCCGTTGTTGCAGCTATCGGCTGTGTCGCTGACGACTGGGGAACAACAGTCTTCAGCTCAGTCGTCGTTGCAAGAACCCCAGCCCCAGCCCCAGCAGCCACCTCAGCTCCAAGTGGCCCTGCAGGTTGAGGCAGGAGGAGCAGCGGCGGGTGAAGGAGCGGAGGCGGGTGTGGAGCAGGAGGCGTCCTTGTCTTCAGCAGTGCAGGCAGAGGGTGCGGAAGGTGGCGGCCAGGGGCCCTCGGCGGCGGCGGTGGGTGTGGAGGCTGTGAATGTGGGTGACGCTGCGGGTGTGTTGGTGGAGGCGGAGAAGCGGGATTTGCTGCAGATGCCGTCCGCAGAACGGGAAACGGGGGCTGCTGTTGCTGCGGCGGCGGCGGCTGCTGCTGCAGAGGCAGGTGCTGATGCAACAGGGTTCGGCATGGTAGACGCGGAGGCGGAGGTGCATGCGGCCGTGGATGCGGATGAAATGGCAGATGCAGCGGAGGCGGATGCAGCAACAGCAGCCGCGCGTGAACCGTCGTTGGACGTGACAGTGGCAGAGGAAGGCTCCCTGGAGGTAACGGAGGCGGCGGATGGCGCGCATCAAGCGGGGCAGCTTCAGGCTCCTGACGCACAGACCTCCAGCCCGCCCGCTTCTGAGGCCGCCGACACGTCCGTTGCCATCGCAGCCACATCCTCGGACCCCTTCGACCTACCCGCGTTTGAAACCTCCCTCGTTTCAGTGCCCTCCACCGATGCCCCTGATCTCGCGCTAGCAGCAGCAACAGCGTCACCCCAAAGAGTAGCTCCTCCTTCCCTCAACGACGCCAGCACCAACTCCCCTGCTGCCGTCACCGTCGCCGCCACGGTTGCCATCGCCATGCCGCCAGATGCCGTAGCCACGGCTGGGGACACCCATGCAGGGCTACCCCCCACGCCAACCCTCGCGCCGACGAGCAACTGGGCTTCTAGCATCGCGGCGACATCAGCACCTGGAGCCGCAGGCTCCCTTCCCGCCGCCGGGCCGAATGACGTCAGCGCTGCGGCAGGCGCGTACGGCAGCTGCCCCTATGATGACGAGGACGACGAGGTGCAATCGGAGCCCTCGGTATCGCCCTCGGAGTGCAGTGATGGCGGAGGCTTGCGAGCGGAGGCGACGCTGGGCAGCCTGGGCGGCAGGTCAGCTGGAGGGAGCTACGAGCAGCAGCGGGAGCAGCAGGAGCTGGAGCTGCTGCGGGTGGGTACGGTGGTGGGGAGGATGAAGGATGGGAGGAGGAGAGAAGAGGGGCTGGGAAGGAGGAGGTGGATGGAGTGAGGGTGCAGGGAGGAGGACAGGATTAGGGAAGTTGGGAGGGGGCCATGGGCCATGGCATTAGTGTGAGGTGGGGTGCGGGGCAGGGCGGGGGAGCACTGAACAAGGTGTCATCCTACACGGTGTATCACCATTTTCACCATTCATCTAGCGCCTTGTTTCTGCTGCTGTGTTGCTCAGGACGAGGGTGTTCGGCGGCAGCTGGAGCTACTCCGTGCCATGTGGACGTCAGACCCCTACTCCGCGAGGCCCGGCGTCGACCCCATACTCCGCACGTCAGCGCACGTAACGCAACAGAATATGGCCGCTGCCGCGGCCATAGCGGCGGCAGCAGCGGCGGCGCCGCCTCCGGCAGCCCACGGTACCGACGCCGCCGTGGCGCATGAGCCCGTTCGCATCGGCGCGGGGCTTGCCCGGGCCTTGGCGGAGGCGGAGGCCGAGCAATGGAGTCTGTACGACAGAGCTGTGGAGCATGTGGCTCGGGAGTTTGCTCGCGCCATGCAACAGCAGGTGCACGGCGACGACGACGTCAGCGGCGGCGGCGCCGACCAAGGCCGTCACGGAGATGCCGCCGCCGCCGCTTCCGGGCCGGGTGCATCGCCGTCGATGCATCGGCGTTTCTTGTCCGCGGGGCGTCACAGCTATCATTGGCATGTGTCAATGTCAGGGGCAGCAGCTGCGGGGCACCACCCACACCATTCGCATGTACACTTGCAGCCACACCAGCACAGGCCGACGGCAACACCGTTGACCGGGCATGCCAATCGCGGCCTGCTAGACGCTTTGGAAGAGGCGCTCGCTGTGTCGTTAGATCCCACCGCCTTGACAGGTGGGTGCCGTGGCGGGAAGGCAAGGGGGGTACGGAAGCTGCTCTGACGCACACTGCTATCATTCCATCGCTTTCTGACCAACCCTGTTTGCAGCTTTACATGCGCTGCTTGACCATCTTTACGCGTCACTATAACCCCTGCCGGCGCCTGCTGCTGCGCCCCAACCCCACCCAGGTCTTTCCCTGGAGGAGTACGACTACTACCTGGGCCAGCTGGTACGGCGGCTGGTGGTCGCGCCCGCGGCATCCAAGTACATGTTCTGGAAGAAGGTGCAGACGGTGCAACAGCTGCGGCAAAAGTAAGCTTGCTTACCTCAGGGGTGACCAGTTGACCAGCCATGAACGGTTAAACGGTTATGCATGGGCGGGTTTTGTTATCGAACGGCAGGATTGACTTCTCATTCGACCGCAGCAGGCCCGCACTCTCAGCCGCTCTGCTGCTCCCTCCATCCCTTTCAACGCACCCCTACCAACGAACTCCGCACGCTTCGCTCCCCCTCTTCCCCCTTTCCTCGCAGGCTCCTAGAAGACAGGGCCATGGCAGACCAGCTACGAGGCATCGCATGGAACAGCGCCTTCAACGCCCGCTCCATGATCCCCACGGGCACAGACCCCGTCAGCGGCCGCGTGGGACCCTTTGCGCGCGAGCAGGTCACACACGCCGAGGCCAAGCGCCGGAAGCGCGAGGCGGAGCGGCGTAAGGCCCATCGGGCGCTGTTGCGTATACAGCGAGGTGGTCCGTCCTCGGCGACGGCGAGGGGGGCCGCGACAGCTCCAGCAGGCGAGGTGCAGCAGCAAGGCGGCAAGGGCGCGGCGGCAGGCCAGCCGGAGCAGCAGCAGCAGCAGCCGTCTGGGGAGCTGAGAGAGGAGCTGTCCTTAGCGCCCAGGTTGTCAGGGCCTGCTGGGGAGATCAGCGACGGCAGCCTGGCTCAGCTGCGGCGGTCACAGCAGCAGCAGGCGGCGCGGCGCGGCGCCGGCGGAGGTGCAGGTGGGGGACTGGTTGGCAGGCGGGCGGCATGGGAGCCGCTCATTTCTCCTACCTCGGACCCCACAGTAGATGGAGGGGCGGCTGCGGCCGGCGGCATGCAGCAAGAGCCCTCCTCCGTGCCCTCTCAGGCGCAGCTGCTGCTGCAGCAGCTGCCGCCGCCGCAGCAACCGCATGCGGTGGAGGAGCAGATCGTACGACCCGCCATGCTGCAAACCAAGCATTCCGGCGTGCCGGTAAAAGCATCCGCTCGAGAGGTACGCCCCAAGAAGCTTCAGATCCGACACCGACGACGCCCGCCCATCGTCACCGCTGCTGCCGTGGAGGCCTACAAGGCCTTCCGTGACATGCTCGCTTCAGAGCACCCCAACGCATCAGACAAGCTGGCGGATGTGCACCTGCAGGCCTACCCCTCTCGAACCGCCTCCACCGCGTCTGGACCGGGTTTCAGTCGCTTTGCCGGGCGCGGCGTGGGCGCCAGGATCCGAGGGGACATCCAGGTGCCTGAGGACCGAAACACGAAGTCGGAAGAACGCGCACGTGCGGTTTGGGAGGCGGCGGTGCGGGTGGCGACGTCACGTGAGCGGGAAAAGGAATCCAGGTCACTGCAGTCAGCGGGGCTGGGAGGAACGAGCATGAAGGAGCCGCGCGGCCTGGTGGGAACGACCCCTGGGTCGGCGACGCTGATGACGCCAAGCTCGTTAGGAGGCGGCGGATTCATGAGTCCCATGTCATCGTCCATTCCGCGTACGGGGCCCCTGACGGCTCTGCAAGCGCTGCTAGCGCAGCAGGCGGGCTCGCCGCAGCTGCGGCAGATGTCTGCATCGCCTCAGCTGCAGCCGCCGGGATCGGCAGCGGCGTCGAGCTCCGGCGTGCCTGCCCGAGCGAGCGCAGCAGGCTCCCGCTTGGCGGCGGATGCAGCGGGCTTGGAGGCACCGACAACGGAGGCGGCGGCAGCAGATGCGGCCGCAGCTGCAGCTGCGTCAGCGCCGGGGGGTAAGCCGCGGCGGCAGCCTGTTCCGCAGTACATGCACTCCACTGCGTCAACAGCCGCACGTGCAGCAGGCATTGCCGCGGCTGCTCGCGCGGCTGGGTTAAATCCTCGAGGCGTCGCTGGTGGCGCCGCCGCCGCCGCCGCAGCAGCCGCAGCCGGCGGCTGGTTCCTCACAGAGTCCCCGGCGGATTTTGCAGCCGCTGCTGCGGCAGCTGCTCGGCGTGACACCAGCTTGCCGTCCGATCAGGAGAACGCGGGGGCTAGCGGCGGCGACGACATTGGCTACGGCATGGGCCTTGTTTCCGACGCGTCTGAGGACGTCGACGATGCAGCCCAGCCTGAATTACCGCCTGGCAGTGAAGCCGCCGCACGGTTGGAAGAGCGCCGGCGCCGACGTCAGCAGCAGCAGCGGCCTCGTCTGACGGCCGGGAAGCTTCAGATTGCGCTGGCGCGACGTGCGGCACTGCGCGCGGAGCTTGAAGCGCGCGGAGAGCTGCTGGAGCTCGATGAGATGGATGTGGATGAGCTTGAAGAGGAGGCGGAAATGGTTGACCGGTTGGTTGAGGCCAGCATCCGAGTGTACGGTGCCGTACTCGCGCAACGGCAGGCGGTGCACGACGGCGCGTTCGTACCTGGCGGTTCGGCCATCGTCATGCCTGGCGAGGGGTTGGTCATGCCAGGCCGTGGCCGCGCGTTAGGCTGGGTGCAGCCGGGGCCTCATGCGTTGGGTCGTACGGATGCCATGGTTCTCATACCCGAGGACCCATGGGTCACGCCGGTGTCGGGCACGCTGTTGCCCTCGCCGCGGCGGATGCCGCCGCCGCCGGCACCTGCTCCAGCGATGCTGGTGGCACCGACGGCTGCCGGCAGGGGGGCCGCGGCGGCCAACCGTCTCGCAAGCGGCCGCAGCGCCCTCATGCGCGGGGAGCTCCTGCCAGTCGGCATGGCGCGTACGGATGCGGAGATGCACCTTCCCACTCCCGGCGGACAGCTCAAACCCGTGGGGCTGCCAGTATCCGCGCCTTTGGCGCCTCTTGCTGGCCCCAAACCCTCGCATGCAGCGGTGCTACAGCCCGGCAACGTGCGCTTCCCGGGTCCTGCCGGAACGAACACAGGCAGCAGCAGCATCCATCATGCCAGTAGTGGCGCCGGCCCCCTGCGCAGCTCAGTACCCGGTCACCTGCATGGCGTGGCGCACCCGCTTCAGCCGCTGGTTGTATCCGGCGCCGGCAGCGGCATGGGCGCACCCGAGGACCTGCGAATCGTGGGCAGCTCCTCCGCCTCGCGCCTGCCGCCGCCGCCGCCGCTGCCGGGCCGCCAGCTGCCGCCAGTGGACCTGTCCGCACACCTGGGCCACCACCCCACGTCGCCGCTCCTGCGCCCAGGCTCCTCAACCCCATCCTCACAATGCGCGACACCCACGACGCCCATGTCGTCTCTAGGCAACCCGGAGACCTCCACGCCGCCGCTGCCGCCAACAGCAGCGGCCTCACAGCCGCCGTCGAGGGCTCGCCTGGACCCGCTTCCCAACCCGCCTCGACCCCGCTCCGCTGAAGCGCCGTCGCCGCTGGTGCCGCCGAGGGCCAAGCCCTCCTCCGCCGGCGCCGCCGTCAGCGGCAGCGCAGCTAGCAGCAACAACCCCTCTAGGGGCAACTCGCCACAGCCGCCGCTGGGACCGCCCCACAGCGGCATGCCCCCCTCCTCAGCACCGCAAATGGAGTGGGTTCGTTCGCCAAACGGCATCTCGGGTCTGCCTGGAATAGGTGGCTTCATCGGCGCAACGGCAGCGCCGGGCTCCGCACCCACCGCGGGTACGGGTTTGGGCCTGACGGGGACAATGGGGTACTCGCCGCCCTACCCTTTGCAATCGTTGCCGGCGTCGCGTCAGGGACTGCCAGCCAGCTTTCGAATGGGCAGCGGTCGGGGGGGCGGGCGGGCTGCCTCTGGGTCGCCTAGCAGGCTGAGGTCGATGGGGACTGCTAGCGCGGAGGGAAAGGAGGTTTGATGAGGGGGCAGGGGCTGCTGGGGGGCGGACTGACATGCAGGAGGGGTGCTGTGAGGTGGTTGGGAGGCGGCTGTGTGAAGAGCTTCAGAGGCTGTGGACGTGTGGACGTGCATGACGTGTCGTGTTGCTGTGTGACGAGATTGGCGGGATGATGACCTGACAAGCTGACATGGTCGGGCAGGTAGGATACGATACATTGCAGCCGGGATGTGGTTGTCCCGTGCTACCGACGACTAGTTGTTGGAACACAAGGGGGTATATGGGGCGTGTGCCGTGGGTTTCCAGCTGCCCTTGGAGGGGTGCAAGGTGGGCTGTGCATGTGTGACTTGCAGCTGCAAGCATGGTGGTGTACGACTAGGTTCGGTGTAGAGATAGTACGGCAGTTAGCCATGGAGGTGTCTTTCCAGAAAGCAGGCATGCTAGGTCTATGTAGATAGGGTGTCAGGACTTCAAAGGAGGACTACCGGTATATACGGATCCCCCGTTCACTCGGGGCTCTTCAAGGGGCGCATAGTTTGCTGCGGTAGAGCATCCTAACGCTACATACTTGGGGTGATAGTTGCAGGACGGTCGGTGCATCGCAGTGTCATGGACAGCGGTTTCCAGCTCCCTCTGCAGAAGCCTGTGTTACAGGCAGAGACCATTTCCCGATTCTCCCCTGTCCCCGTCCAGATTGTACGGACTCTATGCACATTGACCATGCCCGGCGCGTTGGCGGGTAGTAACCCGCGTGCGGGTTTTGAGCAAGGTCATGGCTGCAGGGGGCTGTACAGAAACGGCCCGGCAGAGAACTCATACATGGTGTATAAGGCCCGAGTTAGGGCTTGGTCGCTACCAGCCTCGCAGCATTGGCCCAGTTCTTCGGGACCATCGGGAGTTTCCCTCCCAGCGTGTGCGTAACTTGGCACGTAGGCTAAGGTACCTTGCCGAGTGTTTTCAGTCACAGTAATCGCTCCTTACGCCGCGATGCATGGAGGCGCATGAGATTGATAACATGAAATATATGGAACGGCATACCCACACCTCAGCGAACACACGGCTCTCGTACTGATGGCTGCTGAGACGTGGAGGGGCCGTATAAGGCCGTGTGAGGCTGGAAGGGACCTAATCGGGCAACGTACTTCGCACTCATAGCTAGGCAGCATGCTGTGCCTTGTAAGGTACATACAAGTAAGCCAAGTTGCAGCTCTCTAGGGCTGCTGCGGGTGCTGCCTCGACGGCAGTCAGGTCAACGTGATGCTATACGCGTGAGCGTAAGGAGGTTACGGCGGTTACGCTTGGGGGGTGGGAACCGGCGCGAGCACGCCTGCTGAGCCAGATTCCACAGCGCAACGTTGAGCCGTTTAGCAACAAATGTGTTGGGGCTTTGGTACGGTCTCGAGCGGAGCGGTTTGTGTACTGTTTTGCTTTCCCAACTGTCGCTCGTATATCGCCTGCTTTTCGCGGCCCGTGGGTCAAAATGCAGGCCACGAAAGCCACCGCTGATGTCACTTAGGTGTCCAATATATACTACAGCTGCTATTGAGGATATACTACAGCATCTACCGGACAAAAATGCGGCCTTGCGGAGGCCACCAGTCGCCGGTTGGCCGCATCAGTTGTACTTAGTATAAATGAGCCGTTAATGTGGAGAAGGTGTGAAAAGGAGATACAATTTGCTTGCACGTAACAAGGGTTTGGTACAGGGCCCGGTACGCGGCCCCTGGGGACGAATGGCAGAGGCTCTCTTGGACGGCATCGAAAATGCCGTAACACGCTTCAACTTCAATTACGAACCCTCATTTTGATTGGACTCACTGCTTGCTTATATATTCCACTACAAGACACAAAGCTTTGCAAGGAAGAAGTTAAATCTGTAGGCACGCACTTTCTTTCGTTCGCCCACGCGCACCTTCTTGCAGCCCTTTGGCCGGTAACCGCGCAAACCCACGCAATAGCTTAGCAATTTGGAGGCTTCCTGGGGCTTCGGTTACTTGAGTCGTGACAGCGAAGCGTCAAGGGTGTTGCAGGACATTGGGGGTGGTGTCACTGTCAGACGACCCACACGATCAGACTTTTCTCACAGCCGTCCCTGTGCCATTCGCACATTTGTGAATGCGCTGGAACGCGACGGACGCCTAAAGTCCGGCGTCCTTACCTTTCCAACCGTAGTCGAGAAGTGCCAGTATGTCAAGGCGCAGCGGAGCCCCGCGGCACCCAACGGCAAAGCTAAAAGGTAATCTGTTCAAGGGATCATCCTTTGGCTTTGACCCAATGCACAGGACCGGCAAGGCCTTGGGCGGCGCATCGACTACTGGTGACGGTCACGGATGACCGGCCCGACTTCGGCTGCCTAGTAAACTGGCTTCGGTCACAAACTTCCATGCACTTCGTGTTTATTGTTATGTATTAAATTGTATGTATAAAGGAATAAATTTTTTAACTCTGACTTAAGCTGTCCCGCGCAAATGCTTGCTTTACAGGCGGATGGAGTCCGGAGGAAGACGCGCTTTTGACAAGGTGCGTCATAGGCTTTGATTGTGGGAACCCATTGCAGACCATGAAAACTTGGGTTAGCATTGGGAAGAGCACGATGAGTGTGCGCTTTGCCTGGATATGATAACTGAACAGCGTGTCTTCTAGGAATGTGCTTGAAGTGGTACGATGCCCGAATGCTTCAGGTTCGCGACCATTTCGTTTCTTCGCCATTTTACTTGACTGTGACCAGCAGCACCAATTGGCCCCACGATATGTATTTAGCACTGCGTATAGATTACCACACACATTGCATGCTGCGCGAATTGCAGCGACGGGCCAAAGAGCTCGCGCTTAAACGTTTGACAGGGGTCGCTGTCAGGAGTCGCGCCTCATTTGTAGCCGGAGGCTAACCCAGTCAGGAAGCGACTATCTTGAACAGCTCTATAAGCACTAGTCACCTAGAAATCCTACTTGCCCAAACTCGACGGTGCAACATCCGTCCCCATCCACGCTTGATATGCCAAATGCCATGTTCGCGCGTCATTGCAGGCTTGTTAAGAAGTTTGGCGAGGGCAACTGGAGCCCCATTGCGCGCGCTCTCAACGAGGCGACGGGCAAAACCGAGTCAACCGGTCGCATCGGCAAGCAATGTCGCGAGCGATGGAACCACCACTTGAGTCCCGGCCTTCGTAAAGATCCCTGGACTCCAGAAGAAGAGGTGATGGTGGTAGATGCGCACAAGCGACTCGGTAACAGATGGAGCGACATAGCGCGTTGCATCCCAGGACGCAGCGAGAATGCCGTGAAGGTGCGAGTGGCTGCATAGCAATTTTGCGACCAGTGTTTGCTACGCGCTGCATTTCAGTGGCTTTGCGGCTTCATCGGCTTTGTTCAATACCGCTTACCAGCCTGCTGCATGTCACGGGTCTGACCTCTTAATTCTACCGGTACCACACTTGCCGCCGGGCTGAATCTCTTAATTCGCGCCTTCCGTCATGCCGTGTCCTTGTCCTCCTTACTACGCAGAACCATTGGAACGCAACTCTTCGTAAGCGCGTCACGCCCGAGAACCCCGCCGGTCCACTCAAGGAATACCTGGACAGTCTAAACCTGTCCGTGGCGCCACGCAAGCGCGGCAACGGCGGCGGCGTTAAGCGCAAGCGGCCCTCCAGGTGAGGTGTATGCGCGCGTAAAGCTGCAGCCGTGGCTGATGTGCCGCCTAAGCTAGGACTATGTGGCTGGAAACCTGCAGCTTACATTTGCGGGTAGTTTGATTACACCCCTGTCGTGACAGTTCAGCTACCTGTGCTTCTGGCGTCAAGACAACGCATCCATCTCGCAGCCCTACTGGACTCCCGCCACACTCGCCCCTTGTGTGTTGTGTCCTCATCCCGCCAGGGACCAAGACACCTCATCCTCGTCCTCTGATGAGGCTGAGGCCGACAACGACTCCGTCACATCGTCCCGCAGCCCCACCCGCAGCCGTACTCAAGCATGGAACGCCACCGCCGCCGCCGCCGCCACCGCCGCCGCTGCAAGCGCCGGTGCTGCATCCGCCGGCGCCGCCGTGGGCTTCCCCTCAACTGGTGCCGCGGCTAGGGCTCCGGGCAGTGGCGGCAGCGGCGTCGCGGAAAAACCCATGGGCGGCGGCGGCGGCGGCGGCGGCTACCCGATGCCGTACAACGCTGGCGGCGCCGCTGCGTTTACGCTTGGCGGTGGCGGCGGCGGCGGAGTCGCGGCGCGGCCGCGGTCACGCCGGCGTGCCGCGCATGAGGGCAACCAGCGGATGCGGAGCATGGTGGAGGCGGAGCAGTGCAGCTTTGAAGACGGTAATGACAGCGAGGGCAACAGTGACGTGGGCGGCTGCGGCGGCGGTGCCTGTGGCGGCGTTAGTGAGGTGGCCGAGGCTGGCGGCGGCGGCGGCGGCATTGAGGTAGTGACGCCGGCGGCAGTGCTCCGCAAACGAATGAGCGTGGGAAGCATTGGGTGAGTTTGTTGGACGAGATGTGGACGGCGTAAGCATTGAGCGAACGACCACACGGCCCCACTCCCACTCTCCATCGACCATGTTCATGCCCCCATGCTGTTAAGTTGTAAACCCACGCCTCCTACTGCTCTTTAAAACCCTGCAGGGAAAGCGGCCTGCCTCCGCCGCCGATGAAGCCCTCCACTGCACCCACGGATGCCGCCACGGTGGTCGCCATGGCGCCGCGGCCCGTCGGCGCTTCGCCCTTCAGCCGTGGCGCCTGCCGGCCGGCTATCCCCGCCGCCGGTCTGCCCGGCGTGGGCGTTACGGCGGAGACCTCCGCCGTCGGATCTAACACGCTGCCGACGGTTGGTGAGATCGCCATACAACCGGCTGCTGGCGGCGGCGGCGGCATGACGCCGAGCGCGCTGCCGGCTTTGCCGGGGCCAACGACGACGGCGGCGGCGCCGACGCCGGCCTGGAACTCGTTTCCGTACAATTGGAGCTCCAACAACATTCAAATGCTGGCGGCGGCGGCTGAGGAGGTAAGGCAGGGTAGCGGGTTGGGCTGGGCGTTGGGGTGGGCTTTGTACGGCACCACGAAAAATGATGCTGAGAGCAGGCAAGCCTTCGCCTTCGCTTCATGACATTTTGCAAGGCATTCTGCAAATCCACGTCCATGCCACAGTGTTGCTGACACTTTTCAAATTCCATGTTTCCTTTCTCATCCTGCTTGCTCGCTCCAACTCTCTATCCTCAGCCGAGGCAGCAGATGGCTCCAAGGCCCACCGTCCACAGCACCGGAGGCAAGGTGTGGAGATCCCCGAGCAACAACAACATGACGTGCAAGACACAGCCTTCGACACCCAACGATGCATGCTACACCCCTACCGCTGCGACCGCCGCCGCCGCCGCTGCTGCAGCTGTTGTACCGTACGGCAGTGCCGACGTTACCCCGGCGGCGCGTCCGAGGCTGCTGACGGCTGAGACATCCGCCCTGGTGCGTTCATCCCTCGATGAAGACGAGACCTGCCTGTTCCTAAGCCCCGGCACCGACCTATCCGCTTCAATGGGCATGCGCCACGTGGCGAGCGGAAGTGCGCTGCTGAGCTACGGCGCGGCGGCGCCGCCGCCGCCGCCGATGGCAGCCGCGGGCACCGCTAGGGCTCGCGCCGCTGGCGGCGGCGGCGGCGGCGGCGACTTGCAACCGCAGCCCTTCAGTCGTTTCGGCAACCCAATGGCGCCCGCGCGAGCCTGGACACCCCCCAACCTGTTTGATGCTCCGCACTTGTTGGACTTTGGCTGTCCGGATTCGCCGCTGCTAAACGGCGGCGTAGCTGCCGACGGCGACGTCGATGGCGAGCAGCCCATGCCGTACAATGGCGCTGACGGCGGCGGTTCCGGCGGCGGCGGCGACGACGACGGTGGAGCCCCCGGCGGCGATAGCTGCATGTCGTCAGTCGGCTCACCGCTATCGCATGAAGTTGACAATGCATTCGGCGATCTTGGCGGTGACACACTGCATTGCGGCGGCGGCGGAAGCGGCGTCAAGATTGTGGGCTGCGCCATCGGCGGCGCAACCCCTGCTGCCGGCGCCACTGGAAACGGGGAAGTCGTGGGGCCCGTGCGCACTTGGGCTGCGAGTCCTGCTCCTGGAGAAGGCGCGGCGCTTAAGAGAGAGTCTAGCTTTGGCAGCCGAAGCATGGTGAACATGCAGGCCTTGGTGCCAACACACGCGTCGCCCTTCACGCCCATCCAGCCGCCGCCGCCGCAGCAGCAGCAGCAGCTCGCGCCGACCGGGACTCCTTGGTCGGCTGTTGCTGCGACGGCGGCGCCGCCGCCGCCACAAACCACTACGCCTGCTTCTTCTGCCGCATGGACTGCGCAGCCGCCGACCGCGCCATACTTTTTCGGTCATACGGCAGGTGCAAGGATGCCACCGCCGCCTCCGCCTTCAGCCTACGTTTGGTCCTCGCCGCCGCCGCCGCCTCAGCAGCAGCTTCCACCGCAGCAACATCCACACGGCATGTACGGCAACCATGCCGTACACTATGCAGGACCACCCATGATGCACCACATGCCTCCCTACGCTCTTATGCAGCCTACTCCACAGCCTCCACCTCCGCCGCAGCAGCAGCAGCAGCTGCAGCAGCAGCTGCAGCCAGCGGCGGCAACGTCCGCAGCGGCGGCGAATGCAGAGTCGCCCTTCGGATGTGCAACCGCGCCAGCACCGTACGGCATCTGCCCCGTATCTGGTCAGTACTATTACTCGTGGAATCCGTACCACGGCTACGGACCCATGTACGGCACGGTGATGTACCAGCCGGCGGCGCCACATCTGCAAGCCGTACAGCCACCACCGCCGCAGCCGCAGCAGCAGCCGCTGACGTCCCAGTTAGCGGATCAGCTGGCGGCGGCGGGGACAGCGACTATCACCACGCCGGCGGCGGCGGCGGCGGCACAAAACCATTCACACGAGGGGATGCAGCAGCTGCTGGCGACGGCGGCGCCTTCGGCGTCAATGGCGCCAGGGCCTCCTCCCCTGCAAGCAACGGTGGCGAATGCCGCGATTGGCAGTACGACAGACGGCGCTTTGCCCATGGCAACTGAGGGCGCTTAAGTGTTCATGGGAGAAGCGAACGTGAAAGGATGGGGGCGGCGTTGTGGGCGGAAGACCCCAGCCCTCATGCTGATGCGGTTCGGGAGAGGGGAATGGTCCCCTGTGCTGGACTCTGTACAGCAATGGATCGGTCGAAAGGTCGTTGTTAGTAAGTCGCTATGCGTGTAAGGTGTACACTGAACATATTGGCATGTTAGGTGTTGTGTTTGTGTTGTGCTTGGTTGGTTTGTGAGAGCGGCTAGTACGGGCCAAAGGGGCTGAAGATGGCTGAGGCGGGTGGCGTTGGTGGCGTATGGTGTGCGTCTTGTGTCGCATTGTATAAGAGAAGACCATCCAAACAGGTAGGAGCCGTCAGGGAAGCATTGGGAAGAGCGCAACCGTTGGGACGCGGCAGATGGGTAGGCATGAATGTCCCGTAAGAGAGGAAGAGAGAGAGAGAGAGCGCTCTGGTGAGACAGTGAGTCACATGGAAGGTAAATTTATATTACCCACAACGCGGCGGCATCCCTCCTGGAAACAGGAACACGTGTTGAGGCTTAGTTCGCTTAGGCCCTTCGCCGGCCGCAGACCCTAGCATGGCGAGGTGTTTTCTGTCTGGCTGCTGCAGGTTGTTGTTGCGGTGCAGAGGCGAGTATCACTGTTTGCTGCTGTGTACAACACTTGGGGGCAGCAGCGCTGACGCGATTTTACCGCTCCGATTGTATTGTACCTTTTGAGCCGCTGGTGATGGTGGGGTGGTGGTGCGGTTGTAATTCCGTTGCGTTGGCAGTACTGGCAATGGGCAGTCGGATGTCAGGACTGCTGTGAAGTTTAGAGCTGTTGTGGCGGGGAAAGCTGCTGTTGGTTGGCTTGTGGGAGCGCGTGGCAAGTGTAAGTTCCGTTGCTGGAGTGCCATTGCTGGTCTGTTTGAGCGCAGGGTGAAAGCAGATCTTCAGGTAAACGTGTGAGAGGTCGCTTTGCGGTGAAGGAAGGGCGGTAGCAACGACTCATCGGCCCTGAGCTCTAAAGGTGAATGGATAGAGAGGTACTAGGGACGCGTTTGTTTGTTCGTTGTGCTCATTGCGCGGGCTTGTTCCAAGAAGGACGAAAAAGAGGGAGGAAAGCGGAGCGCGTGTCTTCTCCGCGACCCATGGGTCACTTCACTTCTGATGCCATGAAAATGAGAATGCCTGGCCTTGTTCGGGATGCATGAGCTGCTGGCTACGATTAGGTCTGAAGAATGTCCTTGTTGGAGTACTTGTTGCAGTAGCCTTTTAAACCTAAGGACTGAGCAGTGAGGACACAGGGGAGGGTACGACGGCGCCCGGATGGACATTGGCACTGGGCAGTTGTCCTGAACAGGGCGCGATTTCTAATGTCCTAGTCGAAAGTTGGGCGGGGATTCTTTTGAAGCACATGAAGAAACCCTTAGTGAAACCGGTACAGCGAGAGAGGCTGCCGTACGAAGTTGCTTAGCAGCTGGCACCAGCAGAAGTAGAGGGCTGCACCTTTCCGCGTCTTCCCATTGAAGCGCTGTGTGGTGGTGTGAGGGTTGAGGAGGAGTTGTTGGAAAGGGTTGACAAAGGGTGTTGGCGTTACGGTTTCTCGTTACGGTTGCTCCATGTGTTGGGGATGGGATACGCGCGAGGTCGAGCCACGTGTGCTATTGCTTGCGCGTCTTTCAAACGGCCAATGAGCCATTACGCCAGCGTTGCAAGTTGCTTGTGCGTGTGTGCGTGGTTCAGGTAATGGGCGTGTTTGTGCGTGTGTGTTTTGGTGTGTGCGCTATCTTAACGCGCTTTTGCAGAAGTTGCAGCAGTTGTATGTGCGATGTTAGCGTCTATTGCCCGTTCAAGAAGGGTATCAATCGTACGACCTTGTTGTTTTTGGGGGGTTAGTTGCATCCCGCGCGAGTGGTGGGTGGAGGCATGGTTGTAATGGGGTGTGAATGCGACGTGGGGGTGCGGAGAAACGAGGAGAAGTGAGGTGGGTGGGGGTGATGATGACCCTGTTGGCAAACCCCGAGTGTGCAAACATACAGGGCCGGTCGCAACGGCTGTTGTGTAACTTATTCAGGGCGCGCCCTGCCATCGGTGGCAGTGGCGTGGGGGCATCTGGCGTGGATTGTAAGTGGAGGAAGGGTTGCTTGGCGTGGCGTAACAACCCATGCCTGTTGCCGTTCTGTGTTGTACGGCCATCTACGGTGTATCGTGGGCTGGTGCGTGGTGGCGGTTTGTACACTGCATGTGTACCGAATCGGTTGAGTGAAGAAACTGAAATTGCTGAAGAAAGGTCCTTTGCTTTTCCTGTTGTCATGCGGGGAGCCTTATTCATTGTACTTTTTCTTCCCAGCTTCTTTTACAGTACTGGCGTGTTTGTGTTTCAGTAGCATGGCGGTTTGGCGGCGCTTGCAGCAGCTTCAACAACTCCGCTTGCAGCGCGGGCCTTACGTAAGGGGGGTTTCAAGGCAGGCCTGGTTCGGTTACGGCATGGGCATTTCAAATTACACATTTGCAGCTGTGGTGGTACAAGGAGTAGCTAGAACACTATCAGCAGTGCGGTTGCCTCGCAACAATGTCCGTGTTGCTAATGTTGAAACTGTTTCTTCAAATTTCATGTAATGGTTGTTGTAGTCGACAGTTGCACAATTGTTGCATGTTGGAACTTGCCGAAGTATTTCCGCAGACGTTGCATATACCTTTCGTTGCACGTCTGGGCTAGGTCTATAGGCTACTAGTTCGGAGCATAAAGGCTGTACAGGGCCCATTTGGCGGCGGTAAAAAGGCCGAATTACTGGAACTGGTATGTAGGATAGAGATGGAAGCTTTTTGGTTTCCGTAGCTTATTAGGGTTCCACCACGCATTTCGAGCACATCTCAAGCAAATAATAGATCACCACGCCCCTGGTAGTTGTATGTGGTGCAATCTGGGGCTTATGAAGCGGCGCTCTATGTGTGCGTCTTTCAGTTGGTATGTAGCTGAAGTAAGCAAGTAACTATCATGCCAGTACTTACCGTGTGTCATGGTGTAACCAACATTGCTTATTAAGGTTGCCTCATCTTAAGGTGACTTTGGAAAGTTCTATAAAGGAAGGTGTGTTGTTAGGGCATGCTCGGATGCAAATCGACGGTCGTACAGTCATCATAGACCCGTAGCCACGGTTTCCAGTATGTTTGGGATTGTTTTGTTGCGGTGGGGTCGTTGCAAACGGTTGGGCTGGAGCACACAGGGACACGGTCACGGTCAGAGATGACACAGAGAAGTGGACTATGTCACAAGCTGGCATTTGTGCGTTTGGCATGTGTGGCGGTTGGGTTGTGGGCTGGTTGTTGGCTCGGTAGTAGTAGCCCATAAGCCCCAGCTGTTGTGTATGTTGAGGCTCGTAAGACACGGATGCTATGTGGTGGAATGCCATTGGTGTGCGGCTCCGGCTCCGGTGTCATGACCCATGGGTCGCGGTGCAGTGCCTAGTGCCTCGAGGGAGTGGTGCATGTAGTGAAGAGGGGCACGAATGGCTGACTGATTAGGGAAAGGGTGAAAGAGGAGGAAAAGATATGCAGATCGGCGCTAGTGCAGGGCTTTCGGCGGAGAAGATTCGAGTGTGTGCATGGGGATTGCAAGATTCACTAAGTGGTTGGGCTCGGCATTAACGACTTGTTGACACCAGGCATGAAGCTAAGTGTTGCCACAACACACATGGTTGCTGTGCTGCGTAGTAGGTCTCTGGTTGCCGGGTACTGTTGGCACGTTGGCAGGAAAGTTAAGCAGGAAACATCTGCAATGTCTGCAAGTATGGTTGGCATGAGCTGGCATGGGGGTTGGTGTTTGCCTCTACTGCGAACCTGCGGTGCGTTGCGGCACAGCAGATCTCAGCACCGCCGGCACAGCAGATCAGCAGGCAGGGCTTTACATGCACCACGGCTAAGTTGACATGTACTGCACAAAGGGGAGTAACAAAGCACGTAACAGCTATGTAAAGAAAATTGGAGACAAGAAGCGTTTCCAAGGCCATGCCATGCCATGATACGGTGTGACAAGTCATAGGGCCACTTGCACAGCGGAGTGCCTTCCCATCCACCAGCCTTTTCCTTTCCTAGCCTGCTACCCCAGCAACCGAGGGGGAGGGCAATGGCCGCGGACTAGGGTGCGATGCCACTCTCCTACAGAGAGAAGGCTATCCGGGACTCCCATTCGCTACGCTGTCCTATTCCTACTTGCCCTTCTGCCACTCCCCTCACCATGCTACCGGCAGTTCCCTCACGCTCTCTCGCCCGTACACTAGGCACTACAACAGAACACAATCACATGAATGCATTGGCCACACTTAACATGCAGTGAACACAAATCAGCATTGGCCGCACTTACGAAAGTAAGCCCACACAACCGCAGTGGATCACCGAGCTGCGCAACCCTCCATCAACCATCCCGCGCTACTAGTCCTGACTAGTCCTCAAACACGGTCTTCTTGCCCGCGGGTGCCGCCGATAAGAGCTGCTGCTTCTGCTTCTGACGAGCCTCCCAAGACGGATGCAGCCCGCCTCCGCCGCTGCCACCACCGCCCCCAGCAGTACCAGCCGCATGAGCAGCAGCGCCGCCGCCGATCCTCTCCCCGCGCCCATGGCCCCTGCCTTCACCCCTGCCGCCGCCGCCACCAACACCGCGCCCTCTGCCGCCGGCACCGCCACCGCCACCACGGCCGCCGCCGGCCGCCGCCGGGCCCCGCCGTTGTTGCCCCTCCGCTTGCCCCTTCCACCCGGCGGCAGAGCCATTACCCGCACCACCACCGCCGCCGCCGGCGCCGCTGTTTCCGTCGCCGTCATCGTCAAAACGGATCTTCTTGGGTGCTGCCGCCACCCCCGCCGCTGACTGCTGCAGGAGCTGCTTTTGACGCAGTTTGGCAGCCCAGGAGGGGTGCAGCGACTCGGGCGCGTCGCTGGGAGCTGCGACGCCGCCGCCGTTGCCACCGTTGGCTGCAGGACCTGCGCCGCCGGCGCCTCTGTCGCGGGGTCGTTTGCCGGACGGTGCATGTGCTGCGTCGCTGGCATCCTGCCGCCGACCCTTGCGTCCATCCAAGGCTAATGGCCTTGCGTCATCCCGGCGTGCAGCGGCCCTCTCAGCAGCCTAGAGGGAGCGGGAGGCAGCAGGGGGCGAATGCGGCATGGGGATCGTCAGGAGAGCGACTTGCTCGTGCGCAACGATACCGGTACACAGCATTAGAACACAGTCCTGGGTTTTAGTATCTCCAACGCAGGCATGGCCGCCATAATGGACTATCGAAATTGTATGCATGCTGCAGGGCAGGCCTTGCTGAGTGAACAGGCAACTCAAGAGCACGTGACGTCAGAAGTGATCAGGAAGAGGCAACCGCTACACCGCATGCATTGCTTGTCCTGGTGCGCCAATTTGTACAAACGTACAGCCGTCGACGTACCTTTTCTTGCAGATGCCGAGCCTGAGCGCCGTACATCTTCTCGTACAGTAGCCTCCTCGCGTGCTGCCCCAGCCGGTTCTTACCGCGCCGGTCCATAAGCGGATCCCCCGCCCGAGTGCCTCCAGCCTTGCCGACCTTCTTCTTGCCGCCTTTCCCGCCCTCCTTGCCCTCTGGTTGCTCCGCCTCCCCTCCGCGCACTTGCCCCTTGCCCCGCTTGCCCTCATCCTCCGCTTTGCCAACCTTCGTTCCTGCTGACGGCTTCTGACCCCGCGGCACTTCCGCAGCTGCCGCTGCCGCGTTCTTTGCAGTCGTGGCGACGTCCTTGCCGCCCTCCCGGCGGCGGACCTTGGATATCGTACCGTCGTCACCGTCGCCGCCGTCAGCACGACTGCGCTTTTCACCGCCGCCGCCACCTTGCTTCACCTTCGCCGCCGCGGCGGCGGCACCCTCAGACGCCGCCGTTGCCGCCGCCAGGCCGCCAGACCGTCCCCCAGCGCTCCGCCGCGCCAAAGACGACATGGGGGCGTCGAACTCTGCACTGTTGAAGCTGGCTTCGGAGCCCTCGCCGTCACTGCCGCCGTCGCCTCCCTCCTCCTCTTCATCGCTGACCCCGCATGCGCCGTTGTTGTTGCCAAACTCACCCTCATCATCAACATCATCACCCCCGCTATCGCTACCGCCGCCGCCGCCAACGCCACCCTCGGCGTCCTCCGCCAGAAACGCGTCAATGTCCGCCTCTTCTATCACACCGCTGTCCTCACCCTCCTCATCTCTGGCACCCGCACCTTCCTCCTCATCTCCACTTCCCGCACCACCGCCGTCGCCCTCCTCCCCCTCGCCTTCCTCGCCGCTTCCGGCACTCGCTCCCGTCCCAACGCCGCGGTGGCGCTTATGAGGGCGACGGCCGCCCTCCACCTCCTCATCCGACGCCCCCGTGCCCTCCTCGCCCTCCTCACTGGCCTGCCCCTCTTCGCCATCTGAGCCATCGCCCGACTCGTCTTCCTCACCCGATGATGCCTGATCGGGCTCCTGGGGGCCCAGGGGGGCTGCGGAGGAGGAAGGGCACACACAGGGATGGGAGCACATATGGTAAGATTGAGCGAGGAGGACGGACCCGACTGACAAGGGGTACCTCATAAGGACAGAGGTGGAAGCGCGGAAGCTAGGAACAGCAAAGTGAGAGAGCAATCAGTATGAAAGGACAGATAACACAGTAACGGTACACAGCAAGCAGCCTTCCTCCCGTCGCGCCAACCACGCACTACGGTACCGGTATCTACTTACTGCGTTCAAACTTGGCCCCAAACTCCCGACGAGCCTCCTCCACAGCTTTGCGCACACAAGATGCGCGCATCAGTCGTGACGCCAGCATGGCGGCCAAGTCTGTCCCGCTGCCTCCGCCACCGCTGCCCTTGCCGCCCTCAGCCCCTGCATCAGCGCCATCCGCGGCAGCTGCACCACTCTTGCCCTCCGCCTGCCCCTGCCCCTCCTGCTCCTGCTGCTGCGGCTGCTGCTGCTGCGGCGGCTGCTGCTGAGCTGCCGGTGCAGCAGGGCCTTTTGCAGCGCAGGCACCAGCAGCACCCGCAGCAGCCTTTGCTGCCGGGCGCTGCCTGGGCGCTGTCGCAGCACGCACCAGCTCCTCCGGGAAGCCCGAGCGGAGTGCCACCTGCGCCACAGTGCAGTGCAGTGCAGACACAGCCGCGTAACGCCAGAGACACACGCAAGCAGCCGAGGCAGCATGGGCCTGGGTAAAGACGTAGACGTAGACGGAAAAGAGACGCAGGCAGCCATGCCATCTTTCAGTGCACGGAACCCCCTTTTTCAGGACCCCTGCACGGGCCCCCCGCCCCCTTTCAAAGACACCAGTGCCACAACATTGTTGTAATGTGTGGTGTGTGCGCCCTGCCCGCCCATCTTCGACCGGTCCTCCTCACCGTCACGGCCAGCTGGTCTAGGTTCGCTGCCTTGGCAGCCTCCATCTGCGCGGTTAGGCGCTGCTGGGTGCTGGCGGCGGCGTCAGCGGCACCAGCAGCCGCGGCGACGGGAGCGGAGGGAGCCCCCGGGCCCTGCGGCTGCTGCTCCTCGTCCTTTTGCTGTTGTTGTTGTTTTAGCTGCTGCTGCTGCTTCGGCGGTTGTGTTGGGGCCACCAGGCGCCGCTTGAGCTTGCGGAGTTCAAAAGTTCGAGCATTCTTGAGCGCCTGCCGATGGGGATACATGCCCTCGTGTTAACCTTTGGGCGTTAGTTAGGTTGTAGTAAGGTCGCAACCAACACCCCATTGAGCACGGACCTTATGCAACGTACGAAGGCAGTGGTGAAGCCATTTGCGCTGTGCATCAGGCCTGGGGAAAGGGAGGGGGGGTGGGAGGTTAGGATGACAGGAGGGTTTACAGCGGTCGGCAGCAGGGTACACAGCCGGGTTCTGGCCTTAACGCCATCTCACCCCGCATCTCTTTGCACCGGCTTGCCGAATCTTCCACGACCCCTTTTCGACAATCCTGTTGGATTTATCTGCGCGCAGGCGGCGGTCGGCGTTAAACAACACGGACGTCGTTGTGCCATTGCCGGCCGAGAAGCGCACCTTGCGAACGCCGCCGCCACGACCCGGCGGTCGCTTAACCGGCTGCTTCATATCGAGCGACTCCCTCTCGCGTCGCCTTTCCTTACTTTGGTGTTCAGTGCAGCTGTTGTTGTCGGCGCCCAGCGGCGTAAGCTAGATTACTAGAATGCGTAACACTACGGCAATAAATAGTATGCTAAAGAGCTGGTTGCAGTTTGCGCAACAAGCCGGAAAATTGCATTAGGAATGGTCTCGGAGCTCTTGTCCCTTCTACACCTCTCAGCTTGAGCTTCCTGCGCATTTCTGCAACCGCCAACTTTAGGACCTGCTTGCAAGGAGGCTAGCTTCCATTACGTCTTAGCCCGCAATTGAGTAACACTACGCAGCATGGCGCAGGACGGTCTCCTTGACCAGCGGAAAAAGCGATTCCTTACCCCTAAAGCCTTTTGTGCCATATTCTTAGGGTAAGAACTGCAGCCTTCGCAGGTTGTCGTGCATATTTGACGACGGACCGGCTTCCATCCCGTGCAGCGCAAGCCTTTCTGCAGTCTTCTATGCGACACTGCATTACATCCATGTGGGTCCTACAATACAAGCACCGTGCTCCATATAGTGGTCTAGTTCCACGACTAACCGTCGACGAACGTTGTGCAACGTGCAGGCCGAAGGCGTATCACATCCGGCGTTGCTTATGTTGCTCCCACCCGCGGCGGTAGGGCTTAACCGTTCCCCTCTGCAGCCTCTGGGCGTCTGTGCACATTTCACGCCACAAATCTTGATGCCCTCTTTCCAGCCGTGAGCTCATCTCCTTCGTTGGTTGCCTCCACAGATAACATGGCTGGTCATGATGATACCCATCTTCATGTTTATAGCGTACCAGGTACGGTTGTATGGCAGACGGTTGTACAGCGGTATGTTTAGTCATCAGCTCATCACCAGCGCTACCGGTAGCAGCCCCAGTTGAGCAAAACGTTGACCACAGCCAACCATGCCATGGGGTATTGTGATCCTGCGAAGAAATTGCCATGGAAGATGCCATTCAGCTTGCTTACATACCGGTACCTGCCGTGCACGCATGCCTTCCAACGCCCTGTAGGATGACTTCAAGCAGCTCAATCCGCTCATCCCAACGCACTACATCCTCATTGCCAAGCGCTGTTTCAAGGCCATGAAAGACAACGATTTCAAGGTGGGACATGGGACGATGCGGTTGTGGGCCTATGTTGCTATGCGACCTCCTGCACGTCCACAGCGGGGCTGTTCTGTGTTGCCCTAGCCTAGTAACCGCTGGTGACCAAACTTCGTTAGCCGACCCGATGCCTTGCCATGTAGGCTTACTAAAGGGTTTTGTGCGCTGAACCTGCCTGCGTCTAATGGACTGCCGGTGCGCGGTTGGCATGACTGCAGGTGTCTGAAAAGAATCTATGACGTCCGCTGAGACCCAGTTACAGGGCCGGGCTTGGACCGCATCTGATAGCTGCAGTGGCAGGCACATACATTGTACGACAGATTCATGGCCTTGTTTTACGGTGATCGGTACTGGCGGGTGTCAGGGATGGTCGTTGTACGAAGGCCGGGGCAGTGTGCTGTTGGCTCTGTCATAGGTGCTTAGCTCTAAAACCAGGGGTTATACTGCCAGCGCCAAAATGGCAGGGAGTTCAACACGGTTGAGGTGGAGACGTGTGGTGCGGTATCGTTGATGTGGGTAGGCACAGTGGCATTTGCGGTGGTGGTGGTAAAGAGGAAGACACTGACGAGCTGTATGCCCGGTATGGTGCAGTAACACTGTTACGTGTACCGCCCCAGCAGCCGCCCATCACTGCCATCACTTAGGGAACCACGCATAGCAAGGGGTTGCATACTCGCTTGTCAGGCCTTGAGTTGTGTGTGGTCAGTGGTTGCAGGAATCTTCCCTTAAAAGGAAGCTTTATTGTATATTGCTTACCCCCTGCAGCGCTGAATGGTTGTTGCTCCCAGAAGAGCTTGTCAACTGGCCACAATCAATTTGGTCAAAAATTGGGATGGGGCGTCGCGATTGCTGCAACTCTGTGTAACATGTAATCATGCATGAAGTTTAAATGCACGCACGCATGCATGGATAGGGGCGGAACACTGTGCTTCGTAGTATTACTTGCTTAGCAGCAAGCCGCGACATTGTAAGGCGAGCACAAGTCTTATGCTCCTCATGTGAAGCGATACGAAACGATACGGGGTACCGGTATTGTTTAGCCTTTATAATATGCAGTTCCTTCAGGGCCTGGCCACATTGCCATGCTGCATGTGCACGTACAAGATGTACAGTAAATGAGTTGGTCGCCTCCCGACTTGCAATCTACAGCTTAGCTTCATCTTATATTCAATTCAATCTTTGGGCTACGACCTATTCATGAAGTGAAAAGTGCAACCCAGGGTTTCTTCCTACGGTGACTGACTACTTCTAAAGCCTTCAGCAAATCTGAGACCGTAGCAATATTCTATATATGGCGGAAACTGCTGGCGATGTGCCAGGTATGTGTTGTGTAAGATGCCGGCTGTGGCCGCGGAGTGCCGTTCTTAGGTCCGCTCTTCCCCTGCTGGCCGCTTCCGCAGCAGCCGTCGACACGGCAGAGAATCAAGATGTCAATAGTGAAGATTGCCAAGATCCCACGGTCAAGGATATTCAGCCCAGCGGCGAGACGGGCGGCGATATAGCGGCGAAGGGGCCCGGCAAACTTACGGGCAGGCTAAGGGAGCCTGATCCCTGCTCGGAAGACGACTATGAGGGCAACTTACGAAGGAGCAAGTCTACGGTCAAAAAGCCTTTACGCTGCCAGGTGCCAGGGCGTCCTTTTCCTCTGACATTGCTGGTGCCTTGGTCTATTTTAAGGGGTTGACCTGTAAATTTATATAGTCCATGTTGATGACGACGTGTAACGCGGTGCTGGTTATACTTCCATACCGCGCTGGCTGTTTCGCCCACCACACCGCCATGACCAGCCTGTATGCTTGCCCTTGTAGGTGGATGGGTGCGGTGTTGACCTGTCACAGGCGCGAAAGTACTTTCAGCGTTACCGCGTATGCGAGCGGCACTTGAAAGCCCCAACGCTGCAGATGGATGGGCGCAACGTGCGCTTTTGTGACCAATGCTCCAAATTCCATGACATCACCATGTTTGAGGGCAGTCGGAGGTAGGTCATATACTTGCAATCGGCATCATTTGAAGCCCCCGTGCCTGTAGCTCTGTGTGGCGCATGCAGCCCGGCCCCCGTCGCGTCCTATAGTCCAGCCCTTATCTGTCACACCGCCTGTGCCCTTAAAAGAGTTGCCTGCAAAGCTAGCGCCCAGCACATAAGCGCATCGTACCCGGCCTCGCACCCTCCCAGGACCTGCAACGAAAAGTTAGAAAGGACCCGGCAAGCCCGCAGCGACAAGCGGCGACAGCAGACCGAGCAGGCGGAACGCGCTGCTTTGCGAACACAGGGGCAGGGAGGGCGCTGGCGGCCGGGGGCGTACGGCATGCCTGGCCTCAAGCGTCCGTACGGCGAGGAGTTCGACTATGAGGACTATGACGATGATGAGTTCGACATGGTGCGTTGATGCGGGGATTGAGAAATTAGCGCATTATCACAGCTAGGCTTGCGCAGGAATCCCCTTCAGCGTGGGCTTGCCATTGCTTCGGGACTGGCACGTTGTCGCAGTCACGCTTACCCGCATGCATGATAACCGCCTGCTTGGATCCTGTCCTGCAGGAGGCCAGGGAGCTCTACCTTGCGAAGCGTGCGCGCATGATGCCGCCCTTCGCCCGCCCGCCGCACCACCTGGCCCCGGGGGCGTTGCTGGCCGGCCTGCAGGACCCGCTGGACCCGCAGGTGCTGCTGTTTGGGGGCGGTAGAAGCCTAGAAGGGTTTGGGAGGGGTTTCTGGACCGCAGGGGTTGCTGGACCGCACAAAGGGTGGGCGAGAACCTTGCCTAGCCTGACAGCAGGGATGGGCAGCTTCAATCTTCTGATGCTCTACGCTACTTTCACAAACCGGTCAGCCCCATGTGCGCGTGCGTGTGCCCCATGCAGGGCCTCTTGGCGCTCCAACGTGCAGCGGTGGCGGCAGCAGCAGCCGGCGGCATCCCGGGCGATGGCGCTGCCAGCAGCCTCTCCTCCTGGGAGGAGGGCCTTCCCCAGCTGCCGCAACTCATGCGCATGGATTCCGTCTCCAGCCATCCAGGCGTTGCCGCGGCCGCCGCCGCCGGCCTAGGACCTGGCGTCGTGCCAGGGGCCAATGCGGCTGCCGCTGCCGCCGCTGCGGCGGCGGCGGCTGCCCGGGCAGCGGGGTTAGATCCCTTACTGGCGTCGGCGGCTGCAGCGCGTGCGGCTCGGCAAAACGCAGCAGTTCGGCGTGCCTTGGCGCTGGGACTGGGCGCGCGGGACCCAACCCATGCAGCAGAGGCAGCACTGCTGCGTGAGCTGTACGGTGTGGGGCCGGGGGACGGCGTGCCGGGGGTACCAGAAGCAGCGGGGGTGGCCGGCTTGGCGGCGGGCGCCATGGGTGCCGTACCACGCGGCGCGCGGCACTTGGGAGCCTTGGGCCTAGGTCCCGGAGGCGGTGCTGTGGCGGCAGCGCTTCTTGCAGCGGAGCAAGCGGAGCTGGCGGCAGCTTTTGAGGGGCACCTGCCGTTAGGGCCTGCAGCCGCTGCGGCGGCGGCGGCTGCCGCGGCTGCGCAGAACCGTGCTGGGCTGTTGGACGAGGCGGCTGCTCTGTACGGCGCCGGCGGTGTAGGTGTAGGTCCGGCGAGCAGTCGCTACCTTGCTGCCGCGTTGCGGGAACAGCAGCTGCTGCAGCTGCAAGCGGCTGCTGCCTTGGAGGCGCAGCGAGGGCTAGGTCTGCCTGGAGTGGGTCTGGGACCAGGTCTGGCACCAGGGCTGTTGGGACTCGGCGCAGGCCGGCGACTTGGCGTTACCGAGGCCGCGCGGCTTGCGGCGGCTGCAGCGGCTGAGGAGGAGCTGTATGGTGGTGATGCGGATTGCGCTGGCCTGCAGGACGCGGAAGCTCCTGCAGTTCCCATGCAGCGCCCCGGGGTCAGGGGCCAGACACGCGCCATGGTAGCCTCCGCTGCTGCGGCGGCGGAGGCAGCAGCAGCGGCAAACGGACACAACGACGCTGAGCTCCAGGAAGATGAGCTAGCAGCTGCTGAGTTGCTTGTGGGTCGGCTCAGTGAAACTGCGCGGGTTGCTGGCGGTCTGCCGACGCGGCGTAGCACGGCTGCTGCAGCCACCGCGGCGGCAGCAGCAATGGGCGCTGGCAGTGCTGGTACCGACCAGCTGGGTGGCTCGCATGGCAACGGCTGTGCAGCTGCAGGGTTACCGTCGGACGCAGCCGCCTTGCAAAGGAAGTCATCCGCGGGCCGGTCAATGACGGTTTTGGACCTTGCAAACGGGGAGAGCGCTGGGAACGGGATGCCGCAGGGTAAGGCAGAAGCAGCAGCAGCTGCCGCTGTTGTCGCACAGGACTCCGCTGCCATGCAGCTTCCACAGCACACGCGAGATGAGCGCAAGAAGGAGTTGTCTGGCGGCGGCGAACCCGGTGTGGAGCAGCAGGGGCGGGAAGGGGATGCAGCCGATGGTGCTACACCGCAGCAGCAGCAGCCTCCGTCATGTCAATCGGAGCAGCCGCAGCAGGCGTTACAGGATCAGCAACTGCAGCAGCAGCGGCTACAGCGCCTTCAGGAGTTGCAGCTGCAGTTGTTAGCCATGTCAAACGGCGGCGCTGGGGCTATGGACGGTGCGTTATCGGCGCTGCTAAAACGGGAGGGCTCAGGGTCGTTGGTGGCACCCCAGAATCTGCCGGCGCACAGCGCCCAACAGCTAGCACAGTCCTCTCCTAAGCCGCCGCCACAGCAGCAACAGCAGCCGCAAGAGGTCGAGCCGGGTACGGCAGGGATGGCGGCGGCGGAGGGTGCGGCTCGCGAGGGCAAGGGCGATGCCAGTGGCACTACTGGCGGCAGCAGCGGTGTTGTTGCTGGTGGTGGTGATGCAGCCGACAAGTTGCAGCACTTGCGTCAACTCCAAGAGCAGCTGCTGCAGCTGGGGGTTAAGGTGGTGCTGCAGTAAAGAGGCTGAGCTGCTGTCTCGCAGCACGATGCACCTTGGGATAAGTAGGGCCGCGCAATAAAGCTGTTGCAGCCGAAGCGTTGTTGTTGGATGAAGCGTGGAAACCAAACAAAAGGATGCTGGCACTTGCTTGAGCCAACACAGGGTGACTAGGGCACTTAAGTGCATGCAAGGATACGGTTATGGACGTTATATATATCACTTGCATGCCAAGTCATGCATCCCCGTTTTTTCCGTCCTAGGGGCCCCTCCGTAGATCAGGTTGGGCGGGGGTCCCGGAGGGCAGGGGTTGACACTGGGGCAAGGCCTTGCTACTCTTCTTGGACACCCTGACCAGACGCACTGCCAGTTGCAGTGCATGCCGGTACGTTCCGCTAAGGCTCGGGAAGGGGAGTGTATCTTAACACACGACTGCTGTTGCTTGTGAGCAGCTGCTCACTACCTCCTGACCTCCTGTTGCGCTTGGGACATGTAGAAAGCGTACTCTCGTCGAGCCGTTTGGACTGGAATGGCTTACTGTGTGGTAGGGAGAATGTACAACTGGTTTGGGAGTGCCCCAGGAAAGCGCGCCGGAAGGCGCATTGGTCTGGCACTGCCTACTTTGGTTTTGACGGGTTGCATTGCGTGTGAGGACGCAATGCCATGAGCGACAAAGGTAACACATCACTTTTACTGTGTATTATGTGCCTGGGGCTTTACTAGGCATTCCAATCCAAGAGGCCCAGCTGGCCTCGTGTCTAGATAGTGTATTCTTTCATTATTGGGGACCGTGATTACGGTATTTTTGTACTGCTGCTTGCTGAGTCGCTGACAGTGCCCCAGTTGTCTGTTGTGTCCTTGTTACTGGTATGCTGCTGCATAGCTGCTGGTCCATTCAGGTCTAGTGCGGCCCCCCACACGATAGGGGCATACGTTGCTTTTTCAGATCTTAGCGCGGTACGGTATTTGGCCTGTCCTAGTTTCGGGGACGGCCGTGGCAGGCCGAAAGCATGGGCGGGTGTCGGCGCTCTCCATGGTGGAAAGCGAAGAACCTGCTCCTCTGGCCCCACCTGGGTTGCGGTCTAGAGCCATATTGGGTATCCGTGGCGTCAATCATGATGGGTTTGAACATAGCCATCGTACGGGTTGGCAAACCCTGAAACCCTTACCCTTGCAATCCGATGAATGCCTCCTCGGGCATGTTTGCAGTTGGGTCGGTCGCAACCCTCATAAGGCATTGCATCAACCCAACCGCCCAGACGCACGGCAAGATAGCATGCATAAATCTGCATAAATACTGCTTTAATCGGAAATGCACCCCGATAACGGTAGGGTAAACCGTAAGGTAGCTGGTAGTTAAGCTGGTTGTGTCTGTGGCTTGCGGGTCGATCATAGGTAATCCCGGTTCCGGACGGCTCCGGAGCCGGTTGCTCCCTAAAGCACATCAGCTAGGGCCAAGCTTGCAGCTTTCCCAGCAGTTATAGCGCCTGAGACACATATGGTTGGGAAGCCGTTCTTCACGAGTCCTCGCTGCCTACCAGCAACACGCCATGTCGCCTCGACTGTTGCCGCTCCCTTGACACGAACTTTCTTGCCGTTGGGCCTGTTGAAGCCGTCAACAACATTTGCATCGTTTTCTGATAGCAATACGCCTATCAAAAAGCTAAGGGCGACGGATCCGGGCGCGGAGTCTGGGTCCGCCATGCCCATTGCAACGAGCACAAGCGGTTCTGGCAGCAGCATTGCGATCCAGAAGCCAGCTGCTGACCGTCGAGCTTATGAATATATAATTGTGGGCGGAGAAGGCGAATCCAAGGCGGCCTTAGACTCGGCGGACTTGAACGAGAGCGGCAGCACCCCAGCAGCTGGTGCGCGCTTTCTGCTGGTCTCAGACCCCGAAGCGGTATTTGCGGCAGCCTGCCTCAACATCCAAGCCGGTTACTTTGATGACCCACCCGATGTGCCCGGCTTTGCGCATTGGCTGGAGCATGCAGTACACCTGGTGAGGGGGACTATTATTACATGACTCAGCAGTACGGCAGTTACGGTTACGCCATTACCACATAAACATGGAGATCTCCCTCAACCCTGACTCTCTGTTTCCTTCACACACCTCCTAAAATCACCTGTTCAGGGCAGCGGGCGCTACCCCGATGAAAAGGACTACAAGTACTTCCTATCGCAGCACGGCGGGTCCTCCAACGCATCTACCGGTACGACAGTAGCGTACGATAACACTCGGCGTACGACACGAAACGCAACCCGTGGCTGCCTAGCGCCTAAACAAGCCCCCATAACAATGTCAACAACAGAAGCAACCGCCTTTCCTTGCATGCTCCAGTGGTGCAGAGCTTTGAACAACCCTTGTCTCACTCCCACTTCCTCCTCCCACTCCTCACTCCCCACTCCCCGGCTCCCGACTTCCTCTGCCGCCTCCTATCCCCTTTGCTTTGCCCTCACCTGTGTGGTTTCCTATGGCTTGGCATGGTCTCTGAACCCCCCCCACTCCCCCTCAGGCATGGTGCACACCTCCTACCACTTCACAGTGGCCGCCCCCCACGTGCCGGGTGCACTGGACCGACTGGCTCGCTTCTTCATAGACCCGCTGCTCAGCAGGGAGAGCATCCTGCGGGAGGTGAGGGGGGTCAAAGACCATACCAAGCCATAGGAGAGGGGGGGGGGGTCGAAGAGGGGAGTAAAGAGGGGTGCAAAGACGGGTTCAAGTAAATACCAAACTGCAAATGAGGGCAAAGCAAACGGGATGGGAGGAGGGAGTGAGGCAGGTTGAGGTGAGGGGGCGCGGGGAAAGGGGTAGGGAGTGGCCTCCGAGGCGACTCCTCGCCCTGCCAACCCAGGGCAGGTTGGCCCCCTCTGCTGCTCCCTCCAGCTCCCTCCAGCTCCCTCCAGCTCACTCCAGCTCACTCCAGCTCACTCCAGCTCACTCCCAGCCTCCCAGCCTCCCAGCCTCCCAGCCAGCCTCCCAGCCTCCCAGCCTCCCAGCCTTCCCACACCGCATCCAACCCTCCGCCCCCAGGTAGAGAACGTGCACGCCGAGTGGAGCCGCAACTGCAACTCCGACGCGCGCAAGCTGCTGCAGCTGCGCCGCTGCGCCGCCGGCGGCCCCCTCGCGCAGTTCAGCACCGGCAACGCAACCACGCTGCGGGATGTACCCGCGGCGGCGGGTCGTGACGTGCCGGCGGCGCTGGCGGCGTTTTGGCGGCGGCGTTACCTGGCGCCCTGGTTGTGCGGTTGCGTGGTGGCGCCGCAGGGGCTGGGGGAGATGAGGGAGTGGGTGCGAGGCGCGTTTGCGGGGGTGCGGTTGAAGGACGAGGGTGCGGAGGATGGAGCTGCGGAGGGGTGTGTGGAGACGGCTGCGGAGAGGGCTGCGAAGAATGGCGAGGAGGCGAAAGGAGAGGACGCAGAAGCAGCAGCTGGAGCAGCAGGAGGAGATGCAGAAGCAGCAGCCGGAGGGGCGGCGGCAGCAGCAGCAGCAGCAGGAGGGGAGGCGGGACAGGGAGGAGGAGGTCGCTACTGCCTCGATGGCATGTGCGGCGAGGGGCAGCTGGGGCGGCTGTTCCGGGTAGCCTCACAGCGGGAGCTACGGCAGCTGGAGGTGGTGTGGTACCTGCCGTACAACATGATGCCGTACATGAGGTGAGTCAGTGAGTGGGGGTATGGGTAAGGGCGGTTGCCGTACAACATGATGCCGTAGATGAGGTAAGTGAGTATCCTGGTGTATCCTGGCCCCTCCCACTATCCTGAAAGACATAGAACACCTCCCAACCACCACCAGACCATGCTACCTGTGTTCAGGAGCAAGCCCTGGCGGTGGGCGGGCCACGTGTTGGGGCATGAGGGGCGCGGCAGCCTGGCGGCACTTCTTCGGGGGGCGGGGCTGGCGCAGGAGCTAAGCACCGGGCCGTTTGATGAGGTGGGGCTGCGGTGGGGGCTGAGGCGGGGAAAGGAAGGATGTGGGGAAGGAAGTGGGCTGGGAGAGGGGCTAGGGTTGCTAGGGAGAAGACTGCGGCGGGGGAGACTGCTGGGCATTGCGGTGCAAGCACCCCCGGGGTTCCACCGTGTTTTCATCAGCCAGTTTCTCAACACACACCAACACATTACCCCCGACAGGTTCGCCTGGGCCGCGGGTTCATGTTTTGGGGCGTCACCCTCACGCTTTCCGAGGCGGGCCTACGCCGTACGAATGACGTACTACAGCTCATCTTTGCTGCCGTCCACGCCATGCGGGCCTTATCCCCCGCCCAGCGCGCCGCGGTGTGGGGTGAGGTGGCAGCGGAGGCGGAGGTGCGCTGGCAGTGGCAGGACAGGTCGACGCCGCTTGACTTGGCGCGTGACGTGGCGCAGCGACTGCACTACTTTGGTCCGCAGGTCAGGATGAGACGGAGGAAGGAGGGAAGGAAAACGAGCCACGTTTGGGGTAAAGAGGAAACAACGTTTGGGGGGCTCAAGGGTCAATGCGTACGGGTACGCTGTGCAAGGGTTCAAAGATACTGAGAGAGACACTGAGTCACAGCGAGTGCATTGACCTCTTGAGGTGCGCACTGCTCTTCTTACCGGCACACTTTGCACAGTTTGTCTCGTAGGATTGACATACGTTAACAAGCATTATTTTTGTTTTTGATGTTTTATGTTGTTTTTCAGGAGGTGCTGAGCGGTCCGGCTCTGCTGTCAGAGTACGATGAGGCGGCTCTGGAGCGGTTCTTGTCGTACCTCACACCGCACAACTGCAACGTGTATTTGGCGGACAGCTCATTCGCCGGGCTGACGCAGCATGTGGAGAAATGGTGGGTGGGTCTCCGCATATCTTGTCGCATGGGGCCACCTCAGAACTGGTGTTCGCATGCCCTTGAATGCGACCTGGGCTGTCCTCTGCCCCTGCATCCTGCGCTTTTGACACGTTCTTTGCAACATCTCGTCCTGTTATTTACTATTCCACTAAAGCTCCGCTAGGTGACAAATTGAGTGCATGTCCTCTTTCCCCATGCGTCGTGTCCCTCGTCTCCCTCACCCCACGACAACCTCCGTGCGGATGTTGCAGGTACGGAGCGCGCTACAGCGAGGAGCCACTTCCGCCAGAATTGTACGACACTGCACCTTCCGCCGCCGCCGCCATTGTTGACGTCATCACTCCCACCGCCGCCACCGCCGCCGACGCTACGTCAACTTCTTCGGTCGCCGCCGCCGCCGCCTCCGTGGACCCCGCGGGCAGTCCTGACGACGCCCTGCCGCTACTGCTGTCGAGACTGCGGCTGCCGCCGCCACCCTCATGGGCCTTACCCGTCCACGTCAGCCTAGCGGCGCCGCCACCGGCGGCGGAGCCGGAAGAAATACGACAGCAGGAGCAGCAGCCAGGTACGGCAGGCGCCTCCGCCGCCGCCGCTGCCGTCAACGGAGCTGCTCCTGCTGATGCTGCTCCTAGGTTGCTAGAGGAGAGGGCGGAAGTTCGGCTGTGGCATCGGCTGGACGTATCCTTTGGAGTTCCCAAGGTGCGATCAGGGCTGCGGGTTTTTCACTTTGTTCGCGGAGTTTGCTCCAGTTGCTTCACTTTAAATACCTTCGTTTCCCTCCCTCCCTCCCCTGCACACAGACCCACGTGCACGTGCACCTCATCACACGCTCTGTCTACGCCTCCCCTGCCTCCTGGGTGACCGCCCGCCTCGCCTGCCGCCTGCTGGAGGAGCTGCTACAGCCCGATGTGTACGACGCTCAGCTGTTGGGTTGCAGCTACAGCCTGAGCGCCTCCGAAACCGGGCTACAGCTGAGCTTGCATGGCTTTAGCGGGGTGGTAGCGCAGTTGGCGGAGATGGTGGCGGAGGCGGTGGCGGGCGTGAGTTTGGAGCAGGTGGAAGCGAGGTGGGTGCGTGTTAAGAAAACGGGCGGGGAGGTGTGTGCAAAGGAAAAACTGTTTCGCTGGTCAAAACGTTGTGTTGTATGTTTGCGAATGCTGTTGCTTCCGCTGCTGCCCTGTTGCTGTCCATTTCTCTTCCGAAAGGGCCCCGATCCAGCTGCTGCTCCCACCCTTGCACCCTTCCTCCACGTCCGCCTGCGCCCCTCCCCCACCTCCCCAAACCAGGTACGGCCTGGTCCACGGCAAACTGCTGCAGTCGCTTCGGCTGTGGCGCCACAACAACCCCTCTCAGCATGCAGAGTACGGAGCCGAACACCTGTTACAGACCCCGCACTGGCATGCGGAGGAGAGCATTGCCGTACTCGAGCGGTCCTTTTACTCCTCCTCACCTGCTGCTGCTGCTGCCTCTGTCTCCTCCTCCTCCTCGGCTGCTGCTGCTGCTGCCTCTGTCTCCTCCTCCTCCTCGGCTGCTGCTGCTGCTGCCTCTGTCTCCTCCTCCTCCTCGGCTGCTGCTGCTGCTGCCTCTGTCTCCTCCTCCTCCTCGGCTGCGGCTGCTGCTGCGGCGGCGGCCTCCTCTGTACCCGCCGAGGGCGAGGAGGGTCGTACGGGCCCGCGGGAGGTTTGGGAGGTGTTGCAGGGGCTGGGGAGGGGGATGGCGCTGGAGGTGCTGGTGTACGGCAACTCGACGGAGCAGCAGGCGAGAGGTACGGCAGTGGTTTGGCTTGTTCGTTTGTCCTCGCATGTTTATGAGGAGGTAGTGGGAGATGAATGAAGGGCAAGAAAGGGGGCAGTATGTCGGAGTGAATAGCATGGGATGGGCGAGCAAAGAGCAGCAAGGTAAGGTTACCGGTACTCGTTCACAACGCACACCCTGGCCTCTTTGCATTCCCCTACCGAACCCGTCTCATTCTAACACAATTTAATATTCCGACATTCTAACATTCCAACATTTGTACACAGAGCTTTGTGCGACGATGGAGCGGCACCTGCGACCCACGGGTCTGGGACCGGACGGTTGGCCCGCCACCTACATCTTGCAGCTCGGGCCGCTGGCACCCGACGAACAACAGCAAGTACAAGACAAGGAGGAGGACCCTACACCTAGCCCCGTAACGGATTCCGCGGCTGCTAATACCGGTGCTTTTGGCACGGACAACCAGGCTGCTGCTGCTGCTTCGGGGGCTGCTTCTGCCGCCGCTGCTGCTGCTACAGAGGTTGCTGCTCCGGCTCTGTTCCGCTTCCTGCCGCCCAACCCCAACCCCGCGAACTCCAACAGTGCGGTCTTCTATCTCTGCCAGGTCAGGTCTGGTCAGGTGTGGGCGGTGGGCGCGTTCGTGGTGTGGGGGTTAAGAGAGGGGAAACAGGGAACCGCGGGGACAACACATCCCGCCCCATTCATATCAAGCTCTCCAGTTTACCTGCCCGCTGCCATCACGCTTTGCGGCATAGGCCGTAGCAGCGCATATCAATTTAATCTCTTTCTGCCCTTCTCTTCCGTAACCCTTTCCTTCCCTCTCACCCTCTCCTCACGCTCCTCTTCCCTCCTCTCCTCCCCTCCCCTCCCTCGCCCTTCTCTCCTGCAGGTATGCGAGGACGACCCCGCCGACCCTCTCCCCGCAGTGCTCCTCGAGCTGCTGACCGCAATCGCCTCCAAGCCCGCCTTCCACGAGCTTCGCACCCGGCAGCGCCTGGGCTACAGCGTCAGCCTGGGGGAGCACAGGCTGGGTGGGGTGGTGGGGCTGGTGCTGCGGATCCAGAGCCCGGACAGGAGCCCCGGCGAGCTGAGGCAGCGAGTGACGGACTGGCTTGCGGATTTTGAACAAGAGCTGGCTGGTAGGGAGGTGGGGAAAGATATTAGTGGGCTTGATGGTGCGTGGGTGTGTTGTGGTGCTAGTGGGAGTTACGGGGATGGGGCGGGGTTGCGGGTCATCTTGCGTCTTGTGCTTTCTTGTCATGATGCGTGCTTCAGTCGTGCAGTACTCAGGGCTGCAGTCGTGCACTCCACCAACCTACCACCAACCCATGTTGCAACCCATGTTGACGCCTTATCCCTCAGTCAGTTAGTTGTTTCCTCTTTACCCAACCACCAACACAACCGCCACCACCGCGCCGCTTCCTTCCCCTGTCGCCCCACAGCCCTGTCCCCGCAGCGCCTGGACTCCTTCAAGACCTCCCTCACCGAACGCTATACCGAGCCGCCTCGCTCCCTGGCAGAAGCCTCCCGCCGGACCTGGCAGCCCATCCGCTATCGGAGCTACGCCTTCGACAAACGCGGCCGCAAGGCGGCTGCGCTGCGAGACGTGACGCTGCCGCAGCTACTGGACTTCCATCTGGCGCATGTGAAGCCGGCGGCGGTGGGAGGTGCACGAAGCGGCGCACGGGTGCTGTGCTGCGAGGTGTGGGGCGGGGGGCGTGGAGGAGGAGGTGTTGGTGGCGTGAAAGCAAGTGGAGGAGTTAAGGGTGGGGCGGAGGTAGCCAGTAGTGAGGGCGTGGCAGCAGCGCCGATTGCTGCAACAGCGTCAGCGCTGCCGTTGCCGGAAGAGGAGGGGGAGGAGGGGGGTAAGGTATGGAGGGGGGCTCAGGCGGGGGTGGAGGTGGAGGCGAGGGAGGAGGTGCAGGGGGAGGCTGCATGGCGGTGTATGGGTTTGGGGGATGTGGCAGAGCTGCATGCACGGCTGCCGCATTACTGCCACTCGGCTACCCTGGGTGTGACAAAAGCGGTTGGAGAGCGGTAAAGGAGTGGAGCGCTATAGATCCGGAGCTATAGCATGTACGGCAGAGCGCGCTTAGGTAGGACTTGCTGGGTGATAAAGGCGGGGATGCTAGCGGGAGGGGAAACATTGCAGTACAGGTGAGGTGCAACAGTGGAATGCACACCGGGGGAGGGAGTGCGGCAGGTGCTGGGGACTTTTGAACAGCAGCCAGTAGCAAGAGCAGGGTTGTGTGTGATACGGTTTTATGCCGATGTGCGGGTGTGCGGCTCTATCCAAATGTGCTGACTTTTCTTTCGTATTCGAGGAAATCTTGACGAGACGGAGATAAGAAACGTCCACTTATTGCGAAGAAACTGCCAGGAATGCTTACAGCAGGACGCATGGCATCGGTGCTTGCGTGGTACGGCAATCGGTGGTCCCAGTCTGTTTACCGGCTGCCCTCGCTTGTTTCCCTGACTGCCGTTGTGCGGATATTCCTGTTGATGAGGCGTGTCCCTCTGCCGGGACGTGGCCCTACTACCCGCCCACCCACCCTACATGGCGGGCCGTGGTGGTTTGTGTTGGGATGGTGCCCAGCCGGGCCTTTTTTCTCTTGCCTAGTTTTACTTGGAAGTGTTGGTTTCTCGTGGTGCAACAACGCAGGACTGTCTGCACTTCCGGCCACTAGTGCAGTTTCAACATTGGGGCTTCGACGGGGGGCGGGTTTCGCCGAGGGCTTTTTAAGGCGCTTCCTTACAGGATGGGTGGCTGGGATCTGAGTGCTGGCCATAGATCGACCCTCCTGCTGTAACATGAACTGGCAGTGATGAGCAATAAGCTGCTGTTGTTGAATTCATGTTACATGTTGAAACGAACCGGTCCAAAGAACAAACGTCACCACAACACACGGTTACCGGAACACCCTCCTCAACGCCGAACGAACAAAAACATGATGGCCAAGCGCCCTACCTCGGCTATCCACAACGCCAGGTTTCGCTCGCTCGCCGCGGACAAAACACGCACCAAACAACGCAACCCCAAGCCCCGTCTGCATCCCCAGCAAACGCCGCAAACCTTAGTCATGTCTTGACAACGCTTTCCTCCCATGTCATAGCCAAAGTCACCAAGCCCCTTAGTCGCAACCCCAACCCACCTCTTCTTCTCCGCAATACCAGACCTCATCCCTTCTGGAACCGACCCAAATCAAATCCCTCCCTTGCTACCGTATTCTTGGCGGTTGTTTAAATATATTCTTCAGCTTCATCTTACGCTTTTGTCGCTCGAAAAAGGAATGAATCCCAAGTTCCACAGCCTTCCAACGCCACCACCAAAGCGCTGCGCACCCCTACAAAATGGCCGGTTCCGGACATCAGATCGCTTGCACTGCTCCCAACTCTCCAAGATCTTCCCTCTCCCTGTCCCTCCCATGATTTCTTAACTACTTCGTTGGCAGCAAACCTGGCCTGTGCTTCGCACCACACCGCCCATGTCAGATGTCACCCGAAACACCGTCTGCGCTTCCACCGCTGCGACTGGCCAACACCACCGCCGCCGCCGCCGCCGCCAACACCACTGCTAGCGGGGTTACCACTTACCAACCCGCACAGGGGACGCATAGTTAATGGAAACATTGCTAACACGTTACGGCACAGCAGTCGAGTGCCAACGAGCTCCAAAGCCAACTGCTACTTCACAACGTCTTACGAGTGGCGGCTGGGAATGGAGACCCATGGGTCAGTCCAGGCCGACCCCAGCCGAAGTCTTGAGCAACGTAGTAGGGCGATAAAGGCGCAGGGGCTCTGCCCCACATCCTTCCGAGAAGCCGATCCGTGCTTACTAGGGCCAGGACGACAAATGGGCCAGCATGAACCGCCAGAACGCGAAACAAACAAACACAGAGGAGTCAAGGCGTGCCGATACAAGCACTCTACGGGTGTAAGATCCGACGCCTGCGACACCTGCTTGGACAAAACGGGATCACCTCAAGCAGGAAGCCGCAGCCCTTTCGAACCACGAACCAAACGCCAGCACACAACAACAAACGCAACAACAGCAGCACCCCTCCAGGGAAGTGACGAGGGACGTCCGCACACGCCACACCACGCCACACCACCGCTCCAACCATCCACACCAGCCACCATCACACACCACAAGAAGCAACACAACGGCGCGGAAACGAACATACCAGGTAATGGATTTCAGGCGCGGATAAATGCTGTGGCACCTCGCGGCTCCGGTAATGAACCCAACATGGTGCAGCAAGCCCAGAAACATAGGCTACCGAGGACACGAGCGGCATGCTTTGGCAAGCACACATAGTTTTCTTGGGCGCACTGTGATATAGCAGCCACTGCGATTAACACCTGTAACCTGTAACGTCACCCACCGCACGCCCTCCGCCCTCTGGCACCTTGCCATTCCCCTCCTCCTCTCCCCATCTCCCCCCTCCCCTAGCCAAACTCATATAACCAATCCCCCGCACACAAACAATCCCTCGCTGGCCCCCGCTCACCCCTCATGCCGCCTCCCTCACCTCCACGGCACCCATTCCCTTCCCCGTCTCCTTCCCTCCTCCCTCCTGCACCACCTCCAGCGTACTGCTGACCCCTCCCACTCCTCCCCATCCTCCCAGCCCCCCAGCCGCCCGGTCAACCACCCCAAACGGCGGCCCGGGCAGCAGCAAATCCTCCGGCTTGACTCCCCACACCAACAGTGTGGCGCCTTGCGACCCCGCAAACACCTCAGCCGCCCTCTGCTCCACCAGCTGCCCCTCAAAATAGTCGCTGATCCAAACCATAACGGAGGGAGCGACGTGACGATCGCCAGTGGCGGAGGAGGCGGCGGCGGGGCCGTTGGGGCCGTTGTTGGAGGGGGGCGTGGCATCCAAGCTGTTGCGGGCTGGAGGGAGGGGAGCGGGCTCCAGGGAACCCTACGTGGCAAAACCGGGAATGGGACGTGCACAGGGAGGATGGTAACAGGATAGTCCCGGTAACATGGAGGATGGGTGGAGGGGCCGTATTGTATCACTTAGACAGCAAGTTAGGGCGCGGCGCGCTGCTGCGTCCTATTTACGGCTATATACCTCGCGCCCGGATGCCGGCATCTAATCCCCCACCGCACACCACGTCACCCCCCACCCCACCCCACCGCAACCGCACCTGCATGAGCATCATGGTGGTCCGCTGCACGATGCCCTGACCCGGGTTCAGCACCACCAGCACCCCTTGCTTCAGGTAGCCCCTCAACCCATCCATAACCCAGTTCGTAGCCGCAGCGATGGACTTGTACATCGCCTCAACCCATGCGGCGGAAGCCAGCCGCTGCTGCTGCAGCAGCAGCTGAGAGGCAGCTTCGGCGTCGTAGGGATTGGCGGCGGCGGCGGCAGCAGCAGCAGCAGCTGCGGTGGCGGCGGCGACGACTGCGGGGTTGCTTGGGCTGTGGTGGCTGTGACGGCTGTGGGGGCTTTGGTGGTGGCCGTGGTGGTGGGTGGGAGGTGTGGCGGGGGCTTGGGCGGTGGGGTCTAGCAGGCTGCGAGCGGTGGAGGGGTCTTGCTGCAGGAGCTCGGAGATCTGGGTTGGGTGGGGAGGGTGGGGAGGAGAGGAGTGGCAAGGGAGGTGAGTGACACGTGATGGGCGTTGCGGCAGGAGACGGGTAGCAAAGGTGGCATGCGAAAGCTCGCCCTCCCTCCCCCCCTCTCCCCCCTTCCCTCACCCAATCGATGCCGCCATCCACATGGTGATCCTGCGCCGCCTCCTGCAGCAGCAGCCGGATGCGCTGCTTGCGGACCGCGGGGGAGTCCAGGCGCTGCGAAGACAGGATGGTGATCAGCGAGGAGCGGATGAAGGCGGAGAAGCGCTGCGTAACCTGGGGGGGGGGGCACGATAGGGTGGGGGATGACAGGGGGGGCGGGATAATGAGCGGTGAAGAGGAGCGGTTAAGAGTGGCGAAGGGAAGGGATGCATGCCCCCTATTGTAAGTGCAAAGCTGTGCTACCGCCCTCACCGTCCGCCATTCAAAGGGCCCCGAAACCCAACCCAACCCACACTCCCCCCGTCCCCCTAACCATACACACAGGGTACGTTCCCACTCGCGGCCAGTCCTCCTAACACAGAGTATTCTTCTTTTCCTCCCCCTCCCCACCTGCGGCCTCAGCAGGTCCAGCACGTACACCGCTGCGGTGCGGTAGAGCTGCAGCTCCAGCGCCTGGAAGGGGGCCAGACCCTCCTCACGACTGAAGCGACGGAGGACCTGGGCGGGAAGGGGCGGGCGGGTTGTGGGGGTGGGGTAAGGCAAGCGGTCGCGAGTAGGTTGGTGTGTTAAGAAAACTGGCCGCGAGTAGGAACAGGTTGGTGTGTGCGTGTGGCGGGGATCACTCGCACGGGGCTGGGGATGTGGTGCAAGTCTCCGACCCACCCACAGCCCTCAGCCCCCAGCGCTACCCAGCCCGCCTACCTGCAGCACCGCCCAGGGAATGTGCATCACCACCGGCCCCTTGCCCATGGCATTCCCCTCCGCGTACGCCGCCGCCGAGCTCATGCCGGGCACATGCGCCTCAAGCACACACGACACCAGGCCCCCCACGCCGCCAGCCCCCAGGTAGTACGGCACCAGCGTGCCTTCGTGATCCACCATGATGCGTACGACACCCCGGATCACCACGATGAGGCCGTCGGGTTCCGCGCCGGCAGCCTTGCGGCCCATGTCCCAGATGGCATTGCCCTTTTGGGGTGCGAGGAAGGAGGGGTGGGGGTGGGGGAGGAGGAGGAGGGGGAGGGGGACGAGGGGTTGCGAGTGAATCGGAGTATTTGCATGCGGTTGATATCTGCGGTACTACCCTTCCACACAACCAACATGCACCCCCTTTCCTAACCCCCAGTACCTTCACTCCTCACGCCCTCACCCTCACCCCACCCTCGCTCTCGCCCCACCTCACCCTCACCCCCCGCCCCCACCTGCTCGTACACCCGCATGAAGCTGTTCTTGCGGATCCACTCAATCACCCGCGGCGCCACCCCGCGCAGGAAGGCGGTGCCCGTCAGGATCTCCATCACAGTGGGCTGCCGCCAGCGGGGGCCGCGCCGCGCCAGCAGCTGCAGCCGCCGCTCCACCAGCTCCACGATCTTGCGGCACTCGGACTCGTCAATCATGCCGCCTGGAGGGGGGGGCGGAGGGGGGGTCAAAATACCGGTAGACCAAACCATAGGAAACCACGAATTACGGGGGAGGGGGAAGAAGGAGGAGAAGAAGGGGGGACCCGAGGGGTGATGAGGAGGCAGGGAGGAGGATTGGGAGGGCGGAATGGTAATGCGGGTGTCGGGGCTTCAGGGGTCTGGAAAGAGAAGGATGTATTGGGGCTTGTTAGGAGTGCAGGTCCTCCCTGCGGATCCTCCTAGTGGACCCTCAAACGCTTCTTCCTCAGCTACGCAGCACACACAGTCAGTTTTCACAAGCAGCAACAGCAACCTAAAGACAATAATCTGTCCCGTTTACAGCCCCCCCCCACTCTCCCCTTTCCTACCCTCATTCATCTCCCGTACAAACGCCTGCTGCTGCGTCAACAGGTCAATCACCGCTCGGTGCGTCTGAACGGCCCCAAACTTGTTCGGCTGCTCAATCCGGCGCTCAATGATGTAGCTCCATGCGCCATCCGCCTCGTGTTGTACCTCCTCCAACAACAGCTCGCCGTACAACCCACTGTACTGCAGCCACTCGGTTTGCAGGCTCTGCGTGAGGGAGGCCCACAGTTCCACTGCGGTCTCTAGGCCGCGCAGGGTGGTGGCGGAGATGTGGCCGCTGAGCACCCACACGAAGGGAACCAGCAGCCGAGGCACCACGGAACGAACCTGCAGAAAAGGAGGAGAGGAGGAGGAAGAGGAGGAGGAAGAGGAGGAGGAAGAGGAGGAGGAAGAGGAGGAGGAAAGGAGAGGAGGAGAGGAGATGAAGACATACGTGGATGAAAGAATGGGAGGATACGTATGCAGCAACAAGCCAAGGAAAGCAGATGTGGAAAGGGAGGAAAAGAAGCCCAGGCTCTTTGCAGGATGGTTGTTACAACGGCGGGTTTGGCAGCCTAGCAGGATACTCCACAAACCCGCCCCTCCTCCTACCAGAGCGTTGCTGGACGCTTTAGCCTTGGCGGTCCAGTGCTTGAGGCTGAAGTACACGTTGGCTTCCGCCTGCAGCAGCGGCCCGCTGCTGACCTCCTTCTTCACCATGCTCCAGAGCGTCAGCGGCTTCTCGGGCTCATGAGCGGAGCGGTCGGCAACGTAGCTCAGAACCTGGCAGCGCGGTAAAAGGAAAGGGCGTGGAAAGGTTTGCGTTACGTTAGTTAAAGGGACGTAGACGGGCGCCAAGGGACGTGGAGAGAAGGGAGGTAACCAGCAGGGGTTTCTCGGGTTAACTGTGGGAGCCATTCATATGCTTGACAACTAACAAAGAGACGGGGAACGGTACCTACACACCGGTATCCCGCAACCGCTCCTACGATACCAGTACAACATACCAGCACCGGTGCCCCTCCATCCGCTCCCTCCCAAACGGTACATTACGGCAGGGGGTTCGCTGCAGGGTCCTTCGCGGTGTCCCCCTACCTTGAATGACGATGAGCTGAGGCTTCCCGCCGCGTGCTTCTGTCGGTAGTACTGCTTCAGCCCCGCCAGCAGCCGCATGCGGTACTCCACCAGCAGTGGGGCGCACACGCCACCGGAGCCGCCCTCCATGTCTGGGAGGGGAAGGGAGGGAGGAGGGGGAGGGAGGTCAAAAACCATACCAAACCATAGGAAACCACAGGTTACGGCAAAGCAATGGGGATTGGAGGCGGCAGGGTGGGGGGAGGGAGAGAGGGTTAAGAGATAGAACAAACCGCAGGTGAGGGCAAGGCACTAGGGAGAGGCGGCGGCAAGGTGCCATAAAGCAAGGGAGGGAGGAAGCGAGGAACAAACGCCTTGCCGCCATTAGGCGGGTCTATACACGGCCGGGTCTACACCACCTCGCAATCCCGCGGTGCCCCCCCCCCGTCCTTAACACGTGCCGCTGGCAACCCCCCTGCTTACCCATTGCTTTGCCCTAACCCTGTGGTTTTGGTACGGTAACCTCTTGACCCTGCTTACCCGTTGCCGTCTGCGCTCGAGACACCGAGGCCCTAGCCAACGCCGCGACAGTTGTCTCCGCGAATCGCGTGCGCCGCGCCAAGTTCTCATTCCCCCGTCCGGAGCCCTCTCGTGCCGATGTCGCACCCCCGCCGCCGCCACCCCCCGCGGCACTTGCTCCGCCTGTCGTGAACGACCGGAACAGCATCGACGCCAGCGGCCCCTTGCTGTTGGACGCCAGGGAGTAATTGTTATGCAGCGCGCCGCCCTGCGATTGCTTCGCCAAAGCAGCCGCAGCAGCAGACGCCTCCTTCTGCTGCAGTTGCTGGACTTGCGACAGGATGTGGTTGGACGCAACGGCGCCGGCAGCACCACCGCCGGTGGAGGAGAGGGCGGTGGAGCGGCCGGTGCCGTAGAAGGAGGCACCGGAGGGCGTGTCCATGGAAGCGGCAGGGGCGGGCCGGGTGAGCTGGAAGCCGCCGGGCGCATCGGAGCCGGCAGCGGCGCCCGCTGTGGGGGTGCTGTCGTTGTCGTAGATGCGAGCGAGCTGGACGGAGGCGGCGGCCAAGCCTGTGTGGGTTGTGGATTGCGGTGAGCGTCGGCAGGAAGTGGAGCTAGGATCGCCACGAGCAGTTGGGAGTGGGAGTCTCAAAGCTCGGAATGAAGTTAGCTGTATGGCAGCATTGCTACTAACACGGTACACGGGACGTGCACTACACCCGCGCAAACCAGCACATAACACATCACCAGCCCCTTCCCAAACCTTTCCCTCCAATTCCGAGTACCCGGTCCCCTAGCGGCACACGCACCTGCTTGACGGCCCAGTTTAACTGAGGCACGGCCCAGGGCGCCTCCGGTCCGTACGGAGGGCCGAGCCAAGCTGCCGCCACCACCATTACCACCCTCACCACCACCGCCTCCATGGCGAACGGATGAGCGACCCAAAGCACCGCCACCGCCGCCACCACCACCACCACCGCCACCGCCAGCTCCATCGTCGGTATCCCCCCGGACCCGCAGCGTGTCAGCGTAGGGGTACGTCCAGCCGGGGACGTCCTCGGGCAGCGCAAACTCGGTGGGAGACAGCGAGGGAGGCTCCCAGGGCTGTGTACGTGCGGGTGAGACGAGGATTGGGGGAGGAGGGGGTAGGCAGGGGAGGGGTGAAAAATCTCGCTGGAGCAGGCTGGGAGACCCGAAGCAAGATGCCATCCCATCCCGTCCCTCATGCTCTTCTCTAGGGTCTGCACATAAGTTAGGCAGGCCGTCCCTATCAACAGCCACGCTTCCAACAATGCAAATCCGCAGTAGCAGCAGGCGAGGCCACCCTCTGTCCCGTGCTTCTGCGCTCCCAGCCAAGATAGCGCTCCAAACAGCTACCTGCTGTAGCGACTTCTGGGAGCCGTACATCCCGCTGCTGCGGCCCAGCGCCCTGCTGCCAGCAGCTCCGGAACCCGTCACGGAGGAGCGACCCAGGGGTCGGTCCACCTGCCGCACAGGGCTCCCGGTGCCGTCGGCTGCGGGCGAGAGGTTGGGGCAGGGAAGGGAATAAATACCGGTAAGCCGAGGCGTTAACCAGAACATTGACGGAGCTCTCGGTAGGGTTGGGGGCCGGTGACAGGAATTGCAAACAGCAAGTTGGGCTGAAGCTCGGATCCCCCTGAGGCCTGCCATGGCCGCAAACCAACCTCACGGCCTGGGATGTGGCCTTTTAGGGGCACCGTTGCGCTCCCACCCCCACCTCGCAACACCCCAAACCCTCGTCTCAATTATATCTACCGCTACTTACATCCAATCTGGCCCAAATCCGCAAACGCCTGCTGCTGCTGTTGCATGGAGCCTCCCGCCACACGCACGGAGCCCCGACCCAAGGACCGCGACCCGGGGGGGCCGCCGTCAGCTCGAAGGGCCTCCAGCGCGCTTCCGTCATCTCCCAGCCGCTGCACCAGCCTCACACTTGCGGTGGGCAGAGCGCGGCCGCCTTGACCTAGAGATGAGCAGGACGGTAACGGGGAAGTTGCGTCAGCCGGGCAATTGCTGGTAGCGTCGGTGCGGCGTTTGATAGCAGAGCGATTGGTAGCGGCGGCATGTGTCACATCCGAGGAGACGGAAAGGGGCAAGGCAAGCAAGGTAGCTTACATACCGTATAACTCCCGTACTTACCAGGCCGAATGACAAGCAAGCTCTGCAGGTAATCCTGCTGCTCGCCTGCCGCAGACGCCTCCTGCGCATGAGCCGCCCCGCCCCCGCTTCCTCCCGGCGGGTGCGAAGCCGCCGTCGGCAAACCCACCAAATTCCCGCCGCTCGCGGAATGCTTCAAGGTCCCGCTGGAGGGAAGCCTGCCGCCCGCCGCCGCCGCGCCGGCAGCCGCCAAGGCAACCAGGTTGCCACCGCTGGCCGAGTGCTTCATGCCCAAGCCCTCAAACCTGCCACCAGGTACGGCAGTCGAGCTGGCCCGCGGGCGCTGCATGGTGAATGCCGAGGGCAGCGTGGTGCTGCTAGGTGTGTAGCTGGCGCTGGGCTGGCCTCGGGACAGCGGGCTGGGCTTGGCCGAGGGAAGCCAAGGCTTGGGGCTGGGAGGAGCGGCGTTGGGAGAGCCAGGCTGGGCCCTGATTGGAGAGGTGGGCAGCGCGGCAGTCGACATGGTGGGTGACGACAGCGGTTCGCCGAGGGGTGCGCCGGCTGATGTGAAGCTGGGAGCTGTTGCAGCTGGGAGTTGTTCAGTGGGCTGCTGCACGTCACCTGTTGCCATGCCCATTGCTGCATCGGAAGGGGCGCTCGCCGCGCTTGCAGCAGCAGCGGTGGCACCCGCATCCCCGCTGCCTGGCGCGGGAGCCTCCGTCAGAACCACCGCCTCTGTCTCCAGCGGGAGCTTAACACCACCACCGCTCCTGGCTGATGGCAAGGTCGGCGGGGTAGGCAGCATCATGCCACCGCTCAGCCCGTCGCCGCCATCCTCCTCACGCACTGGCGCTTCCGCCGGCGGCGCCCTCACTTGCGGCTCTGCAGCTGCCGGCGTCAGCACCTCTGCCGCCGGCGTGGGAACCGGAGCCGGCGCTGCGGAGATGCCCATCCCCGCAGTACGTCCAATCGCAGGGCCCGCGACCGCACCCTCTAGGAACTTGCTGCTGCTGTTGCTGCGGGTAAAAGAGCGGGTGCGTGCAGCCAACGCACCCTCTCCGCCGGCCCCGGCGCCAGCGGCCGCTGCCACCGCAGCTGTAGGCCCCGCGTTAACGACCAAGGTTGCCCGACGGGCACCGCTGCGCAGCAGCAAGCTGGAGGGGCCCGCTGCCACGGAGGGACCGCGACGGGAGGTGCCGGCGCCCCCGACTGCGGTTACAGGGCCGGAGGTGCCGGAAGGCTGCTGGTCGCGAATGATAAGAGCGGCGGTTGTACGGCTCATGGAACCTGGCGCGCTGCCGGGGGCTCGTGACTCGGCGCGAGCGATCTCCCGCATGTTGAACTGCGGGTGGAGGCCAGGGGGGCGACAGCAGCAGGCTCAGTGTTGCTGAATGACTCTTGGAAGGACCACAAAAAGCATACGACGCCACCGTACCCAGCCATCTCTTCCCTTACTGCCACCTAGACTCACCGCTGTGGCCCGCTTGAGGTCCGCCTCCTCCTTCTTCTGCCTGCTGGCTGCCTCCGCCTTCGCGTCCTGCTGGTCCAGGTCCAGTGCATCTCCACCCGCCCGACAGCGCCGCCACAGCCGCAGCGGCAGTGACAGCAGCCACAGGGAGGAGCGGCAGGTGCAGTTGAACCATCGCACGCTGGGCTGGACCTCTGCATGCAGAGGATGTAGGGGGGGCATGTGGGGGACGGGGTGTGTGTGGGTGTGTGGGTGTGGTTGAGCGGAAACAAGAGCAAGCAGTTGTGTGTGAGGGACGGGCGGGATGTACGCAAAGAGATACGCGGCGACGTCGATATGGTGTATGATCATACACACAGAGCTATGACAAGTATTGTTACGCGGTTCAGCAAACTTTACACACACAGAGGTCGGTTCCTTTAACACGCGCATGTCGACAAGCTGGAAACCGAGGAAACGAACACCAGTATCGTTTCCTATCCCATGTATGCACGGTTGAAACCCTTCCATAGTCCTCCGTAGAACCCGCCATGATGCCGCTGACCTCCCTTGAGTTGCCCCGAATCCTTCTCCCCTGTCCCCAGCCTCCCTACCCGGCAGCTCCTTGTCGAGCGGCTTGTCAAAGTTGGTGTGGTGCTTCACCATGGCCCAGTCCAGCCCCTGCAGCAGCTCCTCCTCGTCCTGAGCCGCCGCCAGGTCCTCAATGGCAGTGGCGGTGAACTTGCGGAACAGGAACTTCACCTGGCGGGGTGGGAGTGGGAGAGGGAAAGAGAGGGAGGAGATGCGCGGGAAAGAAGTCACACCATGCGTTGAGAGAAGAGATGCGGGGAGGGGACAGCGGGGTAAGAAGGGGCACTGTAATACCTGAGCCGTGATATAAAGCAGTAATAGCACTCCGGCTTGGTCGTTCGGTCGTTGCAATGGCCATGTCTGAGTCTAGTTCCAAGTCCAACCTTACACGCCTGAGTTCCGTACAGACTCTACAAAGTTCCGTACAGACCTCGCTGAACCCGAGGCTCAGGGCTACCGTACGGCGCCTATGCTAGGACCACCCGCGTGTGCGTGTGCCTCATCCCATGCCCGCCACGTATGCACCTCCTTCCACTACCGTACCCCGTATTCAGTTTGTGTGCCTCATCACATACGCGACACCTTTATACCTCCCCTCCTACTACCGTACCCTATATTCAGTTTGATTTTACTCTCCAACAACCCGGTAATACATCCTCGCTCGCACCCTCGCTCGCCTCACCTCTCCGCGAAGCGCCAGCTGCTCCTGCCGTACCTTGTCCAGCCCCAACAGCGTCAGCAGCGGCCCGCACAGCGGCGCATTAATCAACAACGTCATGATCACTGGGGGGGAAGAGCGGAACGGGCGAGGGGCGGTGGGGCGAGGGGCGGAACGGGCGAGGGGGGTGAGGTTTACCCAGGAGGGCCCTCAAAAACACGCAAAACACGCCATCCCTCCAACCTACACGCAGTAGCTCAGCACCCACCGTAGCCCGCCGTGTAGATTGCAATCTCCGCTTTCACCCGGCGTTCCTCAATGTCCGAGGAGGCCAGCGTGGCGGCCGACTGCGCCAGCACCAGCGACAGGCTGCCGCGCAGGCCGCCCACCGTCACAAACACCACCTCCTGCAGCGACATGCCCTCGCTCAGCCGCGTGTACTGCAGCAGCTTGAAGCTGGGAGGGAGGAGGGAAAGGAGGGGCGGAGGAAGAGGAGAGGGGAGAAGGGAGGAGGTGGTGTGTTAAAACCAATTGGCCATCAGTTAGCTGGTGGTTGTGGTGTGTAGTTGAGGTTGTGGTGGTTGTGGTGTGTGTGGGAACTGGCTCGGAACGTACTGTGATTGCCGGAAGATGAAGTCCTCCGGCAATCACAGTCATGTGGTGTGTGTGAAAGAAAACTGGCCATGAGTCGCAACGTACTGTGATTGCCGGAAGATGAAGTCCCCAAAGAAACACCACAGGAGCCGAGGAGTATGGCGGCGTATGTAGAAAGATAAATCCAGTACTGGTGCTGGTAGTACGGTAAATAGGATATGAGAAGCACTCTCGTAAAACGACCTGACCGAAGGCCCGTAGTGGCAAGTTGGTATGTATGTAGTAGCTGACAGTATCAAGTAGAATATGTAGGCTGGAACTGCTGCTGAACACGTGTCAAAACAGGGGAGCATGCCGAGACGTCGCAGTGCATGCGCGAGCAAAACGAGACAGGCAAAACAAGTGCAAGGCGAACGAGGAAACAGGCAGGTATGGCAAAAAGTGTGCATGGGATGCCGTACGACAATGCAGTGGTCTGGATGCCAGGGGAAGGAGGGCTGGTGTGTGTTTGTGTGTGTCAGGAAGGTGTGAGGAAGCGGGCCGGCGGAGTAAGAGGATGTGACGCGATGTGTGACGGGGCGGTTTGGGAATGAGCAGGGCGAGGCCGGAGCGCACGTGTCAGGACGGCGGGGGGCGTGATGGGGTACCGGTAACTCCCGTGCAACAGGAAGGAGGAGGGGTCGCATAGGATTCGTTCGAGCCCTAAATCGGTGTGTGCTCCCACCTGGAGTAGATGAGGACGAAACGCAGGGTGAAGGATGCCAGGTAGATGAGAGGCAGCTTGTACAGCAGGATCTTAACCAGATCTATGCTGCCGTTGCCGCCGGCCTCGTGGTTGTCGAACAGGTACTTTGTGGAGCTGCAGAAGAAGGCGTATGAGGGAAGAAATGGGAGGCGTGTGAGGGAGGAGACAAAAGCGGCGGGGGATGCGGCAGGGGACGATTACGGTCGCTTATTTGGGTTGTGGAGGCTCCGGAAAGAATGAACCAATTAGTAGTAAACCAGTTAACATATAACCAAGCAGCAGGACTATCGGTACGTTCTCCGCATGAAGCAAGAGTCCATAGCTCATCTCGCAGGAAAGTCCAGGATCATGTAACCTCCCCAAAACACACGCCCTGTCCTACCGTATCGTGAAATTGACGGCGGATGCGCCGACATAGAAGAAGATCAGGCCGTTGATGATGAAAGTCAGCACCGCCCAAAACATGTTGAAGATGCCGCTCAGGCGCGCCTTCGTGCTCATGCCCCAAAGCAACGTCGCGCTGCCGTACAGCCCGAACGCTACGGCGCCGATGCAGCCTGAGCCGTGGCACCACACCTGCGCGCACGCATGTGGGAATGCATTGCGGATCCGCAACAATGGGACGTCGACATGGTGTGCGATGCGTGTGCTGTTTCGCTATTGGAAGCGTGCGGAGCCCACACCGGCATCAAAGTATTGCCGCTGCTTATTCGTCCTACCCCCCCCTCCTACTCCGTTGCCTCACTTTTTATGTATTGTTTTCTCCCTCCCTCCTTGCCAGCCTCTCCCGCCTCCCTCCCATGAGCAGAGTTGACCACTACCGTACCCCCATCCCTCCCTACCTGACCAACACCACCACCCCATCCCTCCTTGCCTGCGTGATGTAGAAGCTGAGGTAGGCCCCCGCCACCGACCAGGCCACCTCCGCAGTGGCCTCCATATTGCGGTGCTGCAGCCACGCGTAGATCCACCTGCGGGTGGGGCAAGGGTGGGGCAGCGGGAGTGCCGTACACACACACACAACCTCTCCCAATTGCTTGCTCTTGTCCTACTCAACTACTACACACACAGCGGCCAGTTATTTTCCACACAGCGGCGGCGGAAGGGGATGAGATACGGGCGGGGGGGTCTAAGACCCATCACCTCCTCGCCCCTACACACAACGTTCGCCGCCCTCCTGGCGCTCACTTTGTGAAAATGCCCATGGCGATTCCGATGCAGACGCCGGTGAATGACGACCAGATGGTCATCACCACGATGCCCTTGATGTCGTGGCCCAGCGTGGCCTGCTCCGCGTTCAACACCACCTCCTTGAAGATCTCAAACAGGGTCAGCGAGGAGGCGTCGTTCAGCAGCGACTCGCCCTCCAGCAGCACGGACAGCACCTCAGGGCCGCCGCCTGGGGAGCGTTGCGTGTGGGCATGGGCAAGGGGGAGGTGTCGCACTGTGAACAAGACCCTGAGGTTGAGGTTGGGAGGAAGCAGCGCGCAGCGTGCACTACCGGTACGTGCGAAGAGTGCGTTAGCGTTTCTGGGATGCCAACTGGGGTTGCAGGCGCTGCTGCTGCCGCCAGGCAAGAACTGGTGCCGCGTCCGCCTCACTGCCATGCCGTCAAATGCGGCTGTAGGTACCGAGGGTCAACCCATGCATGCAGGAACCGAACCAGCCTCTGCACCCATGCTTGCTCACACACCCCACCGCCTCCCACCACCCACGCCTCGCCCGCTCCTCCCCGAAACCCACCGCCCCTCAGCACCGCCGACACCGATGCGGCGTCCGTGGAGGCAATCATGGAGCCGAACAGTGCCACGTGGCCCGCCGTCCAGCCGGTGGACTGCAGGTCCAGGGCGTACAGCATGAAGGGGATGAGGATGAGGGCGGAGGCGGCCACCATGATGAAGGCCATGAAGGCGACGTTGAAGGCCATCTGTAGGGGGGAAGGGAGGAGAGAGGGGGGGAGAAGAATGCCAATGATGGTGAGCCTGTTGGCTGAGCATGTTTTTGTCGTGAGCAGTCCCTTAAACCTAGTGTTCCTGACCCAGATCCCGCCCGACCCAAATCACTTTCAAGTGGAACCCGTCCTTGTAACCAAAGATCCCACCGACCCACATGGGGTCCAAAATCAAGTGGCTGCTCCTAACAAGATATAACACCGACCCACGTGGGTTCCAATTATATGCTTGCCCCTAACCAGAGTTAACACCGACACATATGGCAAGTGGCCGGTGCCGCCGGTGTCCCAACCAAAGGTTCCTGCGACCCCCATGGGGCCCCAGCTTCCCAAGCAAGTGTAGCCATGCCCATACCCTAACCCCTCACACCCCACAAGCAAACCTGCAATCATGCAACCTGACCCACATGCCCCGCGCAGCTCAGAACCGCGCACCTTTCTGAGCATGAAGAAATCGATTCGCACCGATAAGTCCAATAAAAAGGGCGGCAGGAACACGTACACGAAGATATCGGCTGGACGCATGCCCAGCCACAGAGCCACGGCATTGCTGACATGCTCCAGGTTATAGTAGTATGAGAAGCTGAAGTAGATCCCGCCAAAGAACAACACGATGAGTGCATCCCATCGAGGAGAAGCCAAACACATCACTGCGATGGCTATCCCGGCAAAGAAGACGGCGTCGAAGCCGCCGTCGGGTGTCAAGCACCAGTTCCTGTTTCGGGAAAGCAGGGGAAGAGGAGGTAGTGGTCGGACGGATGGGACTGGGCACCGGGGTATCTGGAGTTGGGAGCAAGGGGTTGAAAGGGGCAGGCGGCGAGCAAACTCTAGAGCGCATTAAGAAGCATTTGAAGGGACATGGTGCGTTAGCGCCGTATGCTGCAGCGAATCCAAGCTCCTGTGTCGCGAATTTGGCCGTAACTGACGGCACCACGGGCCACCCAAAGTCTACGCTGGGCGCTTTTAGCCAGCATCTACTACCGTTCTCACCATCCCTCGGGATTATCCACACGGTGCTCATATGTGACGTTCTGCGCGATGCAAAACTCGGACCCCGCCGATGCTGCCTCGCTCGATAGCAGGGATCGTGCATAGTATGCAGTATTAAGTAAAGAGTCCATATTCGTAGCTAAAACGTGCACCGCTTCGGCAATAACAACCGTTCCGCCTCAGCAACTTGTTCACAGCCAGCCACCCGGGAGAACAAACGCTATGGTGCGGCCATATGGGCATATACTTTGACCTTCAATCACATACAGCAAATGAAATGGCATTTGGGAGTTCTGGCGTGTAACAGGGCGTTCATTCCGCGAGAACTAGCATGGCGAAAAGTCTCTGCGTTATGATAAACATTGAAGACAAGGATCTATGGCTGCTTTCGCAGCCGCTCATGCTTAGGAGCAGGGCACCTCCAATGCTCCTGTACGGTGCATATGTAATCACAGTAATCAGTCTGTCTTACACATTGTACCAATCACATCCATTAATTTCCAGAAGGGATTAACCATTATACTCTATACTATGAACCGTCTGCGTCCGTTACGCATGTTTTTTCAATGGCCAAAGTCGGACGGCTGACGCGTGGCAAGTTTGCACGTGAGGCCAACTCAGTTCCCACATGGAAGCAGTAAGGGCCTCGCTTTGCACCTACTCCATCAATTTGTTTGCTTCCAGAATCATAGTGCAACCAACCTGAACCCTACAACCCCAGCTGGCAGGGATGCGGCTGTTAAAGCAGGAAAAGTCCTCTCCCTGGTGCGTAACCTAACACCTACAACTAGCCTGTAACCAAAAGCCAGCGCCGGTGAACTCATCCGTTACGAACCACGGCAATCCCTCGGCATCCCTGCAGCCGTTGTAACCGTGCACGCCGCGCTAGACCATCGCCTACCACTACCATGCTAGTGCTTCCTGCCGCTAATGCTTAAGGATGATGACTGCGTTCAGCAGGCCCGCCGCCTCCAGCGTCTGGTCCTCGCCCTCGACTACCTTGTTTGGGAAGGCAGTCATCAGCTGGTATGGAGCCTGCATGGCGCAGGAAGGATGACCAAGCACACCCTTAGGAAACAAAAAGGTCATTAGGACGTGAACACGCCGGCACACACGTCCAACAGGGATGCCAAAGCAACAAGCCGACCCACATCACCGGACAGCCTCCTTCATTCCTCCACCAACCCTCCTCCCGTTCCCGTATCCAACGAACCTTGCCTGCCCCTTTCCTCCACCCTCCTCCCCTGTCCACGCACCCCCTGTAACCCACCCACCCGTACTGCTCTTTTCCCCTCGCAACCTCCTCTCACCGTAATATCCGGCCGTGATGCACGCACAAACCGGCGGATGTCACGCACGGTGTGGGTGTGGTTGAAGCGCGCCACCATGCGTGACCCGTCCGGCAGGCGTAGCTGTAGGGAGGTGGTGGGTTTGGACTCGTCCACGCCCTGCCACTCCCCGGGCGGTGCTGTGTCCGCAGGCCGCGAGGCTGCTGCTGCTGCGCTGGTGGAGGCGCCCGCAGAGGCGGCGCCCAGCGTGCGGCCCGTGCCGGTGAAGTACCTGAAGCAGGGGAAAAGAAGGATTTCAAATGTGTCAAATCAATTGAGAATGCAAACCAGACGACAGCGAGGGTAAGGAGACAGGGAAGGAGACAGTCCAGACAGGGAAGGAGGGTGCGGAAGGGAGTGCAGGAGTAGTTGGTAGGGGTCGTAACGGGAGGCCCCAGGGTAAGTGAGCTCGCGCCATGCAGGTCAAGTGGCAAGCCTCCATTGCCAAGCTGCTAAGCCGTGTGTGAGAGACGCTGCGCTCCATAAAGACGTGGTTCGCGGCACCGCTACCGCCGTAAGCCCTGTCGAAAGCCCTGTTACTCACTGCTTGGTCTCCAGGTACGGCTCGTCCTTGCGCATCATGTTAACCGTCACCTGGGGTCGGGTCACGACGACGACAAAGGTCGGCTTTAGAAAGACATATGCGCAAGACTAAACGAAGCAGACGTGCCGGAAACGGCGCGGGAAGGCCGTCACACCTAGAGGCACCGGCTTCAGCACTTTGTGGAAGGGAAGCCGCAAACCCAGTACCCAATGCGCCATGCCAGGGGTGTGCTAACCGGTGCCCTAGGGTCCACAGACGCGTTGATGCCAGGCTCTTTAAGGATGGCAGGAAGCAGAGTTGGCAAACAAGCAAGCCCGCCAGCATACTCCTCGGCAAAAGAAGCCGAGTCCGTGCTCCGCATAATCACAGCTTGGCGCCAATCGCCGGCGACAGCCATGCATGTGTATGGCCAGCCATGCATGCCTGCAGCCAGCCCGCGTCCTGCAGGCGACACTCACCGGCGCTCCTGGCTTGCCGGGGTCCAGCTCCTCCGGACACTCGCCCTGCAGGTCAGGTGAGAGCAGCGCGGGGAGTTGGCCGTGTCCCCGATGGTCATGTACTCTGTACCATGTACAGAGGCAGTGTGCGCAGCTGGCCTTACCTTGACAATGCTCTCGATGAAGCTCTGGTTTGCTGGGTCATCCACGCGACGAGGCGGGCCGTTGTCCACCGTGAATATGCTGTTGTTGTAGAACGTAATTACGTGGTTGCGGGGACCCTCGTCAGCAGGGGGGCGCGTCTGTTGAGGTGGGAGAACCGTGTGGTTAAAAGAAGAGACCGGGGACGAGGCAGCAGGTCTGCTAAGCGGACGGAAATGCCAGTGAAAGCGCCTACCAGACCAACCAAACATGGGGTTCAGCTGGCCCACGAAGTGGACTTGGGTAGCTATGGGAAATACTTCTGGGCATTCAAGGGATCTCCGGTGCAAAAAGTTCCGTATGAAGGCAGGGTACTGGGGTTTCCTGCAGCATGGATAAGTACCACCACCCCGTCTCGGTGAAGTATCTGCTGTGACCGCTGTCGCCCTTCTCCCTAACACGAGCGGTTCGTGCAATTCCCAGAAGGACGGCCAGTGCAGCGCGACACGCTGGCATTGTCCTGCACGCCCTGTGCCTACGCCGCTAAGCGTAGCTGCTCACCGGCACTGGTCCGCCACCTAGCGTACGGCCCTGGCCTTGGAAGGCTTTCTGCTGTCCTGGCAGGTCCGCAGATGTGCCGGCAGTTGCTCCCGATTGCCGCGCGCGATTAAAGAGAGCACCGACTTGGTCGTCGTCCTCCTCATCCTCCTCCTCCTGACACAGAAGTGCCGAGTCAGCAAAAGCAGCCTACCCGCATATCCACAGGCGTTCCAACCACCCACCTCGTCCTCAGGGGCGCCGCGCAGGAGCTGGCCGCTGCAAAGATACGTTCGAATAAGATCTAAGTTTGTTCAATGATAACATGAGTTTCTAGGGCAAAATGCCCGTCGGGTGTAGTTGCGATCTGTAATATGCTAGCTCAGCCCCACCTCTTCTCTCCTCCAGCATAGTAGTCATTAAACTTTCCCTTATCTTCATCATCATTGTTCAGATCGCTCAGACTTTTCACGTTCGCCATCTTGCAAAGCTAGCTCCTCACCCTGCCCGAGCCCCTATACTTGGCTTTTGGCTTAAGTGACGCAAATCTTTCAGCAGCCTTCACCAAAACCTAACTTCAACGTGTTCTGTAACGTTTACGGCCTGATGGTCTCTGCCGTAAAACCAAGGCAACTGTACTACAGGCCAGAGAGCATTATATAAGCGCTTCTTCCTTACGTAACGTTTACTTTGGTATGCCTATTGCGTTTGTCATCGGACGATCCAAGGTTTCAAGTTATTTACTTCTAGCAACAGGCGCCGACACCAGCCATGCTGGCCCACACCCGTCTTAACCAGCAGCAGTGCCTGTCAGCACACCGCTGCAAAAGTGCTAAGACTGTTCGTTGCCAAGCAACCCCGTCACCCATTCCGGCAAAGCCGGCTCCTGTGCAGCGACAGCAGGAAGGCGCCGACGACGGAAAGCCGTTCCTTAACTTGATTCCGAAGAACGGTCGCTGGCAAGACGGTATTCCTCCTGTTATGGGAGCGCACCTTATGGCTAGCGGCACAGTCTCTCCAGTCAGCGTTTCCAAGGGCGCTGGCAAGGATGTCACTCCGCATCAGTTCCAGTACCACAACACCGAGACCGACGTTTCGGTTGTCGTCTACGACTCGTCTGAGAAGGCTCAGGCCGGTTTGACCCAGCTGGTCCAGGAGGCCGCGCAGTCCGCTGTCAATGCTAAGGGCGCATTCACGCTGGTGCTCTCGGGCGGCTCGCTGCCTGCCTTCCTGGCTCCCCTTGCCAGCGCTCAGGGCATCGACTGGTCCAAGACGCACGTTTTCTTCGTCGATGAGCGCAACGTACCACACAGCTCCTCCGACAGCACCTACAAGTCTGTGAAGGAGTCGCTGCTCAGCCAGGTGCCCATCCCGGCCGCCCAGGTCTACGCAATTGCTGAGGGCCTGCCCGTGGAGCAGGCTGCCATCCAGTACGAGGGCCGCCTCATCAGCATTCCTGCCTCTGCCCTGCCCCGCAATGCCGATGGCTTCCCGTCTTTCGACCTCATCCTCCTCGGCGTGGGCCCTGACGGCCACGTCGCCTCGCTCTTCCCCAACCGCCCCGAGGCCGCCGCAACCAAGGGCTGGATTCTGCCGGTCAAGAGCTCCCCCAAGCCGCCTGCGGAGCGCATCACCATGAGCCTGCCGGTCATCAACGCGGGTAAGGAGGTGGTGGTTGTGGCGCTGGGCGAGGGCAAGAAGGAGATTGTGCAGCGCACGCTAGAGGTGCAGTCTCTGCCGGGCGCCATTCCTGCGCAGCTGGTGCGTCCTACGGGCGGCAAGCTGACGTGGCTCCTGGATGCGGCGTCCGCCGGGGCCCTGAACACGGAGCGGTGGACGGAGGCTAAGGCGTTCCCCCGCAGCTCGTTCTAAGCTGAGAATGTGATTAGACGTTGCTGATGTATGCTTTCCAGGCGGCAGAGGATGCTAGGAGGTGGGGGCGTATATCTTTAGTTTCGGGAACACTTATACAGATGGCACAGCCAGCGACTGGCTGCAGGCGTTAGTATGGCCGGGATGATTGTAGGGGATGGCTTGATGCGTTTCCTTGGAGCCTAAATGCAATAATGGCTGCAGGCTGTGTGGTGTAGGTTTGGGTCTGCGGCTGTGACACAGGACTGCGTGCTTTCATGTGTCCCTGGACATGGTTTTGTGGTTTGTGCATGCTGGGCGGCCAATGGTTTTATGGTGGTTTGTGGTATCGGGCATGTTGCTCTGTTGCGTCGGAGCATTTCGGGACATTGTGTTTCCCCTGTTGATGTCACAGGGCACCGCTACTGCACGGGTGCCCTTTGGGCTAGGAGAAGAATGTTTCTCTGGAGTTTGTACTAAGACCTTTGTACGCCATCTCGAATGATGGAATGCGTCTCAACGCTAAATGCAAGCAGGGGTTTACCTGCCCGGTTTCCTGTGCTGGGTGTGGTGGTAGTTAAGTGGTTGGAACGACTTGGCGAGGTGGCGGGTTAGCCATTAGCTTGGCGCTGCATTCTCGGACTGAATGTCATATTGATTGCTTGCTTGTAATCAATAAGCATGAACATTTGTTCAAGGAAGTAGTTTATTGACACAACCCTCTCTCTTGGTGAACCGTGAGCGGCATGGACCGAGTCGCGCTTAGGCTAAGAATCCTTGCAACTTCTTTAGAGAAACAGGGACTGTCCCTCACCGACAGCATAGGTGAAATGCTTGCAAGGGGCGGAATGGTGCAGCTGACGCCCTCTCGCGGCATCCATGTTTGTCGCCCCGTGCCGAATGCTCTCGCAAGCCGGCACAGTCACGTCAGGATCGCTAGCCGTTTGCTGTGCTCATCCACAACAACGACCGCGTCAGCGTCAGTTCCAGGCAGCGCTGCTCCGGCGGCTGGTATCGCGTCAATTGCAGAGAAACAGCCAGCTACTCCGTTGGGCACTGTTGCAAACAATTTCTCTTCACAAACGGTTAACATCGATAACAAAAAGAAGAGCAATGAAAAGGTCTCGGCTGTCCCAACTTCCGATCCCCAAGTGAAAGCCTCGACGCTTGACCTTTGGTATGACTTCCTACGGGTCATCCATGCAAGCGGCGACTTTGAGAACACATCAAAGTCTTGGTAAGCAGGAGGAGTATGGGGTTACGCGACTGTTCGGGGGTCTCCATCGCCACGATTACGATGCTACTAGACACAGCCAAACCACCAACACTCCCTCAGTACCAGCACTCCTTTTAAGCCTCGCACTGCCTACTCTTACCTCGTCCCTTCACCCTCTCTCCCTTCCTCCCTCGTCATCCTTCCTTTCACCCCTTCCTGCCTTCACCCGGCCCCACCTCCTCTCCCCTCCTTCCCCACCACACAGCGAACTCCTAATCCAACAGCACGACGACGTGAAGGCCGCGCTGCTCACCTTCTCCCGCCGCCGCCCCGACATCCTCTTCTCGCTGCCCTCCCTGGAGGTCGCCGCGCTGGCAGAAGCCGAGCTGCTGCCCCGAGACCGGCCGGACCGCAAACTCCGTAACGCGGACCGCCGCCTCAAAGACACCTTTGTAACCGGACGCGCCGCAGGAGGAGCAGCAGCAGGAGCAGCAGCAGGGGGCGAGGGTGGTGCTGCAGGGGGGCAGCATGCGTCGCTGCAGGACTTCATGCGAGTAGTGTGGGACTGGGCGGCGGCGCCGCAGACGACTGTGGACTCGGCGGCGCCAGGTGAGGCGGAGGGAAGGGCAGGAGGGAGGGGCTGGGTAAAGTGGCGCGAACGGGGTGCATGGGCAACATTTGCATGGGGATCACACAGGTCGTTTATATCCACTGCCCACCTACCTGCTACCTTCCATTCACCCACCCCTATTCACCCCCCCATCCCCCCCTGCAACCCCTGCCCCCCCCCCCCCCCCAGCCCTCACCCCTGTTCTCCGCCACCTATTGTCCTGTCTGCGCTCGCTGGCTGCTGCCGAGCCCGACCCCGCGGCGCAGCAGCGGGCCGCCGCAATGCCGCTGGCCACCCCTAGCGCCGCAGAGCTAGCGGAGCGGGCGGCGGGGCACCTGTCGGCGGAGGAGCGGCGGAAGGCACGAGACTCGGCGTATGCGGAGCGAAGGTGGGTTGGGAACAGGGGAGGGGATGGGTAGAGAGAGGAAAGGCTCTCCGGGCGGATGAGGGAGGTTGAGGCTTGCGGCTTGCGGGCGTGTTAGGCATGGGAAGATGGGTGGGTGGGTTCTGGGTTGGTGATGGGGGAGGTGGGGTAAGGGTACCGCGATATGGCGCGCCGCCTTACTCGCATTCGAACTTACTTCTCCCTATCTTGGGCATCATCCTCTGCTCGCTGTCTGTCTCCATCGTCCTGCAGGCACCAGCTGCGGTTGCGCGCTGCCTCGGAGGGCGGTGCGGTGCTGGAGGCGGGTGACTGGTTTTGCTCCAACTGCGGGGGGACCAACTGGCGGGACCGCAAGCGCTGCTTCCGGTGCGTACGGCAGTACGACAATACGACAGTGCGATAGTACGGATCTGATGGGGCCATCCATTGGGTAGTTGATTTGTAGGAAAACAATTTCCGTAACCTAGGTAACTAGGTAACCTAGGCAACTAGGTAACCTCAGCTAGGTACGGTAACTAGACATTAGGCAATGGCTGTTGACGGTCCTAGCTCCGCATGGACACATGCGCTTAAGCAAGCATGGACGCACTAACCCAGACCTCAACTCCAACCCCAACTCCAACCCCAAATCCCATATTCCCTCATGCGCCTCCAGATGCGCCGCCCCTGCTGACATCAGCGCCAACTCCATCGTCTCGCCGCAAGACATCGCGCAACTGTACGGCGATAAGCCACCGCGCCGCCGCCCGCGGCCGGCGGCGGCAGCCGCCGGCGCCGACGCCGATGCCATGTACGACGCACAGGCGGCGGCGGCGGCCGCCGCCGCCGACGCAGCAGCGGAAGCCGCTGCGCCGAAGGCACCCGCCCGCGGCGCCGCCAAGCCGGGTCGCAAAGCTCCCGTGCAGCTAACCGGTGCTGATGATGAGGAGGGTGATGGCGCAGCGGGGGTTGGTGGTGGTGGTGGTGGTGGGGCTCAGCGACGGGAGAAGCAGGGCAGGCAGGGGCGGCCGGGGCTGCGGCGGCGGGCGGAGGAGGAGGAGGGCGGCGAGGGAGAGGAGGCGGCGGAGCGCTGGGATGACGAGGATGGAGTGCCTTCGACGGCGGAGGTAAGGAGGCTTGCGCGCTGGGTGTTGGGGGGGAGCGCCGGGGAGCTTTGTGAGACCCCTGCGGGGAACAGCAGGTTAGCGTCGGCCGCCGATGCCCTCATGCCCATGCCCACGCCCATGTGTTCCCCCCCTTCCCTCCTCAAGGTACGTACCTCCAAGGCGTACCAACGCAGCATGGGCGATTTCTACTCGGAGCCGCCCCGCGGCAGCACCCGCGGCGGTAGCAACCGTGGCGATCGCGCACCCAGGCGTCGTGACGGCGACGACGACGACGCGGAGTTTGACGGTACGGCAGACGAGGAGGCTTGGCGGGGCCAGGGGGGCCGCGGAGGTCGTGGCAGCGACCGCGATGGCGGCCGCGGCGGGTCGCGTCGTTTCGACTCGCCGACGCGTGACATGGGTGCCGGCGGCGGACGGGGCCGTGGCGGGGATCTGGATTGGGACGAGTGGGAGGGTTCCGGTGCGGGTGGGGGTGCGATGCGTGGCGGTCGACGTGGGGGCGATGGTCCGGGGTCGGATGGGATGAGGGGACGGCCTGGTCGGGGTGACGGCCCCCGGGGTTCCGGAGGCGGCGGTTTCCCCCGGAATGTGGAGGAGGAAGGGCAGGAGGGTGCGGGCGGCTGGGGGGGTCCTAGGCGCCGGGAGGAGAGGGAGTTTGGGGCGGGAAGGCGGGATCGGGGCCCGCAGGGGGACGCGAGGGGCCGGCGCGGCGGTTGGGGTGAGGAGGAGGTGGAGATGGAGGAGGAGGGTCGTGGTAGGGGCCGGGGCGTTGGTGGGGGTTTTGGTGGGCGGCGTGGGGGGTGGGAGGAGGAGCGGGAGGGCCGGCGGGGTGGTCGAGGCGGGCGGGGTGAGGAGGAGTGGCAGCGGGACGGCGGGGAAGAGGAGGATGGGGAGGAGTTTGGAAGCCGTGGGGGGCGGTGGGAGGGCAGGGGCCGTGGAGGGCGGGGTGGGCACCGGGGCGGGGAGGGCGGCAGGGGCCGGGGTGGAGAGGGGCGAGGGGAGGGCGAGGAGAGGTGGGAGCGGCGCGGGAGGGGTCGTGAGGAGGAGGAGCGGGAGCCCCCGGCGATTGGGGGCAGCAGGGGCGGACGAGGCGGGCGGTGAGGGGTGTAAGAGAGGAGTGTGGAGAGATGTGAAGGTAAAGCGGACGGGGTAGGTGTGAAGGTAAAGCGGGTGAGAGAGGGGAAGGGCAGGGTGGAGGGGGTGGTTAGGTGGTATCGAGGACATATCCTACCCAGGGTGGTGAGGTGAAGGTGTGTGTGTGGCGCTCCCTCGCGCGCGCATGTGAGGAGGACGTAAGGAGGAGGCTGACGAGCTGTGCGAGAGAGCGAGGGGTCAGGGGCTGAGGATCGTGAAATACCTGGTATGATTGGGAATTTAGCATGGTCAGGGTATACGCCGGGTAGTGAGTACGGCGCTAAGACTTCTCTTGGACGGTTATACTGGAGAAGGGGCTCGTGTCCCCCTCGATATCCCCTGCACTGTAAGTCTTGCCTGATTTTTCCGTTTGCTTACAACACCAGACTCATTGCTTGGTAAGGCTCTTCCGATTGGTTCCGTCGTTTCTTATATCTGCAGTAGATCATTCCTATGCCATGTCCTAATGAAAGGCAGCAAGTCCACAGCCGGACAGCCACATAGCAAAGTGGAGGCAGGAAGCGGCCGTACTGGCTCGGCTGGGCTCCACTGGGCGCCCAAGCTCCGAAACCCCTCGTCTACGACTCTAGACACAACCTTTTCGTCCTGCTACTCCTACAAAGCTATAATCAAATAGGAAAACACAACTCCGCTCGTCAGTATGATACCTCTACAATGCATTACTGGTCTCCGCTTCTACAGCGCAAACCGCGTCTTGCAGCGCCGGGTCTAAACGAGCATGCTCTCCTCCCTCCCTTCTGCCGCCTCTTTACTTCCCGCCACCCCGCCTCTTGCTGTTCCCCTTGCCACTCGATGAGGGCCCAGCTGAGCCCTGCCCCTTGCCGATCGGAGCGCCCTTGTCCCTGCCTGCCTTCCCAGCCGCTCCAACCCCCGGCGCCAACTCCAACTGATCTGCCCAAACGAAGAAATCGCACTGCTTGGATCGGTCCGAGATGCTCCACCGGCCACAGCTGTAAAACTGCCTACCCAGGTTTGCCCCCGGCTTTTTGGTTGTACGGAAATGCGCCGCCACTCCGCAACGACAACGACCTAACCAACGACCAGAATTGTCGTACAAGGGAAGTTCAACAGCCGCCGCCGTCGCTACCGCCGCTACCGTCACCGGCCCTGCTGCTGATGACGCCGTGGGAGACGACGGAGTTATGGTTGTGGTGGTAGCTGCAACAACGGTGGCTGCCTCCGAGGCGCCGGTCGTTGGGGCTGCTGCTGTTGCTGCCGTTGGGGTGGTTGTTCGTTGTGTAACGGTTGGCGGCGTAACGATGACTGAGTGCGGCGGCTGCGGCGGGGAAGACGCTGCTGCTGTTGCAGCTGAGGACCGCGCCGGCGTGAGCGTCAAGACGGTCTGTCGCAGCATCCCCTTGCTGCCACCGCCGCTGCGGCCGCCTTCCCCCACCTCATCTCCACCATTAATGTGGACAGGAGCGTCCGGCAACTGCTGCTGCTGCTGCTCTCGATCGGCCGCTTGTTGCTGCCGCGGCTGAGAACCTTGCGACTGCTGCTGCCCTGTCCCCCCCAGATGCTCCTGCTGCGGCCCCTCCTTGAAGCTGTCGGTGACTCGCAGCACGCAGCCGTCCTGCACCATGCGCCCCAGCAGCGCCGCCGTGTTGCGTGAGTCATCCAGACCGCTGTGCTCCTGACCCTGCCAGCGGAGGCCTGCATGCATGCATGCATCAGCAGAACAGCAGGGCAGCAGGGCGGAGGAAGAGGAAGGCAGGAGGACAGGAGGGGGGCATGAGGGCATCATGGGAAAAGAGGGGGCGGAAGAACAGGCAACCCCGGAAAGCAATCCCCGGACGCGGGCTTTAGGAACCACTCGCCGCGAGCGCTACCATGGCGACACGACCTGGCAGGTGCTAGCCCACTGCCCGCTAAGCGAGCACACCACACGAGTTGAAACACGTACCTAGCGCCTCCACGCATTTGCGCAGGTTGCTCGTGCGCCGGTAGCGGTTGGTGTAGAGTCGCTTCAGGTTGCACCAGCGGCGCAGGTAGGGCGGGCGCGCCAGCTGCCGCCACTCGCATTCCGTCTCCAAACAAATCTTCGAGCGCAACAAAATGCGGTGCACGGTGTAGGTGAGTTTTATAAGCCTTGCGACGACGGAAATATGGTGGAAATACCGGTAGTGTGAACGGGTTCACCACGCAGCGTGTGTTTCCAGTTCTAAGCGCCATCTGTCCTCAATTGCCCCTTTAATTCAATGAAACCTTCATGACCTTATATCTCCAGCCCCATGCTACTCGATCCGCCCCCCCCAGCATGCCCTTCATTCCGCACTGCTACTGCTACCGGTATACCGGTATACCTTGAGGTCCCAATCGGTCCAGGTGACGGGCAGCAGTGACACACCCTCACGCAAGGCGCCCCGCTCGGCCAGCCAGCCTTGGAACCGGAGCAACACGTCCGACAGGAGCGGAGCAGAGTCCACCTGCATGGGCGCGGGGGGCGGAGCGGGCGGGTGGGGGCATGTCGGGCAAGTCATTGGACGGTTGGCCGTTGACCGTTAACACAGCTACACAGCGGGGGGCCATAACAAGCGTGCTTGCCCCTCCTGGTTCCATCGTGGTTCAACGCCCTTAGTCGCTCTTACCTGGTCTTGCTGAATGCCTGTGAGCTCCACGCAGAAGGGATCCAGGGTGGGGTGAACCGTGGGTCGCACGTAGGACTGAAACTCCCCCAGGCTGGCGTCCAGGGAGGGGTTGCAGCCGGGCAGCAGCACCGCGCTGACCTCGATGATCTCGACTGGGAAGAGGTCGCGGCGCTGGGCTCACGCAAGGGGTTGCCGCGGTTTCGGAGCGGGCAACAGGTGGGGGGTGAGGTGCATGGGAGGGTAAAATAAGGACATTGACGAGGCAACCATTGGGAGGGTTGAGAGACATGCGAGTCCGGTAGCAGTGGGGAAAAAGAGGAGCAGGGAGGGTAAAGGGAAGCGGAGCGGATGTTGATGCGGGGACAGATTGGGGGTGCACGGGGCCAAGGCGGAGGACGACACACGGCAGTTGACTCAGTACCCAGGCCATATGCCCTCGTACCTTGGTACACGTGGCCTCCAGGTCAAGTACGAGAAAAAAGTCGTGGACCTGGCCCCAATGTGTAGGAGGGAGCAGATAAGGAGAAGTTAGGTTTTAAGAGGTGCGGCCAGGGAGGTCGTATGAGCAGGGCAAGGGCTGCCTAGGCGCAGGCATTGACCAACGAGCATTGGCATCCTAAACGGCGTTCCCACACACATCGTACAAACCTGACGAGGAAGATTCCGGGTTCCAGGACCACGGAACGGCGACAACAGCCGTGCTCGCTTTGCTTGCGGCTCTTCCGCATCGCGGCCGGACGTGCTGGGACCCTCCGATGGGTCCATGGGCGACGCAGGATGAGAAGCCATTGAAGGTTGTGTGGCTTCGGCAACCTGACCCGTCGAAGCTGTAAGCGCCCCAGTGTAAGCTTCGATAGCTGAGCTGTGAGTTGCAGCTAAGTTGTCCTGGGAATCCGGGTTCCGCCCATGAACATTTACAGTTGAAGCCGGTACCTCCTCAACTGAATTGGTGACTTTATTTGCTGTAACAGCAGAAGTGCTCCGTATTGAGGTGGAAGTGGGTGGCTGCGACGCTGTCCGTCGCTCAGTAGTTGCCGTTGTTTGCTTTTTCGCTCGCCCAGCCGACTTTTTGTTTGTAGGAATAGTTGTATGGCCACGGTGTGCCATTAATACGTCGAACGCATTCCTAAGTGGCGTCGCTGTGCCCTGCGACATGTCCTGCGTGACAATGCAATCCCTAACCGACACCTGGAGAACCTGCGCTGCGGTGTCTTTCCACGTAAACACAGCTATCGTGCTTATATATAAACGCGAGAAACAGTATTAATGCCTATCCTCTTGCTGCGTTACCCAAGGCTGCATGTACGAACGAAAGAAGCCCGCACTTGAGGGACCATGCATGACCCTCTCTTTGTCCATGCTGTCCGCGGGGAGGTTGCTTTCAAGCGGGGGGAATAATGGGCTGTGTCTGAAACCGGTAACAGTTACGAAACGCTGCAATGGCAGCGCGTGCAGCGTGACTGGGCGACGCGCAAAGTGCGCAAGCACATCACCAAAGGAAGAGCAAAGCAAAAAGTGGACGATTACCAAGGCAAGGGACTCCTAATACACATTGCACGCACGCACCTGCACAAGTTCGCGCTACACTGTATTGACGCTGTATCCGCAGAACGCACAATGGGCGACGTTCAGATTTTGAGGAACGCCCAAATCTCTCCTGCTATCAGCCGCGGGTAGTGTTGTATGGCAGCGGACCTGCCAAGCTTGGTCCGCAGCAGCAGTGCCTTCTGAACGTGCTGAGCAACAAAAAGCACGGCACACACACCCGCGAATCCCACACCCGCAAGCATTGTGTTTGTCCTATGATTACTAAAGACATATCAAACTGGTTCTGTACACGCCACCACGCTGCCGCCACTGCCGTATAGTAGCACTGGACACTGAACGACCACGGGTGTATTTAAACTAACACTCTCCTACAAAGCCACTGCCGACACATTAAGCTCATTTTCACCTAGCGACTTATGCCCCTGCTTAAACCCCGTTTTCCCAAACCCAACCCGGTGACATAACCCATCGGTCTAGCCAGCGAATGCCTTGCTTTGACCCAATCAAGCCTAGACTAAAGCTAACACACTCCTGCTTGGATTGCAAAACTGCGCAACCAGCTCATATAACTATTGCTCCTGCACCAGACACTAATACCACGTCGACGGGACACACCCGTACGCAGGCACTCACCCATGTCAGGCAGTCAGACATGCGGACACATCAAACAAGAGTCGTGCCGCTGCAGTTTTTCCCCAACGCAACAGACGCCCGAAAGCCACCCTCCACGTCCGTTTCCGCAGCAAGAAGGGAAATACGTCAATTCCGGACACATCACTAAACCAAACCATCCGGGCGTCCAAAATGCAGCCCGATCGACCAGCCCAGCGCACAATGGACGGCCAAACCTGCCTACCAAGGCTTCCGGCAACACACCACAATGGCAAGCCTCCTGCATGTTCCCGACGCAACATGGGGTACCCTGCATGGACTACCCATCAAACCGCTGCAGCAAAACAAACATTAAGAAATGTATCGCGCGCAAACAACACACGCCAGCCTGCCGCAGCACCCTCGTGACATGCAGAAGCGATCGTGCAATGCACTACTGACGGAGTCCAGGCCTGCGTGAATGCCGACGTGCTGCCTTCCTATGCTCATTCTGATCCGACCAGCAACCTAAAACGGCAGGTTGGTGGCCTTCCGCAGCAGGTCGATGGCCCAGTTGACGTTGTTGCTGGACAGTGAGTCGTCGCCGCAAGAGAGGATGAAGCTGATGAGCGCCGTCCACTCCCGCCCTGGGTGCTGTGCGAGCGCCGTGCCGGTGGCCTGGATACAACATGCCAAGGGAAGGGTCAGAATGTCATTGTGCCTCTTCAGCAGTGTGCACAAGAAGGCTAGTCGTCTACAATCCAAAAGCATCGTATAACCAGTGATTCCATGTGCAAGTACGAGCCAAGAGGGAACAAAGTAAGACCAACGCCCATCCAGTCACATGGTAAGGCCCTCCCAAATCCTACGCACCGGCATCACGCTGCAGAAGTCGCCCAGCAGCGCAATCGCGGCCCGGGCCACGTCCTCATCGAACGCGTCGCCCGCGGTCTTGTCCGCACCGATACTGGAGATAAAATGGAACACGGCGGGCAGCTCCTGCATTAGCCGGTCGCGGCTGGAAGGACCCGAGTTGGTGCCCCTGGTGATGTCGTCGCCCATGCCCTGCAGAATGCCGGAGAAGGCGTCGATGATGCCGCGCCGCAGCAGGTTGTTGTAGTCGTACGTGTCGTAGTCTGCAATGTACGGCAGAAGGGTAAGTGGGTAGGATGTCGTGCAAGATCAAACAATGAACTTTGTTAAACGAATGATGGACACGGAGTGCATATGGATGTCAAACGCAGACAATCTCCGTTGGCTTCAGACGTCTGAAGGACACATCCCGGCAGGATGCATGCACAAGTAGCTACACCCGTAGTACCGCCGCAATCACTGCGCATGTCGCACGCCCGTTCTGCCTCAACAGGAAGGCCCTGCACCCGCTTCCCTCAGCTTACCGTTGGCGCTGACCATCTGCACGCTCATCTGCATGGCCTGACGCAGAATGGTGAGCACTGCGTCCAGGTACTTGGCAAACAGCCCCTCAATGGCAAGCGCCATGTCACCCAGCACCGTCAGCAGCTCGGGCTTGATGTTCCGGTGCACATTGGGCGAGCCCAGGTTGGCCAGGATAATGGAAACCAGCTCGTCGCAGTACGGCCAAATGGCTGCGCCCACGGCGCGGCTGACGTCGCCCAGCACGCCCACTGTGGACAGGCACACCTGCCACTGCATGTGGTCTTGCAGGCCGGCGCGGATGTAGACCATGAACTGCTGCAGGTACTTCTCAAAGTCGGGGCCGACGGCGACGGTGAAGGTGCCTGCGGCCAGCATGGCTTCTTCGTGCACGCCGGCGCCGCTCTGGGTGCCCGTGAGCACCTTCAGGAGCGTCTCCATGATCTGCATTGCATGGGCAGGTTTGAAAGGACAGCAGACGTTGGGTTGAGCAAGAAGCTGAGCTGCAGGTAATGTAGGCCAAGAGGGTAGCAACTTCGGCACTAGCGGACGGATACAACCCAGACAAGTACCCAAATTAACCATATGATGAAGTGCGTACAGGAGGCTCCAGGCTCCTCACCTGGTCGCGGAGGGGCACCAGCGCCGCCCTGGCATCCTCGCTGCGGCACAGGCGCTCCATGCAGACCTGCAACATGCCGCACAGCTGGCCCTGCAGCGCCGCCATCTTCTCGGCCGCCTGCTGAGACGTGATGGGGACCTCCAGGTTCGCGTTGATCGCCCGGAGGACAACCTGTGAAGGCAGTACGGCAGCACAGCAGCACAGATTGATGGAACCATATTTACTGGAAGCGGATACTGACAGGATACAATGGATACAGCAGCGGGGGAACACGGACAAAGGCAACAACAGGTCAACAACACGAGGAAGTACTCCCTGTCTCACCGTGAGCAGCGTGCCAACGAACTCCAGGGTGTCGCGCGCCGAGGTGCGGACCAGGTCGTTGATTGCCTCGTAGGCCGCAATCTGGGCCTTCCCGCTGTTCTCCACGGAGGGGTGGTTGCGGAAGACCTCGGCAGCCTCGTACAGCTTCTGAACCAGGTCCTTCAGGTACGGCGACAGCGGTGACGTGTCATCTGCAGGCAGGCAAGGGGACAGGGGCTTGCCGGTCATCGTCTTCGTCTTCGCCGGCAACGCACGGGCCAAAGCACATGCGCCAACACAGGCGACCAACTGGACAGGACAAGCAGCTGAACCAGGACGACCAGCTGACCCTCGTCCTAGCAGCAGGCCCTGAAGGGTACAGTCTGGTACCCTTCAGGGCCTGCTGCTAGGATGATGACCAGCTGGTCGTCTCGGTTCAGCTGCTTGTCAACTGGCGAAAACTGTAACCAGTGTTAAAGCACCCTCACCGCCGGCAGAGTTGAAGCCCAGAGCGAGAAGGCGCACGGCATCGCACACATAGTAAGCGACGCGCGGCTCGTCCTTCAGCGACTCGACAAGCGCGGTCAGCAGACTGGGCAGCATCTCCTTGCTGACAATGGGCGCAGCGTTGTCAGGCTCACACCCGTGCACCTGCTCAAACACCTGGCCCAGCGTCCACGCAGTCGTCTCCTGCGCATGATGACACGTTCCACATGGAAACACACCATCACCACACCTTCATGACGAAAACATGCAGGTATGAAACGGAACAGTAATGCCTTCCAACCATGGCTCCTAAGACATCACCTGAGACTGCAGCGCGGCCCAAGCATGCGCGCATGCATGTAAGCAAGTCGAAGGGGGTAACTCACTCACCCGGACGATGCGGTTGGGGTCCTTCAGCGCGTTCACCAGGAACGGAAGGCCGGAGCGGACCGCCGGGTCAAGGGACAAGACGCTGGGGCCCTCCATGATGGAGCCGAAGGCAAAGGTGGCGGCCTCTCGGAAGTGCCAGTCCGTGGAGGAGATGTTGGCCTGAATGAAGTTCAGCACCTACACAGACACAGCGGTGGGAGCGGTGTCTTAGGAATGCAGGAAGTCCTGGAGCAAGGGCGCCAAGCTCCAGTCAACAACATCAAACGCACTAACGAAAGACACGCACGCCGGGATTCGTTACAAGCGGAAACAGATCAGCGGTCTTGGGACTTGGGACGTGTCCACGGCCTCAGGTTCCATGTACCCGTTACCCGCCGGTGGACGGATACACCGGCCCGAAGGCAAAGGATGTGCCGCAAGCCCCTAGACCGCCAACGATAGCCCCTTTCCACCCTCTCCCAACCCGGTACTGGTATCCCCTCCCCCTCCTTCTCCAAGCACGCCCACACGCACCTGCGTCACAATGCGGTCCTTGCAGATCCGGGCAAGCAGCTTGAGGCAGAAGCCGGCAGCCATGGCGCGGTTCCAGGTGCCCTCGTCCTCCAGCGCATCCTCGTCCTGCTTGGTCAAGCACTCCAACAGGATAGGCAGGAGATAGTCGGCAGCGCTGACGATGAAGTTCTTGCACTCCGAATCCTTGCCATCGTCAAGCAGCTCAAGCTCGAACTCAGCAATGGTGCTCCAGAACTCAATCGCCTGCGTGGCCACCTCGTCCTCATCCTCCTTGATGGCCTTCGTGGTGAGGCCGTACAGCTCTGTCATGTACGACTGCAGCTTAGGGTAGTAGTTGTCAGCAATGTGCTGCAGACACTGGAAGGCTGCGACGCGCATGGGCTGGCTTGGGGCTTGCGTCCCTTGGCAGACGACCTGCATCAGGTAGTTGCGCTCGTTGTCCACTTCAAAGTTGTTCTTGGCGAGATGGATGGCATTCGTCAGCGCCTTAATAGCGGCCAAGCGCGCGTCATCCGCCTCCGTGGCGCCCATACCAGCTACGATGGCCGTCAGGATCATGTTAATGTTGTCGGGGGACAGTAGCGACTCGTCAACCTCCTCGCAGATGTAGCCCAGAGTCGTGAGCGTCGCCTGGCGCGTACCCACAGGCGTCGGCGGCTGCGTGCCCATGTTGTTCATCAAGCTGGGAATCAGCGTAGGCCAATCCTTGTTTTGAATGTCGATGCTGGCAATTTTAGCAATGACCAGCGCGGTTGTCTTGCGCACATCGCCTTTCGGAGAGTGCAGGCATCGGAGAAGGACATCCCGGATATGCTGCTTTAGAGCAACATCCGTTGCCATCCATTTGGCGACAAGGTCTGCCCGCCGCGCCTGGTCCTTGGCATCCACCGAGTTTTTAAGCTGAAGGCCTGCAGCCTGACGCACATCATCAGCGCGCTCCTCATTGCCCAGCTCGTTGGTGATGCTTGCAAGGTAGCTAGGGAAGTTGGACTGCTTCAGCTGGTCGAGGTGCTGCTCTGCCTGCTGGCGAATGTTCGCATCATGGCTAAACGTTGAGGCCAGGGCCACAGAGAGATCCACAATTAAGGCCATGCTGGACACCGTTTGCGATTTTCAAAAGACAGAGGCTTGCCAAGCGTGGAAGAGGAACCAAGGCTGCCAACAGGTGACCAGATCTCAGGTGCCTGCGGCTGGCTGCGCAAGCTGCCGAGGACCACAGGAGTGATTGCAGTAAAACGCTGTGTACAGTAAGATGGTAAGAACAGGTGGTTCCGCGCCTATTCAAGGTATGAAGCCAATTACTGAGACGATCCTATAGAGGAGCAGTAGAATGGCAGAGGCGTAGCGAGCACCCTAGTCACAGCGCGTGCGCCCCGTGCCAAAGCTTCAAGGAAGCTCTTATGGTCCAGGCAGAGAGGGCAATCGAAAATGGCGCCCTAAATTGCCGTACACCGTTGGAACCAATGAATTCGCTTGCTGAATGTTTTTATATCAGGCTAATTCCCATAATATGGGACGTCCCAATTCCTTTTAGCAGACGGCCTTCATCCTATGCGTCCTCATGTACGACGCGGCAGAGTCGCGTTCAACAAAGCGACGTTCTACGATCATCGTGAACGTGCATGAGACCTGATAAATTAGGCGCACTTCAGGCGAAAAGCTACAAGAGCACAACCGAGGAACCTGCTATAGCTCTACCATTACCCTGCCGCGGCAGAACATAAACGCTGCTATCGATTCCGTCACGTTCTCCAGAACCCCGGAGCTTCTTTGTTGTTCTGTTCTAACCTAAACCCAAATGGACACACTAAAAGGCACCAGGTTTGCCCTCAGTCCCTCACTCCAATCCTCAAAATGGACCGGTACATGGCGGAACGGCACGTTCCTGAAACCTGGAATGGCCTCCCACAGCACGCCCAGCAGACCTTTTAGAAGGTGAAGCAGTCCAGCGTGCGGCCACGCTGTCCAAAGTCTCGTCGTAGTCGTATCCCTCCTGTCTACAATCAATGAAATTGCTACCGTTGTCCTTTCACGATAAGCGAAAACCCCGTTGAAAGCTCCCGCTGCCATATGCCAGTCTGGGGGTACATGCATACCTCCCTTAGTCGCACGCGCACGTGCCTAGCGGTCATCGCGGGCACAACAGCCCGTACGTTGCACAGACACGCTACTGCCTACTGCTTTCCTCCCTGCTGCTATCTTCAGGCCCCTTGACCTAAGCGGAACCACGCTTAGTGTTCGCGGAACGTTTCCTTCCAACACCCCAACACAACTATGCCATTACGACCACCACTCCATGCTATAGTAGGTTACACCGTGCCACCGCCGCAGACTGCCTGAACAGCTTTTGTTATACGCTCCACACCTCTCCCTCTCTCTCAAGTCAGTGCTTGAACCAACAACGTCAACCGTGGACCTCCCATCCGCATGCATCCTGCCCCACTCCAACCGCAAGTGCTGGCTGCCCTCCCCACACTGCTCCTCCCCACCCCTTTCTCTCCCGCCCCTTCCTCCACCTCCTCACCCACGCACGTCCCCTTCACCGCACCTCTCCTGCTGCCCCTCCCCTCCCTATCCCTCTGCCCTTCCGCCCCATCCCTCTGCCCATGCGCCCAGCTACCCTTGCGTCTTCAGCGCACCCTCCGGACAACCCTTTCCGCCCGGCCCCAGGTACGCCCCCAGCCGCTCCACCGCCGCAGCCAACTTGGCATCCTCCTTGCAGTAACAGAACCGCACCAGGTGTGTGGGCGGCTGCGGCCCGACGTAGAAGCCGGACACGGGGATGGTGGTGACACCGCCCTCTACTGTTAGCCGCTTGGCGAATGCCGCATCGTCCTCACCAGGACGCAGGAATTTGCTGCGCGGAGCAGGGGGGAAGAGTCCGGGGGGAAAAAAGAAATTCCAAAGTGTGGTATGATGATGATAAGTTGCTGACAAGTCCGGGGGGAGGGGGCATATGTCAGGGGCGGGCTTGCGTAGGGGGGTGGGGGGGTGGGGTTGCGTGCGGTGTAAAATCCATGAAGCAGCAAGACCGACACCGACCGCCAGTTTGTCCCGAGTGCGTGTACGACCAGTCCTGGGTACCGGTGTGAGGTGGTGATGCTAGGTTACCATTGTCAGTCACATCTGGTCTCTTCTCACGCACCCAGCCCTCCCTCCCTCCCATCCTTACGCCCTGCACCTGTTCTCCAAACAACCAGCACCCCCGCCCCCACCCCCCCACACACACGTTCACTTCATCTTCCGACAATCACAGTACGTTCCTACTCGCGGCCAGTTTTCTTAACACACGTTCACAGTACTTCCCGACTCGCCACTCGCGGCCAGTTTTCTTAACACACACGTTCCGGCTCGCGGCCAGTTTTCTTAACACACATGCACCCACTCGGTCGCCTGCTTGTCATCGCACCTGACGTCGGCGATCACGAAGTAGGCTCCATGCGAGGGCAGCACTCCGAATCCCAGGCCCGCCAGCTGCTCCGCCAGGTAGCGCCGCTTCACCTCCAGGCTGGGACCCAGGGAGCTGGGGGGAGTGGGGGGAAGAGGGGCCCAGGGAGTAGTGATGGCCCAGGGAATAGTTGAGGGATGCGTGTCTCCTCAGCCGCTCTCCCTCTAACGCCTGTACGGCTTTCCTTATTTTATCGCCGGTGTCGCCGCCCTTCCTTCTTGCCTCTACGTCTCTCCAATCCAAGCCCGCGGCTCCGTTCCACCAGCAAAGCCCCAGCCCTCAACCCAGCCTTCAGCCCGGTGCCCTCAGCCCGGTGCCCTCAGCCCGGCGCCCTCAACCCGGTGGCCTCACCGGTAGAAGTCGGGTTCGTTGTCCAGCCCGTGCGCCACTGCGCGCTGCAGCGAGGAGGGCACCGTGAAGACCAGGAACTGGTGCGCCTTGATGACGGGGGCCAGCAGCCGGGGCGGGCCCGTCATCCAGCCCACCTGGCACCCACCACGTCATCGCAGGATGGCGAGGAGGGAGGGAAGGAGGATTGATAAGTGCAGCAACGGAGGGAAGGGAGAAGAAGAAGGTCATGGTGTTGGCAACAACAATCGTGCAGGAGAAAACCATGGTGTTAGTAATGATACGGATAGTAGTGGTACAGCCCACCAGGTGTGGTCTGTGGTGCAAGCCCTGGGGGAGAGGATGCAATCAAGGGATGCCGGAGAGGGGGCAGGGTTACGGGGGGGGGATGCGTGTGGATGGCGGGCTGCCGGTGGCCTTATTCGGAGGGGTGCATGGACGAGGTGCATGGAGGGCACAGGGAGAGGCGGGGAGGAGGGGTATGCGGGACAGAGCCCTAGTGCGGTGGGTTGGGGGGCTGCAGTTGCCGGCACGCACGTACCTTCCATGCAGTGAAGGAGAAGGTCTTGCCCGCCGAGCCCAGTCGGATACAGCGGTTCTTCATGTCGGGCAGCGAGCGCAGCGAGATGTGCGCCGCGCCGCCAAACACCAGGTGTTCGTACACCTCGTCACACAGCGCGATCAGGTCGTGGCGGATGCAGAGCTCGGCAATGGCCTCCAGCTCCGTGAGGGTGAATACCTGGGAAGGAAAAGGGGGGGAATGAGGTCGTGAGGAGGTCGGGATGCGGCGAACCCGAGGAAACCGGCTACTCGTGAAGCGTGGTAAAGAGGCGCGACGCCCCTAAGATACCCTATACGTCATCGGTGCGCATCGATCATTAATTCATCATTCATTTTCCCGCCCCCAAGCAGTGGCTCCAAGCAGTCTACGAAGCCGCATCTTTGCCTGGCCGCTAGCGTCAAAATTTTCCCACCTTGCCGCTTGGGTTGTGAGGACTGTTAATCATGATCATCTTGGTACGGGGAGTAACCGCCGCAGCCAGCTCGTCCAACGGTACGGAAAAGTCGGGCAACCGCAACCGTACAGGCACGATAACGGCGCCAGCTCGGCGAGCCATGGAAACGTAGCTGTCGTACATCGGGTCAAACATGATGACCTGTGAGCCCGAAGTACGGCAAGTCAACGCATGAAGGCGGTTCGGATCTGTTTTAAATTCATCCATCTCCATCCTGCTGGATTTCGCCTTTTGCGGTTGAGAAACGTCCCGAGCAGGGAAAGATCCCCCTGCACCCTACCTCGTCCCCCGGGTTGATAAGGCCCAGAAAGCACGCCGCCAGCCCCTCCGTGGCGCCAACCGTCACCAACGTCTCAGTGGCCCAGTCCACGGGAATGCCCTGGTTGGCCTCGCTGTGCCTCGCAACGGCTTGCCTTAGCTCCGGAACCCCCAGCAACGAGGGGTACTGGTTATGGAAGTCGTACATTGTGGAGGACGCAATGCGTTTCATGGTCTCGGGACCCTCAGCGTCTGGGAAGCCCTGACCCAAATTGACGGAGTTGTGTTCCATAGCTAGGGGAGGAGAAGATTAGAGGTGGGAAGGGGAAGGCGAGGATAACGGGCATGAGGAAGGGAATTGGGGCCAGGTGGGGATCACCGGATCAAGAAAAGGCCATGTTTTACAGTAAGGGATACGGAGACTTTTGTTGTACATGTATTACTACATACTGTGCTGTTTGACAGGGGCATGTGCGCTTCTATGTGAACAGGGAATTCTGCAAGCAAGACGCACCAAGCTTGCTCATGACCTCGAAAATCGTAGTCGGAAGCGAGCAGAACAGTTCGTTAAGTGGCTTGGCAGGAACACTAGTGCCATTCTTCTCAGACGCTGCGCCGGGAGACATGATGGCCACCGAACGATGAGCGACGAGCGAGTAGATGTACGCCCAGATACTGCCCGAATATTATTTAATTAGGCGTTCTACTATTAGCCTTTGCTTGATGGCCGAGTGCAAGCTGCAACTAACGAGACCTTAACGCCGCCGTTAACTGCAGCCAGCTCAGATTTTTGGATACAAGGGTGATTACAAAATTACCACCTACGGGAAGTAAGATCTCCCGGCTCAACAGCACGCGTAACGTCCGAGGCCACGGCCTGAAGTTTACTAAACGCCCACGTGGGCCGTATCATCAATCCTGCTCCGCAACACATCAGCCCCTCATTGGAAAGACAGCCTAAAAGTCTTCACATGGAGTTCATCAAATGATCGAACCCCTAAGGATTAGCCTTGAAAAGCTGGGCCCCTCGGGGCAGAGCGCAACCCCTGAAGCACGAGGCATGGCTGTCCCTTTCACCCACCCCCCACCTCCCAGCCAGGATCGGGAGTGCTTGTATGCATGGGATGTGGCCATCATGGGAGATGGCCTACTCTTAACCCTACAAGCTGCCATGCCCCAACGCTGGTTCGACAATGAGGCCAGCTCGGGCCCACACGCACTCCAACTTGCACGTCATAAACGGGGCATGAGCGCATGACACAAACGTCACAGCCTTTCGGACGGTGGCATCGACCCAACCAGAGCCCGCCTAGGACACACGGTAGCCGCCAAGATCCTGCGGGCTCCTGTCGTCTCGGATCTTATCCTTTCACGCTGCTACCCAGGACGTCGTACAGCGCCCCATTTCCCCAACGCCCTACGCATGCTACATCAACCCTGATGTAGCAATGGCGGCCCTCCTGCCCGACCCGACGCGCTCTGGCACCAATCAAAATACATGTACGGCACACACCAGGGGTGCCCCAGCATGCGCGGTCACGGGGAGGCGTGCAAACGTAAGGCCCTCTGTGTTGACGGGTACATGGGTTGCTTTCTGTAGCAGCGACTGCCCATGCGATAATGAAAGCCGCCCATGCATCCCACCAGCACTGTGCAGGGTAGCACCTCTGGGCCAGACCGCTAGTACGGTTGGGACCGGGTGCAAGGACCCCTTGCCGGGGATCTGTCAAAAGGGGCCCCTGGGCGGGGGACCAGCGCCTAAAGGGCCTTCAAATGTTCCTAAGGATTCACGCAATAGTAAAGCACTTGCGATGGTGCAGGAGCGCATGCATGTTACTGATGGATGCAGTGGGTTGCTGGACTCTGGCGGGGCAGGCTCAGTCGCCAGAGTTGTTGTGTGCCGAGGTAACTGTTGGGGGACCGTTGACACGAATGAACACTGCATAGATCTGAACGTTGCAGGCCACGAACGCCAATCCTGAAAAGCTAAATAAGCCAGCAATAGAGTCGTGCCCTAGTTGGATAATCTCGGGGGCATATTGTACTGTACATTGCAAGATATCAGCTGGCCAGAAGTGAACTACCTGGCCTGCCGACAGCTGCAACCTTCATACGCAATGACATATTTTACCTTTAAAGAAAGTTGCAGAAAGCAATCGTGCAACTTTCGATGTTGTTCGTAAAGATATCTTGCATTCGTGGCCCCGGCGCCACGTCTCGTACAGCGATATTTGGCCTGGAGGTAGACTGCAGGTAGCGTGTCATGCAATGTTCGTCGAACCTCCGATGCTTTAAAACATGAAAGCTAGCAGATCATAAGCCTAGTTCAACTTTCACAGGCGCCCTTAAAAGATACTATATCTGTACGGCGGCTTGATATTTTTAGAAAAATCCTTGGGTGACAAAGATTGGGAGCCGCCGACCTCGCACATCAGTGCTATACTCGATAAGTACTAAATATCGCTCAGGACATAGCTGTGATTGGGTGATAGTAGCGTCATCTTTGGTGACACTGTTGGAGATATTTTTAGAAGCCCTTGCTTCTTTGTCCGCGTCGCTGTAGGCAACAATTTAAAAATACAACTGTGTAAGGTCATGTCAGAGTAAGCCAAGCCTCACAATGTCTGGCGCTGCTAGCACCGAGAAGCCGATATCCGAAGCGAACTCTCCTGGTGTTTCCACGTCACACCCGAAGTGGAATGCTCTGGAGTTTCAGTGCTCCATTTGCTACGAGCTTCTTCTGAACCCCGTTGTCGGTAAGCGCGCTTTGGTCCCGCTAATGGCTTTTTGCCTCAGAATCCACCTTCCTCTTACAAGAAGCGCAGTCGCATGCGTTTGCTCCTGGTTGAGGTCACTCATTGTTAGCGCTTATGAATGGCATTATTTTGCGGGGCCGTAATACTTGTGAGCGAGTAAAGCGCATCTAGGCTAGACGAGTATTTGGGCTCAAGGATATGGCGCTCCTCATGTACAGTACTGCCTTCTTTTATATTTCAGGAAGTTGTGGCCATGATTTCTGCAAGCACTGCATCGAGGAGTGGAAGGTGTCTCGGCAGTTGATAGGGCAGGCGGTGCTTTGCCCCATATGCCGAGCCGTGCTGCTTCCGTCCGCCGACCAGTCGTTTGGTAAGTCGGCATACAGCTTCCACCGTTTTTGTCCCGGAAGGCTACCTACTTGCACTTTAGGTCCTAGAGCATGGCTCTGTCATCATTCTGCCGACGGCCTGCGGGGTATTGCTTGCTGTGGGCGCCGCTGGCCACGACCTAACATTACTGTACGTGCCGCTGCCGCCAGGTGTCTGCATCCGCTTAAGGGAAACAATTGAGAAGCTCTTCCCGGAGCAAGTAGCCGCGCGACGTCGGCAGACTGGCCTCGGAGCAAAGGTCCGCAAGTGCTCAGGTGCGTGCCCAAGGATGTGCACAAGACGCTCCTGAGGGGTCCCGCAGCAGGTTTGAACATCGTAAACTCTAGGGAGGGATAGCCGAGTTGCTAGCTACGCGCGTGTACGCGCCATTATCTGCACGGCAGGATGCTGTCGACGTGTAACAGGTGTACCTGGATACCGGTAACCGTAACAAGTGCTTGAAACACAGAAGTCTTCTTATGCCCCAAAGCACGCAGAGGCTTTACAGTTGTAGCCCGTCAGCCCCCCAAGCTCCATTCCTCTTCCCGTTCTTACCACCGTACTCCCCCTCCCCTTCCCGTCTCACTTCGCCTTGCAGACGACAGCTGCCCCACCGCCTTTTCGCTCTCATCCTCTTCCTCTTCCGAAAGCTCAAGCTCCGCCACCACCACATCATCATCTGCCGACACCAGCGCCACCGCTGCCACCAATGCGACCCACAGCAGCGACGTACTCGCCGCCGGCGGCGCCGCCACCACCACCACTCCCACCACTGGCGGGGCTCCGGGCCCTCCCGCCTCCGCCAGCTCCTTCCGACACGTCGCCTTGCTGGATCTAGATCTCCTTTCCCGTGCCGCAGAGCAGTACCGCGAGCTGTCTATGTTGGTATCCGCCATCACTGCCGTACCGGCGCCGCCCGACACTGTCGTACAGGCTTTCACGCAGGCGGCCGCCTCAATGGCGGATCGGGCAGCGGCGGCGGCATCCGCGAGCGGTGGCGGCGGCGGCGGCGGGGGCCATGTGGCGGCTCCGCTGCCGCCACAGCAGGCGGCGGAACTGGCGCGACTATTCCTGTCTTCAGGCTCTGCGCTTACATCCACTGCGGCTGCCATGCACCACCACCCGCATCATCAGCAACAATCGCAACAGCACTATCCGTACTACTACCAGCAGCAGCAGCAGCAGCTTGGTCAGAGCGCCTTCTTCCCTGGCCCCTTCTACGGCCATCCGTACCAGCCGCAATCCCAGCATCAACATGCCTATCCACCGCAGCCGCAACTGGGACATGCAATACATCCAGGGACCGCGGCACAGCCGTACTTCTACTCCTACCCGCGGCAGGACTCGTCTGTAGCTAATGCTGCTGAGTCAGCGGCGGCGGCGGCCGCTGCCGCCGCCAGCACGGCTGCGGCGGTTGCATCCATGTCGGCACCCGACGCTGAAGCCTCCGTCGCCATGGCGGCTCAGCTGGCGGCGACGTCAGCGGCGGCGGCGCCAGGTCCGGGTGTCGTACAAGTAAACGGGAGCGCTGGCGGCGGCAACGGTAGCTTCCTGGAGGCGGCGCTGACGCTGCTGACGTCAGCGGCGGCGACGTCAACAGCGGCCGGCCAGCTACGAACCCTGGTTTCTGCATTGCACCATGAGCAGCAGCAGGCAGCGGCGGAGGGTGGCGCCGGCGGGGCGACCCATGGGTCAGCGGAGGGTGCCGTTTCCATGGCGGCAGCGTCGGAGGCTGCGGACGACGCGCTTCGTACGACTGCAAACACCGTACAGCAGCTGACGGCGGAGGCAGCAGCGCTCAACGGCTACCTCAGAATACATCACCAGCAGCAGCTTCAAGCGCACATGCAGGCCGCGGCGCACGCTCAACAGCTCTTCCACATGCAAGCGCAAGCGCAGGCCCATGCGGCTCAACAGGCGCATTACCTGGGCGGGTATCTCTTGTCGACTGCGACGTCACAATATCAGGCCCAATTGCCGCAGCAACCCCAGCAGCAGCAACCGCAACAGCCGCAGCAGCTACTGCTGGTGTCTCAACCCCAGGTCCAAACAACACAGCAACTGGTGCTAAGCTGGGGATCAGCAACCACAACCACCACAACCGCCGCCGCCGCTGCTGCTGGCGCCGCCAGCGTGCCCTTCTTCCTCGTGAACGGCCCACAGATGCAACAAGTTGGGTTAAATCCGACGCCAGTCGGAGACGCTTCCGCTTCTGTTTCCGCGGCGTACAACACGGTAACGCCAGGCCCCTTGCCGTACGTCGCTGCTGTCATGCCGCAACAGCCGCAGTCGATGTACTTGGCCGCAGCCGCGCCTGCGGCGGCCTGGTTGCCTGCCACTGCCGGCACGGTCACGACGCAGGAACCAGATACAGCAAGCGCGGCGACGGCTGCTGTGCCCACAGCTATGGTGACGGATGGCGGCGGCGAGGGCCCTTGGACTAGCCTGCCTGCCACCGCCGCCGCTGCTGCTGCCACTGGTGTTGCTGCCGCTGTTCACGGCCAGCAGCAGCAACAGCTGTGCAGCCACCTGGCCCCCTCTTAGCCGCCGGTCCGACCCATGGGTCATGTTTCTTACTACCCGTACGCGCAAGTTGCAGTTGCTGGGATCGAAGGCGGTGCCGCCGGCGGGGCTCCGTCCGGCCTTTCGCTTTCCACTTCACACCTGGCGCCGCGGTCACCGCCACCGCCTCGGCAAGCCGGGGACCAGCAGTCTAGGTTTGCTGTAGCTGTAGCTCTTTCTTTGGGAGGTTAACAAACAACCTAGTATTGCTTGTCATCGGCTGCCAGAAACGGAGTCAGTGCAAGGGGTAAGTATTGGAGGGAGTGGAGTGTTTTGCTGAGGTGCTAGGGGACTTCCGATTTCATGAATATCGTGCACGGTGCGTAAGGTACCAAAGAGGGGGCGTGTTGGTGTGCCTCCGGTATCCATCGTTTGTTTCGAAGTGAGAGGCGCGCTCAAGAGGACTACAGGAGGGAAGGAGGGAGGGAGGGAGTGTCTGTAAGTGTTGGGAGCTGCTTGATAGCTGTGGCGGTTTTTGGTGTGTGTGTGATACGATACACAAGGTAGCGCGAGCGCTGTGTTGGGATTTACAGGCGGATAGCTATACTGCAGCGTAGCAGCCGCAAAAGGCTGGAGCGCCGTGTGCTTCTTGTCTCCCTGATATAGTGCGTTTATCTTTCCAGAGAATTGCCGGGCCGGTTCAGTGCTTTGAATGATCGCAAATAAGTAGCATGCGAGTGTGTGTGCTATGGAAAGAGGGCACCGTGCCCGTTTCCGGAGTAGGTGGGGGCAATGGAGCCGCTGTCTCCCCTGTCCTGATGTGCTTTAGACGAGCTTCATTTGGTTGGATGCTGGTCCAGATTTCATTGGGGTGTCCCCTGCTGAGGGGACGATGTCGCCTGACAGGGATGTCGCCTGCTTAGGAAACGTTGCAGGAGTGCGAATTGCTGGAGGGAAGGCTGCAGGAATGGCCGTTGCCTGCTGCTTAGAGGAGCGTGTAGGATTACTGGGCGCCTGCTTAAGCGCCGATAGGAATGCGAAACGCCGTCGTTTAATATCGCTACATGCAAGCCGTATAGAGCGACTTTAATGCCTTCGCCAACGGGTCAAGCGTCCTTACATCATTTGGTTGACATTTCGACAAGCCAATTGATGACGTTTGACGAAACGCGGAGTTGGGCTGGCTAGCGGGTTAGGGTTATGTGGCTTGGCAGGGTTCAGGGGGTTGCAGGGAGCTCAGACGTAAGCTGTAAAGGGGCAAGATACATGCGTCGTGCACCTCTTGTAGTATTCAACTGTACAATGCCTGGGGGTCGGATTTTGTTTAGCGTGTTCCTGCTGCTGGGCCGGTCTGTTGGCCGGTCTATTGGCCGGTAGTGCCATGGACATCATTTCGTTCAAAGAGAGATCCGAGGCTTGGCCGGCAGCAAGGAGGAAGAGAGAGATGTAGAGAGCAGCACTGCCTGCCTGCTAATGAGGTGTCCAGTTGCGCCCGGTTGACTGGGAGTGCTTCTGGAGGGGGATATCCTGAACGAACAGCAGCGTCGGCAAGGCGTCGTCCGGAGGGAGCGAGGGTGTGTGGAGGGTGGTAAAAATAAAGAAAAACTGACAGCTAGGTTGGTGTCTGCTGGCCTGTAGGGAAGAGGGCTAGGGGCGGCCGGAGTGTGTGTTAAAGTAACTGGCCGTGTGGGTATCGTACGGAAATGGCATGCTGTGCGTGGCATGCTGGTTTGTGTGCGGAAAGCGTGAAAGAGAGTGGAGGTGGGCTGTCGTCAAGTTGTCTGGTTGCGTTACAGCCGCGGAGAGAACGGTGGTGCAGGGTCCTGTCCAGCTGTACACATGGGGAGGGAGGGCGACGAGGGATGAGTCGGCAACGAGGAGAAGAGAAGGCGAGGTTGAGGGCTATAAGACGTAATGGGGTGTAAGACACGTTTGGGACGTACAAGGATGCATGCATGGGCTCATAACCGACTTACCTGACGCCCTTACCGCTGTGGCTTGCCTGATGTAGTTCTGTCCGGACGCAACGGGGCTGTGTTGCGTCTTTTACGGCTAGTGGTGTGGCAGCATGAGGCGAGTATTAGTAAATGCACAATCGTAACTTTGACGCTATTCCGTTGGTGGTGAGGAGGCTGGTATCGTACCGTTATAAAGACGCAGAAGGACGACGATGCCGGTGACTAAAAACGGTAACAACAACTTGACAATACATAGTGCTGTCCTTAAATGTTGATCTTAGATGCTTTGATGCTTTGCTTTGGGCCGTTTGGGCTGTTGATGTCTAGCGGCGCCCACGCACACGCAACACGACGGCATGTGAGCAAGGGTAACAAGCTTGTGGACGGCCCTAATAAGGAAAAGTTGGTAGGGCATTTGATTAAATTTCATGATCGGCGTGAGAACGAGGGGCTCCGGCAGGGAGAGGAAGGGGACACAGGTTGATGCATGGTGCGTCTTGGAGTAGGGTTCAGCATGTGGAGTGTGCAGGGCAGCAGGTGCCAGCAGGCGCGTGGGACGTGATGGGACGTCGCGTGTGTGTGTGCTGCGGCTGCGTGCCAGGTGTGTTTTGTTGCGTGTCTTGGATTGCCCAGCGGTTGGCTCCTTACAACATGGAAGGCATGGGGGGCTGACTGCCGTTGCGGCTGGTTGTGGTAGGGCGCGGGGTGTGCTGCATGGGTTTTGTGGCTTGTGTGGCGCTCGTGGTAAGGGAGGCAAGGAGCCGTTCGCGTGTAAGGAGGGTTGACGAAAAGACTTGACAAACGCATGCCATTCTTATGTTGTCTCTTTACAGGGATATAGCCATTCCTGACTCGCTCACGAGTTATGGTAGCCACACACTTACCGGTCGCCACACACTTACCGGTGGGTGTTCACTCGTATTTAGGCATCTTTAAATGTGTTGTACCTTTCCATGGGGAGTGTGCAAGAGGGATTAACTGTGTTTAGGGGTGGGCGATGAGCGGATACCGGTAAGTCGTGCCGGCCGCTAGGGAGAAGGAGCGCCGTTTTTTGTGCGGTTGCGTGTGGCAGAAGCGCACAATCTAACGGAGTGGAGAACACCGCCGTAATGCTGTTGCTGTTGCTTCTACGGCCTGTTTGTAGTACCTAGAACCGGTATATACTACATACCGGTAAGAGATTGCTTTCGTGTGGCAGGCCACACTTTCTCAACGATGTGCATCTAAGATATAACCTTTGTTTCTTTCTCAGTTCCGCCGCCTAGTGCTCACGTGATGTTGTCCTGCCCACCCTGTGTGCCCCTCACACTTGTGCGCCTTAGTTGCCCGCACCGAAGCATACCCAACAACGGTTTCCGTCCTTACCGTTGTCGAGTCTTCTAATCTTCTATTCCGCTGTAACCTACTGTAACTGTAACTACCGGTGCCAGAATGTGTACGGGTACGGCTTTCTTGACGGCCAGGGAGGCGTGTAAGGCAGCCTGAGGACGCCTCCCAAGCAGGTCGGTTTCCAGAAACGTTCAGTGCCCTGCAGGCTTTCTTACAGTGGGCTAGAGAGGTCACGGGCGGCTTGCAAGAATTAATTTATGTGTCGCCTCGCATGTCTCCGGATGCTCTTCCTGGCAAACAGTTGGAAAGATAGAATTGCCGTAACGGCAGGAAGTTACAGTGTTTCCAATGCTTAAATTGTCCTCCCACCAGAATCAGCTCTCTTGGGTAGGTTGCGGGTAAGGCAGGATGTGGCATGGACCCATGTTCACATGCCAAAATGGCCCTAGTCACAAACGAATGCACGCCATATTACATGCGTCTCGCTTTCATCCATGCTATAGTTTAATGGGCGATACACATCGGCATCGGTGCGGCCGGTGTCGCCGATCACCTTACTCATGGACTGCTCACGTTAAGCAGCACGCTTAAGAGTTAACGTGCCGTTCGGTAGAATGCATTGACACAAATTTGCTTCGAAACACGCCATCTCAGATCGTCTGTTGTCAAGGGCTTCCGGGCTCCGAAATTCACCCCTGTAATTGGTCACCTACTTTATGTCATCGTTCATTCTTGCATCGGACATTGTGTCACCTTATACTAAACTGCAGGTATCTAATTATCAGTAACAGCTGCGCACTCCCGCACCCAGGAAGGCTAGCGCAGGTTAGCTAAACGCTCAAGGTTCCATTACGCTTCGGATCAAGGCTTTCGAATGCGGTGCGCTCTCAGCCGCCTGTCCTTGGGCACAGGAACGCAGCTGCGACTTCAGCAGCGGCTTCTGGGCGCTTCCGTTAACGCAAGCGCCTCGATTGATACCAACCACATCGCACCGCAAGCTCAGCGCCTAGGCCACCTTCTTGACAATATCTGCAACAACCAACGATCGGATTTTAGCCTTCGCTCAATGGCTACTAGCAGCACTGAAGGCGCTGGCGCCGTACGAGCTCTCATGTACGACACTCCAGGCGAACCTCTGGACGCCCTGTCGCTACGGGAGCTGCCTCCTGCGGCACCATGCGGACCTGAGGAGGTGCAGCTGCGCTTCCTGATGGTGGGTGGTGGCCGCCCTGAAGAAGGTGGTGTAGGCCAGCTGTAGCTGAGGGAGGGGGAGGACACAACAGCACAGGGCAGCGCAACGGAGGGCAGGGCAACTGGGCAAGTCTGTAAGTTGTCTGATCACAGATCCGGGCTTTGCAACTAGAGCCATTCCTGTAAGGCGCCGCGCTCCCAACACTAGGGAGGACTCCCTGATTCCCTCCACAACACCCTAGCCCCGTCCCATGTCACTTCCATCCCTCGTGTTGTTGCCCACCTCTTCTTCTTCTTCCCCTCTTCTTCTTCTTCCCCTCTTCTTCTTCTTCCCTCCTCCTTCTCCCCCCTCCCGCCCCCAGGTCCCTATCAACCCCTCCGACGTCAACACCGTGCAGGGCAAGTACCCCATCATGCCGCAGCTGCCGGGCGGGGTGCCGGGACACGAGGGCGTGGCGGAGGTGGTGGCGGTTGGGCCGCAGGTGAGGGCGGCGGGGTGGGGGCGGGGTGGGGGCGGGGTGGGGGCGGGGGGGGTGGGGGCGGGGGGGCCCCAGCAGGCGTGTTTTGCCCGGGGGCAGTGGCGAAGGGTCGCCGTCAGGGGCTCCCATCACAGGTTGCCAGCATCGCTGACATCACAACGCCCTTCTCCTTCTTCTTCATCTCTCCCCCTCCCCTAGCTTGTCACCAAAGTTTGCCGCTGGCATTCCACGCATGGTGTTTGTTCTTCTCCTCCTTCATCTCCCCCCACCCCGCTGCACCCTGCCGTCTCCTATCCCCTTTGCTTTGCCCTAACCTGTGGTTTCCTATGGCTTGGTACCTGGTCTTCTCCCCCCCCCGCAGGTCCGCTCCCTGTCCCCGGGTGACTGGGTTGTGCCGCTGCGCCCCGCCCAGGGCACCTGGCGCAGCGGGGGCACCTTTGCTGCTGCGGACTGGCATCGGGTGCCGCGGGAGATCGGGGTGGAGGCGGCGGCAACCATTGTGATCAAGTAAGTCGCTACTGGGCGCGGCATGAGGTGGCTGCTGTGCTCCGCTGCTTGCCATTCCTTTCCCCATCCGGTTATTATGGTCGGCCCCGGTGTCCTCTTCCCCACCTGCCCTCCCCAACCCTCCTCCCACGTGCCTTTCTTCTTTTTTCCCGTAAGGCCGTAATCCCCTGGTTTTTGTCTGTCTCTCCCTCCCCTCACCCCCCCGCGCATGCATGCACGCACAGCCCCCCCAGTGCCCTGGGCATGCTGGAGAACTTCCTGGACCTGCAGCCGGGGGAGACGGTGGCGCAGAACGGGGCCACCAGCGCAGTGGGGGAGGTGAGCGGGGGGGAAGGGGGGCGGGGCAGGCGGGAAGGGGGGCGGGTGAAGGAGAGGTGGGGGAAGCGGGTGAATAAGAAGAAGAGTGCCATGCTGTCACATGGTCGCATGGCCGTACGGTCCCGTTTTCTTAGCGCACGCTTGCCACACGGCAGCTATACACAGCCTATACACGCGCATCACGGTACACACACAGTACGTTCACAGTACTGGAGATCAGTTTTCCTGAAACACACCATGTCATCACCATCTCCCCCCCAACACACACACGCAGGCGGTCATCCAGATCGCTCGCGCCAAGGGCCTCAAGACCATCAACATTATCCGCGAGAGGTACGTGAGCTGACTCTGCCGGGAGTTGGCATCCGTTCACATCAGCCGCGACACCTCAACCCACACCGCGACTCCCTAGCACGCACCCTTTTGCAAGGCACACATATGTGTCGTACACCCCCTCTTAACACCCACACCACACGTAACCGGTATTTCGCACACACACCACACCTACCCGCCCCCACACCCACCCACCCACCCACCCACCCAACAATTGTTTTACCCACCCACCCCTCGCCCCCAAAATAAGGCCCGACATGGCTACCACTGTGTCGCGGCTGACCTCCCTGGGTGCGGACCTGGTGACCACGGAGCAGCGACTCAAGGAGGACCTCAGTGAGCCGGGGGGAGCTGGGGAGGGATAAAAATAAAGAAACACTGACAAACTGGATAACGAGGCTGGGAGGGAGGGGAGGACGGGAGGGAAGAGGAGGAGGGAAGGAGGAAGGAAGGGGAGGGGAGGAGGGGGGAAATGCGACTGTGTGGCGCTGAGGTGGCTGTCCTTGCGGCTGATTGTTGCCCCACTGCTGCTGCTTCTGCTAACGTACCGCCGGTGTGGCTGCTGCATGGCTGTTTCCGGTTCGCTGGTGCGGTGCTGGCACCCAATCGAGTGTCATCGGCTCATCGCTGCTGCTGCTGCCCCCCCTACCCCACCGCCCCACCGCCCTCACCGCCCCCCACTGCCCCGTCGCCCAAACACATTGGGTATCCCTCTTTTCCCCCACCACCCAGAGGCCTCTGGGCTGCCCGCTCCCCGGCTGGGCCTGAATTGCGTGGGCGGCACCGCGGCGAATGCAGTGACTCGCATACTCAAGTAAGATGCAGCAGCCTGAGATTGAAATACAGGGTGTGCGGGCTGACAGCAAGTAGTATACGTTTCCAAAGCCGGCCCAAACACGAGAGCAGAGGGTCCGTTCAGGGGTTGCAGGGTTTGGAAAGGCGAACTGGTCAAGTATGAGCATTCCCCGGGCATCATCTCCCCTCCCCAGAGTCCTGAATGCGCGCTAACCCCCAGTCGCTCCCCCTTTCTGTACAATGCGGCCAGTTGATACTAACACACACTTCCCCCCTTCCCCACCCTCGCCCTCCCTTGTATAATTATCACACCACACTTTGGAATTTCTCCCCCCCCCCCCTCTCCCCCCCCCCCCCACGCACACAAAACACCCCAGGGAGTGCGGCACGCTGGTGACGTACGGCGGCATGTCCATGCAACCCGTCACCGCGCCCACCGCCTCCATGATCTTCAAAGACATCTCCTTCCGGGGATTCTGGCTGTCAGGGAGGTAAGAGGAGGGGGCGGGGGCGGGATGGCTTGGGCGGAAGAGAAGAAGAAGATGGAAACAAAAAGGTATCAGACATGCCTCCCTCCCTCATTCACATGTGGTAGGGCATTTCTTTGATCTTTGACCTCCCTCCCACACTCCCGCACTCCCACACGCCAACTGACCCAATGCGAATGTTGCTCCGGTGTTCCGATGCTTCAGGTGGTCTGTGGAGCAGGGACCCACGGGTCGCGCCGCTGTGTTGGACCGCATCTCGCAGCTCTACTTGCAGGGGGCGCTGCAGCCGCCTGTCGTACAGTCCTTCCCACTGGGGGGCTGGCGGGATGCGTTTGCGGCGGTGGGGGCGGCACACCGGGGGCGCAAGGTGGTGTTTGACATGCGGAGGGAGGAGTAGTTGACGTTGTGATGTGGGTAGTGATGCGGGAGACGTAGGAATGGGAGGTGTAGGAATGGTGGGAGTCAAGAAGGGAAGTTAGGCGGGTGTGGGGAGTGGGGTGGAGCTTAGCATGCTGCGATGTATGGGTTAGTAGGGGGTCTGACATTTGGGCGTGTGGGATGGTGCCGCATGGACGTTCGATATTGCTTCGTGAGGTCGTGATATGCCGAGGCGGCGGTTAGTCAAATCACTGGCTGGCCCGCTCGCGTTGCACCTTCAACAAGGTAAAGTAAGGGTGCTCAAGTATATGTGGAGTTAAGTATGGTGTTAGGAGTCAAGTATGATGTCAAAGTATGTATGCTCAAGGACTATACTGATGTGTGCGGTAATACGAACTTACATCCGCTTCCCATGGTCCCCATGCGCCCTTCAAGCATGCACGCCTCCCACAACCCACAGCCGCTCCACTGTTCCAGGGTTCCTGCATCCACCCATCCATCCATCAAAAGATTGAGGGTTGAGAGCCACGTGCGCACATGTGTCCCACTGACGAGGAAGGTCTCATACCGTGAGCCCTGCAGCCAAAGGACGAACCCATCCCCACCAAAAAACACATACGCACACGCCCCGGAGAGCCCCGCAGGTCGCACAAACCTCAAGGAGGAGGGTACCGGTTCCGCCCCACAACGCTCCCTCGGCGTCTTCCCTGACTGCATGCAAGGCTCTTTACCGTATTCCGCAATCGCACATCAACCTGAACCACACCAATACCAGTCACGCGCCCTCATGCCATGCCTATTACCAAGGTATGTGGCAACACGAAACGGGGCTCCTATACCCCACAATAGGCGGCGTGGCAGCAACCGGCCCCCGCGGCGCTGGCTTTTCGGACTCATCGCTTTCTCAGGGAGGTGACACGCAAACACACACATGCAACACACAGCACAATTGGCATCCTTCCGATGTCCCCTTTTAACTCCTCCCACTCCTCCCCCCGCCTTTCTTTCCTCCGGAAATCTTCCGGCAGCCATAACCTGCTCCTGCTGTGCTCTCCTCGGTGTGTCCCTCTTGCCACCACAACAACCCTATAGCGCGCAGCAGCCCTTCACACAGCGCCTCAACCAACCCCTCCTCCCCGTCTGCCTCTTCCTCTCCTCCAACCCATGGTGTACAGTCTATACCCTGTCGTACAGCCATCCGTCGTTTCTTCCTTTTTCTCACTGCCACCATCATCCTCTCAGTCCCCACCAGCCAATCCCGACCCCCCTCAGTCCCCCCTCTGCGAGCCCAGCAGCTGCAGCAGGTAGAGGAAGATGTTGATGATGTCCAGGTACAGGTTCAGCGCGGCGAACACGTACTCGTCAGCCGACAGCTCGTACTTGAAGCCGCCCATTAGGAGCTGTGGGGGGGGAGGGGAGGAGGATGAGAGGGGGAAGGGAAGAGAAGGAGGAGGATGCAACAGGTAGAAAACAGTATAAGTAGGTGCCCCCTCCAGCCTGGGTACTCTTTTAAGCACGTCGGGGCTCGGTTGAGCATCCCCCACGCCCACCTGCACGTATCTTCCCCTTCCCCCCCTTCCCTCCCTTCCCGCGGTGCTTCCTCGCGGCTCAGTTTGCCCAATCCCGCCCCGCGCCCGCCCCCCACGTCCCATCCTGCGGCTAACTTCTACCTTTTACGCACCCTCCCACGCTCCCTAACTCCGCCCACGTTGTCTTGCCCTAACCTGTGGTTTCCTATGGTTCGGTATGGTCTTTGCCTCCCCCCCCGCCTGCAGGTCGAACAACCCCCCTCCTCCCACCTGCCCCCCCCCCTCCCCCCCACCTCTCCCCTGTCCCCCACCCCACCTGCAGGTCGAACACCAGGTACATGGAGAACAGGAACACGCAGCCCACACACAGCGCCAGCTGCAGCCCGGGGGCGCGCAGGATGAGGTTGAGGGTGAGACCCGCCAGCAGCGCCAGGCAGCCGGACAGCAGCGCGCCGGAGGAGAGGGTGAGGTCCACTCGCGACTGAGTGGCGAAGACGGCGCAGCCCAGGACCACCACTGGATGGGAGCGGGTGGGGGGGGGCGGGGGAGCAGCAGGCGGAGGCGGAGGGAGTCAAAGACCATACCATACCATGGGAAGCCACAGGTTAGGCGGACGGGGAGGGGGAGCAGCAGGAGGAGGAGGAGGATGACGGGTCAGCACGTGATAAGGAGGACATGTTTTTGTTGCGGAATACGATGGCTGCTGAGCGGGGCTCTTGAGCTGCTGCTACTGCGCGAGTATGTGACAACAAAGACACAACTTCATCCTACACAGCGGCCGCCACCCCCCACCCCCGCCCCTCTCTCACCCGCCGTCATGCCCACCGCCAGCAGCACTACCCCCGCATTGTAGGTGGCCGCCGCTGAGGCCACCAGCACCGCCTCACACACGGTGAAGGCGGCCAGTGCGAGGAGGTTGTGGGGGTGGCTGCGGCGGAGGTTCTCGCTGCAGCCCAGAGCAATGATGATGGCCATGGAGAGGCCGAAGGAGGTCCATAGCGGCCATTGTTGGGTGAAAACGTAGGACTTGACGGAGTGGTTGAAGAGGAAGAGCGCGGTGACGCCGGCGGTGAAGAGGAGCTGCAGACCCAGCAGACCTGAGGAGGGTGGGTTGGGATGGAGGGATGGAGAGGGATGGATGGGAGCTTGGTATAAGGGGGAGGAGCGCGGTTGTGGAAAAGGATGGTTGGGTGGGATTAGTGGACGGGATGAAGTTGTGTTGGAGATGTGTTGAGCCATGGTCTTAGCGAGCAGCCTGGGGTTCAGAGAAGTCGTGGTCTGCTGTCCCAGGGGACAACCTGACAGTCAAGGAAATCCGACGAGAAAGTGCAAAAGCGCTCGGGTAGCTATAATGGTCATATACCAATAAGGCTGAGGATGTGCACACAGCTTGCGTGGCCCCCCCGGAAACCACCAGAAACCGCGCATGAGGGATAAGACGTATGCCTATAGCTAGCTTTCCAGGACCCAACCAGACAATATGACATAAACCGGAAAACTCCAACGGGCTGAGTTGACCTGGAACCTGGCCTCGAGAGAGTGCGCTCCGACAGTGACGCTTAGCCTGCCTTCAAGGGACCCGGCCAGGCTTACCTAGAACCTTACGGACGAATCCCTGACGCACTTGGCGTTGGGCAAACTCAAACGAGTAGTGCTCCTTTGAGCTTCCCAGCAGGCCTGCTTCCTCGTCATAGTAGTAAGAAGCCATGCTGGACTGTTACACACGACAAGAAGCTATACTGCTCTGACAATTTTCAAGGTAATAGTTTAGGTTTCCTTAATACTATACTTGTAGGCGTGGGAGGGGTTAACGGTAAAAAGAAAGAAAGCAAGTACAGCACAGGGTAACAGTAAAGTACCCTAGCTCGGAGTAAAGCCCATCCCACGAGCAATAGGAGTTAGGCTTGAGCTTGTCATTACATTATATATAAAAGTTTGCAGACCGAGCAGCCTTCCACCAACGACCAAAGAGCCATCCGCGCTCCAGATACTGGCCAACTCACGGCCTACCAGCACTTCGCCATGGCGCAATTATGCTTCTAGGGTTCAGTAGTTAACACCTACCGCATGTCAGGCCCCGCGCAGTTTGCCATATGCAACCCGAGCTCTGAATCCTAACTTCGCTCGCACAGAGCGCAAGTCCCTCACCACACTAGGCGCCCTAACAAGCCCCTCCCATCCATGTGGGGGTCGCCCCCGCCGGCTCGGGGAGGCACGGTAGCGTCTGGCCGCAGCGCAGGCCAGTTCTCATTCTACGTCAGCTGCGACATCAACCTACCGGTGCGGATCAAAGTTTCGGAGCTTCAGGGCCTCCTTCCAGCCTTCCGCAACCACCACCTTTCCCTCCCCGCCTCCCTTACTCCCGCCGCGGCCGGCCTGCTCCACAACCCATCCCCCAATGGCGCAGTAGCAATTGGCCATGACGCCACATGCTCCGCTTCCACCTACAACCAAACCACCGTCATCGCCACAACCAGCCGCATCCTAGCAAACTGCAGCAACACCAACCCTCTTGGCAACAGCAATAACAGCAGCAGCTCCTCTGGTGTCGCCACCAACACCAACACCACCAACAATACCAACAGTGCAAGTTCCTTGTATGTCACCGCCCGCATAACCTCCTTCGGAGACACGCTAGGCCTAGAGGCGCAAACCGGTTTCGCCACCGCCAGGGCACCTCCGCCGCCACATGCGCCCAACAATGGAAACGCTGCCGGGGCCGTAGCTGGCGGCGGCGGCGATATCGTGGGTATTGGCGGAGGTGGTGGGCTGGCGGCGGAGGCAGCCGTTGCCACGCTGGCGGGCAATGGTGGCGGAGGAGGCGAGGGGTGCGACGAGTATGAAGCTACGGCGCAGTGGGACGAATGGCTCACTTTCTGCGTCAAGGTAATGCGGACGAGCAGGGCAGGGTTGATCTGGGATAGGAATGGTAGCGTCAGGGGGTACGTATGCTGCTAGCATGCACCCCGCATCCTACGCTTCCGACCGCAATCTCCTACTCCCTCGCTTCCTCTTCCCTCCACCCTCACCCACCCCCATGCAGTACCGCGACCTCCCCTCTGACGCCCAGCTGGCTCTGTCCCTGTGGGAGGTGGCCCCGGGTCGCGGTCCGGCGCTGCTGGGCAGCTGCGTGATGCGGCTCTTCAGCAAGCGCGGGCGGCTCAAGACGGGGCCGCAGCGGCTGAGGCTGTGGGAGGGGGTGCCGCCCTGCACCGCGCTGCCCTCCAGCACACCGGGGAAGGTGAGGGGGGCAGGAGGGGTGCCGTACCGTACCGTGCCGTACCGTACGGCACCGTACGGAGGTACACCATTGGGGACTGCTGCCAAGCGGCATGCTGCAACGTGTGCAGGGGTGGATCGCACCTCCGTGTCCTATCAAGGGCACGCGCTTCAGCCCCCTTGCTCCTGCTGCAGTTTTCAGCATGCCATGGGGCGAACCTCCTGTCTGCATGCATGCATGCGTGCTTTAGCCCTTTAACACCTTCCTGCCCCCTTCTTCCCCCCACCCCCAGGTCCCCCTGGCCCACCGCGATCGGCTGGGTGTGTTGGAGCACTGGGTGGCTCGGCTGCAGCGGGGGGAGCTGGCGGCGGGGGGCGACTGGCTGGACGCACTCACACTGGGGGTGAGCGTGGAAGGGGTTTGGGTGGGGAGTGCGGGCCGGGGTAAAGCGCTGTTGGGGGGGGCGTACCTGTACCGGTATGCAGCCTCCTGCAGCACCTGCCGCGTCCGGCCCCTGCTTCTCACCTCCCCCCTCCCGCCCCCCCTGCCCCCGCCTCGTCCGGCCCACCCCAGGAGATCCAGCGGTTGCGGCGGTTGGACCGAGCCGCCTGGCGCACCCGCCCCGAGCTGCGGCTCACGCTGCTGCTGCCGCTGTTCCCGCACCCCGTGCTGGCGTACCAACATGTGTCGTACGCAGGTGGGGGGGGTACCAACATGTGTCGTACGCAGGTGGGGGGGTACCAACATGTGTCGTACGCAGGTGGGGGGGTACCAACATGTGTCGTACGCAGGTGGGGGGGTACCAACATGTGTCGTACGCAGGTGGGGGGGTACCAACATGCGTCGTACGCAGGTGGGGGGGTACCAACATGTGTCGTACGCAGGTGGGGGGGGAACGTCGTGTCATCCATTCGTCGCATGCTCATGCACCACACGCGCCTGCCCCTCCCTCCTCCTCAGCTGCGGCGGCTGCAGGTGCTGCTGCGGGCGGGGCCGCAGGCGCAGGGACCAGCGGTATGGCAGTGGCGGCTGCTGCGGCGGTGGCAGCCTCTGCGGGCAGGAAGGACGCAGCGATGGGAGGTAGGGAGACGGGGGGCTGGATGGGGTAGCAGGACGGAGGGTAAGAGGGAGAGGGAGAGGAAGGGGAAGGGGAGGAGGAGGAGGAGGAGGAGGAACTGTACTGCTCCTCTGTTAGACATTCCAGCCACCTCTTGCCCCCCCCCCTTTCCTCGCCCCGCGCCACTTGCGCACATGCAGGCCTCCTCATGTCTTCCCCAGATCCCAGCGTCAGTGGGGGCGGTGGTACGGCGGCCGCTGCTGGCGCTGCTGCCGGGGGCGGCATCATCCGCTTGCTGGACCCGGAGGTAGGGTAATGGGAGGGGGAGGGGGGAAATTATATAAGAAATGCAAACAGGAGGGGGAGGGGGAGGCGGAAGGGGGGGTGACACGCTTGGGCGCTTAGGACACATTGTACCGCATCGTATGCAGGCGGCTGCTGTATGTGCCGTACATACAAACGTGTGTGTACAAGGCCTTTTCACCACCGCTCTCCACCCATTCGTTCATCTCTCCTATCCTGTCCTCCCCCCCATCCTCCCCCCCCCAGGTGGGCCGTGACAACCTGGCGGAGCTGAAGGCGCAGAAGCTGGCTCGCGGGCTGCACGGGGGGGTGCTGGACCGGGACCTCAAGCCCAACAGCGAGGAGCGCAGGGCGCTGCAGGTGGGGTGACCCATGGGTCGGGGAACGGGTCGGGCTGGGCTGATGATGAGCATGAAGTTCCACCAACCCCAGGCTTTCCTGCTGGCTGCCCTCGCCTTGTTCTGTCCTGGGTTCGATGGTCCCTTGCCAATTAGTCCAACTGCCCCTCCTTCGCCCCCCTGGCCCCCGCCTGCCCCCTGCCCCCTCAGGCCATACTCAAGCTGCCTCCCAACAAGCCCCTCAACGGCGAGCAACGGGCGCTGCTGTGGCGCTTCCGAGCCTCACTCACGCAGGTTAGTGTGGTGCGATTGCTGGTGTGTATGGCGTGGTGCGATTGCTGGTGTGTATGGCGTGGTGCGATTGCTGGTGTGTATGGCGTGGTGCGATTGCTGGTGTGTATGGCGTGGTGCGATTGCTGGTGTGTATGGCGTGGTGCGATTGCTGGTGTGTATGGCGTGGTGCGATTGCTGGTGTGTATGGCGTGGTGCGATTGCTGGTGTGTATGGCGTGGTGCGATTGCTGGTGTGTATGGCGTGGTGCCGTACAAGTGGTGTAGTGGTGCATGCCCCCAGGTGAGACCTTTTGCTGATCTTCTCCCCCGCTCCCCGCTCCCCCCCTCCCCCCCAAAGGACAACCGCGCGCTCACCAAGTTTCTTCACTGTGTGGACTGGAGCGACATGGAGGAGGCGAAGCAGGTGGGGGGCTGGGGGGAAGGGAGGGGGGGGGGTTGGAGAGGCTCGCGGAGAGGTGTGGGACCTCCGCCAACTGTAGTCTGTTGACGCGAAGGACCCCATGAAAACTTTACCCCACCCCCCCTCCCTCTGCCCCATTGCGTGAATGAACAGATCGTCATTACCCGCCTGCCCTGTCTCCTGCCCCAGGAATCTCCAGCCTCTATGAATCCCCATCCCCTACCCCTGCATGCCGATGCACCCCCACCCCCCCACCTCCCCCCAGGCTGCTGACCTGATGCGGCAGTGGGCCCCCATCAGCGCCGCGGACGCGCTGGAGCTGCTGTCGCCCGACTTCAGGGCGGCGGTGGTGCGGGAGCATGCGGTGGCGGCGCTGCAGGTGTGTGTGGGGGGGGAGGTGGAGAAAGAAGGATGTCCAATGTGTGGTGTGAGGGGGGGGGTGAAGGACACTTCCTTCCCGCTTAACAACACCATGGTCCCTATCCTGCTTTTCCCTCCGCTTCGCTCCCAGCTTTGCCGTAACCTGCGGTTTGGTCTATCTCCTCCCCCCCTCCTTCCCCCCAGCACCACGACCCCGAGGAGCTGTCTCAGTACCTGCTGCAGCTGGTGCAGGCGCTGCGATACCAGCAGGGCGGCGAGGGGGGCGAGGGCGAGGCGGGGGCGGGCGGGGCGGGGGCGGGCGGCTGCCTGGCTCGCTTCCTGGTGGCGCGGGCGGCGGAGGACCCGGCGCTGGCGGTGCAGCTGCACTGGTGGGGGGGAAGGGGGCAAGGAAAGGGAGGTGGGAGGGAGGGAGGGAGCCAGGGGCGACCCATGGGTCGCCCCTGTGTGCACACACCGTAACAGCTAACTGCTGTTCTACGCATCCGCAGCAACAACCCTCCATAACATTCCTTCCTTCCCCCATCACACTCGTTCCTCATTCTGCTGCTGCCGCCGCTGCCGCTGCTGCCACCTGTCAGGTACCTGTTCTGCGAGTTGGACGACCCGGGGTTCGGGCTGCGTGCTCGTGCGCTACACACGCAGCTGATGGAGGCGCTTGCGGGGGCGGGGGCGGTGGGGGCGGCGGTGGCGGACACAATACGGCGGCAGGTGGGGGCGGGGGGTAGATGGAAGGGGGTAGGAATAAGGGAACTGACGAGGCAACTAACGAGCTGTATGTGACAAGACTTCACCAGGGGGAGGGGCTGGGGAGCGTGTGGTGGTGGGGTTAGCGCAGCTGGCGCAACACCACCGCCGGCACGAACTCTGTCCGCGTCATGTGCCTCTTTGCATTTTTCTTCGGCTGTTCTCGGTTAGCCACTCGTACACTCACTACCAGCACCTCTACCCCACCCCACACACATCGCGCCCCCCCCCAGGTTGACCTGGTGAAGCAGCTCAAGGCGGTGATACGGGAGCTCAAGAGCTCCAAGGTAATAGGGGGAGGGGTGCCTTGCCACGTCCCGCATGCCCCCTTCCTTCTCCCCCTCTTTGCCATCCAACCACCACCACACTTTCACTACTACTACCCCCCACCAAACTCCGCCTTTACCATACCAGCACCCCACATGTTGGAAACCATGATGACGCCTTATCAGTTATCACACGGTTCGCTGGCCGTTTCCTCTTTACCCCTCCCGCCCCCACCACCAACTACCACACCACCACCCCTCCCCCCTCTCTCCAGATCAAGGCCGCTCGCGCCACGGAGCGGCTGCGTGAGATGGTGTCCGAAACAGGCCCCTGCGGCGAGCTGACGCAGCTGCGGGTGCCGCTGCCTCTGGACCCGCACATCGTGCTGGCGGGCATTGTGCCGAAGGTGGGGTGGTGGTGGGGATGGAGAACTGGCATCGAGTCGATAGTACTGTGGTGGCGGGAGGATGAAGATGTGTGTGTTGACAAAAATGGTCACGAGTAGTGTGTGTGGGGAAAGAGGCGGGGACCTTTCCTTCATCTCTGCCGCTTTCCTCCCCACCTCTCTGCTCCTCCCGCCTGCCTGCCGGTGCCCGCAGGAGTGTGCGGTGTTCAAGTCCGCCATGCTGCCGCTGCGCCTCTCCTTCCGCATAGAGGCGGCGCCCTTCAACTGGCAGCACCCGCAGCCCCTGTCCGGCCCACCCCAGCAGCCCTCCGACCACCCCCCCGCAACCCCCCACCACCACCACCACCACTTGGGTGGGTGGCTGCACCCCCACTCGCATGCGCAAGGGCAGGGGCAGGGCAGGCAAAGCCACCAGGGCTACCCTGCAGGCGGGGGCAACAGCAGCGTCAGCAGCAGCAGCCACCACAGCAGCAGCACCGCTGCTGCTGCCGCCGCAGGCGTAGGAGGCGGCAGTGGCAGCAGCCTCCATCACAGCGGAACACATTTCGGACCCCTGCCGGACCCTCTAGCGCTCCTGCCCACCAGAACGGGGATCGTGCCGGCACCGGCTGGCGCCAGCGCCGCCGCCGCCTCCGGCGGCGGCGGCAGCGGCGGCTCCGCCGCCGCTGCCGTACACCATCACCATCACCACGTGCCACCTTATTCTCCGTACTCTTCGTACGGCGCCTCTGCTGCCGTACCCCCGGGTGCTCATCACCATCAACTGCCTCCTCCTCCGGTGGTGTTGGAGAGCCATCGTTGCTGGTTGATCTACAAGAAGGGTGACGACCTGCGGCAAGATCACTTCATCCTGCAGATGATCAGCCTCATGGATCGCATGCTGAAACGAGAGAACCTGGACCTACGGATGACGCCGTACAAGGTGGGTGCTGCGATGGGTGGGTTTACTAGGACAGGGAAGGGCTGTCCTTAACAGGCTCGTCGTCTGATCGTCAGGTAATGGCAGTGCCAATGAGAAAGGCTGGAGGCTCTACATCTGAATGCAGCAATCTGCAACGCAGAGAGGCCACCTGACACACGCCTCCTCCCTGTCCTGTCCCTTCTCCCTTGCCGACCCCCCTCCCTACCCTGTGGTTTCCGATGGCTTGGTATGGACTTTGCCCCCAATCCCCCCTCCTATCCTCCCCAGGTGCTCCCCACCAGCTGCGATGACGGGTTGCTGGAGTTCGTGCCCTCCGTTCCGCTGTCCGCAGTGCTAGCTGAGCACCGGACCATACACCGCTTCCTGGCGCTAACACAGGTGAGGTGGGGGGGGGAGAGTCGGGTGTGCTGGGCCGGGTACGGAATTAGCGAATCACAGGGTCGGTCGGTTGGGACCCTTGGGAGGGAGGCAAAAGTGGTTGGTTGGGAGATGCCGCCCGCTCATTACCGGTACCCTACTACCTCCTACACCAGCCAACCGCTACCGCACTAGGACATTAAGACATTAGGACAGTGCACAGCCATCAGCTCACTCCTCACCCCTCCTGTGCCCCCCGCTTCCCATTTCCGTCTTCCCGCTCGCCCCCCTCCCCCCCGTTCTCAGGCCGACCCCGCCGGCCCCTTCGGTCTGCGCGCGGAGGTGGTGGAGACGTTCGTGCGCTCCTGCGCCGGCTACTGCGTGATGACCTACATCCTTGGGGTGGGGGACCGGCACCTGGACAACCTCATGCTCACAAAGTGAGGGCGGTGGGGGCGGGAAAGAAGAAGAATACCCAATGTGCAGTATAGTAGTGGTAAACTAGCTGACAAGCCCACTAGCGGTGGGGGGGGGCTTGGTTGCGGGATGAAGGACATGAAGGCCCCGTCTGGTACTAGGGCGCAGGGGGTAATCCGCAGCAGCTCCAGCAGTGCAGGGGCTGTTGGATATTGTGTTGGTTGTTGTCGATTGTTGGTTGGGTGGGGATTGGGAAACAGGAGCAGCAGAGCAGGAGTGATGCCGCTAAAAGCTGTTCCCGGAGAGACACAGAGGCCGCAGACCCATGCATGGCTTCCCTCCCTGCACCTCCCTTCCCTTCACCTGTCCCCTCTGCCCTTCCTCCGCTCCTCCTTCCCCTCTCCTCCTCCTCCTCCCTCCCTCTCCCAGCGACGGCCGGCTGTTCCACATCGACTTCGGCTACATCCTGGGCAACGACCCCAAGCCCTTCCCGCCGCCCATGAAGCTGTGCAAGGAGATGATCGAGGCCATGGGGGGACAGGGATCAGACTACTACAAGCAGGTGTGTGTTAGGGAAACTGGCCGCGAGTCCTTCCTTGCCACCATCGTTCCCAGCATGTGGTATTCCCTGCTTCTTTTCCTCGCTGCACACACACCTGACTGCCGAGCCCTTTCCCCACCACTCCTCCCTCCGCTGCCGTATCATGCAGCTTGTCAGCCTCCCCGTTTCCCTCTGCTCGCCCTTTGCCTCCTCCCTCCGCTGCACCCCATCACTCCTCCCTCCGCTGCACCCCATCACTCCTCCCTCCGCTGCCCCCCTCCCCCCTCGCCTCCCCCCTGGCGCAGTTCCGCATGTACGCCTGCGAGGCCTACAACATCCTGCGCAAGCGCTCCGACCTCATCCTCTCGCTCTTCCACCTCATGGCGGGCGCGTCCATCGAGGCCATCCGGGCGGACCCGGAGAAGGCCATCCTCAAACTGCAGGTGGGGTAGGGGGACAGGGGGGCGGGAAATCAATGACATAAGTGCAGCAACTGGGAAAGGGGGGGAGGGCCGCGTGTGTGGGCAATGGAGGGGGGGTCAAAGACCATACCAAACCATAGGAGACCACAGGTTAGGGCAAAGTGACGAAGGAGGACAGTGAAGAAGGAGAGGCTGAGGTTGCCAATGGTTGTGAAGAACTCCCGATGGGGTGGCGGTAGGGGGAGCACGGAAGGAGGCGCGCAGCCGCGGTAAACTGGGCTGCTAGCAGCCTATACCGGTATTACAGAATTTACAGTACCGGTATTTACAAAGCTAGGTTGGAAGGGCTGGTAGGGGGGCGGGGTTTGTTTGCCAGGTGGTTTCAGCGCTGACCTGGCATCCCTAACAGCATCCACACGATGCTTAGCTACCGGTATAACCGCGGGTTTGACTGAGGCCCTGACTGTGCTGCTCTAACCCTGAACCTCTTCATCTCCTCCTCCACCTCCTCTTCCGGACAGGACAAGTTCCGGCTGGATTTCGATGATGAGGCTGCCGTGGAGTGGATGCAGGGCCTTATCAACGAGTCCGCCACCGCGTTGCTGCCGCAGATCGTGGAGACCACACACCGTTGGGCTCAGTACTGGCGGTGATGATGGGAGTGGGGTGGGGAGGGCTGGAAGGTGAGGGTGGGAGTTGCTTGGGTTGAGAACTCGGGCGGGTGTGGGGAGATGTGAGAGCCGTTTGGTGGAGCGACTTGGACTGAGGGCTGCGGAGGCATAGGAGATTTTTGTTGCGGTGAATTGTTTGGGGTTGCCAAGGCGCTGATGTGAGCTGGTAGGTTTGGAGAGTATAGGAATGGGCAGGGGCGTTCAGACCGTGGCGCTGCGTGGCATGGATGGTGCGATGGCTTTGGCTCGGGAGCGAGGGGATAATCGTATGCAGGCTAGCGTGTTAGCCTAGGTTCGTAGTGATGCGCATGATTGTCTGATAGTGGGTTAGTTTCCAACGCTAAGGGCTCGGCTTCATGCTAGGCTAGTGGTGGCGCATGGCGCCAGGCTAGGATGAGACCTTGCGCCGCCCCTTGTTTGCGTTCCTGGATAGCCTACAATGTAGATGTATCTTACTTACAATCGTCGGTATAACCTGAAAACCGCAACCAGCTAGCCATTCTTCCAGGCTGTGCCAGCTGTTGGCAAACGCCAGCACATGTAGGAACACGCCTTCCCCATGCAGAGCGAGCATAAGCAAGCAGCCATGTGAAAACGACCACCACAGCAGCAGTTTATGCTGACGCGTTTAGGTGTTCGGCCGTTCCACTTCCGTGCTGTGGATCTAGCCTGGATTCAAGCCTCAGGATCCTTACCACACCAAGCTATACGAACTGATTCTTCTTGCAGGTTTTTAACTATATGCAGTTGTCTAAGCGATACTAAGATGGTTATACAAGCGCTTGCGTGCAAGGAGCATTCTTCAACAATGCAGCCCTCGACAGCCCGCTGGGAGTCTCGGTTATTTTACTTACACCGCTAGAGATGTCTACATACTACTGAAAAGGTTAAGCACTACTTTGTTTGACTCCCGTCAACTTGGGTGAGAACTTGCTGCCATGGAAAGCGACATACGAGAGGTCCCCGTGCTTGATATTGCACCAGACCAAGCTAAGCACGAAGCAAGACAATGGCTCAGCACATATCGGCACTTGCGGACACGCGTGCAAGCAGTTACTGCAGGTCAGCTGGGAAGGAGCTAGGCCACGGCAGCTTGCGGTATAACGCTTTGCTCACCAACACCTTACGTAAGCGCAGAATTGGGCTCAGGACCAGCTTGCGAAGCTTTAAAGGGAAGGGACTTCAGCGAAGCCGCATCCGCTGCCAGCAACAGCGCCTTGCAGCGTCTTCAAGCAGAACTTTGGTCGCAAGTGGATGGTGCGCGCAAGGCCGTAAAACGAATCAACCACCTGGTAAGTTCACGCGTCTCCAGGCCAGTTGCACTCATCTGACGCCACCTTCCATCATCTCCTCATCCCACCTGCGCCAACTCCCTTTCCTTTCCCTTCTTTCCCTTTTCCTTTACCCCTCACCGCAACTTACCTCCTCCTCATCTCCACTTTCCTCACCTCAGCTCTCCACCGCCGCCCCCGGCTCCTCAGCCCCCGTGGAGGCTCTGGCAGCCGCCATCGATTCCGCCGACCAGCAACTGGCTGGCGCTCGGGAGCAGCAGCGTGCCGCCCTGGAGGCGCTGTACGGCGAGGAGGCGGCGCTGCAAGCGGACATCGAGGCCATTGCCAACCGACTGGATGGGGAGCTGGAGGGAGAGGCGGCACGGCAGCTGATGGCGGCGGCAACGCAGGGGCAGGGGCAGGGTGGGGGAGGTGGGGGAGCGGCTCGGCGGCCTGTCAGCGCGGGGCCCAGGTGAGGGAGTAAAGGGTCAGGAGGAGGGAGAGGAGAAGGGAGGCAAGGGCTCCGCCGGAAAAGTGGAGGCTTGAAGGGTGTGCATGTGCGTGCTATGAAGGGACGGTAGGGGTGATTGCGCGGAGGCAGAGGAGCACCTCCAACAACCCTCTTCATGCCGCGTTAGCCCGCCTGGTTACGGTGACTGAGCGCACTTCTGGCACACACGCCCTGCAGGCGGCCGGGCTCGCAGCCGCGCCAGCGCCGGGCGTCTTACGGCGGAGGCGGCGGGGGCAGCAGCTGGGGAGGCAGCGGCAGCAGCAGCTGGGGAGGCAGCGGCAGCAGCAGTGGTGGCGGTGGTAGTGGCGGAGGGGGGCGAGCAGGAGGAGGAGGTGCTGCTGCTGCCGCTCGAGGTGGTGGTTGTGGTGCAGGTGGTGGGGGCGAGTTGGCGCCAGAGGTGCGCGAGTACGACGATTACGTGGCCCAGCATGGGCCTACAGGTGGGCAGGCTGCTGGCGCTCCCTTCGCGGTTCTTGCCCCGTGCATGGTACCCGCCGCCTTACACACATGCCGTCTAACGGCACCCATCACGGCAGCTCCTCCTGTGTCCTGTCCGCAATCTTACATACTGCAGTGGACGTTCGCTGCAATGGACCCAAGCCCTCCCCACCTCCTTCACCCTCCCCTCCCCCCTAAGGGCTAGTCGGGATATGAGATTGGGACTCCGTTCACTTATTTCACTTATTCACTCCGTTGCTTCGCTTTTCATTTCTTCCCCCCACCCTCCCCCTAGGCGGTTGGGACCCTGAGGACCACGAGGAGTTCCTGGCGGTACTGCGCTCCTGCGGCGGTGACTATACACACACGGTAGCCATCGTGATGGAGCGAGCAGTGGGCTTCTCGCGGGCCGAGGTGATGCAGCACGCGCGCTGGCACATGGAGCTGGTGGACCTGGAGCTGAGGAAGCGGCTGGCGCTGGAGAGGTGGCGCAGGCAGCGGCAGCAGCAGCGGGCCGCGGTGCTGACGAGCCAGGCGGCGTTGGGGAGTGATACGGCGGAGCTGGTGGGTTGGGGAAGGGGGGGTTTGGGAGGGTGGTGGTGGGTGCGTGGTGTAGGGTGACAGGGGATTGTGGAGTGCCACTGAGAACGCGGGGAGGAGGGGTGCTGGTAAAGGAGGCGGATACATGTGTGCGTAGGAAAGGTAGGAGTGGGGAGAGGAGGAGTTGCTATGCCGTACATGATCGGTGTCGTACATCCGTACATGCAGGCTCGTCGCGAGCGAGAACGGGATCAGCGCAGTCGTGAGGCGGAGGCGGCCGCTGCTGAGCTCAAACGAGCCATGGCGGCGCGCTGGCGTGCGGAGAAGGAGGAGCAGCAGCGCGCGGCGGCTGCGGAGGCGGCCAAACGGGCGGAGGCGGCGGAAGCGGCTCGGCGAGCTGAGCTGCAGCAGCGGCAGGAGGATATCAAGATGAGGGTGCAGATGAGCAAGCTGGCCAAGGTGCGGATACCTTGGGCTGTGGTTGCTGAGTGTCTTTAAGGGAACCGCCATGCTTTGCCATGCGTGATGTGTCGTCAGCATGATACATGCGCTTAAGCCGCTACACCAGCATGTCACCCGCTCAGAGTACCGGTACCCCATCTGTCTAGACTATACCCCATAGCATCACACCCCCTAAACCCCCATTTCTTTCGCCCTCTTTTCGTACCCTGCCACCCTCAGGAGCAGCAGCGCCGCGAGGCGGAGCGCCGGGCTGCTGCGGAGGCCGCCATCCGCGCCGCGCTGGCCGCCCCCACCCCGCAGCAGCGGGCGCGGGTGGCCGAGCGCAGCAGCGCCACCTTTGGCCGCCGCCAGTCGCTGCTGGCAGCACATGAGGAGCAGCGCAGCAGGCGGGAGCGAGTGCAGCAGCAGCTGCTGGAAAAGGTAAGGTAGCAAAGGGGTTGGGGTGTGCATGGGGGGCCGTGGGCCGCGGTAGGGCTGGGGTGCTGCTAAGGTTCTGCTGGTAGGGGCTGATAGGGGCTGTGAGGGGAGAGGAAGGGAGGCACCACATGTCGGCGTTTATCACTATGAACCATCACTGCTGCGACAGCAGCCTGTGCATCACATAATGTGCTTCATCCCCCATCTCTTCGCGGCTTGTTTGGCGCTACCGGAAACCCTTCACTGTCGTACATTGTTCCTGTCGCCGCCCGCCAGGTCCATGTGGAGGCCCCCGCGGACCCCGCCCGGCTGCTCAAGGGCACCACGGCGCACATGCAGCGGGTGGAGGCGCAGCGGCAGGAGGAGCGGCAGGCGCGGGACAGCGGCTTCATCCTGCATGTGGCCAAGCGGGTGGTGCCGGGATGGAGGGCAGGGCTGCAGGGCGGGTGAGAGGGAGATCGGCGGAGGGTAGAGGAGCCGCTGGTGTTGGCTGGGAAAGAGAGGCTATGGCCGCTTGGTTATGCTTGATGGTGGAAGGATGGGCGTGTACCATGGTGTAGCACGTACTTTCGCTTCAGGAGTCATGCGGCCGGCCAGCAAGATGGGTCTTCAGCCGCCTGCGGACCGCAGGCATGGCTGCGCCGTAACGTTCTCAAGGGCCCTGCGTGTAGTCGCCTTGTGGGGGGCTGACATGGAGGTGTCAGGATGGACTAGCGCTCTTCCCTCGGTCTGAGGGTCTGGGGAGCGGACCCCAAGCCTATGGGAGTTGCGGCTGCAAGCTCTGTCCTTACGCTGTCAAAGAGCGCTATGCATGCAGTATCAGGCGTTGCGAAGGCGCGGCAGCAGGCGATGCGGATCCCAGGCTCTGGACAGCTTGATGTCACGGTGTCACAAACGTGCATAGTACTCTGCTAATGGATGCGTTCGGAGGACTGGAAGGGGTATTTGCGATCCGCTCCTCCACATTAGCAAGGAGCTGCGGCACAGGGTAACATCAGAAAGGCCACTACAATAAAAGAGGCAAGCCTGATCATAACCTTCATAATCCTCGAACCCTGCCGCGACCCATGGGTCCCGACCGGAGGTTGATCCCGGCCGCCAAGCGTTATGCTATTGCAGCGGAATCACAATGTTATTACCAGAGTTAAAGAGTTGTTCACCTGCAACAGTACCATATCCTCAGACGATGCCACTCAGGACGTCAACAGCTTTGCGGGATCGCTGCATTGCACATATGTAAAGTATGTCAAACACCACATTCCTTAAGAAGCCTCCCTGTGTCACCCACCGGTGCGCCCCGCCAGATGCCATCCTTCAGACACGCCTTCCCCATGACCCTACCCGCTTATCCCAATCAAGGAACCCGGTAAGCAGACATCAAAGACTCAGCAGCAGCTGTAGTATTGGTTGCTCACTGCCCGGCCCACCCACACGTTCACCCGCTGCATCCAACCGCTGCTCACCAACCACGCCGGCCGCACCCCAACCGCCAGCCAAGCTGCGTTCTGCAGCACCACTCCCGCGCTCAGCCGCAGCGGCTGCTGCTCCTGCACCGCGCGCCCCGCTGCCCCGCCCCTCCTCGTCCGCCCTCCCCGCAGCCTCTGCATCACCAGCCTGCTGGTCTGCCCCGTCAGCACCAACATGACATGCGTGGCTGCCAAGCAACCCAACAGCACCGTTAGCCCGCCCAGGATAAACAACAGCACGTAAGCATACGTACCGCCGCGCTCTCCATCCGCACCCATGTCTCCGGGAGCACCCAAGCCGCCGACCCAGATGGCCAAGGCTGTCCACGCGCCTCCGCTCATGGTGGTTCCAGACGACCCAGATGAGGACCAGTAGCCCGTCCTGGATCCAGCAACGGATCCAAAACTTGTCGTACTGCTCATGTGTTGTGCGACATGGCGGCGCCCGCAGGCCGTGAGGGTGTAGTGGAAGCCCAGTGCTACCACCAGGGTTTGAACCAGGGTATAGCGGGCGAAGAGGTGGTGGTTACGTGAGCCCACGCACTGGCCCAGCCACATGCAGTGGTGGTCGAAGCCCTCCACGCAGCGATTACAAAAGCGACAGTGGGTTGTGGCGCGGGAGCGGCGGAGGCCGCCGCATAGAGTGCAGGCGGTTGGGTAGGGTGCGGATAAGGGTGGGGCTGCTTTAGTTGGGCTGGTTATGTAAGCTCCTGTTACCCAAGGCGAGGGCGTGGCTTGGGTGTGCTCTGAAGCCGGACCCGCCGGCGCTTCACAATCGTGTGTTGAGTGGGCCTTCACGTAGTCGGTGTGGAGGGGCAAGGCGAGGTCGGTGCTGCTGGTGGCTGGGGGTGGCCATCCAGGGTCGCTGAACCGTACTGCATAGTGCAATAGGACGTTAAGGCTGAGCACCGCAGCAACCAGCCAGTGTTGAAAAGTGATGCCGTGCCCAAGACCTATACGGAAGTCGGTTGGTAGTCTATACACGGCGATGAAGCCAGCGACGTGGAGGATCCACCACAGGATGTGCGTGACATGTTCGTCGCGACGTCCCACCATAGTGGAGTTGTAAGCCGTGGCAAGTCACCAAGCCGCTTCAAGAGCATCACGTGTAAAAGTTTATTCAGCATCAGCTAACGTGGTGATGTTGCATCGTGTTGCAGGTCCCGATTAAGGTGGGCCACAGAGGGGCTAGACAATACAAATTGCGGTATGTAATTCAAATTATAATTAGAAGGTGCCTTAGTTCCTACTAGGCCTTCTGTGTCGGTCAGGCCTTCACAGGTTCAGCCGGTGAAGGCTTCCGTTGAATCAGCAAACAGGTTGGGAAGGTATAGATATGCCTTACTACGTGTGTCGTGTGTCAAAGCCTGAAAGTCACGAATGGAACGTTCGTAGGTTAACCATGGAATTTCAACCGGCGAGATGTACACCATCAGCGCCCTGAATTTGTGAGGAACTATGAACCTGGCTCAACACTAACATCACTCTCTCTTTTCTCCATCGACATGGCGTGTCTGAGGCAAGCCAAGCCATGAGGCACTGCCTTACACAGAAGGCCATGGAGATGGGCTAGTCACACACACGTCGTCCTCTTCAAGCATAGCGCCTTATGGCTGGCATCAAGACGCGACATCAGAGCATCAAGACACAACCCTGACACAACGGCTCCAGGTCCGCCAATCAAGTTTGACGAAGCAATTAAGTCTGACGTGGCAGGTTTGCGTATACTCCATTTCCTCAGAAACCCAGAAAGGACCGACCCCAAGTCCCTAGGAACACAGGAGACACCACGAGGCGATATAACTCGTAGCACGAGTCCAAACCTCCTCCATCTTGCCGTAACCGCAACAACCCTAAACGCTGTCAGCAATTATGAATGCTATACGGTACCCCCAGTTTTTCACAGCCGACTTCGCGCACACACACTCTCTCCCACTATTCTGTCTCATTCAGCAACCACTCATATACCGTGCAAGTGACACCGCTCACGTCGTCTTATAGCTTAGGTCTTAATTATTCAGTTGGCCCAACCGATTCCGCAACAACCCACAACGGCAGTCGCGCAACACTTTTATCAACCTTGATTAACACCCTTTCAACTCGCAACGCCATGCGCACAACCTTTTGTCAACCTTCCCAAATCACGCGCCTCCACAACATCCTCCACCAGCCTCCCCAACTCAACTCTTCTCGACCCAACTCCTCCTCCTTCCTGAATCCCTCAATCCCATCCCAGACCGCCGCCCCATCCCAGACCCCTACGCAGATGCCCCGCGGCCCCCGCCCAGTCGGGGCAGCGGCAGCGCCGCCAGCAGCCGCGCCAGCGGTGAGTGCTCGGTGTCTTGCAGCGCACGCCGCCTCAGCTCCGCCCACAGCAGCGTCACGTCCTGCTTGCCGCCCTTGAGCACGTACTGGTTCTCATTAACGCGGCGCAGCAGGTAGGGGATCACCTTGTCCACGCTGCCGTAGGGGCAGTACTTGAACACCCTGGGGGGCGCGTGGGGGTGGGGAGTTGTGCGGGGGTGAGGGGGAGGGTGATGTGGTGGTGGGGTGGCAGTGGACTCGAAGGTTGGGGTTGGAGTGGTGCATGCGCGCATGTGTTGTTCGGGGTAGCGCCGTGTGTGCGTGTGTTAAGAAAACTGGCCGCGAGTCGTGATGTGGGTCGGATTGGGTTGGTCGCTCGCAGGGCAGCATCGTCAGGAAGCGAGACATCCTTGACCCCCTCAAGCTTCTCTTCCACAAGTCCTTTGCTGCATAACCACATCCCCTCGAGCTCGTCCAAGCCCATCACCTCCCTCCCCCCTCCCTCCCCCCCTGCCCCTCTCCTCCCCCACGCGGCACCCCGCCCGCCACGCCCTCACTTGTATCCGTGCTGTCCCAGCGTGAAGCTCAGGTTATCCGCCATGCCCATCAGCTGTCCAAAGTACACGGGAGCCTCCGAGGGGTCCAGACCCAGTGCCGTCATGCGACCCACCGCGCCCTCCACGCTGCTCTGGTTGTGGCTGCCAATCATGAGCTCCGCGCGGCCAGCTGCCACGGCGGCGAACAGGGTGTCCAGACAGGCGTCGAACGACCCGTGGGTCTGCTCGATACGGTCCCAAACAGGCGAGGGGCGGCCGACCTCTGCGGCATGGCGGCGCTCCAGGTGCAGGTAGGCGCCGCGGACCTGTGTGGATAGAGGGTGGAGGGTGTGGGGAAAGGCGGGTGGGGACAGGTCCGGATGAACAGGATTGGGAGGTTGGGGTGGAGGGCCCTACCTATCCGCCTTACTGTACTGCCCCGCTCACCTCCACACTGCACCCTCCACCCTCCCTCTCCAGCCCCCCCCCCCACCACCTCGCCACCCTCCCCAGCCCTCACCAGCTTGGCTCCCAGCACGTATCCCTCCCGCTCCGCTCGCGACAGGTCCGCCTGCAGCCTCGCATGCGCATCCCGCAGGTAGGCCTGGTAGGTCAGGAAGATCACCGCACCGTCCTGCTCCTCCGCACCGCTGCTGCCTGCCCCTGCCCCCGCTGCAGTATCCGCACCCGCACTGCTCCGTCGCTGGTTGTGTTCCCGCATGAGGTGGAGTGCGATGTGGTCGATTGCGGGCTGCAGCAGCGACTGCTCCGCGTCCACCATGAGCTTCACGCCCTTGCCCACCGCCCGCGCCACCAGCCGCTCCAGACGACCCAGCAGCGAGTCCAGCTGGGATTGCTCGGCGGGGGAGAGCAGCCAGGGGCGGGCGGAGGAGGAGGGCGCGGAGGAGTTGCCCAGGTCCATGGCTGGAGGGAGAGGGAAGAGGGAAGAAGGGAGGAAAGGGAGGAGGGAGGATGGGGCAATGCAGGTGTAAACACCGTAAGCCGTGATCCGTACAGCTCTTCACTTCCAGAACCGTATCAGACAACAGGTCGTACGCTACTTCTTCATCTGGACTCCTCCCGGTCCAGGGTACAGCCTTGTCACATCATTTGGATTTTCCTGTGACCCTACCCTACCAGTCGCACGCCCCAGCCCCCCTCCCGTTCCTCCTCCTCCCCAGCCCTCACATGCCGCCGCCTGCGCCTCCAGCGAGGCCGCCAGCTCGGGCAGGTGCCGTACATCCAGCCGCTGCGTCCACGACACGTAGTCCACCTGGCCCGCACCCTCCGAGTCCAGCAGACCCCACACCGCGGAGCGCTCGGAGGAGGTGGAGCGCAGGCCTGGAGGGGAGGGGAGAGGGTGGCGGTGGGGAGGGAAAGGAGGAAGGAGAGGTGGTGCAGACGTGGTTGGTTGGTGCGCCCAGCCATCACCCAGCCACCTATCCTATATCCTTTCCCCACACCGCCCTTCGCCCTGGTTAAATTAATACCCCCTCTCCCCACCCAGTGTATCACTCCCTTATACCTTCTCCCCACCCCAAACCCAAACCCGGTACCCCAGTGCCCCACCCTGCGCCGCCGCCAACCGCTGGTACACCTCCTCGAACTCCGCCCGTGTCACCACTCCGTCGCCATCCACGTCGTACTGTCGGAACAGCAAGTGGATGCTGCTCAGCGCGTCGCTGAGGTGCTGCAGCAGCGCGGGGTCGCCCAGCGCCGAGAGCTTGATGGCCGCGAAGCCCTGGCCGGGCAGGGTGGCGGCGGTGTCGATGGCAGCTAGGAAGGCGGCGGTGTGGCGCTCGCAGGCGTCCTCGTCCTGATGGGGAGGTGGGTGGGGAGGGGAGGAGGTGGGGAGGCGGTGGGGATAAAGAGGAAACAACTAACTGACAGTGTGATAAGGCGTCGCCATGGCGGGAGGTGGGGAGATAAGGAACATACCAGGCCTTTGGTAACCGCGATTAGGTGGGTAAGGAGGAAGGCCTGGGCTTCTTCCTCTTCTTGGTTAAGCCACAGAGCCTCGAAACACTAGCATTGCAAGGTCAGCTACCGGTGTATGTACGGCAGCAGGATTTGCTCCGATGTGGGTAGCAGGGCAGGGCCTTACCTGGTAGTCGTATGTCCGAGCAGAGACGCGCGACTGAATGAGACTCTCACCGCCCAGCGGGTCCCGAGCCGTCACACCACCGCTGCTGCTGCTGCCTGCTGCTGCTGCAGCCCCCTGCTTCTGCTGCTGGGCCTCCTGCGGCTTGCAGTGTGAAAGCAAGTCCTCCTCCTCCGCGTAATCCAAGATGGCGCCGATGCCGTGCGCCCTCAGCGCGTTCATGCGAGCCCACACATCGGCTGGCTCCTTGCCCACGCAAAAGTGCTTGTAGAAGGTCTGCCCGACGAGCGTGTCGAGAGCGGTGCGGTCACCCAGAAGCCGCCGAGCGGTGTCCAGGAGGGCTTCGGAGTGGGAGACGAAGGGTGGTGAAGCGCAAAGACGCAGCACCAGCAGTGCGCGGAGGAGATCTGCGGTGGAGCGGCCCTCGAAGATGGCGGCATGGTCCTGGTTGAGATGGTGAGGGATGGAGACGTAAAGATAAAGGAAGAAGGGAATAGGAAGCGGTTGTGGGCGAGACAGGAGGATGAGATGGTAGAACCGAGGGGAACTTGTGTAGACTGAAGGTGTTGAGTGGGTGATGATGGTGTTGGATGCAAGCGATATTGTTTTCCTTACCGTGAACGTCAGGTCCGTCTGCTTCCCAGTCTCCTTGTCGGGCTCAAAGCCATAGTTCCGAAAGACCTGGAGTTGAATTGGTCCACGCCGCGCCCCAGCCCTGGAGAACCCTGACAGAAGCCGTGCAGCCGGTTGCATCCCGGCGCTAGCGCGGAGTCGGACCTGAGGCTGACTTCCTACAACTTGCATTAGGTTACTGGCTGAAAAACACTTGATAATTGGCCGGCCGATAGGCCGGCCGCTGACAGCCAGCAAAGTACCAGGTATGTGTCACAGTCAAGGCTCAAACAGTAAAGGGTGTTCAACCGCTGGTCCACTAGTTGCTGGTGCCTGAAAGTGATACCGTATACGCTTGAATCTAAAGGCAAAGGACGCCTCGGCGAGAAAGTAACCGTATCCTTGGGCTTGCACGTCTGCGGTATTATAATAATATGCTAGCACTCCTCGCCACTACACTTGGAATACAACGGAACGTGCCGAGGGATATCCGCGACTAGTCGACAAGGACGCGCAGCGACATGTACGGAACCGTACCATCACGATTCTACAAGCGTCAACGCCTAACAGCGTCCGCTTAGTACCTGGTCGCCATCATAGTTCTGGCCTCAACTTTTAAGATTAAAACAATGAATGTACGAGGGAGAGGATGGTCCAACACAAATGCCACGAGACATGCGACCTATTGGACGCAGCGTGACGAGGGCTTCGGCTGCATGGGGAACGCTTATATGCGTAGGGTCCAACGTCAATAACTGCATGCGCCTGAATCCGTGCGTACGTGGAGTAACTTCAGCGGCTTTGGCTTGGGTTACATATACAAGCTGCCAGGCGGTAAGCACCCGGAGGCCAGGACCCGTGCCCTCAGTCGCACCCACCATGCCCGGGTGCCATGTAGGCCAAACAGCTGCGCCATTGAGTCCTATGGTGCCAGGTCATTAGGGCGGGGGACCAACGGGAAAACATCGCTCTTGCACCCGGCGACGCATTCCAAAGTTTGAACTCTAGCGAGAGGGCACACCGAGGCAGGGGCCGTGCAACCAATAACGCAACCAATGGCAACCCGACCTGCGTCGACCTGCAAAGCCTGCACGGTAGCCCTACAAGACCGAACCACAGACAGTTGGGGTTTCAGTCGAGGCACTACGCTCACTACGTCAACTTCGTAAGCAAGGAGTTGGTTTGGAAGCAGGGTAATGCGGCTCTGTCCTTGGCTTATAGCGGCAGGTACCGGCATTAATCATCCGTAGAACTCATGAAATAATCAACAGAACTGAAATCGCGCCAATCCAGCTCATCTGTGCAGCATAGAACACACGCTCACCAAGCCCGAACATCCCCCGCCGACGTACCACTAGCATAAGACCTATCGTCCCAAGGATCGCGTAGCCCCAGTAGGCAAACACCTTGTTAAAGTCAGCGAGTTTAATAGCAGGGTTGAGTTTTTCACAGGAATCTCCAGCTTGAATCGCAGCTGTTCCGATGGCAGCAAATGAAACAGCGGCGAAAATGAAGTGAAGGACAACTGACATCTTGGATGGCGGAGGCTTATTGTCCGCCGGCATGGAACTCCTCGGAGCGCCGTCAGACTCGTCCAGAACACGAGTCGGGAAGGCCCAGGTCAAAATACGGAAGACGGCGTAGACGCAGAAAAGGGCGACTGGGGCAGCGGCGTCACGGACACGCTGAAGAAGGCTCCAAAGCTGATCGCAAGGGAGAGGCCACAGATCGAAGCGCAGAACCAACAGGTGGCAATAAACCGCCGTGTAGGGCCATCCCCATCTCTGACACGGCATGGAATACGGGGTTTAAACGGCCTTTTTGCACGTGGGCGAGAAGCATGCTGACAGTCCATATGGATAGCGATATCAGAGAGATGACGCCGAAAGCAGTGGAGACGGCAGGGCTACTCCTAGCAGTCATCTTTTATTCAAAAGCAGTGAAGGGTGGCCTTACACCGAGGGAAGGGGCACGTGCTGTCAAGTCCTTAGTATGCACCTAATTACTGCCTGGAGATATAAACAGGTAACTGTGAGTGTGTCGGCGGCAAGGTCTGCCGATCATTGGTAAGGAGCTAAAAGCTGGGTATGCAACGAAAGGCTATGCCATTGTACACTTTAGAAATACCCGTCAGGTATCTCGTGATTCGTGCCCCATGCCACATTTGATTAATGGCTCGAATTCCCAACCGCTCACTGTCCCGGATCCATTAACCGGCCGTTGAGCCTTAATCGCCCTAAAGCATACGGATTCAGCCAAGGGTTTAGCTGGTCGCCATCAATGATTACCGTTATGTGCCAAACGCTGTGGTGGCTCCAGTCCTCAAGAAGATGCAAACGCATTAACAGTTTTAACCCCTGCAAGCTGTTACACCGTTGACATCCCCACCACCACCGTCAACCTCCTGCGGATTACGGGCGTGTTGCCCCAAAAGCTTCTTCAGTCGCACCCGCACATGGTTCCGCTCCATACGCACGTATCCAACACGCGTGTCAGTCATGTGGAACCCAACGGTCTGTTACTCAGGTAACCCGCATCAGCAACACGTCAGGTCGCCCCCCCCTCTCCAGGATGCCCCCCAAGAAAGCAGTCCAGCCAGCTGCAAGCCCGCCGCATGAGGCAACGTGCGCATGCGCATCACGATTTTGACGATGACAGTCCGTGTGGTCAGAAACGCACATGCGAACGCACACACACATGCGTGCACACGCTTGCAGCCGCAAACAACAACAACAACACCGCTGTGCATGTGTATATGCGCTCACACTCCACATATACCGTACAAAAGCTGTGTGTGTGGTGCGGGGCGTCAGGGGAAACAGTCCGTACGATACACAACAACCACGTTTCGCACAACCAGTAGCAGGAGTCGCACGATAAAGTCAGCACGCTGGGGAGGGAAACCGTCAGTGTCATGAGGTATGCCGGCGACCTCACAAGCAACAAAACGCAGAGACATAGCCCGCCTGCCTGGAGATCCGAAATACGTAAACACGCGCACGAAACACAACACACGCAAAGACCACGCAGAGACACATGCAAACACCAACACCAACCAACCACGTACGAAATGGGTTAGTGGCATCTTTGCAGCACACCTCTGGTGATGGCACCCCAGTTCATCATGCATGCCATCGTCCGCAACTCAAAAAGTCTTTTCATGTCATTGCATCGCTTTGCCTTCCACCTTTGTTGTTATACACCACCAGCATTCTGCCCTCTGCCATTGATCCCCATGTGCACAACCCGCTTTTGCTCTTTATACCCTTCGGCTCCCGCAATCTAAGGCCTTTCATGTTATACCGTCCGAAAGTTTGGCCTAAGAGAACCCATGCGTGCACGCCCGCCTGCCGCCTCCACAACCTCAATACATTGCCGGATACCAATCAAGCCTGCGCTAACAGCAGAAAACACACCCACATGAACCATCCAGCAGCTCACGTCCCACCGCATACCCAACCACGACACCCAAAACTTGTATGCGTCACAGACCACGCACATGTTCCATGAATGTATGTGAGATTCCTCGGGACCCACAGAACACAGTGTAACGGTCCGTGCGTTTGGTCGAGGCAGCAACAAGGCCCCTTCAACCAACTGAAGAATAAGATACATAAATCCTCCACGCCCCGACTAGACAAGACACCTTACTTCCCCGCCCAGTCCCGAAGGAGCAATACACAAGTTCTTAGCATGTTAAGGACAGCGTAACAGCCTACGGAACGGTGCGCGACAGCAGCAGCGATACACCCAAAAGCGGGAACCGAGCCTCTGTCCCTCCTTAACCTAACAAAATATACTATTGGGAAGTTGGGGGAACCCTGCGGGGGACGAAGTAACCCACGTCAGGCATAGGTGAACAAGGAGCACCATCACCGCCGTCGCAAGGACAAACAACCACCTTTCCCCAAACCATTCCGTTTCCCCAACCTCCTGCTGTTAGTAGCGGCAGTTTCCTCGGACCAGCTGGTGCGCGGAACAGCACCCCATGCTCCAAAAGTATTTCTATCCTGGCCGTGCTGGCTATCCGTACGATACCAAGCCTAAGCAGCAGCAGCAGCAGCAGCTACGAAGCTGTTTACCAACGTCCGTCCATCCGTCTACCTGCCTGCCTCAAACACGTGCTCCTATTCCTCCACTGTCGGTAACATGCCGCGGCAAAGCCCGCCGCAAAACGTGACACGACATCAAGCTTCTTTCTACAACGCCGCCACCACATCACATCCTCATACCTCCACACACCTTCCTCCTCCTTCGCGCCCTCTCCACCGCACACACAGCCTCCTCCTCCTCCGCTTTCTTTCCGGCCCAAGCCCCAACACTCCTCAACCCCCTGCCCCTGCCCCCCACCTCCTTACAGCGGGAAGTCGCCCCTGCCCCACTCCGCCGTGGTGCGGTGCAGCAGCATGTTGTTGTGGTTCAGCAGCAGCCCCACCACCCCCGCGCCCAGCTTGCAGCGCCACAGGTCGGAGGCGGTGAAGCCGCGGCGGGGCTGCGAGGGCTGAGTCATGTCCAACAGCTGAGCGGGGGGGTGGGAGGGAGGGAGGTGCGAGGGAGGAAAGGAAGGGGCAGGAGAGAGGAAGGCGGTTAGTAGAGGGAAGAAGAGGAAGAGGTGCGGCCTTGAGGGCAGGAGCGAGCCGGACAGGGCGGTTGGCGGCTACGGCGTCCATGCCCAAGAGACCGAATGTGTGCTCTGTGTGAAGAAAAACAGCCAAGTGCCACCTCCACCTTCCCAACCGCGGCACCCCCCTAGCTCCCTCAATCCCTCCAGCTCTCCATCCGCAGCTGCCCCCCCACCTGGTGTCAGTGTCTCATTATATATATTTTTTACCCACCTGGTGCCATAGGTCCTCGAAGCCCACCACGAAGGCGCTCTCGTCCTTCTCCACCGCATCATAGAACCACTTGGCGTCCTCCGCGCTCACGCAGCCGTCGCCGTCCAGGTCCAACACGCCGAACCAGAAGCGCTGCGAGTCGCGGGAGGTGCGGTCGTCCGATAGGTTGACGAACCTGATGAGGGTGAGGGGGGAGAAGAAGGTTTCCCGGGGAGGAGGAGAGCGGGTTGGGGGGTGGGTGGGTGGGAAGAGGCACAAAAAGAGGGAACTGACGAGCTGTATGGCGAAGCTTCGCCATGGGTTGCTACATTAGACCCCATCCCTCCACGGTTATCCTCCTTTGCCTCCCTCCTTCCCTCACATACCTCCTTCCCTCCCTCCCTCCCGCTCCGTCAGTTTTCCTTATTTTTACCCTTCCTCCCACCTCCCTCCCCCCCTCACTTGACAAAGTCCTCCATGTTGAGATAGCCCTTGAAGCCCGATGCGAAGCGCCAGTGCTTGAAGGCGTACTCCAGCACGGCGGGCGAGTAGCAGCCGAACATGTCGAAGGAGCCCACCTGCGGGGGAGGGGGGGTGAAGGGGTGGGAGGGAATGGTGGGCGATGGAGGTGGTGGGTGGTTGAAGCGATAAGAGGAGGTTGACACAACTGCACTTGGGGAGGGTAAAGAAGAAGCACTGCGGTTGTCAAAAGTTGAGGGCGTGGGAAGGGCGGACGGAAGGGTGGTTTACGAGCAAGCCGAAGGTGCTGTGAGGGGGCAGTCGAAAGGAAAGAAGGGCGGGTTGCAGGCGTGTGAGGAGGGATTGCGAAGGACCCACCTGATCTACCCGGATGTGGCCGTCTAGGTCCTGATCAAGCACCATGAAAGCGTAACTGCGGAGGGAGGGAGCAGCGAGGATGGGAGGTCAGGAGAAGGAAGAGGAGGAGGAGCGGGAGGTATTGCAGGTGCCGGTAGGTGTGGAACACGGGACGTCGTGAGCCGGTGCTAAATGCTGGGGGGCTTTTTGCTGCACATGGACATTGCGCACGCATGAAATCCGGCGGGTCATAAAACGTACGTCACATTTGGCAAGCATGCATGCATACAGAAGAAGAGACAGCAGCCCCGTGTGAGACACCGATAGGGACTGGACTGGATCGGCAAAAAGAAGAGGTAGATGTCAAGAGCTGAGCAAAAGGGGCGCGGTCGGACGCGTGCTCCGCTCACCGGGCCGCATACTCCCGCTTCGACGCCTCCACCTCCTTCAGCTGTCCTTCCAGCTCCTGATGCTCATTGGCGAGGAACGCGTACGCCGACTCCTTCTGCTGCAACTGTGCCCGCAACGACTCTATGAGCTTCTTCTGCCGAGCCAGTAACGCCACACCCGCGCCGGATAACCCAGCGGCGGCCGCCACAGGCGACGCCGGCGGCGGACCTGCACCCGCTAGGTTCACCTCACCAATGCTCGTAGCCGACGGGGAGGACGTGATGGGGCCGCCGCTGACAGACGTCGTGTTGGGGGAGAACAGCGCCGACCCATGGGTCTGCGTTGTTGACGCGGGCGCGCCGCCGGCGGAAGCGGACCATGCGGAGGCGGGGGACGAGCCCAGGTGTCGGGATTCCGAGGACCCCGGGCTGAAGTCGGGTTCGGAATGGGAGAGGATGAGCAAGGAGGTTGTCTCGGGCGGCAGCGGCTCCTCGGGGCAACAACCGCCGGCGGAGCTGCCGCCGCCGGCGCTGCCGCCAAAGGAGAGACTAAGGTTGAGGTAGTTGGAGTGCGGGGCGGTGTGAGGTCGCGCGTCGGCGCCACCCCCGCCGCTACCCCCGCTTACGCCAGGTATGGAGCCGGAAGCCGAGGGCTGCCGTACTATATGGGGGTGTGGCGGCAGCGCGTCGTCGGAGACACGTCTGCTAAAGCTGCCGCCGCCGCCTGCGCTGCCGCCGCCGCCGTGTAGGAGTTGCCCATGTGAGGATGGCGGGTGTGTGGGAGGCAGCGGCGGCGGCGTGGGGTGCGTTATCGTTGACGTCGTCGTCGACGCCACCGGCGCCGCGGCGGCGCTCCCGCCTCCGACAACGCTACCGTTGGACCCGCTGCTGTTGCGATCCCCGCCTCCGCTGCTGCTGATCGTGCTGCTACTGCTGGTAGCAGGGCTTCCAGCAGCCAAGCCGTCCCATCCCAGCGGCGTCCGAGGCGACGGCGGCCCGTCCTCCCCACTCCCCGCCGCCGTCGGCTGGTGCAAATCCACCAGCGACTTATCATGTACCAGCGGCGGCAGCGGCGGCGTCGCCGACGCCAAGTTCCCGCTCCCGCTCCCGCTCCCGTCGCCGCTGCCCGTTGTCGTCGGCGCCATTGCCGCCGCCTGCGGCGGCTGCGGCGGCGCCAGCGCGGCGAGCTCCGCTCGGCTGCGCGCCTCCGCCAGCTGCGCCGCTAGCTGTCCGTTCCGCTGCGTGAGTTCCGCGGTGGTGCGCTGCTGCGCCGCCAGCTGCCCCTCCAGCGCCGTCAGCCGCTGCTGCAGCGCTGCAACGGCCGCCACATGGGCCTCCTGCTGCGCCGCCGCCCGCTGCTGGGCCTCGTTGGTCGCCTCCGCGAGCTGCTGCTCCAGGGCCCTGCATGGGTAGTCAGGTGGGGGTGTCACCAGGGGTTTGCGAGGGGGGTTACGACCCTTATGAGGGTAGCGGAATGAGTTCGGATGGTGACAACCAGGTGCCAACCCAAGGAAGACGCAGGAAGGGGGATGCGTCCCAGCCTTTTCGAGGTCCGAGCTCGGTTTACTAGCGGTGACATCCAATACCCCCGAGTGACTCACTTGTTGTTTCGCTGCAGGATGGCAACCTTCTCCCGCAGGGACAGCGTGGGTGTGCCCGCCGCATGTCCCCCTGCTGTAGCGGCAACAGCGGCACAGCATGGGGATTGGCAGTTTAGCAAGGTGTTGCATGGATAATGTTGATGTTTTGGTGGGACGCGTCGGGGCTTAGCGATTCAACACGCCTATAAGCAGTACCTAACTCATAGACAGCCACCTTAACCAAGTGCCCAACGACCCTGCGGCTCACCCCACCCCACCGCAACCCAGCCCTAACCCCCCGCTCCTCCGCCGCCTCACCGTCCTCAGACAGCCGGTTTCGGAGCACCTTGCTGCTGCCTCCGCCTGCGCCGCCCGCGCCGCCAGCACTCCCCGTGTTGGGCGTATCGCTGCTCTTGGGCCGCAGCGCCTTGCCGGCTGCCCCCGCAACCACCGCCCCATCCAGCAGGCTGCCTCCCAACGGCACATGATTGCTGCTGTAGGCTGCCAGAATGGTGGCGGTAGGGCCCCCCGCGCTACGCATGGAGGCCCCGGAGGAGGAGGCCCCAGAGCCAGAGCTGAGCTGTCGTGCTACGGGCTGCGAGCTGCCGGCGCCGCTGCCGCCGCTGGTGACACCTGAGCCAGAGGCTTGCAGCGCGCCCGGGCTGCTGGTGGCAGCGGAGGAGGACACGGCTACGGGCGGGTTTTCGCTGCCGCTGCGTCGACGTGTGTGGTCAGGACCGGAGGAGCCGGCTGAGTTGACGGCCGAGATGGTGGCTGTGAGGTCGCTGTCTGAGGCGGAGCCGGCGTTATTGAATCGTCGGGTGCGGAATGCCATGGGCGATTTGGAGGCACCGCCGCTCGCGCCCGACAAGCTGGGAGAGCTGGGCTCGCTGGATGGTGGTCGGGGCGCCACAAGGTGTGGGGAGTTCCGCAGCATGTTGGTGAGGCCCCATGAGCCACCGCCATCTCCGCTCAATGCTCCGTCCGCTGGAACCGGAGCCGACTGACGCAGAGGAGACTGCTTGGCAGAACTACCGGACTTTGCTAAGTAGGGATTGTATGGTGAGCGCGACATCAAGCGGGTGCTCGCGGCAACCCGCCGTGCAATTCCCGCGAGCGCCGAGCGCTCTTTTGAGTGCACAACCCGCTAACGATGTGATATGCAGAGACCATCCGACTATGAAATCATCGATGCTGTTGCTGGTGTATTGAGAGCGGACTTGGAACAGTCGCAAGGTCTTGAAACTCCCCCTTTCATTCAACGACAGAGCTTTGACCCAAAACAGATTGTATGAATACAGTTATACTTGATAGCTCTAAGGGGTCAGGAATACGGTTCGTCTTCGCGGCTGAAGCCCCTTCGAGGATAGGAAGGCTAAGACAAGGACATACGGGAGCAAGAGAATACTGTTCTACCATTCACTTATAATAGAGTCAGGTTATTGTATTTCGCGTGCTGCTGGGGATGGTTTGGCAAGTCCGGGCCTTCCCCCATACAAGTACGGGCGTCATAGCCGGCATTTACATCACCCTCACGAAAGCTCACAAGTAACACTGCTGCATACACAGACAAGAACACTATAACTAGCCTATTAAACCCTAAGAAAATGCTGTGACCGTGGCCGTGCTTCTATGGCTATCAGGCGCGTAGCGCGCCTGCTTGGAGCCGTCTATGAGTTGCAGGTGCTGCCTGCAGCAGCTAGGGCTAGCACAGCAGCGGCAGCGACGATTACTAGCTCGGCGGACGCCTTAGCACCGACAGCACCGCACCCTAGAAGGGCTCTTTTGCAATTCCCTACTCAGGCTACTATTCAGCATGTTCAGGCGGTCCATACGTATACTCTTACAATAACAACTGGCAACCGACGTGGTGCCGGCTCTTTGGCGCCGGCTTGGGTGCAATTAGTTGGCACAAACGGGAAGTCGGAGCGCATCCTGGTGGGAGAGACAGACGAGGATCGCTTAGCTCGCGGCTCCGTTCGCACGGTATCGGTGCCTGCGCCCGAGGAGCTGGGCCAACTCCGCTTCGTTAACGTGCAGCGGTTGGGGAGCAGTATTAGCGATGCAGGCACAGGATGGTAAGTTACGGTAGCGTCATTTACCCTGCCTCCAACCTCACAGTGGACAGCGAGGTAACGAATATCTTTGTCATGGCATCAAGCACTGCTGCTACGTCATACTTGTTGCCGGTGGCTCCATCACATATCCATTACTCACTGTCGTGCCAACGTCACCAAAGCCGCAACTTTTTCCCACACGCCTAGCCCTACGCTCCTGTTACACCCTTTCAGCTAACCGCTTATGCCAATGAATCCACACCCAACATTGCAAACCTGGCGATGCCTTGCCAATACGCATCTCCTTCTTCTCCCCTTCTCCCTCTCACTCCCTCCTCCCTCGTTCCACCTCCTCCTCTTCCTTCTTCTCCTCAGGTTCCTGGAGCATGTGGTGGTGGAGACTCCCGAGCAGCAGCGCCTCTACTTCCCCTGCCACGCCTGGTTCGGGGAAGCTGACGCGGGCGTCATGCACGGCCCCCTGGAGCGCAACCTCCTTCCCGCCGCACCCGAGGACGCGGAGATCGCCTCCGAGCCGGTCCGCCTCAGCGCCTCCGGCATGGCCGTTCCGCACCCTGACAAGGTCAAGCAGGACGGAGCCAAGGGCGTGAACCGCAAGGGCTTCGGCCACGGCGGCGAGGATTCCTACTTTTACTGCGCAGGCAAGAACGGCGTGTTCGCACTGGGCGTGGCGGACGGTGTGTTCATGTGGCGCGAGAGCGGGATCGACTCGGGCGTCTTTTCCCGCGCGCTGATGAAGCTCAGCGAGCAGAGTGTGCAGGCGGGCAGTGCGGATGTGGTGAAGGTGATGCAGGATGCGGCAGCGGGCGCCGCAGCGTCGGGTGTCAAGGGCAGCAGTACGGCATGTATCGTACTGGTGAATCAGGATACGGGGCAGCTCTGGGCGGCCAACCTAGGGGACTCGGGCTGCCTGCTGCTGCGACCTGCCACGGCGCCGCCGGCAGGCGGCGACGGCAGCCACCACCCTCACCCTGCCCACCACCCGCAACAGCAGCCGTACCAGCATCATCCCCGCCACCATGCACACCCCAACCATCACCAACAGCAGCACCAACTGCATGGGCGGAATCACAGCGGCAGCCACCACCATAGCCACCACCCGCATCCGGGTCACTCCGGCATCGGGCGGCATCACGGCCGGCCGCTCACCGCAGCAGAGAACGCAGCAGCCGCGGCCAACCATGCGCCGCCCGTGCCGTACACTGTCAAGTTCCGTACCAACCAACTGGAGCACGAATTCGGGCGGCCGTACCAACTGGGCCACCATGAGGCGGCTGATTCGGTTGAGAAGTGTGATGTGGCGATGCAGGCCGTACGGCCGGGGGACGTACTCGTGCTTGGTACCGACGGGCTGCTTGATAACCTCTCGGATGCCGAGATTGCTCGGGAGGTTGCGGTGTGTCGTAGCCATGGGTCCGGCCCCAGTGTGATCGCGCACCGACTGGCTCGGCTGGCATTCGAGGCGTCGTACGACAAGAGCCGTAGCACGCCGTACTCTACGGCGGCTTCGGAGCACTTTGACATGGTGTACAGCGGCGGCAAGCCGGATGACATTACGGTGCTGTGCGCGATCTGCGAGTAAGGAGGAGTACGGAGGAGTAAGGAGCAGCTGCTGCTGATGATAGGTGGCAGGAAGGCATGGCCCATAAGGTTTGTTTGAGGCATGATTGCAAGCCGACGGGGAGAATTCCCCGAAGAGGAGGAGGAATGGAAAGTGGCGGGAAAGGTTCATGTTGGTATCGGAAGGCGCAGCGCTAGAAGGGTCGGGATTTGCGGTGAGGAGGAGTCGCCACGACAACGGCATTCGGACTGGGGTTGCTATGGTTCCGTTGGGGGCCCAAATTGGGTTCCATGGGGGGTCTTAGCTGCTGGTCAGCGATTAAGCACGTCAATAATAATAAGCGCGGCCTATTTTGGCTTAAAGTCCGTGCTATGTTATGATCTTACCGCGCTGGGCTTTGGCGGTAAGACGCTTTGTCTGCGCGGCGCAATTGCGTCCTGCTAAGCAGGACTGCTGTGGAATGATGCGGGGTGCTCCATGTAAGCATGCATATGACGGGATCCGTGGGCTAGCATCGGTAGCAGGCGGTAAGGGAAGGGGAAGAGCAGTTGTTTACAGCACGGCGTGGCTTGTGTGCGGGTTTGTGTGCACATTAGGTAGGCAGGTACGACAGGCGTGTGTGATTGTGTACATGTGTCTGAATTGGTGGTGCAGCTCATTATTTTCTTCGCTGTAAGTGCCGAAGTGTCTTGAAAACACCGTTCGTTTGTGTGTAGCTGTTGGTGCGTTTGATTAATGGCTTGGCTGGGCCGAAGCAGCCGCGTAAACGAATAGGCGGCCTTCCTAACCGGCGTCGACAAGTGTCGACCGGACGTGAGGATGGCCACCTACAAAATACGTAGACCGCGTTTTCCTTGTGGAACGGAACGGAACAGCCCTTGGAAGGGTGCTGATGGATGTGCGTGTGGACGCGTGCCTTATTGTGGCTTGCGTAGGGTTTTGCGCTTTTGCATGATTGCGTCTTTACGTGGCATGGGCGCTATGTTAGCAACCCCCTCCGGTGGGTGTTTGTTGTTACCGGGACATGCTTCGGGTACGATAGCGCTGCACAGGCGGCATGAGCCGGAACTGTGCAGCTGTGACCCTCAACAAATCTACTTTTTAGATCCCGGTTTTGTTTGCATGATCTCTTCAAAGCTTTTATGTCTTGCGGTCAGGTATGTCGCTGAAGTCTGAAGTTGTGTTCCCGTGTTCCTCCTTACCTTGTAGCTGCTGCTGAGGATAGCGGGAAGGAGAAGGAGAAGCCTCATAACTGTCATAACACGGTGTGCTTGGGGCAGGGCTCTTTCCGACACAAACCCCGCCCTTGCAAGGGCTTAGCCGTGGCGGCTACAGTCCACAATGCAGACGAGGTTGCTTGTAATGGAGACAGAAAGGACTCTGCCTATTGTATGCTTGCACGGCATGTACGGCACTTCTCCGGTTGGCTCCAGCGAAAGACATGGTGTCTGTAGTCCACTACCATGTTACCGAGGCCTGCATGCGCACGCAAGGCTAACCGTCCAGACAGCACCCCAGGCACGCTGCATTGGGAGAAATCAAAGCCGCCACTCTCATGACGCATGAAAGCACTCGACAGGAACCTGATTGTTGTGCGTGATACGAATATACGACAACATGTCCGTCGGCACGATGCGGCCGTCAGCATGTCTCCATGCCATGGGGCAGGCTGCGGTACGACGAGCACAGCTGCATTGCGGAACCGAATCGGCGAGGAACACAGAGAAGGAGGCACTGAAACACCTCGCTCGTTCCCTTGGCCTGCCAATGCACTGTAGCTTGCATCGCAGCCCAACCCCACAGCATGGCAAATACGGAGCATGGAATTCCTTCTTTCCCCTCCCCACCCCGCCCCGCAGTACCGGACACAACCAACCCGCTCAGTCATCAACAAAAGAAGCGAATGAAGAACGTCACGCGTCTCTCTCTACTTTCTCCTTTTAGATTGAAGAACCAGGCCACTGAGCCCTCTCACTAACTAGCACTAACTAGGTTTAGCAGAGCTCTGCAAAAATACCCACACGCGTTCCTGAATGCCCGTGTGCCCGTCAAATAAGCCGCGCATGGGCTCCGGTTCTCTCCTCTTCCATCGTTCGCCTGGGTTGCGGTTCCCCCGTTAATCACATGTCGTGCGCCTAAGCCAAAAGGGTCTCCCGGGCAGCATCAAATCACATGAATACAGGGCTCTCTTCACGTCACTCAGCATAAATGATGTCAAAAATAAAACACATGATAACTACTCTGCCTGTTTAGCTGGCAAGCAAAGCCTATGTACACGGAAAGGCATCACCGATATCTACAGTACACCTCCACCACGGTATGCATACCCAAACACGCGGTGCCCTACGCACTGCCTGCTTCCGTTTCACCCAGCCTAAAAGCGGCAGCCGGCCGCAGCCATGCAACTCCGTGTTCCCCTACAAACCAACACACGCACATCAAGGACGCCCGAAAGGCACTCCTTTCCTTTTCCTTTCCCCGCTATCACGGCGCTCCCCAGCCACCCCCCGGCACAACCCCACCGCAGCCGCCGCCTCCGCCTCCCGGCGCTGCAGCCTCCGACGGTCCCGGCAGCGGCGCTGACGCCAGCGCTTCAAACGGAGACCTCCACCGCACCTTGGCCGCACCTCCCGCTGCCGCACCTCCCGCAGCCCCGCCTGGCATAGAACTGCCACCGCCACCGCCGCCGCTACCAGCCCCACTGCACGCACCTGGCCCTGCTGCATTACTGCTGCCTCCGCCATTTACTCCGCCACTTACTTCGCTAAGTCCGCTTTTGATTACCGTTGTGTCCGAAGCAGCCGTCGCATGAGATGCTGGGGGTGCTTTCCGACGGGCCCCCGAACGAGCTACCGGCACCGGTAGCGGCACCGGTGCTTGGGCGTGCTGCTGGGGTTCAGCTGGAGCTGCTACAGCAGCAATACCGTCGCCGTCGCCGCCAGATGCACGGACGGAGAGCGGCGGATGCGGCAGCAACGAGACTGCCTCCGCTTCAGCGGAGGTGCGTGCGTTGGTGGCAACGGCGGCAAGCCCTGCTGCTGCTGCCGGCCCAGTCGCAGCCGCAGCGCCGTTGGCAACACTTTGTTCGGATATCCGCTCCAGTCGTGGACTTGGCCCCACAGGTAGCGTGGGCAGCGGCGGCGGCAATTGCTGCGTGGCTCCTGTTGCTGTTGCCGCTGCACCGCTGCCGTTGCTACCAGGGCTTGCCCACACGCTTTCTGAGGCGCACCGGAACCACCGATTGCCTCCATGCAGCGTCTCCTCCAGGGAAGCTCTCCGCGCCGCAATCTCATCCCCCGTATGCATCAGCGCTAGGGAAGTACGGCGGGCCGGCGTCGCCGGCGATTGTACGACAGCCGCTGCGGTCGCCAACAAACCACTAACCGCCGCCGACGGCGCCGCCGCAATGGCGGCGGTACCAATCGTACCCGCTCCCGGCAGCGCGACGCCGAGCTGTCGTGACGACGCAGTGAGGTGGAGTGAGGTGTACGACACGTCGTACAGGGCTCCGCTGTTGCCGTACGACAGCTCTTCCGCTGCAGCCAGCAGTCGTGATGCGCGCAGCAGTGGCATGGGCTGCTCCTCCTCCCCCTCCTGCTTCGCTTCGAGCAGGCCGCGAAGCGCCGTTTTGGTGCTGCTGCTGCTGTTACTGCACAACTGGGCAAATGCACTGGTACCGCCAAGTGTTCCGTGCCGTGTGGCGTCTGGATTGGCCTGTAAGGTTGGTGATGGCTGCGAGGAGGAGGCTGCGTTGAAGAGGGATCGTGGCTGTGGGGAGACGGGCCAGTTGGTTCCGGAGGCTGCAGCGGCCGCTGCAACGGAACCCCAGTCGGCGCCGATACCGGTAGCACATGAAGGTGGCACGCATCCAGCACCCAACTCGCCAGACAGCATCCCTAGCTGTCCTTTGCTAGGAGACGTAGAGGACGATGGAAGTAACGCCCAGCCATGGCGGCTGCTGCAGCCTCCTCCAAAGGCGGCAGCGGCTGTGGTCGTAAGGGCCGAACGCGTGGGGGTGTCCGAAGCGGCAGGGGGGATTGCGGGGTGTGACGAGGGGTCCCGGCTAGCTGCGGGGGAGGTGGTCGTCAGCCGCCTGACGCCGCCGCGCCCACCAATGCTGCCCAGAGCAGCGAGTGCGCTCGCTGCGACGGCACCGGAAGACGAATCGCCGCCGCGCATACCGCCGCCGCCGACACCAGAACCCGCCGCCGCTGCAGCGGCTGCTAGCATTGCAGCCGCCTGAGTCGCCGCATGCACTGTCGCATCCAGCGAAGGGGACGCCGTACTCACACCACCACCACCACCACCTCCGCTAAGTACGGACAGCTCCGACCTCAATCGGCGGAAGGCGGCTGCAGCGGCAGCAGCGGTGCCCGTCGCCGCCGACACCTCTCCCGAGCCCAGCGCAGCCCCGATCGCCGCCGACAGGCTGCCGGAGGCTGCGACACCGCCAGCAATGGCGGCGGTGGTGCCGCCCGTGGGTCCATGCACGGTGCTGTCGTGCAGGGAGATTGTGTCGCCGATGGATGAGGAGGAGGCTGCGCGGTTGCCCAGGTCCAGCCCCGTGAGGGCGGCTAGGAGGTCTTGGTTGGCAAGCAGGTCCAGGGTCCAACTGTTGGCGGAGAAGGCGCTGGCAGGGTGTGGAGGGATACGAGGGGGGTAACGGTGGGGGACGTCAGTAACGGAGGGGTCCAGTAGTGGAGGGGTCAGTGACGGTGGGAGTTAGCAACGGAGGGGGTCAGTAACGGAGTACACGGCGACGCAAGGAAGTAACATCGGTAGCAGGTGATAGGCCGCAGACAGTGCCGCTGTCTTGACCTGACAGCAACCTCTTATCAACCGCTTTGTCTCTTTTTCCCACCCATGTCCGGCCTGCTTACCGCATGTCGGCTCCCAGCGCTATCCGATCCAGCAGGCCCCCCGCATCTGCTCCTCCTCCTCCTCTTCCTCCCTCCGCAACACCTGCCTGCCCCCTTCCTCCTTCTCCTCCTCCTCCTCCTCCTTCTCCTTCGCCGCTATCTCCCTCCATCCCACCTGCCAGCAGGTACGCCGCAGCCGCCGAGCTGCTCTCAGGAGCGCTGTGAGCCCGACCCAACACCCCGCCCCCAGGCCCTCCGGGCAACTCCCGGATCAACGCCAGCGGGTCGAGAGCCGCTAGCTCTAGCTCAGAACTCGGGCGGCGCTTTAGACCGCCGCCGCAGCCGCCGGCACTGCCGCCGGATAGGGTGGTATTACTGCCACAGCCGGCGCCGTTGCCACTGCTGCCGCTACGGCCGCGATTGGGGTGCTGCGGGTGCTGCTTCGCATGGTGGTTGTGGGGGTGAGCAGCGGTACCGTGGTTGGCAGGGTGGTGAGGGTGACAGGGGTGGGGGTGTTGAGGGTCGTGCCGTCGTCGCCATCCTGACATGTACGGACTGCTAGACCAGCCACCACCACCACCACCACCTCCACAACCACCACCACCACCACGGGTGGGACTGCCGTGGGGGTGTTGCAGCGGCAGGTTCCCAGCTGGCGGCACTGGGGGGTGGCGTTGTGCGGAGGACTTGGGGGCTGAGGTGGAGGCTGAGGCGGCCGGTGGTCGAGGCGGCAGCGCTGGCTTGCTGCCGCCACCGCTGCCTCTGCCGCTGACGTCGCCGCCGTTGCCGCCGCCACTGCTGCCATTCGCAGCCTCCTCCGGCTCCACCACTGGCTCCAACAACGCATGTGGAAACTGGTGCTGGTGGTGGTGGTGGTGAAATTGCTGGTGGTGGTGGTGGTGGTGGTGAGGGTGGTGGTGTGCAGGCAGATGAGACGAAGGAACGTGCTGGGCATGCAAAGAGTGCAAAGGGTGCGGCCCCCCATGGGGCCTCCCAAGGTGCGGTGCGTAGGGGTCCTGGCCGCTGCTGTTGATGCTGTCCATGCTGTTGCTGGTGCCGTTGCAGTGGAGGGGAGCATGGTGGCTGTGAGGGGCATCGCTGCCGATGAGGGGCTGGTTGGAAGACACATCGGAGTTGCATGAGTCCTCACTCAGATGGCGCTGGGAGGGCGAGGCGGAGATGGGCGACCCATGGGTCGGCGACTGCTGCTGTGTTGCGCATAGCTGTTTTTGCTGCTGCTGTAGCGAGAGCAGCGGGCGCTGTGAGGAGGTGGAGTCGGTGCTGGCCCGGATGCCGCGACCCGAGGCCGAGGAGGGATCCTGCTGCCCGCTCATGTTGACCGATGCGGTCCGGATGACACCCGATAGCTGCTCCGGATGCTGCCTCCGCTGCCGGTCTTGTCCCTTGTGCTGCTGGACTTGTTGTTGCTGCTGCGCCTGCTGCTGCTGCTGCTGTTGTTGCGCCTCTTGCTGCTGCTTGTCGACGGCCCTCCGTGTCTTGGCGCGTGACACAAGGTCTCTGCGGTGCACAGAGACAGTCCCCAGCGAAACACACCGTGTGTCATTTGGCTTACCACGGCGCAGTCCCCCGCTTCCACGACAGCATGGGACCATACCCCCGCCATACCCCCATATTTCCCACCCCATGTCCGTCCTGCCCCTTCCCCTGTGTTTCGCGACACTCCCCACAGCCTAGCTGCCATACCACAACCACTGTCTTCTGCCTTAACATGTCTCTTCACGGCCTCTTACTAGGGGTCTGAGCCTCCCTAAACAGCTGCCCCCAGCCAGCCAGCCAGCCAGCCAGCCTGCCCCCCCACCTGTGCAGCGCCTTGCGCCGCTCAGCCACATGTTGCATGAAGTCGCCCAGCTGCTGCCCCTCCGCCTGGCTGGACATCATGGCGAAGGCGAGGCCGCGGAAGCGACTGCAAGGGTCGCAGAGGAACAGGAACAAGAGGCGGAGTCGGAGTCGGGGGTGGGTTATTAACGAGGAAGGGTGGGATCAGACGTAGATAGCGAGGGGACAGACGCCAAGCAGCAGACCAGCATGAAGCAGCTGAGCATGAACGTGCAGCACAGCATAGCATCAAGCCATCTGTCATGTCCCCCCCCTCACCCCACCGCATGCGCACACAAAGAAAACACGCAAACGACAACAGGACTGCGGAGGATACCATACAACACGCGGAAGGAACCCCCATGCACAGCGCACCGTAACGAGGCCAGCTGCGCGATGCGGCGCTTGATGACGTCATCCAGGGGTGCGTGCAGCGCTGCAACAGCAGCAGCAGCAGCAGACCCTCCGCCAGCGCCCTGCGGTCCCCCCGCTGCTAGCGCCTTGGCGATGAAGGGGTGTCGCATCACCTGGGCGCATGTGGGACGGACCCGTGGGTCGTCTGCCAGCATGGCCAGCAGCAGCTCCCGCGCGGGGGCCGACAGGGACCGGAAGCTGCGGCGGCAGAGTTAAGCGGGGGGAAGGAAGGGAGGTGCCGTGTGGACGTGTAAACGTTAACGGCGGCAACAATCTTGGTGAGAGCGCGACAGCGGGAAGCGGACGGTAAGGGGTGATGCCGGGCAAGGTACCGATGCCAGGAAGGGAGAGCAGCCTAGGGGCAGAAGCACCGGAAGTGCGGAAGGGTGACATCCCTCAGCAGTAGAGAATCCTCTCTGATCCAGCGCCGCACAAGAGCCCCAGCCCCACCCCATCAAGATCCTCCCGCCCATCCCCATTCCACCAGCCTCATCCCACCCCGCCCCACCTGGCGTCCTGCAGCCCTGGCGCCTGCGCGATGCGGCTGCGCGCATACTGCAGGCTGCGCACCTCCCGCAGCGGCCAGGGCTTGCGACCCGTGAGCATCACGAACAGCAGCACACCCAGGGAGTAGACTTTGGGGGGGGGGAGGCAGGGAGACGGTGAGGGGGATCAAGATAGATCAAATCATCGTGTCCATAGGAAACCACGAAAACACTTGGGAAAAGGAGGGGAGGGGAGAGGTACTTCTTGGAGTGAAGAGTAAGCTAGTGCGGAGGGCACAGCAGCGGCATGCGGCCCTGTCGGAAGTGCGGTGCAGGTGTGGCAGTGTCGCGCTTACCGTCCATGGCGAACTGATGGTGGTCGTCGCGGGCGAGGGCGGCGGTGGATGAGGAGCCAGGCATCATCAGCAGGTGGTAGGCATGCGGAAGCGGGGCAGTCGCAGCAGTGGCGTGGCAGCAACAGGTGTGGCAGCGGTAGCAGCAGCAGCAGCAGCAGGCACCCAGCGAAGGTCCAAAGCGGGTGCAGGGAGGGCAAGGAGGGAGAGAGGCTTCAGACTCTTGCATGGAGGAGGAATGTCAGGCAGGGCGAGACCTATACGGCAAGGGCTATCTCCATGCCGCTGCGCTGCTTAAGTCCAAGGGAGCACCTGCAGACCTAGTGCAATGCCGTCTCCCAACTGCCTCCTACCCGCCGCCCCGCCCCGCCCTGCCCTGCCCTGGCCCCCCACTCCCCCCGGCCTACCGTATGCGCCCCTCCGTTCACCACTTCCGGCGCTATGAAGCCCGGTGAGCCCAGGCAGCCCCGGGGTGCCTCCCTGCTACGACTGCTGCTGCTGCTGCTGCTGATGCCGTGACTCCGACCAGCCGACCAACCCGCCCGCCGCTGCTGCTGCTGTTGCTGCTGCTTGGCCCACTGCTTTTGCTTCTCCCCTTGCTCCTGCTTGGATGCCCGCTGCTGATCCCGCTTAGAGCCACCCACCACCCCCAGCAGGGCGCTCGTGTCCTTGCTTCCTTCTCCTGCTGCTGCTGCACCTCCCTTGCCGCCTCCCTCCTCCTCACCCTCATCGTCATCAGCAGCAGGCGGCGGCATCAGCACCGCCGCCATGCCCAGGTCGATCAGTTTGACCCGCAGCGGCCGCCCTGCTGCCAGGCAGTCCTCCACGCGGCGAGCGAACATCACGTTCTCGGGCTGGTGGTGGGGGGGTTGCGGATGGGGGGGGGGTACGGATAGGCGGTACGGATGTCAGGAGAAGGGGTGATGCTCAGGAGTGAGGAGGTCAGAAGGGGTGGTCCACATATTACGGCCGCCCTGCACGACCCGTGGGTCACTAGCGCCCCTTGGAGCTCATCTTCCCCAGACCCTGCTACCGGCATCCCTTGACAGCCCCACTCCCCCCAGCTCCCCACTCCCCCCCAAACGCACCTTTATGTCCCGGTGTACGATGTTGAGGTTGTGCAGGTAGGCCACTGCGCTGGCAACCTGGGGGGTGCGGGGGAGGGGGGGGAAGACAGGCGGGTGGGCGCAGCACACCGACAGCTTCCATGTACAGCGGCAAGCGACAAGTGGCTTCGAATTCCGATGCCCCGTGCCCCAGGAGCTGTAACACACACACACACACAGCCTCCCTCCCCTCCGATTGGGACTCCGTTGCTTCACTTTCCGTTTATCCCCGCCCCCTCACCTGTGCGAACAGTCGTGCCGCCTGCACCTCCGAGTAGTGCTCCACCCGATGCAGGTGATCCAGCATCTGGGAGGGGAGGAGGGAGGGAGGGAGGGAGCGGGGCATAAGGTAAGCTGAGCCCCGGAGACACTGACCCGGGCAGGGGGAGCGGGAGCGGGGAAGGCGACAAGTGGCGTTGAAAGTAGGAGGGGGAGGATGAGGTGCAGGAAAAGCGCTGTAGGTTCCAAAGGAACTCCCTGCAGAGGGCCGCTTCCCTTGCAGGCGCCCCTCCCACCACCTTTTTCCCAGCTCCTCCTCCCTCTCCCGTCTCACCTCGCCCCCAGACAAGTACTCCAACACCATGACCTGCGGAGGGAGGGGAGAGGGGAATTATAGATAAGTACAACAACGCAGTCCCAATCCCGAATCCCGACTCATGCAGTGAGGGGGGAGTGGGGCCGCGGGAAGGCGGGACGTGAGGGCACGGGAGGACACGTACAGGCTCGCGTTGCGGTCAAGGGAAGGCAGCAGCAGCAGCAGCAGCAGTACGGACCCGGAAGGAGTATTGAGGTGCTATTTCGTTCTGCCCGCCCCCCCCCCACCATGTGGTATTTGGTTTCGAACACGTCCCGGCAGCGCAGAAGGCCCGGGTGGTCCAGATTGCGCAGGAAGCGAGCCTCCCCGCGCAACACCTCCGCCTGCAGGGCAGCATGGTGGGGGTGGGTGGTGGTGGTGGTGGGATGGGGGTGGGAATGGAGGAGGAAGCTTCGCGCGGTCTGGAAGCCTCCTTGAACAGCCTTTATTAGGCCCCCGTCCCCACTACCACCCCTCTACCACTACCACCACCTCTACCACTACCACTAACGATACCACTCCCACTGCCCCCGCTACTCACGTCCTCGGGCCGCAGTCCCGGTTTGCGCAGGTAGACCACTTTGAGACAGTGCTGCTCGCCGCTTAGCCGCTGCCGAGCCAACCAGATCTCCGAGAAACCACCCTGCGAGGGCGAGGGCGAGGGAAGAGAAAGCGAGGTTATACAGATGGTAAAGATGGTACAGAAGGGTCGGGATATGAAGGGGTAGAACTTGGACCGCTAGCGTGTGGAGAAGGTGGAGGGTCGGAGGGAAGGTGGAAGTGTGTTCGGACCTTGTCGGGGCGCGGGTCTGATGAGTGGGAAGGACAGGTACGAGTGGTCGGACACTTCGCCGCGCCCTGCCATGGGTGGTTGGCTTGGAAACAGGTTTGGGGTTGGAAGCTGTGTGTATGTATAACTGCTGTGAATGCGGGTTGACCCAGATCGCAGAGGGGTCGCCCCGCAGCTACCGTGTGGTGTATCTGTCCGTCTATCTGTCTGGCTGCCCGTCAAGGCAGGGCAGGAACCGCGCTGGAGCGTTGACCGGATACCCGCGGCCCCGCAGAGCCAAGCGTAGCTCATGCAAGCGTTAACACCCAAACCGGCTCCATGACAGCCCCTCATACTCGACCCACGGAAGAAACTCACATCAGCGATGTGCTTTTCCAAGTCATACTGACGTAGCGTAGGGTGTGCGCGCCAGTCCGACAACCTGTGGTAAACCAGCATGGCGGATGGATAATGGCTGTACGCAGCAAATCAGCGAATGTTCACGCACCGTATCAAGTCCCGAGAGACCCCTGATGTGCGCGTTGTTGTTGCAGAAGGAAGACAACAGCATATTGCGCCGACGATTTCTCTGAAAATTGACATTTAAGTTGTGTAGCGGAGCCTGGGCCTAGAAGAGGGAGCATGAAACACTATTACTAATATACTAGGATGCAAGAGATGGCTGTGACCAATTTGCAAAAATAAGATAACCGCTATGCAGGAAAGAAGGACTAAGAAGGGTGGCGAAGGAGCCGATGGTGTTGCCTTGTCAATATGCAGGAATGTGTAAAACAAAGCTACATATATTACTGGCCTCCACTTGTTAGGAATGGAGGCGGGTGGAATGGACGACTAGCTGAGCTGTCACCAACATTACACATGCGCAACGATTTGCAAACAGCAACACCCAACGCAACCCGCCGAACGGGACTTGTTCATGTATGCTATACATCTCTGAATACTGCGAGGCGCAAAGCAGGCTTGTAAAGGCATGTGCGCGGCTCGCTCGCTTGCCAGGGCGTCCTCAACAGCGGGCGGCTCCTCCGCCTGCTCCTCGTCCCGACCCACATGCAGTTTGCTCTCCTGCATTCACGCCGCAGAGCTGTCGACAACTTCTGTTCCATCGGCGTGTCTTGTTTCTCAGCCCCTAAAGACATGGATGTGTTTCAGTACATCACCAAACTACCGCTAACTCAATGTACAACCAACTCCTCAATCAACTTTGCGACAACCTAAGACGACCCGTCCCGTGCGCACACAGCTATAATTCATGCGCACTGCCCTGCCGCCGTAACAGAACCTTACCAGGCGCCATCTTCAACTCCACCATGCGCCTACACCAAGCGCTCGGTGCTGTTTGCAGCCTGCAGCCCGGCAGCCAGGATGAAGGTGAAAAGTGTTTTGCACCGCTGCCCCCCTAGCTCCTCCAGTTGCGGTCTATTATCAACAGGCTTCACGGTATTCCTGGCAGCAGCAGCAGCAGCAGCAGGAACCGTACATGCACCCCTACAATCAAAGCACCGCCGACTCGCCGTCCTCGCAGCAGCAGGGGGGACCAGCATTCCAGCTTACAGCAGCCAACCCTTCTCGATGTTATAAAGCAACACCGAACGGTTGCCAATCTCAATTTCCACGCCGCGATGACACCCAACCGCCCCCTCAAAGCCACCGGCCTCTCCCACAATGCAGTTCCAGTACCCGCCGTACTTCCCTGCGAATTCGCGAGAGATGAGTATGGCAGCGGCTTCATAGGTCCTGGTTGCCTGTAGGGCCTTGCGGGCCGTCTTTGCGGCGTGGGTCCTCATGGGCGGTGATACGTCGCAATAATGAAAGCGAACCGGACCGTCAATGAAATGCGCCGGGTACCGGTACTTCTGGTAACCCTCGCTACCGCTGCTGCTGTCACTGCCGCTGCTGCTGCTGCTGCCGGTTGAGGAGTCGCTGCTCGTGCTGTCGCTGGCCGGATCCTCATCATCCGTGCCCGCGTCCTCGTCCGGCAGTGGGCCGGGCTCCGTACCCGTCTGCTGCGTAGCGGCAATGCGGGAGGTGGGGCGTTGGGGCAGTTCGGCAGTTGGGCAGTAATTGGCCAGCAAGCCAGCAATCAGCTTCACGATGCAGAAAACGGAATGAGAGCAGCACGCGGTGTTCGCAATGCTATGCTCACAGGGCGCACCTATCAGCGGTAGGTGACCATGAGGGAGGGCCAAGTGTGAGCCGCCGTTCATTTGCGTCCTGTCACCCATTCGCGCCAGTGAATATACCTTGTTCACGTGCTCAGCGGCTTCCTTCAGCCCTGCTGCGACGGCCTTGCGCTCCCCCACAGAAGCCAACGAAGCAGCAGGTGCGGCACCAGCAGCGGCCGCAGGAGCGTTAGGAGCACCGGTAGCAGCAGCGGCAGCGGCGGCAGCGGCAGCGGGGGCATCCTTGGCCGCCATGTCCGGCTGTTGGAACTCGGCAGATAGCTCCTGAAGGAAGCCGCGGGCCATCTGCGGAGGCGGCATGGAAGCAGCAGCCGCAGCAGCAGCAGAGCCAAACACACGCAAGAGGCGTGAGTTACTTGAGCAAGACGCACACGCAAGCGTGTGGCTACACATGCATGCAAGAGGGCCTACGGCAACCCATCCCCATGTTTATTTGGGGCTTTGGCGCCCTTCCACGCACGGTCCAAGTAAACGACCACCAGCCCCCAGCAGCACCCCACTCACCGCCGCTCCCAGCGCCGCCGCGTCTTCGGTGGTGAACACACATCCCCGGCCGCCGCCCCGACCTTCCTCCTCCTCCCGCTGCTGCTGCTGCTGCTGCACCACCCCCTGCTGCTGCTGCTGCTGGTGCTCTTGCTGCCTGGCCACCTGCGCCTGTTGCTGTTGCTGCTGTTGCGCGCTCTGCTGCTGCCTCTCGCGCTCCCGCAGCTGCTTGGAGAGGGCCAGTCGCTCCGCCTCCTGCCGCAGCAGCGCCTTCAGCAGCACCTGAGAAAAGGGGAACGTTGCTTCAGGCTTCTGCAGTTCTGCTTCCGAGCTTCACTTGAGTTTACCGGTATGACCTGATTGCGACTGGTGATACGTCCGGAAAAGCGACTGGTAATACTTCCGGAAAAGCGACTGGTATTACTTCCGAAAATAAAGGGACAGACAACAAAGGGATTCAGACGGAGAATAGGCGATCCTGTGACTCTGTTTTCCTACCTGCGTTTCGCTGGTGAGGATGTCCTTCTCCTTTTGCAGCCTCAGCAGCTCCTTCTGCTGGTGCTCCAGCTCCAGTTCCAGCAGCCTCTCCTTGCAGGTTGCAGGTGCAGCAGCGGACTCCGGGTAGCGCTGGAAGGCGGGTTCAGCAGTCCAAGGCGTGGAGGGCGCTTCCTGCTGCTGCTGCTGCGCGGATTTCGAGCCAGCGCTGCTGCAGAAGGCCCGGAAAAATGCACCAGAGCCACCTACGCAGCTGGCGCTCTTTGCATACTTGTTGTGGCTAGTAACGTTGCAGTCGTGTTGTGTTGCGGAAAGCCGCGACAGCAGCAGGACCTGTCGTGTCGGAGTTGCGAGCCCAAGCTGCTGCGGCGGACCTAGGAGGGCCGCCAGTCTCGGCCCTCGGAAGCAGAATGCTGCGGACAGCCAGGACATTTGCGTTAAAACGTTTAGCTTGCGAAACTTGCAAATTATTTCACTGCGGCTTCAGTGGTTTGTGAGAGACATGTATAGGCCATCTGCTGCGCCACCAAGGGGCTCGGCCACTCCGTACGCCTAGTACTCCGGTTGTTAGCAAACGCAGCTTTGGCTGCTGGAAGGTATTCGAATGTCAGCTGAACTTCTGTTTCTTGTGTAATTTACACGTTGACTGCTATTTTAGTCCGGATCTGGTTGAATAAGGTAGAATGGATTACGGTCCATCCTTAGTTTTTCCGTGCGTGCAATCCCGTGGGGCCGTGACCCACGGGTCACCAACTGCAACAATGAATGCGGAGCCCCATGCCTCGCTCCACCGCACCCGCATAACTACCACAACACCGCAACGCAACCCCACCACATGACAACAACTTTTTTTTCATCTCAGTACACAACACATAACGCATCTAACGGCTACTAGGATAGGGACAAAGGGCGAGAAGGCGCATGCACACAACATTCTGTTCTCTTATCATGGGCTGCCTGCCACAGAGCACAGAGCACCCATGCCGCTTTACCCACGTACCATGCATGCTGCGCACCAGCAGATACAGAGACCATGGCAACCGCAACCGCAGCCGCCTAAACAACTCCCTGTCTGCACTACCATGGAAAGCACAATAGCTCATTTGGTTAAGCAAGGGCACTGCTGATGAGCGCATGCGGGCATGCATACATCGATACACGCCTGCCCAGCAGCAGCCACCCATCCAAGCCACCACTGGTACCACCACCACGCACCACCACCAGCACAGCCGCCACCTCTGTGCTACCCAACCATCACCCCTACCTACCTACCCTTTCATTCCCCTCAATGCTGAACAGCGCCTCAATGCCGGAATCACTGGAACAGCGATAGGAACCGGGAGCACACCTGATGCCACAGCGGCCGCACCGGTCGATACAACAGCACCCTCTCACCCTCCTCCTTCCCCTCCTTCTCCTCCTTCCCCTCCTTGTCCGCCTCCTCTCCCATTCCCTTTCTCCCCGCATGCTCTCCCACCCCTCCCTCCTCCTCCCTACCACCACCAACCCCTCCTCCACCTCCACCGCCGCCGCCTCCCTCCAGCGAAAACTCAATGTACTCCTCCGCACTCACCGCTGCCGCAAACCCGCCCTCCCGCCCTGCACTACACTGCCAGCCCGGCCCATACTCCGCCTCGAACTCCCGCCGAATGAGCTCCACGGCCTGTTGCAGGCTCTGACCGCTGCTGCGAAGGGCGAGCGAGGCGTACAGAACCGCGTAGGCCTGCATGCCCTTGGGCAGGTTGGAACGGTGGATGGTTACCCGTCCGGGGGACCATACCGCCTGCTGCTGCTGCTGCGGTGGCTGGGCTGGCTGAGGTGTGGTGAGGATTGCGGAGGAGGAGGAGGAGGAAGAGGGAGGATGCTCTGGGCAGTCGTCCACATCGTCATAGTCCTCGTAGTCTCGGGGAAAGGGGCCTGGGTCGTAACCGCCAGCTTTGCCGTTGCTCTTGATGGCGGCGGTGGTGTTGGTGCCGTTGCTGTTGGTATTGTTGCGGAGGCGGTTGGAGCCGGTTGGTGCCGTAGCCGCAGGAGGAGCGGTGGAGCCGCCACGGGCACCCTCGCTGGTGGTGGTGGTGGAGGTGCTGCTGCTGCTGTTGCCTGCCGCCTCGGCGCTGCTGCTCGCGTCGCCCCACTCTTTGGCCCAGGAAGCCAACTGAGGTGTGACAGGCACGCAGGGAAGGAGGCACGAGAGGACAGAAGGGAAGGTGGGAAGGAGGAAGGGACTCGCAACAAGCCAAGGGGCAGCAGCTGTCGCGGCGTTTATGGTGCGTCACGTGCCTGCGAAGCACATCGCTCAACCGGTAACAACAATTGTGTACGCGCCATATGGGCGGCTCACACACGGGAATCTGTTACTTTATTTTGACACCCTAGCTTGCACCCGGCTGCCTACAAAGCCTTGCTTACCCTACCTAACACACAACCAAAACCCGCACGCAAGTACCACTCACGTAGGAGGAGGGCGAGGAGTACGACAGCTCGGGTTGTTGCTGCCGCCGCCGTTCCCGCTGCGCCGCCGTCTTCCCAAACACCCCACTCGATGACCGATCCGAACCGTCCTCCCCGGCGGGTGCGTGCGTCTGCTGCCGCGGGGGACATCAAGCGCACCAATGTTGAGCAAGGGAAAAGTC